CTCTCCAGTGTTGCAGGAGGTGGTTTTTAGGGAGGACTCGGAGAAAAACGGCTTGGGCGTGGCTCCGCGGAGTTGTTTTGGGGTTCAGGGTGGCTGCTTCCTGTCCTCTCTCTCTGAAGGTAGCGCTCGTCCCCCCCCCCCAACCCCCTTCGATTTATCCTTTTAACCCTTTTCCTCTTCCCTGTGGGCATCATGATGGGTCAAAAAGATTCCCAGCTAGTGAAAATACTTTCATAAAATATATGAAAAGCATGTGGTTTTTATATGAGCCTTTGCTGACTTGTAATAGTTGCATGACAAATTAAATTTGTGAATGTTTGGTAAAGATTTTTGCCTGTATTAAAATTTAATATTTACATTCAAGGCAGAAAACTATCACCCTAAAAACAGTAACTTTAATGACCCAAATGTGTGCCGTCATTCAGACATTCACACACACATTTTGGAGGGTAAAATCTTTCCCAGTGTTATTTTTTTTCCTTTAAACTTAAATATCCACTAATTTTTCTCTTTGTTTAATCTGTGTCTTTGCTATCATTCAATTGGTATAACTCTAAATCTCTTCTATTCATTCATAAACTTTCTATTTAATTGCTTTTTAAAGGATTGTATAAAATCACAGGCTTTAAAAGAGCTGACCTGTACTTGGACCTTTCCTTTTCTCTTTCCTTGTCACGCTCCGAGCTGTTATCAGTGTTGCTGTTAGTCCTCAGTGTTCAGTGTTTCTTTGGTTTTATGTTGATAGTGGGGTTGTCACTGTGTGTGTGCATGCAAGTCCGTTTGCAGTGGTATATTTCATGTGCATGTATACAGAGGGGTAGTCAGCGTGGCACAGTGCCTGTGGTAGTCGGTGTGTTTAGAGTCGGGGGTTTCTTTCTTAAATAACTATCCGTATCTTCAAATGTGACGTGATAGCAGCAGGTATAAACAGTGTTGTGTGTTTTTTGTAATTGTCTTGTTCTAAATGTGCAGCTACAGCGGAGTGTTAGAAACAAAATTGAATGTTTTTTCCCTCCGTTAGATTTGTCTCTTTAAGGTTCATGTTTTTGATGTTGTGATTTCTTTTCCTGTGGTGACTTTTTTTAGTTAGTTGTTTTACCTTCGGTCCTTCAAACTTTTACTTTTTCGGATAGGAAAAGAGATAATTTTGGAAAGAGTTTTAGGAGAAATGTAAAAGTAAGACGCCCAGCGAAAGAGAAAAAGAGATTCACAATTCAGCTCCTCGCACTCTGAAAGGGAAGCGAGTTGACACCTCGCTGTTGGGCTCTCTAACCTTTCTGCTTTTCTCCTCCTGTCTGTTCTTCTCTCCATCGCCTCACCCTCCATCCTTCTTCCCTCTCACCCTTGTTATGTATTACTCTCACCATCCTCTGTGCCCTCTCCTCCATCTACATTCCCCCTCCGTCTTTCTATCTCTGCCTCACCCCCAACACACATACACACCGACTCACACACACACACACACACCTTCATCCATCCATGCTCCCCTCCACCTCTTCTTCCCGTCTTCTGTGTCTCTGGTGGAGCAGCTCAAAGTCCCACTGCAGCTGATCCTCTCCAGCAGGCTTACACAGGAGTCCAGCAGTACGCAGGTCTGTCTGTCACTCTCAGAGCAGCACTGGTGTGTGTGTGTGTGTGTGTGTGTGTGTGTGTGTGTGTGTGTGTGTGTGTGTGTGTGTGTGGGTGTGAGTCTGTGTATGTTTGTCTGTAAGAGAGAAAGAGCAAAAAAGAGGAAAAAGATAAGGGGTTTCTTTTATTTGAATTTTGTTCATGTACATTAAATGTTACATTCAGACAACATCAATTTATTCCCATCTTTGTCGCCTTCACATTGTGTGTGTGTTTGTGAGTGTATGTGCATACACATCGGTGCAACACTCTATTGTCTGTTATCTGATCGATTGCCTGCTGTGCCCCTGCATATATCACATTGTTTATATGTATCCAAGTGTGTGTGTGTGTGTGTGTGTGTGTGTGTGTGTGTGTGTGTGTGTGTGTGTGTGTGTGTGTGTGTGTGTGTGTGTGTTCTCTCTAGTCATGACTGTTATCTGATCCATGTTATGTGTGTGTGTATGTGTGTCTCAGCAGCCTACCCCGCTGCATACGGCCAGATCAGCCAAGCCTTTCCCCACCCTCCACCCATCATTCCACAGCAGCAACGAGAAGGTAACACACACACACACACACACACACACACACACACACACACACATTTGGCACACCATTCACTCCTAAATATTCATACATGCTGCAAACATTTAGTCATTCTCTGTTCAACTTTAATCCGCCTGCCAACATAGCCCGGGAATGAACACCCACGTTTAAAAATATCCAGGCAATTCAGAGCGCTCACTTTGTTTTCAGGCATGATTTCACCTCCTGCCTGTCTGACACAAACAGAATACACTCAACACTCACACTAACACCGAGTGAAAACACCCAGCATCAGTCTGGAGTGATTTGGGAAAGCTGACCAACCTGAACTTTAACTTTTCATCCTTTAAATGCAATCAAAGCTGTGGATTTTTTAAAAACTCACACCCTGTATGAAAGATTATTTAGTGCATCAGGTTGTGACACAGAAACTAACCCTGCTGGATGTAAGATAAACTAACTTTAATACCAAACCCAGTGTTTCAAACGGAGCTGTAAACCTGCTCACGAACTCATTGACCTGCAGGCTTAGGAAAGCCATGCTCGGGACAGTACTGCCCTCTTGTGGAAAACAAACAAAACAATGTGGATCAACAGCTGCGACTTTCCAGAGGTTTCAGTGGAGGCAGTTTGTACCCCTTTGATTTGGTGGGAATGCTGAACCTGTAAACCTAACACTTACAGCTATATCAAATTTTAGAGAAAAAATGGGATTTTATGAGTAAAGAATTCATTTTAATTTTTTTAAAGTCAGCATTTTGGAGTCCCCTAAAACATATCAGGTCACAGTCTGGAGTATCTTTTACAATGAGTTAAGAAAAGAGCAAACTAAACCTTTGTTTTTTAACAATTTACACCCAAAATTTGGGCTAGAATGATTATCAAAGTACTTCTTACACAAAGCAACAACACACAATCAAAAGATAAAGAGCACAAATGTCTTCAAATAACAAATAGGAGCTAAACTGAAAGAAAAAACGCAACTTTTCATTTTCGGTCCATCATCTCTTGTAATGGTTAAGCCTCGTGATTGTTTAATTGTTCAAGTGTTGCTCGATTCTGACACATAGACAGATGGGTGGTGCGTTACAGTCGATCCAGTTCGTTTAAATGACTAGCCTCAGTCTAAGGAAAATGTTCCCTCTTCAGCTGAACAAGAATTAGACCTTAAGGGTTATTTTCCAGCCTTAAGACGAACACCCAAACCATCTTCAGGACTACTATATCTTGCATTATTTACATGTTTACTTATTGTTGTGATTTTTTTCTATGCAGTCTCTTCCTCTACCTTGCTTCCTTTCCTCTGCCTGACCTTTGCCCCTTATCTCTTTTTATTCCTCTCCTGTCCGTCTCTCTCTCTCTCTCTCTCCCTCTGTTTCTGTGTGCAGGACCGGAAGGTTGCAACCTGTTCATCTACCACCTCCCTCAGGAGTTTGGGGATGGAGAGCTGATGCAGATGTTCCTGCCTTTCGGTAATGTCATCTCCTCCAAAGTGTTTGTGGATCGGGCGACAAACCAAAGTAAATGCTTTGGTGGGTAAAAATGACCAAACCAAGAGATCATTGGTTATTTATTATTCTGATTATTCTTTTTTACTAATCACCTTCTTTACCGCAGTCGACACCCCCTTCCTAACCTCTCAACACCCCACCCCTAAAAGAATGAGAACAAAACAAGTGAAAAGCCTGTTTGTGCAGAAAACAACAAACTAGAAAATGAATGTGTTCTGTTTTAATTAATGAATTCTTGTTCCTCTAAAGGTTCGGACTAATTTCTCACTCTGATAAAAAAACAATTCAGAGATGCATCTTTTACTGTTTCAAAGCTTAAATCAAAAGTCACACTGATCATGAGATTAGTTCTGGTTTAGTGGCTTATTTGTACATTCCTTTTGCCCCATTGACATGCAATACAAATACCTTCTCTCAGTCTCCAACTCACTGTAAGCAAAAGCACTGCATGCTCAGAATACAACACTCGCTGTAGCATGCAGAGATGGAGAAGTGCCGTCTCACTCTGCCTCTGACAGCACAATTTAGCCGAACGTATAATTATGTTGCAAATTATAAATGGGTTGTGGAGAATATTTAATAGAGAGTCTGTCAGGTGCAACCTATTTGCAAAGAAGCTTTTGCTCATTCATACAACACAATATTAATGTTGTATTATTCATGTTGAAGTTTTGAGATGCAGCCTTTATGATTTGACGCTTCTCTTTTCAAGTGGAAGTTATGAACTCAAAATTAGCCGGCAGGGGTTACTGATAGGTTTAACATCACATCAACAGGTTCATGCTGTGATTTTAGCCGCATGCTGCACTGTAATAACTGTGAATTATTGTGTTGTCATACTGTATTTAAGCTCATAATATATTCTTAAATTTGTAATTTTGTCACTTAAAACTATGCTATGCATTGTGTGGATGTCTACCCTTTTTTTTAATGTTGTGCACAAATAAAATTATTTAATTCTTACTGAAGGTTTTAAGTGAAATCTCCCGTGTTTAGATGCTGCTCCATTCTGTTGAAGTCATCTTTGTTATCCATTACTCTGTATCACCGACTGTATTTGCCCGTCCGTCTAACCACATCCCTCTTCTCTCTTTCATTCGGCCTTTCCCCCAGGGTTTGTGAGCTTCGACAACCCAGGTAGTGCCCAAGCTGCCATCCAATCAATGAACGGCTTCCAGATTGGCATGAAAAGACTCAAAGTGCAGCTGAAGAGGCCAAAGGACGCTAATCGCCCCTACTAGCCCCTGCCCCAGCCAGCCAGCCAGCCACTCTGGGTGGCCGGGGCAGCCGTCTCAAACGGGGAAAAGACAGGTCAGACCTCCAACCTTGTCTCCTCTGGAAAACATTTGTTGTCACTTTAGCTTGACTGGTGATTAACTGAGCCAATGCACGCACAACCACTGCATACTATATCGACAAATGCTCAAATGGCAAGTCCATTTATGGCGCCGCCTGATGTCGTTTCAGTAACCTTTTATAAATGTCATAAAACATTTGCAGATGCCTAATAATAAGCTGATCATCTGCAAATTGCTTGTAAAGAATAGTGATGAAGTTTTACCCTCTTTGTTGATAGTTCAAGTACGCATTTGTAAATGTTAATCCCGGCACAAATTATGAATCACTTTGAGTAAGCTCTAGAGTTTGATGACTGACAGTGAATTAAAAATAAAAACTGTGATTTATTGAGTTATTATTATTACTGCATTGTTAAATTCTATGCCCTCTGCCGTGCAACACAATATAAATATTATATTCAGTTATAGTAGCTGGTAGAAAAGAAACAAACAAAGCAGTTGGAGCATTTACTTACATGTCGCCTGCTCTATTTGTAGAACAGCTTTACAGTAAGTGACCCTGTATGTTACCCTGTAGGTAAAAGATAATTGGTAAATGCTTCAGTGTGTTACACAGGGAAGGAATTGCTTCCAAGGGAGAGGCATTTATTACCCCTCGGGCGGGTAATTGTGCTGTTCCTCTTTGTCTCCCCCCTTCATCTGTGTGATGGAGAGTTTAGGCTGCGTTGTTCATTCACCACTGATGACTTCATTCAAGGGCAACTTATCACCCACTCACAAACTAACCGAACCATATGAGACGCTGTCCCGAGGCAAATCACTGCAGGAAGAATAGTGCAATCTCATATGAATGTGTCACGTAATATGTGGCACCATTGCTTTTGATGGATAAAAAAAAACGTTCAACAGAACACAAAACATCTTTTCTATTTCCCTTTCTATTTCCCTCCAATTTGCAGCTGTTACTGTGTATAAAACTTAGGGTGACAAACAAGAATGTTTTCCTTTGTGCGACTGCATCCACCGTGTTACAACACTCAAATGTTATCAATAAGGATGTGGTGTGTGTTGATTGAAATGCTTTCAACATTTAAAAACAAGATAAAAACAGTTTGATTGAACAAAAAAACCTAATTTTGACTGTTTATCACATAGAGGATTGCAACAGTATCTAAATTAATTCACTGCAGGATAAGCTCTGGTATATTATCAGAGGAGAGAGCCTCGAGAGAAAGGTGCTCCATTCATTCAGTGAGTTTGTTTGATGAGTATCAAAAGTAAAAGAGGACACAAAGGGGAGGGTGTTAAGACAAATGCAGCTCTTCAATTCTCTCTTTTGTTTTTGTTGTATTTGTACCATCATTTAGTCTTTTAAATGACGTGGTTTTTTTTTTAAACTTGCCATGCTGTTGAATTGTCAAGAAAAAGCAGTGAATTCAACAGAGCAATCAATTGTTAGATTTCCCCTCATTAGTAGTAAAAAAAAACAAAAAACCTCTTAAAGTTCAGAATGACATGCTTGAAACATCACAGCCATGCTACCTGTTTTAAAAGACTGGACTACAGTAAAGCCACGATATGAGCAGGTTTCTGTGGACCCGATTGGACCTGATCCAAATTTCATAGCAAACACTGCTTAGTTTTTGACATTTACTCACTATTATTATAATTAAATTGCCTCACTAGAGGGAGATTCATCAGATCTCCTAAGTGAACGAAGATAAATCATCTAGCTTATGAATGTCTACACAAAATTCAGTCTTAAAACAACTCATAATTGTTGAGATATTTCTCAGAAAAAGTGAAAAGTCTGACATGCAACCTGGACAGGATGAAAAGTCAGAAATAAACACAGTCAAAGAGATTTATCCTCCAAAGACTGCTACATTATTTCAACACAATCACAAAGTGTTTACTCTTTGTAAGGCTAGAAGAATTTATGGCGGTCTATCAATTTTATGAATATTTCACTACAGCCAAAATAACACCTAAATCTTTGAAAGACAATGAAATAAACTTAAAAACCTAATGAATGATTAAATATTGGCCAACATGTCTTAAATAATCAAACCTAATAATATTATAAGCTATAGAGCCAAATACGCTTATAAAACATTTAACATGCATGAGACACGTACCTATCTTTTTGTTTCGTTTTCTTACATGTCTCCTGACTCCTCTCTCTCTTTTGTGCGTTGCAGGTTTTGTTGAGCTGAATCATATGTCGACTTCTTGCTACCCGCCACTGAGTGCAAACTCAACATCTGGACCACCGAGGCTGCTTCAGAAACAGAGGAGAGAGAGTGAGAGAGAGTGATGATCGAGTCAAGGACACCTCCTTTGGATGTACTTAAACTTTGGAACTCAGAGAGAATTTGTACCAACCTGGTTAGCCCCAGGACCCTTTTTTCTTCTGCACACATATACACTCTTTCCTCCTACCCCACAAAATCCTGCTTGAATGACAGCTACCTTTTTGGACCACAAAAACTTTTACTTGAACATTAAGAAAAAAAAAAAGTAAAAGAAACTTTATCAAAACCAACTACAACGACCAACCCCACTGAACTCCTAAAGGGAATATGGATGTCAAAAATCCGACGCGAACAAAACTTTTTAAAAACTGACTAGAGGATTGCCGTAGGAGATCTTTCTGTACGACGGTTTGAGTTTTGGACAATTGAAGTTTGAAGACCAATTTATACGACTTGAAACAAGAAGGGACAAGAAATTCTCAAAGAGAGAACTTGAGTAAGGAATGTGATATTTTCAGGACACAAATTGGCTTCGATTTGGGACGGCCATCTTTAGCTCGGAGTGCCTGTCCGTTTCCAGGGGACACCGTTGCCAAGGAGAGCCATAGCAACGGTCTCCAGGGAGTCTTACCTGTCATTCCTTAGTTGTTTTAGGGACCAAAAGACCAAACGTTTTTATTGCTGAGGACTTGTAGCTCTAATATACTCGGACCACTGCATCTCTTTCAGACAGAGTTATCTGGTTGAAGAGTTGCACTTAAAAGAAGTGTACATTTCGAATATATACAACACATGTATATGTACATATATATTGCTGATATGCTTTTTGAATACAGGCAAAACTATTTCAGATGACCAGATGGGGTCTTCTCACTTCGCTAGTTTACAATTACTCAAAAATGTTTATTTTTTCCTCTTCTCATTTTGTCTTGGGAGGGATGGCGAGTGCATGGGAGGGGCTGCTCCGTATCACAGCCTTATCTTTTTTAACTTGACATCCTAACCTCATAGATAGAATAACATCAGAAACGTTTGAAATATATGAACTTGTTTATATTTGCAGTACAAATATATGTATAACAAGCATTCAAGCAAATGTATTCATATATACAGTATATATGGATAAATAGATATTAATCACGAACAAATATATGTATTTATATGCACATATTTTATATATGTGTGTCTGTATATAGGACAGCTACTGACTATGTTGAGCTGTAATTTTTTGTAGATTTTAGCTGGAGTTTGAAACATTGCTCTGCTTGGGAAGAATCGCAAATCTGGCAGCTCCCAAAACTGCAGGCATTCCTCTCTGATTACCTATATGCTGACACACACTATATTGCGAAAAGATACATGTGTGACAATACACATATGGTGTAAATATTTACTGAAAATGCAAAAAGCCACATCTCAGTAGCAGGCTTTAAGAGAATCAGGCTACATGATTTTAGAGAAAAAGGACAACTATCTTCGACTCTATTCCAGACATATCTTTTGAGCTTACACGCACACATACACACACACACGTATAAACACACACACACACACAAACTTCTCTTTGAAACTTGAACCAAAATGAATATGTCTCACAACCCTTGCTCTCTTTTGCATTCAGTAAAGTGCATGTAGCGTATGGGCTGTCACCATGTCAAGGTGTGCCTTGTCACCTGCAGAATCTGCCATCCAGCACTGTGCTCTCAGAAAACAAAGAAAAAAAAAAGTGAAAACACACTTCCGCAAGCAGCCAACGCGCTATTATGATGTCAAAACTACAGCCAGACCATCATATCATTTCTCAGCCATGTAGAGAGCTTCAGTGCATGTCCAGTATAACAACCCGTCAGACCTCTGCTGGTCCATCAATGTCTTTAAAAAATGCATTTAGATATAATGTAGACACATGTGATCACACCACAGATAAAAGCGGGCATTAGGTAACCTGTAAGCACAGGTACTAACTATCAAAGCTGTGTGCAGGGCACCTGTGGCTATGTTCCACTGGTTGGAGTCAAACTGGGGTAAAGTTCGAGGCTGACATGGCGCAGATCGCTGAGAGAACTTATTGAGCTAACTGGACCTGACATTAGGTTTTAATGCTTCTAAAAGAGATGAAATATTGATGAATATGATATAATTAGAGAGCTGGCTTCCCATTGAGTTGAATAAGGAAGGTTTTATGTACTTTCCCATTTCACAGTTAATATGTGAATCTCTGCTGGTAATAGTCGACATGAAGCATAGCCTCTCGAAGATGTTATATTGCCTTATGTTAAATGTGCTCATACAATTAAGTATACACATAAAGGCAAAATGAAACTGTAAAATGAAGCAATAAGTGTGAAAAGCCATTTATCCATTACAGCAGCTCCACCACTGAGGCTGGTTTCATATTGCTTTAGCATACAGTTTCTCAGAACATCGGACACAAAAAAGGTATGAACACCTACTATACACCTGCAAAAGGTCAACAGACTTGGATTTATTGGACTCTGCATTCAACACATTTTCAGCTGCTGGAGATTACTCAATGAATATTTATGTAAATGAATATTTATAAGGCTATATGACACTTTGGAAGACAATGCTTCCTGTTGGGTGCTGTTACTGGTTTTTCCTATAAACTGCTCATTATGCCGTTTCCCTAGCGTCTGTGTCTAACCTTTTTAGCAGATTGAATAATTTAACATTTACCTTCCAAATCCAGTGAGGCTAAAAGACGGCACGGCACATCCCAGGACGCAGCTGTTTATGTGTGTGCCATAAAACAGTGCCCTGAGCACTGTGTACAGTGCAAACCAGATGACCACCATGCTCTAACAGTGTCCGAGGTTGGTTAGTACATCCACCTGAGCTGTCTGTGAGCTAACAATACCATCTGAAGTTAAATGTCATATGTCTGGTGTCCCTGATTTCTGCACTGTGTGCCCTCTTTGACTCCCCCCTCCCGCCGCTCTGAGAAAATTGAAAAAGGTGTCGCCACGGTCTGTGCTTTTCTAATGGTTTGTCTGGGCAATCACTCATGTCTTTCACCCTGCCCATGTTTTCATGTCAAGTGAAATAAGGAAGGGAAGCCGAACGACCACCACAGGAACTAGAATGCACCTCTTTTTTCATTCGCTCCAACTTAAAGCTGCAAGTTTACAAGAGAAAAGTAAAACAATGAAAAATGGTTCAAAAACAGCAAGAAACAGAGCAGAAGTTTGAATATAAATATAAATATAAATATATAAATATATACATAAACCAATGAATATACTGTAAATGTTTCTTTTTTTTTTTGCTCTGTTTTTCCCTGTACATAGGTTTGCATATTTTATAGGACTTTTACTTCTATCTACAAGGACTGGATAAAGTACTTTAAATACTTTAAAAAAATATATGAATGAAAACATGATAATGCTCAATAAAACCAGGTACAAAAAAATAGTTGCTAGGATACGGTACAAACTGTAGGACCTGACCAAGGCATTTATCCAGAATACAGTCAGGGAGAGCATTGACCTCAGTTAGAGCTTAGACACACATTGACCTATTTTATAAAACAAAATAATACTTTGATGGGTTCTATTCATTTATCGATTTGTTTAGATATTTATTTATTAGTCATGTCTGAGATAATATGCATGCTTTCATGGCATTATTTTTCTATGAGTTGGTACGTGACCAAATAGTTTTTATATGACATGCATGGGCCACTGTTGTGGTCCACAGATGATCATTGTTCCTGTCTGCAGGACCATGCCTTCAGCACTTCTTTGATGAGGGAGAAAAAAAAATGCTCCTATTGACCAAGTGATGTCAAAGACAGATTTTAATCATTTATTTATGTTTGTTTAAATATTTATTTATTTCTGTATTAATTTATTCATGCTGTTTGATTCAAGATCCGAGCTCTATTGTTGCCACTGATCTGTTTGCTTGTGAAGTGTTACTTCATATCACTACATCACATAAAGACAGGGAACTGATTTTACAACTTACATTTTCTTGTTGCTGAGAAACACTTGAAAACAATGCAGTAAAATACTAAAGCCTTATGTATATTTGTAGTTTTAAACTCAATTTCCTCGGTTCCAAAAGTTAGCAGCGTAAAAGCGATGCCATTGGAGCATTCTTTATTTTCAGTGACATTTTGAAATATTAAGATAAAGGGGAAGATAAATTCATAGTTCAAACAGATTCATATGTATTGATGATAAAAACGTATGCTTTGAGGTCACACTGATGTACTGCTGATTTGGAAGGATTGTCTTGTGATTTGCCAAACAGATTAGAAAATCTGGTTTTGACTTTTAGAACTTTAACACACTTTGTTTTTTCTCATCCTGTTTTTTTTTCTTTCAGAGCTCTGATCTTGTTCAACTGATGTGTTCTACCAAGAGCAAAATTCAATGAAAACTGCACTATGTCACCAAAAGTAGTGATTACTATTTTTTTCGGTGCTGTTGTTAGTGATCTTTCTTTCTTAAACTTGGTAGAGTTGCCAGACTCACATTTTACTTCATATGGTTTTCAAAGTATTCTGGAAATCTCTTTCCCAGTTTCAGCACATATGGGTGGGGAAATGAATGTTGCATATTAAGCTTTGCCAGGTTCCTGATGAGCTCAGCTTCGGATTGGGCAACGCGCTTTAGGCTCCCACCCCTAACTCTCCAGATTGCACCATTCTCTGGTCCCTGAACTCTTCTTTTGTAATTTTAAATGAATGATGCGTCTCAGCTTAGCCCAATATTAAAGCACAGTCTAGAATAAAGCACTCCGTCTCCTGTCATAATTACTGATTGTTCATCGGTTTACAATGATTGACATGTATCTCCTGATTTGTGTTTGTTTTCATCCATTAACATATTCTCCTGACATAAACGGTGAGTACAGACCTATTTTTCCGCCAACTTGATGATAAATGATTTGAGTGATATTATTCAAACACTTACTCACTAAAAAAGTAAGTCAACATTAATGCTACCGTGACCGAATGAGATATCCATTACAAACCAGAAGCATCACAAAGCTGAATAAATATTTGTTTAATTGAATTAAAACCACAGAAAAACAAGAACACAGTTAACATCAACAACATGATCATTCTCATTTAGATAATGATCATTCACATCATTATCAAATTCACTGTGAGACAATGAAAAAGTCAGTGACTGGATCCTCTTCTGATTCTTTGTTAGCATATGAAGAAAATATCCTCCAGAATTTGGCTTTCTTCCAGGTCCTGCTGGGCATGCTGTGGATAAGGCCCGACGGGGGTACGCAAAGTTCTGCCCATTGGTTTGTGTGCAGCAGGGGCTGGCCTACATTGTGAAGTTTTAGGCCCTTGAAGGGAGGGCTTACTTAGATCAGGTGCAGAGACAGGAGTGAAGATATCCAATAACTCAACCACGGAAAAGTCCGACCTGAAAAAACAGATAAACTTTGAAAAAGGTTTTCTTTGCGTCTTTCAGTTTGGTTAGTACAGTATATCGTCACCCTATTAAAACAATGGCCTAAGTCATTTTTTAACGAAAATGAGTTTTTGGCCTAAATCATCTCTTGATAATGCTGGCCATCTCTGGTAAAATCGCCTAAATCCTTAGTTGAAAGGATCATTCCATGATAGGGTGACGATATGACCAAAGAGTGTGTCAAATATGTGTGGCTATGTTTTATCATACAGAACCTAATGGTACCCTGGTCTTTAAGATCTCATGTCTTCATTGTAAAATCCAAATGCACAAAATGCAACGATGAACCTGCGTGCCATTAATGTTAAACAGGGAACATGCAGGCAAACACACAGGGTACCTAAATCCATTTGGGGCTCAGCACTCGTACTCAGATATTCGCCACTCACCTCTCACTTGTTAACACAGACAATATGAAAGCAAATCTCTCTTCGACATGCTAACAAAATCTTGCTTCCAGAGGTGTCTACTGAACCCTAACAGGCAGCCTTAACAAGTCAAAACCACTGGGGCGTCCCAGCAGAAAAACACAGTTTCTTGCAGGTGTAGGAGAAAAAGAGGGAGAAGACCCGATGCTTTCTCCCCTGGAATAGAAATGAGGGAATGTGTAGAGAAATAAATAAACCAAAACGGGGGAGATTAAGCTAATAGAGATTCAATCCCTCAGTCTGGCTGGCTTGATAAATTATTCAGTGTATACACAGTCGAACGACGGCCATTCCAGATACAAAACATGAATTCTTTAAAGCACGCTCCACTGATGTTGCTAACATAATTCTCTGCTCGTTTAAAGCTGCATCGATTTGCATCGCACAGCTCGGCAGCACACAGCTCTCTCAGGTAAGGGTGATCTTTGGTGTGTACTTGTTGATATGCATGTGGGTGGTTAGTGGACAGACGCAGTGAGGAACTCCCAATCAGGGCAAGTCTGAGCTGCTCCACACGTAGCTGTAGACCTTGATATGTCATGTTTTCACATAAACCGAAAGCAGCATAGATCAGTGGCTGAAAAGTTTTAAACATGACTCTGTTTTACTTTGATAGAATGAAATAATGTTTGAGTGTACGAGGGGAGGAGTGAATGAGGGTTAAGTCGACAAAAGGATGATAACCAAAGGAAAAAAGAAAGTGAAGCTGAAGTAAGTAAATCTGTCTTCCTCATTTGGTCTCCTGCCTGTCAGCAGCGAAGGGAAGAGAGAGCACTGAGCGACTTTGTGTGTATGTGTGTGTGTGTGTGTGTGTGTGTGTGAGGGGGAGACTGGGAGCAAGTGCAGCTTTGTGGATGGAGACGAAGACAGAAAGGGAATGTGGGGGAGGGACTTTGGCTGGGTTCCGTCTCTCGAAATGTGAGAATTTGCATTTTTATTTGTTGATTTATTTAACGGACAGGCCTCTCAAACAGCCATCCATCAACAAACGACATGTTGGTAATGAATAATGCATCACTTACCAGCGGTCACAATCTATAACAAGGGGAGCGCAGGGGGTAGGGGTACAGTTTGGGCAGAAATGTGGGGGGAACGGTGGAGGGTGAGTGGGAGGAGGAGGTGGCACAGAGATTGCATGAGGGCCAGAGAGAATGCCAATAGATTTTCAGAGGGGTATAAAGTGCAACGAAGAACTTCATTTCTTGGCTCCAGTTTGTGTGAGGTGAAGCTGTGAATTGCTGCTCAATATTAATATCCCCTGAGGGGGCCCCAGCAAATCTATTTCACTGAAACATGCACACAGAAAAAAGCGTGGACAACAGTAGCAGGAATGCAAGTTTCTGTCATTGTAGAGAATGAGAAACCTTTGGCCTGGGATGTTGGGTCACTCTGACAGCAGCTAGATACACTGCACTGCCAACGTCCAAGTTCTATTAAATACTCCGATCTTCTGTGTTCAATGGAAGAACAAAAACTTGCCTTCGTGCAGAGCGCAATGTACTGCAGAGAGTTGATTCCAACAGGATATTATCAATGTTACACAGACTCTTCCAGGAATTAAAGAACTCTCTGTTTCTTTGAGCCTGAATGGAAGAATGAAAGAGGTCCTGTGGTGGTTAAGCTCCTTGCCTCCAAATACTTTCTAAGTCCTTTGAGCACATATAGAACTGTACTTTCTCAGTGTAATAAAAACCTTTGGGCTTCATTTTCCCTGTGCACCAATTCTCGCTCTGTAAGGCCAGATAAAATTTCCACAAAACCCCTCTGCCTCTGCTCCCCATTGCCTTCTTCCCACTCGTAACTTTCACTGCTTATTTGGCTCCTCTCTTTCATTAAAGATAGCCGTCTCGCCCCGGCGCCCCTTTTCATTTGCAGTCCAAACAGTAAGATAAAAAACCTATAATGGCCGCTGCATATATCCTGCATGTCAATTTCCCAACCAATCAATAGCAGGCGGGCAATAGCAGGAAGGATGGAGATGAGATGGGCGGGGTGCGCTGGAACTGTCTCATTACTAACTAGCCGAGGATTCATGAAAGGATTAAGAAGGTCACTTAACGTTAACCCCGGCTTCGTTTTGCAATTTGCACATCAGGATTGAATTGGTTAAGATTAGACGGTCACAAAAAGGGATGTTGTTGCCAGGTAAAACGGAGGCGTTCAGGTAACACGTTCACTCTCATTAATAGTCGACTTTGATTCATCAAAGAACGTTTCCTTGCTTGATCCTGCTCTCACGCTGAAAACAAAAGTGTTTTTGTATTAGCAGGTAAGTGTTTGTTTGGTTACTCTAAAACACATTAACTTTACTGATGTAGTTAACTGAAGCAGTGATGAAAAAACACAAGTAAAATTAATGTGTCAAAAAATACAAACCATGATCAAGTAGTTAAACTCCAAGTGTATGAGTAAACTGACCCAAATTAAGCTTAACCCCAACACATGCAGCATTATTCTTATCTCCTTGACTACCATTTCCCAGTTCATCTTTTCCCATTTTCTTCATGGAGATCCATTATTGGATGGATAAGGGTGAATTGTAAAGACATAAACCAAGGCTGCAGTAATCCACTATTTTGGTCACCAAGTATACTTTTGATTATTCTGGGAATAAATTTCATAACTCAATACAAATTATTACTCACTCAGCTACTTTTTTTCATAAAATGGATTTTAGCTTTAACTGCTATAACCATGTAAATTTCTCTGTTGTGGAACAAATACGGAATTATCTTATCTTGTCCAATTAAAAAGACCAAATAAATACAATTTTGTATTTACAACACAGGAAAATAATATTGGTAACACTTAACTTGACACCTATCTCTTTAACACATTATAAATATAATGGGTTATAATCACGTTATAGCACTGTATAATTATAGTTATAAATATTGATAACAGTTGCATCAAATTATCTTTGTGGGCATTGTCAGTGAGTTGTTAACAGTTATAACACATTATAATACCTGACCTTGTAAGTCATGATAAAATGCTTTATAATGTGCTACGCTTATTGCTATAAAGAATTATGATCATTTATGTGTGTTTAAAACTAAAGTTATAAAGTGCTATAATGTGATTGTAACACATTATAAATATATTTATAATGTGTAATAGAGATAGTGTTACCATTATATCTCTATGACAACTTAATTCTAATTGTGAAGGTGGATAGTGAAGACAGACAGGATAGATGGAAACAATTTGTAGGTACGAGGAGCACCAATGACCTGGCAGTCTTAGTGCACCCAATATACAGAGGCTGCAGTTCTTGTCCCATCTGTTGCTTTGCTGCATGTCTTTCCCCGGTCTTTGCTCCCCACATCTCACCTCTGCCATCTTATCTAATAAATGCAAAATTGAAAGAAAAAATATGCAGGTATGCTAACATACCCAGGCAACTTCTATCTATGGCAGTGATCTAGTTGCACCACTAGAACCAAAAATTCTGAAGAAGCCCCTGCATAGCAGCACAGAGAAAACACTGGGACTCAGATGCTAACAGGTTAGTTTACTCAACTAAAGCTGCAGAAGAACACTTCTCCTTCGATCTTTGACGATTAGGAGAAAACAAACTTCAACTTCTGCCCCACTAAAGTGGTGAAACAGGTGATTGTAAACTGGTAGGAGGAGATTTGTCAGCCAGAGATCTATGCCCATGGGAAACCACAGCGTGCATGCACGACACAGATTGGCATTAGTCTCTGATAAGCTGATCAGGATGATGTCTAGTAGAAAATTACACCACACTGGGTGACCAAGAAGACTCTGCTGTTCATGCTGGTACGCTAGATGGATTAAAACATTGAAACAGAAATTTAAAAAAAACATCATTTCTTCATCACCCACAGCAATACATATGTATAATAACAACAAACAAAAACCTACAGTGAAATGATCGAACAGTTCTTTTATCCTCCCCTTTGTAAGCAGATACGCACTGATACCCTGTCTTTAAGTACAAGATCACAGAAGTAATTCAAGTAAGTTAAAGACTTGTATCCAATTTACTGTTATGGTATTTTTGTGTATTATTTCTAGTAAATGCAGGTTATCTAGAGCTTATGTCTGAGTTTTTCCATGTCCAGAAATTCATATAAAAAAACAGTGCGCTGTATTGTCTGGACGTAAACAAAGGCTCAAGGTGAATCAAGTTATCTGAGGAAATGTTCCAGCCCTGAAACAATTAATCTGAGCATGCACATGTGAAAATGATATATAACAAGAGAAGCAAAAAAGTGATCGCAGAGGCAGATTTCTTTATTACTAGCAGTAAAAAAAAGTCCCTCTGTGAAGGAAAGAGTCAAACTATTCTAACAGACTTTGGGGATATAAATGATAAGGTAATAAGATTTGATACCTGGAGTCCAACTGCTGGAATTAATGGGCAACTGCAGGAACTCACGGTTCAACTTGATCCAAGCGCAAGCGTGTAAGAGTTGAATCTGAAGCTGTAAACCTTGAGCTGCTTCATTGTTCATTTTATTTGTAGGGATGGGGAAGAAAAAGCCGTCTTCTATAAACAACAGCTCCTATTGACCGCTGCTTTCACAATAGGCATCAAGATAGTATGTATGTTTAAAAAATAATAATAAAACGCTAAAAAGTCAGAGAATAAGAAGGAGATAATAGGGGGACCTTGTATCAATCTGCAGCAACAGAACAACAAATAGCTTTTCAAGATCCACAATTTTTTGAAGTTCTGCAGACAAAGTTCTTCCACAGAGTCTGATGTATGCACACCTGCACACACACAGCCCGCAAAGAGTAAGACGTCACACAGTCAGGTTAATTACCATTCTGTATAAGGATAGGAAAAAAAAGGTAATGAATGTCCTTTCCTTTTTTAGGAAAGTCTGATGCTCACACTCAGTGATTCATCCCTGTCCTCAAAATCTCTCTCCGTTCTTACGTCTTCCTCACTATTTCCATTTCCATCCATCTCAACCTGTTCTAACTTTCCTCACTTCCCATTTCTCACTTTATCCGATTCTTTCACCCCTCACTCAATCCCAAACACACTTTTAACATCTCTCCCTCGCTCCCGCTTTCTCTGTCTCATTACTGTGGCAGCGAGAGAGAGAGAGAGAGAAAAGGGAGGGCAGAGTGTGCATCCAGAAGTCTGTTCAATTACACCTGCTGCAGGGTCCCTGCTAGGCCGACTAATGGAACGCAGCGTGTCTCCTGACAGGCTGGCCACAAAGCTAGCTAGCCCAGTAAAAAAGCTTCATTTAGCTCCTTACAGCTCAAAAAGTTAGCTGCACAAAGAAAGGACATAATTTAGCCGCTCGTAGTGCCGAAACTACAAGCCTTGTATGAGTTCCATAATTTGAATAGAATTAAACTGTATTTCTTTTATATTCATGTGTTTCAATATCAGTGTCAGCCCACAAAAAATCTCAGCGGTGCACACAGGTAGGAGTAGCCTGCGCACAGAAGTTTTCTTCGAGATTTCCTGCAGTGAGAAACTCCTAGTGAGTCATGAAGAAAGCCCTACTTAGAATTTCAAACCAGCGCAGATAAAAGATTTGTCCCCTTTGGAAACAACATTGCTCAAGTGCTTAACTGTGCTGTTTTTCATTGTTCAATGAGCAATCTTTTCTTTTGCCAGGCTCACAGGCTGTTCTCCTGGGAACTAATCTTGCAAAGATAGCTTAAACTTCTCTGTTTGATGTCTTACTGGTTACCCAAAGTATGAGGAAACAATGTTTTATTTCTTCTGAAAAACTAAATGAGCAAGAGATTAACCTTTGTTCAACGCCATAGTGATTGGTTATGTAGGTGTGTTACCTGGCTTCAGGGGTGCTTTGGGTTGCAGATACCGAGGTGGGTTTTCTCAAGCTCATGGGAGACATAACAGGAGATGTGGCCATGTCTTTTTTGGACTGCTGTAAAGCTCCTATTGAGAAATACAAGAGAGAATTTTTATGATAGAATTAAAAGCAGCAGCACTGATAGAAACTCTGGCAAAACAATCTAAAACAACAGAGCTAAGTTTTTTATTTTCATGCAGACGACAGAACATAAAATCATTTAGAAGAACAATATGAAATCACACCTTACCGTTGCCATTAGCCTGAGTCTGTAAAGGGTTTTCATGCAAGCTCTGTCGTCCTGTATGTACTTCTGGGTCTTCACTCATGCTGTAGACCACAGACATAATATTTAGGTTAGGTTAGGTTAGGTTAGGTTGAATTTATTGGCCTCGTGAGGAAATTTATTTGCAGTGAGTTGAGAAAGACATACACATAAGACAGCCATACACAAATTCATACACAAATTCAATATAAAAACAAACAACTTGGGAAAGACAATATAAAAATACCACTGTACTGTACTTTGTCAAATAAAAAATAACAATAAATAAAAAAGTATTCCTATAAATAGTCTAATAGTTCATATCTGTGCTCAGACCAGCTGAGCCAGAATCTAAAAAGTAAATGCTGCTCACGGTTATTTTAGTTTATTTAATTGTACGATCACCTGTGGTACAAATGGCAATTAATATGTTAAATTCACTTTCACATGTGGGAGAGAGAGATGTTGTGTATCACTTTGAGGGGGGTTCACAAAGAATGGGCTGCAGTCCTGAACAGCCCCAAGAATTTTGCATCAATTGTCTCTGCAACCTGCCTTGTCTCAAAGTCCAATCCAAAAAGCATACTGCAGTAATGATGTTCGAGCACAAAAACACTCACAAAAATGAGCAGTTTCCTGGTTTTTTTTTGCTTATGATTGAGGGGATTAGCCATTAGCACTTCTGCTCACGGCTTCTTTTTGCACTCTTATCTTCATGGGGCTGAAAATGTTCAGGTATGTAGAGGTATATTATTTTTAGGTCACCCAGAGGTAGACTTACTGTCATGACCACTGAAGAGTTTGAGCATGATTCAACCTTTTAAATACTGTGGCACTGTTTCCACCAACTCTCAGCAGACAGTAAAAGCATCATTCTAACTGCACATGGCAGTTAGTGCTTGTGTTTTTTGCACTGGAGCTCATTTGCATTAAATGTGACAAATTCTGCTCCAAATGAATCCATAATGGCTGTTTTAAATGTATGAAAACAAGACAAGTGCATGGCAATATCATTTGCTCTCCAGCACAGTTTGGTGTAAATATACTGTATATATATATCAGTGGCGGCTGCTATTAGGTACACCATGCTAGTAACGGGTTGGACCCCCTTTTGCCTTCAGAACTGCCTCAATTCTTCGTGGCATAGATTCAACAAGGTGCTGGAAGCATTCCTCAGAGAGCTTGGTCCATATTGACATGATGGCATCACACAGTTGCCGCAGATTTGTCAGCTGCACATCCATGATGTGAATCTCCCGTTCCACCACATCCCAAAGATGCTCTATTGGATTGAGATCTGGTGACTGTGGAGGCCATTTGAGTACAGTGAACTCATTGTCATGTTCAAGAAACCAGTCTGAGATGATTCCAGCTTTATGACATGGCGCATTATCCTGCTGAAAGTAGCCATCAGAAGTTGGGTACATTGTGGTCATAAAGGGATGGACATGGTCTGCAACAATACTCAGGTAGGCTGTGGCGTTGCAATGATGCTCAATTGGTACCAAGGGGCCCAAAGAGTGCCAAGAAAATATTCCCCACACCATGACACCACCACCACCAGCCTGAACCGTTGATACAAGGCAGGATGGATCCATGCTTTCATGTTGTTGACGCCAAATTCTGACCCTACCATCCGAATGTCGCAGCAGAAATCGAGACTCATCAGACCAGGCAACGTTTTTCCAATCTTCTATTGTCCAATTTCGATGAGCTTGTGCAAATTGTAGCCTCAGTTTCCTGTTCTTAGCTGAAAGGAGTGGCACCCGGCGTGGTCTTCTGCTGCTGTAGCCCATCTGCCTCAAAGCTCGACGTACTGTGCGTTCAGAGATGCTCTTCTGCCTACCTTGGTTGTAACGGGTGGTTATTTGAGTCACTGTTGCCTTTCTATCAGCTCGAACCAGTCTGGCCATTCTCCTCTGACCTCTGGCATCAACAAGGCATTTCCGCCCACAGAACTGCCGCTCACTGGATATTTTTTCTTTTTCGGACCATTCTCTGTAAACCCTAGAGATGGTTGTGCGTGAAAATCCCAGTAGATCAGCAGTTTCTGAAATACTCAGACCAGCCCTTCTGGCACCAACAACCATGCCACGTTCAAAGTCACTCAAATCACCTTTCTTCCCCATACTGATGCTCGGTTTGAACTGCAGGAGATTGTCTTGACCATGTCTACATGCCTAAATGCACTAAGTTGCCGCCATGTGATTGGCTGATTAGAAATTAAGTGTTAACGAGCAGTTGGACAGGTGTACCTAATAAAGTGGCCGGTGAGTGTACATATGGATGGTATCTTTTTTGCACAGGTATAACAGGCACAAAAACTAACCTTTTGGTGAATCAGGTGCCAATACTTATTTCTACTAGTCTACTAAGTTTACCTGGAAGGTGAATGGGAGGGGCCTGTTGGTTGTGGGTCTCTGTCTGTCTTGGTAGCTAGTTGAAACCTTGAGAGGATACAAGAAAAGAAAATAGAAGTTCTCTAGTCTGCAAAGAAAAAACATTAACAGCGACGAGGACACAGGATAAGTGACTGAACTGGTGACTCACTGTTTAAAGTAATAACACTTTATGGCCCAAATGTATCACGCAAATTAACAAGATGTGGTTCATTTCTTTTAGGCGTCTCCTCTTTCTACCTGCTGTAATCAAGGCGCGACTGGTGGAGCTGCTGATTCTGTCTGCGGAGTCTCTCTTCCTGCTCAGCCAGCCGTGCCTGCAGCCTTTCTCTCTCCATCTCCAACTGCATCTTCTGCAGCAGCAGCTGGTGTCTCTTTTCCTCCCAGTCCTCCTGACTCACCTCAGGCGTGGACTCTTTGGCCTCTGAACCAGTGCCATTCCCACTGCGGAGACGTGTCAGTAAGCCTTTTATTTGTTAAAAGTATAGCAATTGTTGCTTGATGAAAAGTTCAAATTACTTAAAAACTAAAAGACAGTAATGTTGCCATGGTGATAACTATAGAGGATAAATATTTTATGCACTATACCTTTGGCTCTCCTTTTGGCTGAAGGTGTGGTGTTCTTTATTTCCCACATGGGAGCCATTTTCATTTCTCCGCCGCTGTGTTCCATAGCCACTGTCTTGGCAATGCTCACATTTAAGGTGTGACTCCCTGCACTGCCTTCTCTGACTTCTCTGACTTCTTTGGCGTTTGATCAGCCCATCAGTTGGACTATATTCACTTACACTGGGAACAGAGTCAGCATTGCTCGACATTTGTAATGCCACCTTTCCTCCACAACTACTCCTGGACACTTCAGGCTGTTGTGCTCGAGCGGCAGTAAAGCTAAGGTATGAGCCATCAAAGAGTGAGCCATTAGCTCTGCTGGGGGCTTCCTCACTGCTGAGAACCTGGACACAGAACAAAGAGTACAATGAATACATTTTGGCCAATTTAGGAAGCTTCTGAAAAATTGATAGAGGGTTTCAGCCAAAAACGTTCAACTGCTCCACAATACCCTGAAGTAGAACTGTGCTACAGATGGAAACCTACCAGCACAGAAATAGGAGTCGCTAACCAGCTTAATTTGCTCGTGTTGCAATCTGCATTAAAAGCTTTCCTAATGCGCTCTCAGGAGCTGTTCCACGGCTGCCCACATATAACCTGCACTCTTTGCCGGTACCTTGACCTGATGAATATTGCAGTCCTTATGCCTTTATACTTCCATTCTTGTATGTACCCTCAGTTATTGCAATTTGGGCTCTGAATGATGTACAAATGACACACATTAATCCAGGTGCAACTCAATAAATGAGAATATGGTGGAGAAGTAACTTTTGACTTTTTTGTAATTTTTCACAATGGTAAATTTTTATAAATGAATAATTCATTGGATGTTAAGGAAAATATTTCAAGCCCTTTTGTTTTAAATCTATTCATTAATTCAAAGCTTATCAGTAAATCGAAGCATGACGTGCCCTGAAATCTCCTGGTGGTCAGCTGTGGTGAATTTCAGCCAAATAAAACAGATCATCAAACTGTAGAAAATTCACACCAAACTTCAAATATCTCAGATTCTGTGCCAGTCCACTTCGGATCCTGATTGTAGGAGATTCTGAGGAGACTCCGGGACCTTGATTTTCAAACAAGATAGAAGTCCAACAAGTCCAGTCCATTTTATCCTTCTGCCATTATCTGTGGTTCATCGTCGCAGGATGTGACAGTCATAGTCAAGTTCCTGAAGATGCCTGTGCATAGCAGCACTTAATGTACTGACACCTGAGTCCACGTCTCGTGAATTACTTGAATATCTTTCCCGATACTCGTCAAGGCAGCAGTCATCTCTGTTGCTCGTGCACCTTTTCCTGTCAGACATTTCCTTTGAAGGCAACTTTCCATGAGTATGTTTTGATACAGAACTCTAGAAACAGCCAGCCTTTTCAGCACTGGCCTTCTGTAGCTGACCTTCCTTGTAGGGGGTGTTGATGATCACCTTCAGGGCAGCAGTCCTTCTCATTATTGTGGTTGCATATTATGAACTATTCAGAATACACAGCATTTGCTCTGTTTGAATAGTAATAAACTTAAACTACACATAAAATGTTCTAATTTTATAAATAATAAAAATAATAATAATGCATCAGATTTCATATAGGGCTTTATCAGAGACCCTCAAAGCGCTTTACATTGGATATGTCATTCATTCGCTCACACAGTCACACCTTAGTGGTGGTAAACTACCTTAGTAGTCACAGCTGCCCTGGGGCAGACTAACGGAAACGTGGCTGCTGGTTTGCGACCATGGCCTCATTGACCACCACCACACAACACTCACAATCATACACCAGTGGAGGACACACACTGGGAGCAAGGTGGGTTAAGTGTCTTGCCCAAGGACACAATGGATAGACTCAGGATAAGCAGGAATCAAACCGCCAACCGTCTGGTTACTGGACGACCGCTCTACCTCCTGAGCTACTGCCGCCCATTTTATGAGATTTCTTTGGGGGGGTTGAATGCCATAATTGTAAAAATCGAAACTAAAAAAAATACTTGAAACATTTAAGTGTAAATGTGATGAGTCCAAGATATATCACATTTAATTTTTTTTTTTAAACAACTGATGGAAATATTAAACTTTATTATAATATTCTTATTTTTTGAGCTGCACCCATGGACCCTGACTAAGCACTCAGACCACAGCTGCTGCTGCAGGTCTGCGGCTTCCACTAAACAGCTTGTTTAGACACGGTGTCAGGATCGACTGGGCCTAAAGGAGCACGAATGCAAATCATTGCTCAAAACTATAAACTGCTCAGGATTCAGAGGACAGTTTTCAACAGAGAATAACTGGCAGGTAAGCCAAGGTCAGGAACATTATGAGATAAACATACGGAGGAGAGCTCATCTAATAGTTGACTGGAGAAGAGGCTGTGACTAATTTGCTCAGGGTCAGGGAGCAAGCAAACACACATTATTCAGAGCCATCGAGGGACAAAGAGGTTCGGCCAAGTCATCTTTTCTCTCAGAGGCAGAAGCCAGAGAGGTGTGTTTGCTTCTGTAGGGTCACCTTGTGAGAGTTTTCAATACGTTGTATTTATATTGAACCAGCGACTTGAGTGGATTGCATAAATTATTTGTTTGAAATGTTATAATATGCTGGACAATGTGCAGAGTGTTTCTGTACCTGACAGAGGGCAAACAGGGTGTTCTCTTGGTGCAGCTCACAGAGGAGCAGGTAAATCATGTTAACACTTTCTATAACGCATATATTCACAGCCCGTTACATACCCTTTCTATTACCTCAACCTTACCTTGCTGTGTGCTGGAGCCTGGCTCAGCTGGGCAATGGACTGGTTAAGTTTAGCCTGTTGCTGAGTGAGGTACTGTTGGTAGAGTCCAAGCAACTCCTGGCATTCTTTGTACTGCTGCTGGAGGCCTGGATGACCAAGGGTTAAGGAGCTAACAATATCAAACAAATAGTACAAAACAAAATTAAACTAGTCTAAAACATTACAAGTCCAGCTGAGAAAAAGTAGACTTCGCACTTGCAAAAGAGACTCGTCTCAATGTGATTCTAATGGCTAAATAAAGGTTAAATAAATAAAAGACAGTGGGCCTCATGATGGTACTTGGCTGAAGCAGATGCAGGTTTCAATATTTTGCTTGACATTTTGAAGGAAAAAGGTTTCACAAAGTAAAAAATGAAACTCTGAGAATAAAGTTATGACAACATGATTTCCCACAGTGACTTCGGCGAAAAAGTTACTCAGTGCACATCAGCAGTTTCAGCAGGGAAAAGGTTGGCTTATGCAACTTAGACAGAGCAAGACTGACAGATTTAGAGTGACAATCTGAGTTTAAAGCCTTGTTTCTGCAATCAATTACACACTGGACCAAAAAAAGTAGAGAGAACAGCAAAGTTGAAAACAGAGTTGGAGAGGAGGCCAGCAAAATCAAAGTTGTTGTTGTGGCACAGAGCTTTCACCATCTGGGGCGGGCCAAGCTGTGTCGAGCTGAGCTGGGCAGTGCCGTGCCAGGCTATCTGCCAGACAGAGAGCTGGCAGACACGACAAAACTAATCTGGAGCGGAACGACTGCTGCGCCTCAGGAGCCAACTAATGACAGTAGCAGCCCCACACCACACCGACACATACAAAGATAATGAGCATGAGGATGGAGAGACTGCACACACTAGCACACCCTCAATAATCAACCTCAGTCTGACTCTGGAGAGCACACAGAAAAACAGCAAGACATGAGAGGAACACACTCCCTACCTGATCCTTAAAACGCTCTCACACAAACCCTACAATGAAGGAGGTAGTACACACACTCCCGCCCAGGCTGACCTTAAAGTGTGTTCCTCCTCCAGGCCATATCTTTTTATGATGGTGGCCCTGCTCCCCCAGCTGATGAGTTCCTCAGCATTCGTTTGAAAAAAAAAAAGAGAGCCTCCATTTAGAAAGAAAATCAAAGTTCAAAGAGAAGTCTTATTGAAGGAATAGTTGGCGGAACACTCCATAAGAAAACACTTTGGTTGTAGAAAGACTTCAATCAGTTTGTGGAAATGAAACAGAGGGACAGAGAAGAAAGCCGGGATGACTTTGAATTGAGGACCAGACACCAGACAAATGCAATGCAGCAGCTTCAGTAAACACTGGGAAATTGTGAGGAAACCTTTCATCTAACTAAGGCCCCCCTATCGCTGCGCTGATAATGTTTATGGAAGTAGTTCTATATGGGAAGCTTAAGGACATCACAAGGACATCACATCATGTAAACTAGTGCTGGTGGGTCTATTTATGCAGTATGAATAAGAGTCTTGAAGGGGAGATACTAAATATATTTATAGAGCTACACCTCAGATAGAGAATTGTATTGAGTCAAAATGAATACAGATTTGCTTTAAAGACTTTTTTTACACATTTCTTATGTTTAAAACAAACAATTTCTAAAAGACGACAATACAAAGTGTATGGCACTAGAATACGTCGCAGTAATGTTTGAGAACAACAGATCGCTCATGAAGTCTGTACCAACAAGAGTGCTACTTCATGGCATCCTAATAGCAGAAAGGGATGTAATGTGTGTTAATGTGTTGACAGGCTGATGAAGCCTTTGGACAGCATGCAAAAGGTAATCTGAACCAAGTGGGCCGACACTGATAAGATTCCACCTCTCTGCCGCCACACTAAACATGCTCCCTCCACAGCCTTGGAAGTCAGCCAATAAGGGGGCAAAGCACTTAGAAAGCCCCTGGTTTACATTAGAGCTGCAAAGTGCCAACAATGACTTACTCCACCCCCCTGCTCCAAAAATTCTCAAAATCAAGGGCTTTAGGCTGAAGAAGCTTCAGACGGGGCCTGTCAAAATGATTCACTTCCCTGTCAGGCCCCGGCTCAAATGAAATAATGAAATCCACTTCAAGGTGGAACAAATTTGCACAGGAGGGGGGAATATTTTAAAGCCTGCTTTAGCTCACTGTGCCAAACAGATTGAGCCTGAGCAGAAATGTGAGAGAAACTGGGGCGGAGACTGAAGTGTATGAATGTGTATGTAAGGAAGCAGTGACAGGGAATTAATAGAAGAAGACAGTTTACATAACTGCTTCAGTACTACTGAATCTGAACAAGAAAAATGAGAGCAAGTCGTACAATGAATGAATAAGTAACACCACATCAGTCAATAAATGCGTGGAAAATGCCCTTAAGATCATCAGAGCAAACATAGAGAAAACCAACAATCCCCAGCCACCCTCAATGCTACAATCACAGCTCAAGTCTAACACCTGTTTTGGAAGTCAAGCCACATTGCTTCTTACTAGATCAGAATAAACCACATCTTCACATGATCCTCTGTGGCTGAAATATGTCCGCAGCAGACCTACGAAGAACAAGCACATGATTCATAAGCTGCCCAGTCCTCACAACACAAAGTATAGCTTTGTCAACGACAGCTTGATTACATTTGGATTCTTCAGTAAAGATTCAATACATTCTGCATTATTAATTTCACATTAAGCACACAATTGGCTCATTTGGATTTTGTTATACTCAGTTAAGCATTTAAACTGATTTAGTCAACAATTATAGAAACCCTGCATCAATTCACCAGCCCACAAAATGACACTTATTTACCGTGCTAAACTTTAGCGTTGCAAATAAAAAGTGACAGATGTATCTATGTTTTTTAACAACCTTTTTTTTCCAGGAATGCAGATTTTCTTGCATTCTACTAAACGAAGGCTTCACAAAAACATTTTTGATTCAACCATCAAGAACCACAGCATTTCACCCTTTTTCCTAGCAGCCTGAAAACAGATGTTGAGTAAAGAAAACTCTGACAAAGAGATTGCACCTTACGCAGCGCAAGGCTTCAACCACATCACTCATTCATAGATTCAAAAGAAGACATGCCCAGTAAACAGAGACAAAACAATACTAGAGAGCTGATACCAAGGAATACAAAAAGTTTGATCAGCAAAACACCATTTTCTGACGTATGCTTATCAAAAAACCCACCCTTGATAATATCAGATTTCCACACTGTTATTATCATCCATCAAAAATAAGGGACGGTAAAAATGAATTCAGCTCTGGCAATCCCCCATCACTACATGTAGCATTTTTCAGTGACATTTCCTAACAGGGCTGTTATTCTCTTCTCTCCATGGCCTCAGGATTCCCTCCAATTGTTTCAACTGAATAAATGGCATTAGCTGCAGCACCTGCTGTGCCTTGATCCGGATACAACAAGTAGAACGCTGCATCGTGTTAGTAACGCCACCTTGACTTCAGACCATGCCAACATGCCTTGAAGTACAAAAGGCATCCTGCCTATCTGAAACACAAATTCAGTCCTGCTGTTTCAAATGTCAGCTGAACACCCAAAATATCAAGGGTACTGTTTCCCTCTCATCCTCACTGGCTTGGGGCTGTGGTATTTTCCAGCATTCTTTATACCCCTGACAACTCTGAATCTTGGTTTGATGAGATAAGCTGAGGCGTAATGGAATTAAACTTGACAAGACCCTCATTCAGTGTGTTTGCCTTTGGTGTCTCCTTAACCTTTCAGTGGAGTGCTGAAACCTTCTGCCTGAGAGGAACCTCTATGACTCCTGCATGCACTTTAAAAAGACTACGTTATCCCCCCTGAGGTGCTTGGATCCCAACACTTTTTCCACTCAAATACCTTTTTAATAGAGTTTAGAAGTTTGGTGTAAATGCCAAGTCTCCAAGCCAAAGTGCCTTTAATTGAGTTGTGCTTTCCTAATTTTCCCCGCCGCCGTTGCCAATCGTGCAATTTACCAGCCGGGTCAATTACTCTTCATATTTCGCAGTGTTTTAACCTAAATTGACTGCTGGCAATACTGTGGCTTGACCTGAGCAGAATTGTTATGAAGACGGTATGTGGGTTGTAGGGTGCAATAGTAAACAGCATTTCATTGCTTTTACGCTCATTCTGGATGATCAAGCGGTGATCTTATTTTGGATGAAGCTGCGAGGAGACTTACAACACTCAAGGAGAGTTACAGAAACATATGCTCAGGAAAGCACATGCTGTAGTTTTCACAGCAAAAATCCAAATTCATCCTTGGATGATAAGATGATTTGGATTGTTCAGGCCATGGCTCCAACCATGAAATTGATTCTGTACACAACAGCGGATAAGCTACAAGCTCTTGCAAAAGACAACTGAGGCAGGCGTCAAGTAATTTAAATGAATCTGCTCTATTTCTCAGTCTTTTGTATCAAATTGAAGGCTCCTGGCCAAAAGCGGTACATCGTCTTTCATGAGACAACACTGCCCCCTGCTGATTTTCTTATTAAATAGCATATAAATAAGACAAAGGAATCTCGTCTGCAATGCACAATTTGTGCTTCTTCATAGTAGATCTTAGAGGAATAGCGACTATGTGCAGCAGAGAGCAGGAGGCAGGTTTTTATCCTAGGCAAATATAACGGTTAGAAAAACTTCTTGTACTTTTCTAAACTGATAAACCCATAGTACCCCAGAAAACTCAAAGAACCCCTTTCCTTCTAAGACTGAATATTTTGCAGTCACCATAATCATTTGGGCAGTACACCATTACAAGCAGCAATCAACACAGCTCAAACCTCTTTGTGCTCTTCTGTTTAGTTATTGTTATTGTTATTGTGTTACTGGTTATAGGATACTCTCCCTCTCCTGTGCTATGATTAAATTCTGCTGCTCCAGCTGCTGGATCTTGCACTCAAAGGTTTCTTGTTCATCTTTTAGACGCTGTACTGACTCTTCTCTCTCCCCGCTAACTCTGGAAAACACATAACAGAATAAAAGAACAGATATTCCATGTTATATGGGACTGGAGGTTCAAAACTACAGGAGGACAAAATCAAACATTCAGAAGATGCATGATTTCAAATTATTCCAAATATACATCTCTGACAGAGTCAACACTTTCTTTTTCCTACTATTCAGTAGTCATACCTGGCTAGTTCTTCTACAAGGTGTGCAATCCGGCGCTTATCTTCAGGGCAGAGGTCTTTCATACACACCGGATTCCTAGTTTTACTGGACTCAGAGACAACCTGTGCAAAAAAAAAATTGTAACAATGTAAGATTGGGATGTAAGAAATGTCAAACTCATATTCTTTCAGCTTCAATGCATTTTGTTTGTCTTTTTAGACATTCAGATAATCATTACACTCTCTTCTTTATTCTCATTGCACTTTGTCAGAGGGAAGAGAAAACTGCATCCATAAAACAATAGTTTACCTGTGAAGATGATGGAAAGGCACCAGTGGCTGGAAAGGGGGCGTGCTCTGTAACCACTGTAGCCGGATGACGGACAGACACCTTTTCCTTGATATAAGCCCCAGAGCGCTCACTTTCTCCGAAACCTTGTTTCTTCCCTCCTTTCTTTAGCGTGGTCTCTTTCTTGCAGTCAGAATTACGCCTGGCAGGCATCTTGGTACCTGTTCTACTGGTGATGCCTCGGCCCAAACTGAAGGAAGTCTGCATCTTCATCTCTCCATCCACACCTGAATGAATAAGTGGAAAGCTATCAGAAGATTTCATCTGTACAGGAAGGCCAATACATTTATCTCAAACTGTGTTCAAAGATTCTGATCACAATGTTGCTGAAACTCACCAGGAACAAGCACCAAAGGCTGCTCATCATCTGACACTGAGTTGGGAAAACAAAGAAGTGTTGTCAATTGCAACAAACATTTGTTAACTCTCGTCTAGTGTTTCTACAAATTTGACCTGTATTAGATTTCTTCTGTAGGAAATATGATAAAAGAATAGAAGTTGTAGCTTTTCCTTATTCACTGTAAAGAGAAAAAAAGGCCATAAAGTATACATGCTATACCGCCACACATTTTTCCTCTAACCCCAACAACACCACTGAGCCAGATACACAATATAACAGCTCAAGCAAACATCCGCTCTACTCTGTGCTTTTACCCCTGCAGTGTGTGAACCCACGCCTGCACCAAAATGTTGTGGATATCTTAACACTGTGCCCCTATTTGCCTCCAAAATGGGGGAAGGAGAAAACGGATCACTCTTGACTGCATGTGTATGGGTCATTTCATCTCTATTCCTCCACCAGAATTACAAGCCAAAGCTACACTGCTCGAAGGGCACTGAGGCTCATTTTAGGAGACAGTAAGAGGGGTAGTGAAGGGAAGGGGTGTCACAGTATTGAAGGAAGAATGTCCAAACAGTTTGTGGACTCGCAAAGGATAAATGTGGGTCAATGACGTATAAGGTTTTTAAACATGCCAATATTAAAATAGCAAAAATAAGAATATATTTAGCAAAAGTTAAAACACGATAGATGTTGTGTATACAGAGTTAATGTTAAATTTTTTAATTCCGCAATTTTAGTGTTTTTCATACAGATGAATTGCCCGTGGCCTTAAAAAATGTCATGTGGTGGGACCATAATTTATCTCAAAATTATTACATTTTTTCAACATACTTATTAGTTTTTTACAAATTGTCAGTAATATCAAGTAGATAGAAACAAAGTGTTTGCACTTCATTTGAGTTTTTGTAAATAATGATCTCACATTTTCTCTCTGTAATGCCACAGTCACTGTATTAAATGTAGTTAACTGATTAATTTTTTCTTTAAATTGCATAATAGGCCTACTGATAAAAATGTTTTAAAACTACCTTTCACTCAAGCATATTGTATCAGGTATTAATGTTTCAGTTACAGAAATTAGATATCTTAGTTTGTATTTAATACAATTAATGTTATTATTGGTCACACCACATGATATTTTGACACTTTGAAGTTAATAAAAATTACAAATGAGACCTGATTTTTGAAAAGTTGAAGTGACTACATATATGAGAGAGAAACTACATATAGAACGTATATTTCTGTGTATTTAAACCTTTTTTAACTTTAAAAAAAATACAGCCAGACAGAATATTTAGGCGTCACATTGTTGACCCACACACAGACTGCAAAAAGTTCATCTGTGGTGTGCATGCAGAAATACAACCTCCTAACTCATACAGCCGCTGTGATGTGTAAAAGACAGGCCCATAAGCACGCACGCGCGCGCGCGCGCGCGCACACACACACACACACACACACACACACACACACTCACTCACACACACACTATCAAAACTGTTGGCAATCTATCTCTCAGATCATCTGCAGATGCATTTTGGGAGCTGTATTTCAGAGCTACTGTCTGCACTGATCTTTGCTACCTCTGCTGCTGTTGTTGTTCATCTCCTGTATAGTATGTTAATTCAAATTATTCAAGTTTTCCTACATAGTTGCCACCATAGCCTTTCTGTTATATTTTGTTGTACAAATGATTGCTCAATAACAAATGTTATAAAATCTAAACTGCACACTCGGTTGAGTTCAGGAGAATCAGGAAGCTCTTATTGCGAACATAGCTGACCAAAATATCATACCGAGAGAGATTAAGTTTGTAATTGACCACGTTTAAGTAATTAAAAGGAGATATTCAAACGCTTCTTAAGCCGACATTTATATCACGAAGCTCAAAAACTTAATGCAAAGTCATCTGCCTCACTTCTCAGAAAACAACAACTTTCGGCACTCACACAGAGGTAATGGCTTAGCGACTATCTCGACTATTTTAATGAGGCTCTGCGTATGTCAAACAAAAATGTTACAGACAAAGCCGTTCGTGTATTTCAGAAAACGCAGGCATACCGCCGTTCATCCAAAATATCCCCGAATTTCCACTTTTGGTTGTTGCTGTCGCCATGTTGAATCAACCGCCACCACTCCCAGAGAGCCAAGCGTTGCTAAGGAATTGTAGTCCCGCCTTTTAGTTTCGTCACAACAGCCGATTCGCTTCTTTCGCAAAAAAAAGCCTTCCTATTGGCTGAAATATCAGTCAGTTCTACGTCAGAGCTGCACTTGTCGTTTCCTGTGTGTGTTGCCAGCTCTCAGCTGAAAGGTGAATGATACGATGCAGAAAGCTGCAAAGGATGCTTGAAGGATCGAGATAAAACCGTAACCAAAATCTGTAAAAATGGAAGAGACAAAAGAGAGCTTGACATTCAAAGGTGTTGCTGAAAGACTGACGCTTGGTGTTACTCGAATATTAGGTGTGTATTTTTGTTTTTGCCCTGAAACTACAAAAAAAAATGTCCAGGTTAGCTAGCCGATATATTGATGTGTAACCAGGATGTTCATACACTGACAGAATTTGTCCCTGTTGTACCAGAAAACATGCCTGGTGTGGTCGATGTGCGTTTTGTAGAGAGGGAGCCAGCAGAGAAGAGGAGCCTGCTGTCGTGGGAACAGGTGAAAATCTAACACTCTTAAGACACATTAAACTTGCTCTGGTTGTATCGATTATTCTCTGTTGATTTGACTGTACTGCTTCCATAGAAAAACACGTGTATTCTGCCCGAGGACCTGCGAGATTTCTATCTGACTACTGATGGATTTACACTAACCTGGGGCGTTAAACTTGACAGTAGGTGACCACATCAGTGTAATGTTCTGGCTTTGATAATAGGGGAGAGTGGAGTAAGTTGGGCCACCCCCTGTTGCTTGGAAATGGTAAAAGAAATTGATCATGTGACCACATATTTAGGATATGGGCATCAATTCATGGAGTCTGTGAAGGTTAGAAGCACATGGGTGAAGGGGTTAGACATTTATTTCCAAAAAAAAACATTTTTCACTCTTGAAAGTGAATTTATTGTGTTGTAAGATTTATTAGAATTGTGTTCAGACCAAAAAGATCATTTTAAATTTGTTTTATACATCAATTGTGGTATGTATGAGCTACAACATGAGGTCAAAAACCTAGAATAAAAGTCCACCATTTTAGTTTAGAGGACTAATAAAGTCATAATAGCAGTTCAGGGGTAAGTTGAGCTAGTGGCCCAACTGAGAAAGTAAAGGAGTCTGATGAGAGGATCAGAGTTTCAGTTCAGATTGTTGAAATGTGTTACTTTTTCATTTCAAAAATACAGCTGTGAACGTTCTGAATCACTTAAAGACATTCTCATGTTAAAATGTTTTTTACAAATCAGTCTTTTTTTAGCAGTTATACGCAATAATAATAAAAAAAATTGTTGTACCAGTTTAATAGCGTATAATAGATAAAAGTACACATGAATGTGAAGAAGTGACTGTTATATAGGGAGAGAGAAGGTGAGGGAGGGCTGGAGTGGAGAGTGGGGGGGGGGGGGGTTAGTAGGGATACGGCTGAAGTTATATTATACTACCCCGCTCCTATGGTCAACTTACCCCATACCCATTTTTTTGCCATGCTATATTATAAAGACAGTTATGTTTACACTCATTCTGTTGGTCTACGGGGATGCACAACATCTTGAAATATATGCAGATACACTTGTTAGACAAAACTATGATTGCCTTGATGTAGTGATCCGAAATATGAAAAATGGCTCATCTTAACCCACTCTCCCCCACCATTCCTACCAAACACAGTTTTATTCCGATTAAAGGCTTCTGCCTCTTAATAATACATGATATAAGTATTTGTGTTAAGTCATAACGCTATTTTTTCCAATGATCTTTAGCTCTTGAGAAAACTAATTTGTATGGGTTATGTGTCTTTCAGATGAGTGTGTTTCCTTAGGGTGCATGATGATCAACAGTGTGGCCAGGCTGTGCCCACTTCTGCAGCCAGTTTCTTTATTCTCTCTACCCAATGCACCCTCGCTGGCTGACCTGGACTGGGAGGAGGACAACACAGAAAGTGGTAACCATCACCTGTCAGATCCTCATGTGGACTCGACTCAGCAATTACAGCATGTCAAGTTTGATTAAGTCTGTTTGCAGCTCAGCTGTGCAGAAACCAGGATAATGAATGAAACGTTGATTGGAAAGTAAATATTTACTCAAGGTTTGTTAATGCTGTTTGCCAGGGAAGCGGCATGCTCCTGCTGCACCCCATTTTGATTCCCGGAGCCGCATCTTCGAGCTGGACTCCTGCGGTGGGAATGGCAAAGTGTGTCTGGTTTATAAAAACTGCACTCAAGGTGTGTTTGTATTCAGAAATTGCTCAATACATGACTTCTCTAAGCATCAAATATCAAACCAAAAAAATGTTGCCACATCTATACATATTTTAAGGTAAAAGTATTTTTATCATGTGTTTGTTTTTGTAAGGTTTTTCTAATCTCTTTGCAGGTGTTGTGGCCCAGCAGAGCGAAATCTGGTTCCTTGATCGCTCACTGTGCTGGCATTTTCTGACAGCAACCTTTACCTCATACTACCGTCTGATGATCACCCACCTTGGTCTACCTGAGTGGCAGTATGCCTTCACCCCATATGGTCCCAGCCCACAGGCCAAGGTAAAAAATAAATAAATCAAGTCCTGGTAATTTTTAAGGACCACTTGTAATGGTGTAAATGGAGTGTACAAAATCCTACTGAAATACTTGAAGCTGTAACCCTTCAGTGCCTCAGTAATTCTCATCTCATAAGTGGGGGTAATATTTTGATTTATTGTCATAATTTTAATGAATTTTTCTCATTTTTGTGTGCGGAATGAATTTTTTGAGTTTGTCTTCTTTTTGTCATAGAGTGTTTCCTAATATCTAAAAAAAAACAAGAACTTTCAAAAGGTTACACAAAACATAAAAGTATTTTGCCTGACTTCTAAGATACAAAATTTGCAGACTATTTTCCTAAATTGTTGGTCCTGTTATGTGCCCCTAGAAGTTGCGTTCTGATTCCCCCAATTACAATCATTGTTCTTACAATTTTCTTTTTTTTTCATGTAGACAGCATTACTAAGAAGGTGTATTGTAATATATATGTCTCCCTTAACCCCTACAGCAGTGGGCATCTCTGTACCAGCCTCTAATTTTCAACAATGAGCTCAGCTTGCACGATCCTGTCAGTGATTCCCATCTCAACAAGCTGGATCCAACAAAAGCCTTCAAAGGCAAAGCAAAGACGCCCATTCTCAAAAAGAAGCAGTCTGCACAGTGCAGCTCAGGAAGTGCTGCAAAGACCCAAGGTGGCACAGGAAGACACATAGGTGTAAAACGGTGAGAAGATCCCTCTTAGAACAAATTTCCACCAACTCGACTGTCTGTCCAACCAAAACAGCTCAGAGAAACAGTCTGCAAGGCTGCCATTGGGTGGATCCTGACTTAGGTGTGTATCAGCAGCTTGACAATCCATCAGATCATACCATCATTAACTGCTGCATAGACGGGGGTTTGGTTGTGATACCATCTTATGAAGGTAAAATGGCTATATGTTGAAGGTCTTGTGCAGTTTAAGTCTTCCTTTAACCAGACCTAGCTGGTTCGGAAAACAACTGTTTTGTCATACATTTGCAAATGCAAGAGAGACTGAAAGAATCCTGATAATTCTGCTTTCTCTGCTCAGTGTTAGTGTTCAAAGAAAGGAGACTTTAGAGGGGGTTTTATCACAAGTTTATTTTTTACAGAGCCTCTTTGAGAACAGTACATCAATAGCGACATCTAGTGGTGAAAACATGTCCAAGTAACCAGGTCTTAATGTCTGCGTATGTGCCATTGATAGCACCAATAATGATGTATAGAGGCTATGCTGTAGTAACAAACCGTACCACCGCTGTAGCACTCAACTGCACTGAGTAATGACACTGTATTGGTTTTCATCTAGACTTATTAGCAGTAGACTTGAATGTATCAGTTTGAATACACTACACAATTAACCTATCTTTAAAACCTTAAAAAATTCAGAATGTGTTTATCGAACATCTCTTTGTTTAAGTAACGCATGATAGCAGAGAACAAAAGATGAACTTAATACTTTGACTGGTCTGAGGTCAGTAAATGTTCTGCAATCAGTGAATGCATGTATCCAGAAAAAAAGAGATCCAGTGTTTATTTTAAGAATGCATGGATCATTTATCACAGTTTGGCAAAGACATATCAAGTTACGGCTCAGAACTCAAAGCTGCTTACTGGCCAGTGCATCACTTCAGTGATGTTCTGTTCCTCTGTAAACTTTATGAATGTCACAAATGTGCTTAATAACCAGTGAGTTGTGTAAAATAACATGATAGTGTGATCGGTAGGATCATCCCAGTAGATAAAAGGGCACTTTATTGCAGCATTTTGTTAGCTTTATCCATTTAAGCCTTTTGATTCCCAAAGTACACTGTTTGCAAACTTTACACTCATCTGTGTGTAAATCACAGACATCTGTGATCAAGAATATTTAAGCACCCCTGCAGCTCCTTCAAAGGTAATCAAGCTAAATTCACAGTTATGAGCGTTTAGCTGCAGTGCCCCTGCTTTCTTGGAAAGAAAAAGATGTTTATTATCTTTAGTTGTGCTGCTGCCCTTTCAAGCTGCAAGGTGCCGACTCCTGCTGTTCCTATGTAATTTTCAAAAGGATGAATGTGTATTTTAATTGCCATATACAACCACTTATTTCCCTTATATAAAGTGTAGTTTCAGAGCTCATGTTTGGGCTTTCTGTTTGACTGCAAACAGCGGGGAGATATTTATGTATTGTAATATGCAAAATGTCATTATAATCACTGTGTTTTTTGTCTTTTATTTTCTTCATTTCCTGCTTCTAAAGACAGATTTCAGTATTTTGATTTTGTTGAAAGCATCTTGTGTCGGAACAGTTTTGCATAAATATGATTAGTTTTTTTCCTCTCTGTGCTGTACTCATACAGAGGAACATTATTTTCATCATAATAAAAAAAACAACAATGCTAATAAAATTACTCATACAAAATAGCCACATCATTTGAATACTGCTCAACTTATTCAGAACCTTCTTCTCCAACCCAGTCACACTTTTTTGTGAAAGTTCATGTGTCTCCATCCAAGTGATTAGTTCTTGGTCTACTTTTATAATGCTTTATCACCATGGAATGTTTCTGTTTAATATAGACGGCCACAAAGCTGAACAAAGACACACTGTGCATAGTTTTCTGTGGGGTTGGGGGTTCTTAGACACACTCATTTGCACAGATGTTTTCTTGTTTCTCCAGAGTAACAGTCTCCTCCTCCAACAGCCCCTTACCCTGTCCAGAGGGGGGAGGGTGGTGCATCTCCACCATGACCCTGTAAAGCCCTGCACCTAGTACTCCTCCAATTGAGGGTGCGACTAGAGGCACCCACCACCAACCATTACCAGCTCTGCACAGAGAAAGACAGAAAAAACTGTAAACAGGTGGATCTGAAATATAAACCAGCCACTTTGTTTTATAAAGAGATACATCTTGTGCATACATAATATTACTATATATAACAAAATGGTAAATACTGCCTGTTTTCCCTTGTTAAAGTGACATGTTACATCAAATCCTTCCCTAAAAACAGCAAAATATTCCCAATATTACCTAAACACATCTGTCCCCCAGCCTGCTATAGCGGTAAAGACCCTGGGTGCAATATCTCTGGTGGGGTTGATAGCATAGCCGCTGTTGCTTCCTAGAGAAATGCCAATGAGAAGCACCAGGAGGCCCACAACAATAGGCTCATGACCTGTTGCAGCTGGTTTGTTCTTCTGGTCTGCCAGAGCCATCAGACACAGCAGCAGCATAGCTGTGCCGAACACCTGGTACATATCACAAAGAAACAATGATTACTGCAGAGTAAGTCAGGTGGAAGTAATTTGGTCATGACTTTGTGACTACCTGGTCAATGAATCCAGCTGGTATTGACAGGTATGGCACTGGGTAGGTGGCGAAAATACCAGCTGTGGCTTTAGCACCAGTAACAGTCAAGTTCCCTCCACAGTAATCATGTATAGCTTCTGCACATGGAAAACATGACACATCAGATGCACTGCCATTAGAAATGCAAAAAGAAGAATGAACATATAGATTAACCCTAGAACACTATCGCTGGGTGATTTTCATCCGACAAAACATGTTTACGTGATTTTCATTATGTTGCGTTTGTCTGACTATCATGGGTCTCTGGGTAGCTTCAGCATTACCTTTGACATCTTTGAAGGCATATTTGTTTCACTGATCCAAAACCTGCTTTTTCCTACAGGCATGTGTTTGGGTGATTTTTACCCGGCAACAGTGATAGAGGGTAAAGTAGGTTTGGGAGGATCTGATAGCTGCATGTAGGTGAATAAGGTCAGAAAGAGTGGTCCTGGAATTTGCATGCTATCTTTATTTAGCGCAGTGGTTATGAATAACTATCACAAAGTAGTGATTTTCAATGGAATTCATATGGTGAAAAGAAATATTTTGGTCAGCTGGTCATTTTTACTCACTCAAAATCTGCCATATTTTGGTTTCTCTCTCCTGCTGCTGTTATTGTGCCAAGGACCCCGAGTCTTCACCAGGGAAGACTCACATGCCCCAGGAATGGGTGGGAAAGAAACTAATGTTACAGCTTTATATATATATTTAGTAATTTTTTTGTTCATGAATGCCTAATTTCAGTTATTTTGTTGCATTTTTAGATAGTCCCCTCATGGCACTTTTTTCCCCCTCCCTTTGGACATTGCACAGTTAAAGGTTTAAAAAAAAAAAAAAACTACTTTAATTTGTTGTGTATTGTCTTATTTTGATGACAAGTACTTTTTCTTGGGTATATTATTTCGGGTAAAAATCACCCGTCGAAAGTGATGGTGTTACTAATTTTAGCGATAGTGTTCTAGGGTTTTAAAGGTGTGTGGTACGTAACATGTCCTTACCATAATACACAGCATAAATTGTCCCTGCTGCCAGAAATGACCCCAAAAGCTGCGCCAAAACATACAAAGGCAGCATTTTCCACCCAAGGCGGCCAAACACACACATCGCTAGTGAGACTGCTGCATTCATATGAGCCCCTGAGAGAGAGAGAGAGAGATACAAGATTAACACTTAAAGTTGCAATTTTTTATGACTTCTTCATGTTAAAAAGGGTCTGTCATCTTACCTGAGACCTTCCCTCCAACATGAACCCCCATAGCAACACCTAATCCAAAACCCAGATTGATGCTGAGGTATTGTCCGAACGCCCCTTGCCCTGTCACTACCTGAGCCACAGACCCCAGTCCAAAAGCCTAAACAGATGGCAGAGACAGTAAAAAGAAATATTACCAATGATGACAATAAAGAAGAATACAGAGAAAAACCCCAGCCAGTCTGTTTTCAGTAATGCAGTACATTAGACAGGATAAGTTTTAGAAGAATTAACACGCCACCAGTCGAGTCAGAGAGTCGCTGCCAGAGTAAGATGAACACACAAGTGTTATAAGTGGATAAATTATTGCTACATTACATTTTGAAATGTGCTGAACTACAGCATTTTCTTTCTTTTCAACTTTCAAACCAGTGACCCAAAGTGACCCGGCGGTTGAAAAAACAGACCCTCTGTAAGTCAATCCTTTTACTCAGGAAATAGGAAACATGTGGTTCCTCTGCCAGGGGTCATGTATTTAGGTCAAGTGTAAGACTGTTTTCAAAGTAACAGACCAGCAAGTTTCAAAAGCAGCGAATACGTGCCTCTGTATGTGTTTTATCAACAGGCCATGGTCAGCATGTGCTCTCATATGTTTGTATGGAGTTTTTCCAGAGGTCCAAGTATAGGATTTGTTGCAACAGCTGACAGATAACATGTGACTTTGGCAACGCTGCATGTGGCCCACAGTCTGACCATTCCTCTGGCAGCTCTACGTTTCCTGGTTCACCCACCTAAACCCACCAATCCCTACCCCTGACCTCTGCCATGTGACTGTTCAATGCACTTGTATTTGATCGAAGGGGGCATGTTATCAGGTTCAAGAACATCGCATTAATGATTAAGCAATGTGGGTGTCAAAGATAAGAGTGCCACAACACGTAAGAGCTCATTCAAGAATTGAAATCATCATTAGATAGATGGATATTTGACAATTTTTTTGCAATTTTACCTCACAGCATTACAAATCCTCTACAGGAAATAACACTTTTTTAAAAAAAACATGACTCTTTTCTTACCATCATGACATAAGTGCAAAGAGTTTCAGCCAATCCCACACGAACAGCTTCATTCTGTAGCCAAACCCGGGGTCGAGTTACTTTAACTCCTTTTCTCTTAGAGACCCCAAGTTCAACTGACTGCACCAAGTCCTTCATGTTTTCTTTCTTTAATTTGCAAAACTACAAATCAAGTCCGGGTTTCCTTAGATGACTTTACATGGTGCCTCCCATGTCAAACAGAAGTCCAAAAACAAGTCTCTGACTGTTTACCTCCTTGTTCCTCCTCTTCCCTCACTTTCTCTTTGTGTGTGCGTCTTTCCCTCTCTCTGTCACACATACTCATCTGGATTTGTCCACATTTTAAAACCATGACCCAACCCCCTCCTCCAGGATACGCTCGAGCACACAGACAGGCAGACCCTCCCACTTGCGCCTATGCATTATATGAGGTCGGTGACCAAAACTAAGATGGCTAAAGGAATGAAAAAAAACTTTTTTAAACAGAAGAGCTACTTCTCCTTTTATGATTGACAAATGTAACTGCCAGACATGGCCCAGATTTATATCTTTGATGGATATTTGATTGAGACCATTTAAAGATTAACCCATTAAGTTTTCATTATTTGAATACCAAGAGAATAAAGGACAGTGGGGGAAATGCCAACGACACCAATACGCCAATCCCATCTGAAGCTTACCTTTTTTTTTTTTTGCTAACATGCAAACTAGTTAACAAAGTCCACTAATCTGACTTTGGACACATCTACTTTTAAAACTTTTCCAGTTAAAATCACTTCGTACACATAGGCTGTCTAAATACAACAAAGTTGTTCCAGTGAGTGCCTCTGAAATATAAGACTGTTGACTTCTCCCAACATTGCAGAGATTGTTTTTACATCATGCTGTCTAAATTAGTTTGAGACTGAGCAGCCTGAGGTTCATGTGATGCAACATTAAAAGCCTTCTTCCTGTGACATTTCCTCCCGTTTTACCTTCGTGTACTTCAAACTAATGTTAATAGCATGATCTTTGTACCCAGTAGATTATTGATACGACTGTGAAAAATCACAGCTGATCTCATTGGTCATAAGAGAGGTCAAGTTCAAACGACTTTAACCTTTCACCCTACACCTGTGTGCTTTTTTTTAAATCATCACTTTAACCATTAAACATGAAAAAGGGATTTAGATACTCTGCATTTTTCTAGAAATGACCAAAGTTTTTTTACTCTTCATATCACATAATTCCTTTTGCTGATGGCAGAAGCTGCAGCATTAACTAATAAACAAGCACTGCCAATTTTATGTCATCCAAGAGCTATTTGGAGTTCAGTGTCTTGCCCAATGACACTTTGGCATGTAGACTGTAGGAGCTTCAGATCAAACTGCCAACTGTCTGACGATCGATAAGCCACAGCTGCCTCTGTGCTTACAAATACAGTGCATTGAACTTCAGAATAGTCCTTATTCATGCCATTGCAAGTCTGCGGTACATGAAATGACCTCAGTTTCAGGTTTATATTTTAGCTTTTAAGAGCAGTAAATATTGTTGTTTGTTTCTCTATATTGTAAAAAAAAAAAAGTAGAAAACAAAAAATGGCATTATATAAATGTAAGGCAAAAGGACAATTACCAAGTTGTGTACTCAACATGCACCATTTGTTTGCAAACTCTGCTCTCTAGTGGCCAAAAAGATGAACAAGTGTTATTTGGGGGGAAAATTAAAAGATGACTCAAACAACAGCAGAGCATTTATCTGCAACAAGACAAGATAATTTTTATGTGTCTCACATAAGACCAGGTTAAAACCAAGCAATTACTGGACTTGAGTCTCTGTTACAAAGACAAAACAGAATTTATGATAATGTCTTTCATCTCTGGTTGATATGTTAAAAAGTTTGCCTGCACATTGAGAGATTAAAACATCCAAATTTCATCCAAAACTTATTTTACTGCTTCAGAATAAAAACATCATCTGGTATTAGTTAATGCACAACACAGTTAATGCGGATTACAAATTTCTATTATGATATACACACACTTCTTCTCTACCAGAACTTAAGAAACCTAACTTTGTTGGTTTAAACAGGGAAAGAGCTCAAGAGTGAAAAAAAACAACTAACCATAATTGTTTGGTTGACCATGTTTCCTGATGATAACTTTTTCTTTTAACAATGACAGCCACAAGAGTCAAATGTGTCAGTTACATTAAATTAATCCTAAACATCAATCAATAGTGAAAACAGCGAGTGGGGAATTTGTAAAACTTTGTGACAACTTATGTCAAGTGTTGATCTTTGACTGTTTTGGTAGTGTGTTCTTCCCCCTCTTGTCTCACTGTTGAGATATCTGATCTGAACTCATTGTCCACTTTGTGAAACATTTCTGGCTCTCTTGTTTCACTGTCTGTTTTTTTGTTCGTGGTTCTGACACTTTTCCCATTGCTGACTTATCTATCACACCTGAGTTGCTCTACCTGCAGGTCACTGACTTGCTGGGAGGACAAGGTAGGAAGTATACATGTCAAAACAAAATAATGCAACTGCCTGGTTTTTAGTAACCTTTGGCAGGCAATGGGCCAACTGAAATCCTGCCTCTTACCAGAATTTTTTAGCCGATTGTTGTTTGAAACAGTCACACAGTTCTTCTTCAGATATCTCCACATTATGCAATATGTATGTCAAATGATCACCCAGCACCTACTCAGTGTGTTTGTTTGCCTGTGAAGAAGTCACAGTGCTAACTCTGACCCACTGCTGTTTACTGTGTAAATGATTGACTTTAATATTGACATGTAGCATTTGAATGTTGAGGCTCTTCTCTTCCTTTTTTCAACAACTGTGTGGAGTTTTTAACTTGTTATAAAGCAAACTAGAGACAATTTTCATGTCTTATGCCTTCTTATGTCTTTGTCCTGATCTATCATAGATTTTAGCACCTATTACAGATGTCACCAGAGGTTTGGCCCAGCAGCTCCTTCTGAACTAAACCACTAACCTCCTCACCTTCTTTCCAACCATTCCCATTACTTACTGGAGTTGTTAGCTCAGAAACTCAAAAGAGAGCCTGTTGGTGCCTCTGCTTTGACTCTGTAGAGGTCAGCTCAAATCAGTCAGTCTGTCTCAAAGACCTTGATGACCTCCAGCAGCTGCAGTAAGAGCTTTAACCAGCTCAGAGGTTCATAGTTTTACAATTCTCTTCTCTGTTTAAGGATAATTGACCTGTGAGCACGCCCACAAACGTGACCCAAAACGTAATAAGACTCTGTGCATACATTTTTTCACTCTATAAAGACCTTTACCATGGAGGAAAATGATGCGTCACAGTTTAAAACACATTGCTACTAAGCAAGCTGCTGTATTTTACAATCTGAAAGCTAATTTCTAAGTAACTCTCTGTATACTCTAGTGTTTTCAAAATGTGTTTAAGTCTTTGGGCATCATTCCATCACACAGACTGAGAACAGAGGAATGAAAAATGTAATCAAAGCTGCCACAAGGAAGTTGAAGTTTGTGTATGTTTTGTTTTTCCTGTGGATAAATACAGTCTTTCTCTTTGCTGATAAATGTTGTGACTCTGGTCTGTTAAATGATATTGATCATTTGAGTGGAAGAGGTGATACTATCATCATGGACGGGTATCACTTTCAATGATGCTCCAGTAGAGAGGACCCACTCATGTCTCTTAAAAATTCTGTCTGTCCCCATCTTTATTTCCTTTTGTCACATCTCTGGTGGAAGGGACTAACAGGCAAGGATAAGGCAAAAGTGTGGGTGTAACAGGCGAAACTTTAAAGATCTACAATTGTGTAATTTTGAAGGTAATATTTTTTCAGATTTAGATAAAATATATTAATCATTCATCATGTTTATCACTCAGCCATTTTTGCTGTCAAGAAGCAGGTTTTTAAAAAGAAAAGGACCCAAAATGCAGAATTAAAAAAATGTCAAAATTTCATTAACAAAAAGGCAGGGAATAACAAAAACATATGTGGAAGCAAGGCAGAACACTAGACCATTGGAAAACATGTGTCCACTGAACATGGACAGGCATGGACAGCTGTTATTTTTAAGAATAATGGACACAGGGAAACAGGAACAAGAGGTAACAGATGCTACGAAAATTACACAGAAAATAAAACAAAATTAAAAACAGGAACAATCCAAACTAACAAACTAACCTATACCACTTTGCTGAGTAATAATAATAAATAATAATTATTATTATTATTTAAAAATAATAATAATAATAATAATAAATTGATAAATAAATAAATGAATTAATGTTTAATAATAATAATAATAATAATAATAATAATAATAATAATAATTAATTATTATTATTATTATTATTATTATTATTATTATTATTATTATTATTATATTAATAAATAATAAATACATTCTTATTATTATTATTATTATTATTATTATTATTATTATTATTCATAATAATAATTATTATAATAACATAAGCTGTTTCTTTTCAGTGTGCTGTAAATTGTCTTGTCTAACATCCCCCTAACAGTATCAGTCACAACCTTAGTGTGTGAGTCATATCCAGCAGCTGTTTTTGATCCCGTGTCACTTGGTTGGTTTGTCATGAACAGAAGAATCTTAACTTTTGAAGACCATGTGGCTCTAGTGTCTGATGTTCAGCTTCAGTCTACATAGTAAGTCCTTATGGTGGTGATGAAGACCAGATGTATAGATTACACCGTGTCCGCTGACATCACGTCACCCCCCTTCCCAAACGCTATAATGCTCCACTTATCATAAACTACCAGCCGCTGGGAGAGAGTTTATCAGGCACACCCTCTCCAAGTTCAACCAGAGGGGGGTGGTTATACTGTGTCCGCCCGCTCCTGTTTTTCTTTTTCAGTCACTTCTGACTGTCGGACGGACGGAGAAATGTGTTGGATGGATGTATTTTATCACCCGTTGTGGGCTGTTTCAACGGCGCTGCTGGCTTTTGTTGTGCGACTACAAAGGAGAGTGGGCTGGGATCCACGCGCGTGTCCTGTCCGGCTGACAGGGAAGACAGCTATAGTCACAGGAGCCAATACAGGTCCGTCAGTTTCAACTATTTTTATGTGTATGAATAGAACATTGGTCTTTGCAGAAAACCTAACAGGAAAATAAAAGGCAACATTGTCGTTGGAAAAATTGAGTGGGCTAAATGGGGTCGTTCTTGCGCACTGACATCATGAAGTTATTATGAGTAAAACAGCTACTCACATCTTTGGTTTCTCTTTCCTCTCCCTGCTTTAGTTTGAAACTTTCACACGAATAAGTGTGAAACTGCTTCATGAAATGACTTATTCTGAACAACTACATGGTGTACTGGCCAAGATTGAGACTATCTTTAAATCTGAGAAATAGAAAAAGTTAGCTCTAGCAGCAGCAGTCACTATCAGTTTTTCCCAACCTTAATCACTACCTTACCAGTTAGCTCCTCTTAAGTAAAGCATGATCAGTTTTACTTGAAAAAAGATGAAATAATGATTTATATCATATTTCAACTAAATCAAGCCTTTTTCACTTTTACTTAGACTGTTTTGTTATAACTTTTTCAGTAGTTGTTAACAGGTTAAGGGGAAGGTGTTTTGTGTTGTGAGATTTTCAAGATCAGATTAAACGCACTATGTCAGTCTTGGATTTAAATGTATTGTCACACCCGTTTTACAAGTTTGTGCCTTTTGATGTCACACCCATTTGAAAAGTTTTTGCTTTTTGACCCTTAGCATCTACAACCAGTATTATAATCCTTGTCTCTTTTATTTTCCATATATTTATATAAAAGTTTTCCGGGTCAAACTGATTATATTATACAAGTTTGAAGTCAATATTTGTGCTTCAACTATAGTAAATAGCCTATTTTTAAAGCAGGTCAAGGAGGTTTTACTGGCCTTTAACCCTTTAACGCCTTTTGTATCATATTTGATACATACTTTTATATCCTTCAATCAAATCAATATGCTCAACAAATTACTAAAAAAACACCTGAATACAGTCCAATAAATGATAAAAATGTCCTCTTGTAGTTTATCAGTTTCCAAAAACATCTAATGTATCAAACTAGATAAATACATATATTTGTTAAATTGTAAGGATATTTTTATTTGTTTTTTTTTTTTTTTTTTTTTGGTTTTCAGTAGTAAGTGAAATAAGCATTTCAGCTCCACAAAAAAATTGAATTTCTGGCCATAATTTGTGGTTTCAGGCATTAAAGGGCTATGAATCAAGAAGCCTGTCAGCAGAAAAAAAAAGCAAAGCAGGAGCATAAAAAAGTCATAATTGAAGTACTCTAATCGCTCACATTTGTATCAGCCAGCCCACCCATAGGTCTTCATATTTATACAGTCATGCACCTCCTCATCCTGAAATAGCATTGCCACTTATGAGTGTGGGAACAACTATACCAAAAGCTTAGCCATCATAGAGTCTGATGGCTGCAAACATTTTCTTTTTTCTTGCCTCATCCTGCAGAAAGAATCATCAGATGTGAAGCTTTCTATACTTATGAGTGTAAAACAGCTTTGCACCGTATTGAAAAGGAAATAGAAAGAATAATAAATACATGCACAACTATGGGTGCAGACTTTGAGAACCCACTCTCATACAGCTGTTTTGGCTATCAGGAGTTGATCTGCACCAAACATCACAGGCAGAGCTTTAACAATGGACAAACATTTCCAGATGGCCCACCCATTCTGACAGTTCATTAACCCCGAGGAACACAGAGTAACTTCGACCTCACAAATAAACAAACAGGTAAACTGAATTAAATATGACGTTTTTAAGATATCAAACCAATGTGTAACCCATGCAAATTTGTCAATGTCTATTAGGAATAAAACTTTGAGTTCACAAGTACTGAAGCACAGGCTTGTTTCATTTCATGACTTATATTAGACCTCTATTGGCTAAATGTTTAAGGTTCCCCTCTAAGCCTCTTACTATCAAACAGTTTTGTTTACATAAAATGCTCATCACCAAAATACATAATGTGAATTATGCAACATGAGAATATGTTAAACATCTTTTTCTCTTTTTTTTAAACATTTGTAAAATATGACTCATAAATATTTGAAGCCCTGACCTTTACTTAGAAAAACAGCTCTGTTGATGTTACCAGGGAGCAAAGGCCTCAGAAGACAGACTCACCTTTGACCTGTGGGATAGGATTTCCTCATAGTTGTAGGTAACAGAAGTGTTATATTGTCCTACATGTTTTATACTTGAAAACATGCACAAATTGTGTCTCTTCAGTATAATTTAATGCCTGTTTTGCATCAGCGTTATTATGAAAATAATATTTACGTTTAGCCAATTTTGAATATGAAACTAGTGTTAAAATATTACAAAATAAGTCCCTTTCTGAGGGGTTTTAGGAAAGCTCTTTATCAAGAGTAGGATACATCATTCAATTCCAACACCTCTACATATGTTTCAATACTTTAAACATGACAATAGCCAGACACACTGAGAGACCATCGAAAACATCTGGCGAACACATGCACATCCCAGGAACTCCTCCAAGATAAGATGCAGAGACTTGAAAACAGACCACTTCTGTTTCAAATGCAGTCCAACAGTTAAGGTTTATAAACAAGATAAACAGACACAGATTGATAGATGGAGGCAAAGCATTTTTGTCTTTAGCACATAGACCAGCAAGCAGAGCTGCTTTTAATTTACTGGAACACACAGATCAAGTCCTTTTGTGTCAGAATGTGCTGTCTAGATGCTTTTTATTTTTTCTGTACCAAAATGTGTCTGTTGATTTCAACTCCCTTGAAATACTAATAAATGTTGGCTTTCTTCCTCTGTCAGGGATTGGTAAGTTCATTGCCTTGGACTTTGCACGTCGTGGGGCTCGTGTTATCATGGCGTGCCGAAGCGAGGCCCGGGGGATGGCAGCTCTCAAAGAAATCAGGGAGAAATCAGGGAACTCGAACATCCACCTGCAGCTGGTTGACCTATCCTCCATGGAGTCTGTCAGGAAGTTTGCAGAAAGGATACTAGAGGAGGAAAAAGCTCTCCACATTCTCGTCAATAATGCTGGAGTATCAGGTGATATATGTGCCCACAACAGAAAAGACATTGTTTTTATCTTATGAACAAAAATGCAAGCAGGAGTAAACTTAATGCATTTGTCACCAAAAAAAAACAACCATATAATGTTGTCATGCCAAACACATTTTGTCTTCTACTGCTGGATTCTGTCTCATTCTTTAACTTATTACTTCACAGAAACTTAACTTATAATTTAAAAAAATGTTTTGTGAATAAAAACCTCTCTGTTAGTTAGTCAGTTACGCAACAAGAAGCACAAAGTCTGTATATTCCCATCTGAAAAACATCTGGAAGGAATGAAGTAGAAACACAAGAGAGTAGTTTACTGAACAGATGATTGGACACAGACGCAACTCTAAATGCACTGCTAAGACAAAAAAAAAAAAACCCCTGATTGCATAAACTAAAGATCAGCTTCTGGGAGGAAAAGGGTGAGATGTGTGGGTGCATTTTTGTGTAGAGTGAAGTGAGGTCAGATTAAATTTGCTCGTATGAAGCTCTTGTATGAAGTACAGCAGCACAAGTATGCCTCTGTTTTTGCTCAATTCTGTTTATAATACAGTTTTTTTTTTTTATTGCATATCATGTTTATTTAAAATGTAGGTTTACCCAAGCAGTTAACCAAAGAGGGACTTGACATGACTTTTGCCACCAACCACTTAGGGCCCTTTCTTCTCACCAACCTGCTGCTGGGTAAGCTACTCCAGTGTCTCTGCTTTAGCAGCTGTATCCTGTACATGAACTGATAGTTACTACATGTCTTTTTAAGGGTTTGATTTCTATTTTTTTTCTTTCCTCATCTGACCGCTCTTTCTGCATGTCTGTTTCATTGCAGACCTGCTAAAGAGCTCAGCGCCGTCGCGTATCGTCACCCTCAGCTCACTCAACCACAAGAAAGGACAGGTGGACTTCTCGCATTTTCACGGGGAAAACCTCACATATTTGATGGATACCGTTTACAACAACACAAAGCTGCACAATATCATCTGTACCAGTGAGCTAGCACGCAGGCTAAAGGGGACAGGTAGGCTAAATTCAACAGTCTTGGGGTTGTTTCTAGGTGTGCACTATACTTTCAGTTTCCAGTCATGTGGCTGACAAAAGGGCAAAAGGGCAAAAGAGCGAATTACGGTTGCAGCCTCCTTCTGACTCTGTGGAGCTACAGCACAGGCTTGAAACTGTTCATCTCTTTGGTATGCGGTGTATTTACATAACCTGACAACTCTAGACAAACAGAGATATGAAGAAACACTTAAAGTTCTAAGTAAAAGACTGGATTTCTTAACAGCTCATATGTGCTCTAAATGTAACCCTGTGTGTGCCCTTTTGTGTTTTTATTCACACATAGATGTCACCGCAAACTCTGTCCACCCTGGTGTTGTCATGACAGAAGTGATGAGACACTATCCTTTCATAATTCAGCTCTTATTCAACATCATTGGGTTTTTTTTCTTTAAGGTGAGTACATATTTGCTTTTTACTGATACTATTATCATATGAATTAACTTCCTGATACTCTGTGTTTACACTGTAGAGTAATAGACAGGTAGAGCCATCATAGAAAGGTTACATTAAAGCGCCTGTGAGTAACTTTCAGCTGGTATTGACATTGGCAGCCCATGTTGACAAAGCTATATGGCCTTTGTTATAGCAGATCTTGTCCTGTACATGTGTAGATAATGGTTTCAGACAGGAATCACATTCTTTTATTGTTTAGCATGTAAAAAATAGTCTTGATTATGATGATGGAAGACACAATCTTCCTCCTCCTCCTGACTGGTGAGCGTGCGCATTGCTTCATTCCCTTTCTTGCTGTTGAACTGTGTGTAGCGTTTTGTTCCTCCTGATAGCGTTCTTGCTGTTTTGGGTTATTTTCTCTCTGTAATCTATCAGTACAGCTGTTTGTTTAAAAGTCTGTAAGTTTTTCTGATAGTTTTCACCAAGCACCGTCTTTATCTCCACTCCGGGTGATCTCTCTGGTAGTTTACTTTACTAGCTCCTAGCTTCTCTTAGCTTAGCTTCTTTTAGCTTCACTTGCTAACGATGGCTTCCCCCCAGTCTCCTGCCTCTCCTGCTCGCTTCTGCTCAGTGTGTCAGATGTTTAGTTACTCCTTGTCCTCCTTAGACGATAACGATACCTGCTTTAAGTGTAGTTTATTCTTAGCTCTGGAGGCGAGGATTACAGAGTTAGAAAAGCGGCTCCGCACCGATGCTAGAGTAGCGGTAGCCAGCCAGGACACGGTAGCCGGTGCGGCTACCCACACACCGGCTACCAGTGAGGGGGGCATCAGTATGAATGTTTCATAACATAACCATAAATAACATCTCACAGGGGCTTTAAAGCTCCTGTGAGGAACTTTTTGTTTATGTCAATTTTGGCACCCCCCATGACAAGTGTCCTCTTGAAAAAATCTCGTTATTCTGACTCTTGGCATTCAAATCTATCTTTTTTGTGTGAAAATTTAATGAGAAAATGTAAAAAAAAGGGCATTTTCTCCATCCACTTTGCTGACACCTCTCCTCCCGTATCAATTTCAGGTAGTAGAAACAACAACATAAAATTTCTTAACCTTGATGCTGATGGTTTTGTACTCCACACAGGAGCTTTAAGTAACCCATTGCACTGGTAGCATGCGTAGAAAAATTGCTCAATTACCCATCCACCAATCCCCCTGAAAATGTTCGAGTAGCACTTCAGAGGACTTATATAAATAGTTGTGTATGTGTGCAGCTATATCCCAGCTGGCTGAAGCAGTTTGTCTGGTTGCCTGCAGTAAAGATGTGTTGTTATAATGTTAAGCTTTTACCAGAACACAAGCTAAATGCATGCACCTATTGTTTGAAGGTGTCACCACTTTCCAAGCAATGCTGGATACTCCCAGCATAATCTAAATTTAGAATTCCCTTGAACTAGTGATTGATTGTTTCTTGGAATAGCCTTTGTTAAGAACTTCCTGTTACTACTCCTGTATCATCCTGTAATTACTCATTTTTTTTGTTAAAGCAATTAAAATAGAAGCAAATGTTTCTGTTTTGTTTTCCTGCAACTTTTGTATCATTGGCTAAAATTAACCAGTTCATGAATAAAGATGTTGATAGCAAGCTAAAGAACCCATGTTAGCTGACTTGAACTTGTTGAAAACAAAGGCTCAGAAAGAGTTTTTAATGTGTCAAGCATGAGAAACTTTCACAATGGACTTGTGCATTTACTATATGCTATACCAAGCCAACTCAGAACCATTTAATGGTCCAAAAAACACAGAGTATAAAAACAATTCTAGCTTTGTTTATAATCAGTATAAAAGACATTGTATTCCTCCCCAGCTGGCTGAAGCAGTTTGTCTGGTTGCCTGCAGTAAAGATGTGTTGTTATAATGTTAAGCTTTTACCAGAACACAAGCTAAATGCATGCACCTATTGTTTGAAGGTGTCACCACTTTCCAAGCAATGCTCGATACTCCCAGCATAATCTAAATTTAGAATTCCCTTGAACTAGTGATTGATTGTTTCTTGGAATAGCCTTTGATAAGAACTTCCTGTTACTACTCCTGTATCATCCTGTAATTACTCATTTTTTTTGTAAAAGCAATTAAAATAGAAGCAAATGTTTCTGTTTTGTTTTCCTGCAACTTTTGTATCATTGGCTAAAATTAACCAGTTCATGAATAAAGATGTTGATAGCAAGCTAAAGAACCCATGTTAGCTGACTTGAACTTGTTGAAAACAAAGGCTCAGAAAGAGTTTTTAATGTGTCAAGCATGAGAAACTTTCACAATGGACTTGTGCATTTACTATATGCTATACCAAGCCAACTCAGAACCATTTAATGGTCCAAAAAACACAGAGTATAAAAACAATTCTAGCTTTGTTTATAATCAGTATAACAGACATTGTATTCCTCCCCAGCTGGCTGAAGCAGTTTGTCTGGTTGCCTGCAGTAAAGATGTGTTGTTATAATGTTAAGCTTTTGCCAGAACACAAGCTAAATGCATGCACCTATTGTTTGAAGGTGTCACCACTTTCCAAGCAATGCTCGATACTCCCAGCATAATCTAAATTTAGAATTCCCTTGAACTAGTGATTGATTGTTTCTTGGAATAGCCTTTGATAAGAACTTCCTGTTACTACTCCTGTATCATCCTGTAATTACTCATTTGTTTTGTTAAAGCAATTAAAATAGAAGCAAATGTTTCTGTTTTGTTTTCCTGCAACTTTTGTATCATTGGCTAAAATTAACCAGTTCATGAATAAAGATGTTGATAGCAAGCTAAAGAACCCATGTTAGCTGACTTGAACTTGTTGAAAACAAAGGCTCAGAAAGAGTTTTTAATGTGTCAAGCATGAGAAACTTTCACAATGGACTTGTGCATTTACTATATGCTATACCAAGCCAACTCAGAACCATTTAATGGTCCAAAAAACACAGAGTTTAAAAACAATTCTAGCTTTATTTATAATCAGTATAAAAGACATTGTATTCCTCCCCAGCTGGCTGAAGCAGTTTGTCTGGTTGCCTGCAGTAAAGATGTGTTGTTATAATGTTAAGCTTTTACCAGAACACAAGCTAAATGCATGCACCTATTGTTTGAAGGTGTCACCACTTTCCAGGCAATGCTGGATACTCCCAGCATAATCTAAATTTAGAATTCCCTTGAACTAGTGATTGATTGTTTCTTGGAATAGCCTTTGTTAAGAACTTCCTGTTACTACTCCTGTATCATCCTGTAATTACTCATTTTTTTTGTTAAAGCAATTAAAATAGAAGCAAATGTTTCTGTTTTGTTTTCCTGCAACTTTTGTATCATTGGCTAAAATTAACCAGTTCATGAATAAAGATGTTGATAGCAAGCTAAAGAACCCATGTTAGCTGACTTGAACTTGTTGAAAACAAAGGCTCAGAAAGAGTTTTTAATGTGTCAAGCATGAGAAACTTTCACAATGGACTTGTGCATTTACTATATGCTATACCAAGCCAACTCAGAACCATTTAATGGTCCAAAAAACACAGAGTATAAAAACAATTCTAGCTTTGTTTATAATCAGTATAAAAGACATTGTATTCCTCCCCAACCCAGCAGCAGCTTGGTGGCTGTCTGGGATGAGTCTGGTCCTGCCCAAGGTTTCTGCCTGTTAAAAGGAAGTTTTTCCTTGCCACTGTTACTCATGTTAGATGAGATGGGCCAAATCCCATCTTGGGTTAGGTCTTGATAATTCATCAAACAATGAGAGTGGTCTAGACCTGCTTTTTTTCTTTGGAAAGCGCATCACCCTCCCCACGACACACCCCCTCTGGTAGAACAAAAAGTTGGCCAGCAGAAGATCCTATGCAAGCTTCAAAAAGGATTCACCATGTCGGATTGTGAGTGACTAGCGGCAGTAAATGCCTGCTCTGCATCTGCCTGGACCGCTACCGTGTTGACATTGCTGAGATTAATAGGAGTTATTTATTTAACATGTGCCAAGATAAAAGGCAAAAATTACCTGTTCAATAAAAACTCTGTTGTCTCGGCATCTGTTTTTAGGCCCAAATCCTGGCAGAGCTTTCTCGAAGGATGACCTGATGTTTTCTCGAGTTAGTTTCCTCGCTTGGTCAAATTTCGTCTTCGTCTCTGCCCTTTCTTTTGTCTGCTTGCATTTTCTTAGCACTTTTGGCGGTGGGGTAAGCAGAAGTGTTTTTTATTTATTTATTTATTTTGCATCCTTCTCCATCACAGCTCCTGTAGCTAACTTGCTACGCTACATGTAGCAGCTCTGCTCCAAGCTCCAAAGAGGGCCGGGAGAGTGGGAGGGGATGAGTCGGAACTACCTGAGAGGGGTGTGTCAAATACAGCGAGGTGATTGGATGGAGAGGCGAGGCAGGAGCTTGCCAATAGGAGCTGTTTGGGATGGATGGCTCCCATTGGTCAATGTTTTTGCAACCCTGCACCTGCTAGGGTGAACAGATTTTTTCCATTCTTTTTTCGCTTCATTTTGTGGAGATCGCATCATAGGACCATGATTGCCATAGAAACGAGGTTCATAGTAATTACAAATCGTCAACCATGCCTTTAAAGTCAAGACGTGTTGTTATACCAGGGTCGAGGATTAAGTCTCGGTTTCAACTCAGTCCTAAATATCAGGATTGACCCATTTCCTTTTGCTGCAATAGAGGAGGGAGGTTTGTGTCCTTTACTGCTGCCAGTCATCAGGGGGAGCTCTAATGCCAGGACATGCTTGTCTTTTAACCTTGCTTTTGCACACACAACCATCTGCATCATGAAAATAGTCGTGCACCCTCTTGACTAAACACTGCATGTTTTTTGGAGAAAACCTTTACAGGGATTCAGAAGATAGAAACAGGACACTCAGAGGTGGTTCAGGGAGAGACAGGTGTTTGTGGGTGTCAGTGGTCTAATGAGTGACAGTTTTCTGAGCCAGCTTAGGTGACTGATGACAGAACACACCATGGACACTTCACCCTCCCAGGTTTCTAAACTCTGTGTGTGTCGTGATGGTAACACCAACAGCGCTTATCGTTTTATGTCTGTGACATCTACATTTTTGTATGTATAAAACAGTAAATACTTCACTTGGAAAAATATGTTTAAGATATGAGCTTTTCCTTGAGATCATGACTCAGATAGCTTGCCTTTATAATTTTATATCTGTTTTATTATTTAATGTATTTGTAAGTACAGAATTACGAAGATATTAGACCAATCAAAGAAACTGGAATACAGGAATAATGCAACATCAGGAAGGGCAGAAGACCTAAAGTCTCAGAAAATTACACAAGATTATGTAATTTTTACAACCTTAAAAAGATCACTTAATCTACACGATGGCTTTAAAGCTTAGTTCACTGGGTTTGTTTTAAACCTAACTATGGAGAGAAAAGAAACTTGCAGAATAGATGTTCAACACACCACAATGTAATCCAAGTAAATCCCTCAGGTTGTTTATTTAGATACTTTTGTTGCTTGGACTGCACTGATTTTCCTGGCGTATTACATATACAGGACTGAAAGCAATTACAAGAAGACAACTTCTATAAATCTAAATCTATAAACAGACTCTAACATCTGGGCTTAATCACCAGCTTTGTGACAGGTCTGTTGCATGATTCCTTTTTTTTTTAAGCTGTTCTCACAGTTTAAATTCTTGACGTAAGCGCCGTGTGTGTGTGTGTGTGTGTGTGTGTGTGTGTGTGTGTGTGTGTGTGTGTGTGTGTGTGTGTGTGTGTATCAGTACAAGAAACTATGCTCAACAACTGGTTTAATTACTAAACAAACGTCAAGACAGATCACATAACATCCTGTTAGCATTTTTTACTTTTACAGATTTCTATCTGTACTTGTTGTTGTACCCGTTCATTTCCCACTGCCCTTGTCTCACTTTCAGTCTCCAGAGGAGGGTGCCGTCAGCCCAATCTACTGCGCCGTGGCGGAGGAAACAGAGGGAATAACTGGAAAGTATTTTGACAGTGACTGCTCTTTGGTGCTCCCCTCTCCTTTGGCGCGAGACGCTGCTCTGGCAGTCAAGGACTTTGAGATCAGCGAGAGAGTGACATCAAAGCTATAATGCAACTATCAGGCAAAAGGAGCCTTGATAACAGAGAAAAGGGGTCAAATTCCAACCTCTTGTTGCACCTCTTGAGGGAAAAACTGACACTATTTGCCTCTTATAATTGAAACAGGTGGTTTCTGATTACATTTTAAAAGGCATTTAAAAGTTTAGTATGTTTTTTAAAAGAAAATTAGTCTTACGTATCTGTAATGACGAAGCTTTATATCTCTTATCATATTTGGAGTTAGGGAAAGGCTAAATAACTGCACTTATACATCTGCAGTAACAACAGAGATTATGTCATTTATGCAAATATTATGTTATATTCTTAGGTAGAAAGTATGAACTTGTGAGCTGAGTTTTCTAAGTGATGCTGACACCATGTGGCCAACTTGAGCTGATATCCGGATTCAGAAACAACACCAGAAGCTTTTTAAAGTGACACAATAATTTCCCTTTATTTAATGATTGAGTAAAACACAATAAAATATAAGTATATCAGTGCTTTTTGAAGTATTTTTACAGCGTTCATCCCCTCCTGTGCATGGCCTTGCTATTTGGCTGTGAAGAAAGAGATAGTGAGAGAACAGTGTGTTTTAATCAAACTGTTATCACATTTAACCACATATTTTGATAATAAAGCTAAAGCGACGTCACTCTGTTAGTCTGAGGCTTTTTCAATCACTGTGTGTCACCACATTTTCAATCATATGTACCTTTCGGATGATCTTTTGCTAGTTCATGGATTATCCCACCGAGCACAGTAATCACTTGATCAGATGACACGAGCATACCACTGACCTCAGGTGTGTTCTAAAACCACAGAAAGAAAGTGGCAACAGGTTTTTATTCATGGTACTATTATTTGTTGACATTAAAATATTGAGTGAATAAATGGAAGTCTGCTCACAGGATCTCCACCATTTTCCACTGGAGGGTTATCTGGGGTTGTCACATCTCCAGGCTGACTGTCCTCTGATCGAGGTGCCATGTCCTTTCTGTCCTCTCGCTCCTGCAGCACAGGCACACAAACACAAAACAGACAAATGGACACTTATCCAAAAAGACTTTTTGACTAAATAAACTCTTACAACCTGCATTGTCTTTTTTATTGTGGATAACCATGAAGGGATACGTCACCTAAAGTCTTCCCAGATTAATAATGTTTATTATTTCCTGAGCAGTGCACTTGAGCACAGCCTCTTATGTTTATATGGCCCTGTCTGAATCCAGCACTTGAGCCTGTTATGTAACATTATCATTCAAACTTAACTAAAAGAATGTATAAAAAGTGCAAATCATATGAGAATTTTGATTTTGTATTTATGATTGTATGTGGTAAGACTATATCTAGCATTTTAAAATAATTATATTTTAGGATTTTTTTTTAATTTGGGATTTTAAAATTTGGATTACCGAAGAGTTTTTGAATCCTGGCCTGATTGAAAAAGTTGTACTTCTTTTCCAAACGTAAACCCAAAGACTGTCCATTTCCTGGAGAAAAACCTCAGAAATTATAACCTTAAAGTTAGGAAAACTTTTACTCGTTTTCTTTAGACGAATTAATCAAAAATAATTGTGGACTTACTGTTGTGAATTCATTTAGATCATAAAATGATTTCATGCTTGTCCAGTGAAGAAGAGCAACACGTCAACCGTGACTGTTAAGCTATAACTCATTCTTACTTCCTTAAATCATCCAATCAAATAAGAGCATATTACCTTCATCTCCATCAACTCCTTTGGGCTGAAGAAGGTGATGTGCCCTTCTGTCCTCTCTGCCAGCAGCGCCACAAGGCACGCCAGCACCATGCAACCTGCCACTGCTCCGCGCATGCTCATACTGCTCTATCCTGGAAACAGACACACACGCATACAGTACATAAGTATACATATAGACTAGTATAGGTTCATAGAGACTTACAGTAGAGTCTGGGTTGCCACATAAACAGGGGTTAGTGGCACTGCGGCCAGGACACTCACTGAAGTTTTTAGCAGTGGGAAAAGAGAGGCAACAGTCAAAATAGGTCAACATACAGTGTTTGACATGAGGTGTGTGTGTGTGCTGGAAATAATAACCGAGAAAGAAGGACAAAGGGGATCCCATGGCATTATGCAAGGGAGACGTTGACAAATAGATAGGGGAAAGAGAGAGGAGGGAGGAGGAAGAGGGGGGCATGGAAGTAACATACTGCTCCACTGACAGGCAAGATAAGAAGCTGGAGTGGACTAGCCATTCTTACAACAGTGAGGGGACATAAATGTAAGAGAGAGGAAAGCGGACGTCAAACAGAGAAAGACAGGAGTTAAAGAAAGTGAGGGAAAGTCAGAGAGAGACAGCAGCAGCAGAAGAAGAAGGAACTTTATGTTACTCACGTGCTGTGTCAGCTACGGTCAGGGAAGTTGAAAGAAGTGAGCTTTAAGATGAGCTGAGCTCCACTGGTCTGACTGCAGCTCGTCTCGGCCAGCCTTTATATCAAGCCCTCTCCTGGTCCCTGAGCTTTTTACTGTCCTCCCTCACATCCGCTTCTCGACAGGCTCTTTCACGCGCTCTCCTCCGTGCCCCTGGAAACACACATATTACTCAGGAATCTGGCTTTTTATTGAGGCAGGGAGCCTACAACGCTGTATGAAAGATTTAGGCCCTTTGACAGAACACTGATTAGCAAACCTGAGTCCTTATAAAAATACAGAGTTTGTTTACTCATATTGTTGTTGTGTTTATTTTACAGAGACACTGTTCACGCACCAACTTTCATTGATTTAACATTTATTCAAACCTAAATTTAGATGGATTATCGTGATTTGCAAAGTCATCTTGAAATAGATTACAGCTAACGGAGAAGCAAGTTTCAGTCTGTGGATTACTTTTGATTGGGTCACAAAGTTTTTCGTGGAAAACTTCTTTCTAAGATCAATTTCCTGCCCTTCAGTTGTGCGTCTGTGTGTGAGAAAGAGAGCAAGTGAGAGACAATCTGTCCAAAGAGGTCAGCCATAAATTCTTTGCTCTCAACTAAAATCCAATACGATGTGACATTTATGACCTGCCAGTAATTTATACTTGTGTACAAACTGAGCCACATGCATCCATTCCTTGGAAACCTCACAACTCTTAAAAACTTTAATGGTGCTTTTCCAAAATAAGACACTCAACTGTTTTCCTGCATGACAGTAAAATGCTTTCACAGGCTGGGTTTATACTGCTGTGAGTATGCTCTGCTCGAGTGGGCCATCAAAAATATTGCTGCCATTACATCTGATTCAAGTACAGGAGTACACCTGTGTATCTTCGCTGTCGCACTTTGTGTCGAGAGACCACAATGTCGATAAATGATGATAAATTTTATCATCACCTGGCATGAAGCTTTTCTCACAGAGAAGTTTAATCTGTGAAGACACAGATATTTGAAGTGTATCTCTAATTGTTTGATAGGTGATCAACGCTGAATTTATCGCAAGAACTAACTTATTTATTGAGATTGATGTGCCAAGAATTCAGTAATTCCAACTTTAAAATAGTCTGTTATTTTTCTCTCTCTAATAAAAATCAAATATCTTTAAGTATTTTACACTCCAGGAAATTTAAGTGGGAATATTCCAGCATTTTACATCTTGACAAAATGTCTGTAATAAATGGTACATCGAAAGGGAATTATACAAAAAGAACAGTTGCAGCTTTGGTATTAGACTATGAGTCCAAATGCAATTAATGAGATGTATGTTATGTAAGGTGCCAGTAATCACATTCTTTCCTGCCAAAATGAGCATTTAAGACATCCAAAACATTGTTCTTATTAGTAAAAATTACACCTCTTTTGTGATATATGTGTATTATGTTATGTTGTCATTTACAGATAAAACCATTCTTTCTTTCTGCATTAACATTTTGAATAATTAGGCATTTTTTAATTCAAATGTTACTTGTCATTATTTAAATTTCAGATATCAAAAGTTTAAAATCTTTTTAGATATCGACAGTTTGAGTTTTGTTGATATAATCTTTTATTCAAAACAACCAAGAAATACACATGCTAACATCCCACAACATTCAGACCCACCCTCCCGTGCTCTTCCTGGAGACTGACCAGCACAGAAAGACAAATACCACTTAGCATATATAAATAAAGAGAGTTTTTAGTAATGATTTGGCCTTTTCGTCATTACATCAAAATGCATGCCTGGGCTCCCAAATTGTATAAAGCTTGAGTATGTCCAAAACAGACTTATAACAGTTTGGATAAGTTCTCAGAAAACAGTTAAAGCCTGTAAAGTAGTATATGCTGAATAAAATGATGTCTATCACACTGAGGTAGAGTGGATTTCAGCCATGAGTGACAACCAGGTTTATTTGGAAAACCTCTTCCTATTTATCTTCGCATTTCCATTTCAAACAATCCAGAATGAAACAGTTAGAATTATATTGCAGATATCTAGAATGGGAGGGTTTTTACATGGCAGAACTCTGTTGCAGATATCCATAATGTTAATTTCTGCTGTGAAGACTGACAGTGTTGATATCTGAAACGAGGAATATGAACAGTAAGAATGTCAGTGGATATCTTTAAAAGGATTCTCATTGACTCAAGTACAGTTTGGACTAGGAGAATGTGTAAATGGATGTGTAAAAGATAGGCCTCATTCTAGAGCCTCAGTATCCAAAACTGAGAGGCGTTTTAGAGTGTGTTAAAAACAGCAGAGCAAGAGAGAGTATTGGATGGTTATAATAAGAAGCTGATATAATAAGGTATAAAGTAACTATCACACTAATAGTTAATTGCACAGACAATTAACTTATCACTGTCAAAGATACAAGTATTATCTTTCCTGACCAGAGCCGGCCCAAGGCAAAGCCGAACTAAGAGCCTGCTTAGGGCCCCACCACCAGTAGGGGCCCCCCCAAGAGCAGTCAAAAAAAAAAAGTAAATATATATATATATTTTGCATGTATGATTGACGCTCTCTGAATGATCAAATATATATTATTGTAAAAATATATTTAAAAAAAAATCGTATTGGTGCTGCTGCTGATGTAGGCCTATAAATCTTACTGCCGATATTTTAAATCTCCGCTACCGTTATGTGCCTCCTGCTGTGTAGTGTGCACTGAGCATCCTGAATGTGTTACATTTTGAGATTAAAAACCAAATGTGGCACCCTGAACACCATTCATCAATCATTCATTGGTATTATTTGTATGGTTGTATTGGTATTATTTATGTTCTTACCTAGGCCACCCCCGTAAATGTTTAAAGACATGTCAGGTGCATTAAATTTATACTGTAGTAGGTGTGTGAATGATCGACAATCAATATTATTGGCAGAAATAGAGGGCCCGAAAATCAAATTTAGCTTAGGGCCCCATTGAGGCTTGGGTCAGCTCTGATCCTGACCATTGTGTAACCCTTACATACTCCGCCGCCCTTTGAATGAGTTATTCAAGCTATTGAAATATCAACTTTTCTTTGTGTTTATGTAAAAAGAGAAAAAGACAACGACCTCACTGACTATCCCAACCATTGTCCCTTGTGACCAGCTAAGGACAGTTTCAACTCTTGGTGGTTGTCTTTCAAAATGACGAAATAACACTGAAAACACTGCTGTTTGTCTAATTTACACATTTTCTTCACTGCTCTGGCACCATCCAGCAGGTAGAGGTCTCTCTCTCTCTTTCTCTCTCTCTTTCTCTCTCTCTCTCGCTCTCGCCAATTAGATCTCGCGTTGCTTGTTAAATATCGCGGCATTAGGATCACCCAGCAGATCGGTAAACGTGGTCCACCGTCTATTTCCTGAGGTGAAGGAGTCCAGCAGACACGCACTGCGTGCTGCTGCTGCACAGATTCACTCAATATGGTAAGAAAAGTAGAGCTCGTTGTTGTAGAGTTTTAACAAATACTGTTATATTATGTAATGTTAGAAATGTTTCAGGGCTATTGATGATTTTTAAGTAAAAGTATCTAATTATTTTGATGTTGTTGCGTTCAAGGCCTCAACATGTTAGCCACCCATATGGCTAACATGAGCCAGAATAACGTTTTTAAAGTAACTTAAGTCTACTTTACCGCAGATTTAACTGATAGGCTATGTGGTGGTCTTGGCTGAGCACTACGACTTTAGTTTTATCTGCTGACCAGCGGACGATGACTTGCAAGAACAACATTTTTGGGTCAGAGTTAGCATCGACACTTAGCATAGGTTAGCTCCACGATACTTTACGCACGGGCCCGATTTAACACGTGGGTTCGCCGTAACGACGGCACAGCAGCACGTCAAAGTAAGAGCCAAAAGCTGAAATAGCAGTCAACTTTAAGTAGTACTGTTTTGTAACGACATGTAATTATAAGAGGGAGTTTTAGAGGTAATCAGAGCTACACATCAATAAGACACGTGGTTACGTAGATCCGGGAATAGCACGTGGAGGCTCGTAAACACCTCTGACACCTATATGTAAAGGTTGTAAATATTAATATTGGATATATCAAAGGATATGGTGTTATGGTAATATAATCCTTAAACCAGTACCTTTTCTCCTCTGTAGGTGTTGTTACACGTGCTGTACGAGCATGCGGCTGGCTACGCGCTATTCGCCGTCAAAGAGGTGGAGGAGATCGGCATGCTGCTGCCTCAGGTGTGTCTTCAGCGCTCCTCTCCATTCTATCTTAATAAATTACATTACATAAATATAATGCTATAATGATCACGATCTGACTGGTCTCACCGTCATGTGTTTTTAGGTGGAGCAGAGCGTGCTCAACATCTCCAAGTTTAACAGCATGGTGAGTCTGGCTGCTTTCTTCCCCTTCAAGTCAGCCCAGGCAGCGCTGGAGAACATGAATGCCATATCTGAGGGTAAGCATTTCCTTCTTTTTAAAAAAGAAAACATTTTTCTTGTTTCCCCTCTTTCCTCGGTTGTAATGATGTTTTTATAATCTGTCAATCCACTGAGTAACTGTGCTGACAGCAAATACCATTCCTGAACACCTGAGGAAAGCTTTTATTAAATTAATAAAAGTCAAACAGTTGTCTAATTATTTCAATGCAATATCGTTGCTTGTATGTCTGAAAAAAAATCCAGATTTTGTCAAAGTACTTTATAAATGATAAATTTAAAATAGGGCTGGGTGATAAAACAAAAATGATATATATTGAAAATCAATTCCCTTGAGTATCAATATAAAACATGGTCAATATGCTTTCCAATAGTCTACATTCTGCCATGTTTTGGTGAACTATATGAACAGCAAATGAAAAGGGGAGTTGCTCCGGGTCCACTTTGTGCGGAGCCAATCATGTGCTGAATTAGAACCAAGTAGTAACAGGCTGCAGCTACACGCAACCGTAGCACTTTAACATGTGAAGCCGACAGCACTGTTGGTAAGAATAAAAGAAAATGAGTGCTGCCCCCGACAGAAATGTAGATTAAGACTCAACACATGATGACATCATCAACATCAACAGCACTGGCACTAAAACAATGGTGGTGTGGACGTATTTCGGTTCGAGGTTGGACATGAAGCAGAGTAATGTGCACTACTAATTATGTCGAGTACATGTTCTCACGAAGTGTGGGAATACCTCAAATCTTTTTCACCACCTGAAGCAGAGCACATGCAATGCAAAAGGTTACAAACCCCATGTGGAGCAAGGAGCCCACTGCGCCTGTGCAGCTGAAACAGCAGCCATTCGGTTTGCTTTCTACAGCGCAACGCCTTAAGACAAAACGTCATGGAAACACTAAGACCTCACAGATGCAGTAGCTTATTGTACTGCAAAAGACATGTTAACAATAAGCACTGTTAAATTTCATTTTTTATATTGTGATATATATCGACTGAGATGTAAATAACATATCTATAAACCTTTTCCCATATCGCCTAGCCCTAATTTGAAAGTATATGATTCATCGTTCTCATAACTTTGCTTGAAAATCGAGCTTTTGTTTCAGTGAAGTGTATTTTATTGCTTTTGTAATTCAGGTGTGGTTCATGCTGACCTGAAGCTGTTCCTTGAGACAAATCTGCCCCTCTCGGGGAAGAAGAAAGCCGTGTTGGGGGTTTTGGATGCCAAGATTGGAGCGGCATTACAAGAAGAATTTAACATTTCCATCCAGACCGGCGGCGTGGTGGCAGAAATTGGCAGAGGTGAGGGGACTTTGTCTACAATTTGATAAATATTTTTGGGAAAGCTTTTTGAAACCAAGAGCAGGAAAACAACCTCGTTCTTTTATTGGAACTCCAGAACTTCTAAGTGAGAATTATGAGCTTATGGATATGTTGTGGCCTGTTATGATGCAACCATGTGATCCTGAGATTAATGAGGGGTAATACTGAAAATCTGAACAGCCACCAGCCTCTTGTTGTTTTCCTTTTGCTGAATTGTGTGAATCAAACCAAACCCTTTTTGTCTGTTATCTCCCGTTTTAGGTGTTCGTCTGCACTTTCACTCGCTGGTGAAGGGTCTGACGGCTCAGGCTGCCTCCAAAGCTCAGTTGGGTCTCGGTCACAGCTACTCTAGAGCCAAAGTGAAGTTTAATGTGAACAGAGTTGACAACATGATTATCCAGTCCATCGCTCTGTTGGATCAGCTGGACAAAGACATCAACACATTCTCCATGCGTGTTCGGTAAGCTCCCTTTCTCGCACTGCTTGGACAAAATATATCTGTCAAAAGGAGATCATCCGTTGGGTAAGATCGACTCTGCAGTTGTTTTGGTTGTGTGCTTTTTGGATTTGGCGATCTAGTCTGGTGCTTCATGAGGGTGGTGTAGGAGGCCCTGTTTTGTGCAGGTACCACAGTAACACAAACTCACCGGATGGTTCTCGGCAGACTTGTGTTTGGAGATGTGACTCATGGCATGTGAATTTGTTGGTATTGGGTGTCTCAAAACTAACTTTATCTAGCTCCAATAAATTTAATAACACATTAACAAAGCAAGTGTGTAACTTGTTTGGGATTGGCTTTTAAAAAAACGACATTAACAAAGCAAGTGTCTAACTTGTTTGGGATTGGCTTTTAGAAAACGAAGTTGTTGTGAGGAATCCATGGTTTGAATATCCTCCTAATGCTTACCGCAGACAGTACACCTTAAGTGCTGGCTGTATAGAAACAGGAGGGACATCAAACTCTCCTTGCACAGCCGCCCCACCAGCTGTAAACTGGCGGTGCAAACCTGTAGGGTGAGACATCCATTGCCATTGAGTCACATCTGCGGTCACTCTCCAAATGGGCTGTTTTTGTAATACTGTAGTTGTGGGTGTTTTTAAGGTTGTGACTCACTTTTCACTATCCTTGTTTTTGTCTGCAGTGAATGGTACGGCTATCATTTCCCAGAGCTGATCAAGATTGTGTCAGACAACTCCATGTACTGCAGACTAGCTCGTCTCATCGGAAACAGGAAAGAGTTGTCAGAGGAGAATCTGGAGAGCCTGGAGGAGGTGGTGATGGACAGCGCCAAGGCTCAGGCCATCCTGGATGCTTCACGGTCCTCTATGGGTAAGCAATAGATACATTTAAGTTAATCACAGAAGTGATGACTCTCTGCTTGTCCTACCATCCTGCTATTACTTTTTTCTATACCCCGCCCCTTTTTTGCCCACCCTGGACCAACAAATGTCCTTGGTGTCTAACACAGGGGGGCAGAAAAGCTCTCTCATAAACCTGTAGTGAAGGCACAAATCCTCGCTGCGGATCCTGTCGGGAGAAACAAACGCATTTCATTTTTAACCTACTCGTGTAAACTCTTAAAGTGTGCTCTGATTAGACTATGAAAGTAGTATCTTTGCTAAAAACATTGTGATGTTTGTCTCCTTCAGGGATGGACATTTCCCCCATTGATCTGATCAACATAGAGAGGTTCTCTGACCGTGTGGTCTCTCTGGCCGCATATCGTCTGGAGCTGCAAGAATACCTAAGATCCAAGATGGGCCAAGTGGCTCCAAACCTCGCAGCGTTGATAGGAGAAGTGGTAAGAAAAGATACCTTCTTAATTTGCTGCATGTGTCTTCATTAAGTAGGACCGATGATGTTATACCAAAATCTGTCAATCCACTGAATACTGTGATGACAAAACCATCCGGTGCTGATGGTCCTCACTCAAACTCAGATTGGGACCCTCCTTTGAAACTGTCAAAATACGGCGATACCGACATTCTGTCTTTTTTCCCTAGGTGGGAGCTCGTCTGATCTCCCATGCCGGCAGTCTTACCAACCTGGCCAAGTACCCGGCCTCCACTGTTCAGATCCTGGGAGCAGAGAAGGCCCTGTTCAGGTACTGGGGCACCCCCTCCCTGCTGGGGAAAGGAGTGGTTGCAGTGATGGCAGGGCTGGGCTGGAGCAGAGCAGGGTGACTGGAGGAGACGTCAATATAAAAGTCTTCTCTGGAGTGATCCCTCTCGCCTTCATGCACCCCCACAGTCTGAGCAGCCACTCGCGGCATTGAGGTAGAAAAGTTCACCACATAGAAGAGAACTTGTTTTATTTTCAGACTCAGTTTTGAGGAAACTGGAAACTTAGCAGTCATTTAATATCAGTTTGGATTTTCCAGGAAATATACAAAAACTTCTTGTTTTTCTGTAGAGCCCTAAAAACTCGTGGCAACACCCCCAAGTATGGACTCATCTTCCACTCAACTTTCATTGGAAGAGCTGCAGCCAAGAACAAGGGTCGCATCTCCAGATATCTGGCAAACAAGTGCACCATTGCTTCAAGGATTGACTGTTTTTCTGGTGAGTCAGAAAACGTGTGAGGAGAAACCTGCTGGCTCAGTTTCCGTGGCGTGATTGCTATGATGCTCATATTTTTCGTCAACAGCATTCATCCCTTGGGTTGATGTTGATAAAAGTCATTCCTGAGCACAGCCGCACGTCTGTTTACTTGAAAGCTGACTGTCAGTTTGTGCAGGTTTCTAAAATTTTCTTTTTCCTCAGAGGTGCCCACGAGCGTGTTTGGCGACAAGCTGCGTGAGCAAGTGGAGGAGCGTTTGTCTTTCTACGAGACGGGCGAGGTGCCGAGGAAGAACGTGGATGTCATGAAAGATGCCGTTAAAGAGGTAAGCTCAGGGATTTAACAACCACCATTCATGCTGTGAGTGATGACCCACTTTTTCCTGACCTTCCTGAGGGCAAAAACTGATTTAATGAGCCTGACACAGCGCTGGAACAAATTAGTGGTGTAAATGATTGTCTGGTTGTTTGTATAAACACGTTTCTCCTCCTGTAGGCGACTGATGTTGCAGCTGAGATCAAGAGGAAAATGGAAAAGAAGGAGAAGAAACGCAAAAAGAAGGAGAAGAAAATGCAGGAGCTTGAAGCTAACGGTGAAACCAACGGTGAAGCTGAGGTACGTCTCCATCTGAGCGTCTTTGCGCTGCATGTTTTGATTTGAGATCTGACCCACAAATGTGGTCCTGTCTCAGTGTACGACATGCCACATCAACTTGACTCCGAACCATTGGCTGGTTCAAGACAATGGACCTGATCACTGAAGCGAGTCAGACACTTGAAGGACAAACTGTGTAAATGCCTTAAACAACAGCTTAGTGCTGATCTAAAAAAAAAAACTGACCTTATACTGACTCAACTTTGTATTGTTCCAGGTGGAGAATGGAGATGCAGAAACTCCTGTGGTCAAGAAGAAAAAGAAGAAGCAGGCAGCAGAGGAGGTAGAGGCCCAGGCAGAGGAGACCCCCTCTGCAGAGATCAGCACAGAAGACACCCCAGCCAAGAAGAAAAAGAAGAGAAAAGCAGAGGAGGCAGCAGAGGAAGCTGCAGCCACAGATAACGGAGTAGAAGAAACAGAAACTCCATCTAAAAAGAAAAAGAAACAAAAGACTGAAGCTGTAGAGCCAGAGGAGATCCCAGACGCTCCCGTGTCTGAGAAGAAAAAGAAAAAGAAGAAAAAAGAGGCTGCTGAGTGAGACGGTCAAAGACTGACGCTTTATTTTTCTGTACAGTTCATTTTTATTCATTTTACTCCGAATCTTAAATTACGCCACTTCAGCAGCTTATAGTTTTTCTGTTCCCGTTAAGTTTGGTAACCTCGAAGTAGGTGAGCCGGCAAAGAAATGCTTCTAACTGTGCCTTGTAGTCAATGACATTTACTCGTACTGTAAATATAATTTCACATTTTGTTAAATAAAATCGTGTCCTCTGCCATGTGTCTGGGTAAATTTCTCTCTCTGATCTGTCATCTTGTGTAAAAATCTGAATGTACAGATTAAAAGCCATGGAAGTAATGTGAAATGAGTGGTTAGATCACGGTCAGTCCCTCCAGTTATGACTTAAGGAAACCTCAAGAGAGAAGTTTGAATGATTGTAGAATTTGATTGAGATGGGAGTTACAGCAGTTCTCTCTCTCTCTGTGTATATATGTATTGTGTGTATTGTGTGTGTGTGTATATATATACACTCACCGGCCACTTTATTAGGTACACCTGTCCAACTGCTCGTTAACACTTAATTTCTAATCAGCCAATCACACGGCGGCAACTTAGTGCATTTAGGCATGTAGACATGGTCAAGACAATCTCCTGCAGTTCAAACCGAGCATCAGTATGGGGAAGAAAGGTGATTTGAGTGACTTTGAACGTGGCATGGTTGTTGGTGCCAGAAGGGCTGGTCTGAGTATTTCAGAAACTGCTGATCTACTGGGATTTTCACGCACAACCATCTCTAGGGTTTACAGAGAATGGTCCGAAAAAGAAAAAATATCCAGTGAGTGGCAGTTCTGTGGGCGGAAATGCCTTGTTGATGCCAGAGGTCAGAGGAGAATGGCCAGACTGGTTCGAGCTGATAGAAAGGCAACAGTGACTCAAATAACCACCCGTTACAACCAAGGTAGGCAGAAGAGCATCTCTGAACGCACAGTATGTCGAACTTTGAGGCAGATGGGCTACAGCAGCAGAAGACCACACTGGGTGCCACTCCTTTCAGCTAAGAACAGGAAACTGAGGCTACAATTTGCACAAGCTCATCGAAATTGGACAATAGAAGATTGGAAAAACGTTGCCTGGTCTGATGAGTCTCGATTTCTGCTGCGACATTCGGATGGTCGGGTCAGAATTTGGCGTCAACAACATGAAAGCATGGATCCATCCTGCCTTGTATCAACGGTTCAGGCTGGTGGTGGTGGTGTCATGGTTTGGGGAATATTTTCTTGGCACTCTTTGGGCCCCTTGGTACCAATTGAGCATCGTTGCAACGCCACAGCCTACCTGAGTATTGTTGCTGACCATGTCCATCCCTTTATGACCACAATGTAGCCAACTTCTGATGGCTACTTTCAGCAGGATAATGCGCCATATCATAAAGCTGGAATCATCTCAGACTGGTTTCTTGAACATGACAATGAGTTCACTGTACTCAAATGGCCTCCACAGTCACCAGATCTCAATCCAATAGAGCATCTTTGGGATGTGGTGGAACGGGAGATTCGCATCATGGATGTGCAGCCGACAAATCTGCGGCAACTGTGTGATGCCATCATGTCAATATGGACCAAGCTCTCTGAGGAATGCTTCCAGCACCTTGTTGAATCTATGCCACGAAGAATTGAGGCAGTTCTGAAGGCAAAAGGGGGTCCAACCCGTTACTAGCATGGTGTACCTAATAAAGTGGCCGGTGAGTGTATATGTATAATATAGTCTAAATTTGGTATAACAGAGGTATAGAAATGAAAGTTTCTTCAACGTCGACATTTATACATTGTTTAAACGTTTTGATGTATACGTTTAAACGTGTTTGTTCATAAATTGTTCCGTCTACAACGTTGAAATGACGTCCAATAGACGTTTTCATTTAAACGTCTTTATGTTAGACGTTCATGCTTCAACCAAATTTAAACCCAGGTATAGACATAGACGTTGATTAAACGTTTATTAAACATCTGGTCTAAATCCGCCGACCCAATGGGGACCGGGCGAGCCTCCCCGCGCGCGGACTTCATATCAACAATGCATATTACCATAAGCATCTGATATGTGTAAATTGATGAAAGTATTCACAGGAAACACCATCTGTGGAGCCAGATTCTCTACACCAGAAGTTACCTGCTGCTAACCTTGATACATGTACCCCCAGGATGTTCTATTTTGGCAATCTTGCTTCTCTTTCTGGACCTTTTAGAATATTTAGCTTCTACAGTCATGCTCATTCATAATTTAACACTGATCTACATTTGGCAACCATCAGTCCACTGTAATTGAAATCACAGTACATTTTTTACTCAGAATATAACCATTACAGTCATGGAGTGGGAAAAACAATTTTTTAATTTCACATCTAGTAAAACGAACATTTAAAAAAAGAAAAAAATCTATTTATCTATATAAAAGCATAGCTACAAAGTATAAAGAACAAGAACAACAACATAAAGAAAATTTAATTAATACTAATACCACAGTGCATAAACAGAACACAAAAGTACTGAAATGAACCATAAATATTAACAATTTTAAGATATATATATATTTTTTAAATTAGCAGGGTGGTGCTCTGGTGGTGCCCCTCCCACCATGTCGAGCTGGTGCCTTTTTCAAATGGTCCCCAATCGATGATGCGACCAGTTCCTCTGTTGCTGTCGGGAAGTTAGTGCGAACAGACTCTGCGAAAAGAAAAAAAACCAAAAGAAACTTGAATCATAGTAAGTGTAGAAGTTATCTAGTAATGTCCGGAAGGATTCTTCACTTTTTTACAGCTTCAGGCTTTAAATGAGTCAGTAACATGACCAAGAATAAGTAATAACTTGCAGAGATATAATTCATTTACCAAGAACAACTGTGAAGAAAGCAGTTTTCTTTAAGCTTTTTTTCCCCTGGCATCCTCCACCCAGGAGGTTGTACTTCCTCTGCACGTCATTGTGTAAAATTCTGAAATGGATATAAAAGACAAATAAATCTCTTAAGGTGCGTTCACACCGGACAGGCAACGCAACTTGTCCTGTCTTGTGTCCTAAAACGTGTCACTTTGCCACCGTCAATTCGCGTTGCGCATTACGTCACACCCGCTCTAGGTTTCCCCTCGATCTTGTCGGATACAAGCGCTGCTCTTTATTTGCAGAACAATTCCCTAAAACCTCAGAGAAACCCTCGCTGCCGTTGCGCAAGTGCCTGTGTGAACTAAGGGTGTGGAAAATAATCTAAATTAATCGATGCATCGATGCGCATGTGCGCGATGCAACTGCGTCGGCTCATTCACTGGGTATCAATGCAATTGACGGGTTAAATCTAGATTCATCTAGATGCGTTGGTGGGTATCGGTAAAATCCGATGCAAGCGCCGTTTTATTCATGTTAAACTTCACCCAATATGCTGTTTCCCAGGCGCATTGAATGCACCATCATTTTTTCACGTTTTGTATTGAATACGGACGGAAGCCGTGAGGGACATACGATGCACTACTACTAAAACAGCATGGACCACATTCAAGTGAGCAGCAGCGAGGAAGAGTTTATATGTAATGCACCCGCTACGTTTAAATCATATGTTTGGAAACACTACGGATTTGCAAAGAAAGACGGAAAGCTCGACAAAACGTCCGTCATTTGCAAAGAATGCCGCGTTAAGAAGCCGTACAACGGCGGCACGACAAACATGCAGACCCACTTAAAAAGAGAACACCACATCACCGACAAGTCTAACGCCACCTCCCCTCCCTTAACATTGATTGCACTGTTGAAAGTGTCACTTTAGGTTACTCACTGAGAGTGTTTTGTTGTTGCTGTTTACTGTACTTTTTACAGCAGTAATTATTGTGTAATTGTTTTACTCTTTTATTATTGCAGAACTCACTCAAATCACTGATTTTCAGTGGCCAGTTAGAAAGTCAACTCTAGCACATCGGTTTGGCAGACAGTAGTATGGCCATTGAATGGTTTATTTGCACCATGTTAGGCAGTGCATTAGTTGTTTAATAATGTGTACTGTAATATTACCCAACAAGTATAGAGCACTTGTGTGATGTAGGGTTGGGATTGGAATCCTTTTTTTTTTTTTTTTTGGATTTTATTGATTCAGATTCCTTAACAGTTGCAGGAGGTCTGTCTAATCTGTGTAACTGTACAAAATGAAGGAGCATAGAAAAAAGACAAAAAGCACTTTTGTTGAATTAACTGCCAAGTGCCTTTAAGGAATAAAGCCAAATCATTTTTGTAGTACCATACTGAATTCCATCTTTTATTTTTATTTCTTTTTTTTCTTTGCTTATTTGCATCATGTTGAATTGCATCATATCGCAACAAATTGCATCATATCGTATCGGATCGCATTGATTTGAACTAAATGATTATTGTATCGTATCGCATCGTGAAGAGGGTGAATCGTATCGCATCGTATCGCCAGAAAATTCCAGGTATCGTTAAAGTATCGTATCGCTGGCAGTGCATCGAGATGCGTATCGAATCGACCTCAGTGCTGAGATTCACATCCCTAGTGTGAACGCACCTTAATACTGCTTACTCTTGCAATTCACTAGAAAGACTTGATAAACACCAACAATACATGATTATATTAATAACATTGTCTTGCTGTCATATTCATACCTGTCCAGGATCCTGCGTGTGCAGGTCTTAATGTCCTTCCCCCCAAGGTGTGACAGTTGTTTTATCTGTATGATACAATCAAATTATCAAGAGTGTCTAATGTATAGATTTCTATCATTTTTAGTATCTCTATTTGACTTACCAGTAAACGTTTTATGCTGGGGTGCCTACTGATTTCCAACGACATGCGCTGAGCCTCCGCCAAAGTCCTTAACGGCAACTGACGTATCCGCTCACCCTCATCTTCAATGTCCCCCTGCTGGTTGAGCGATTTCAATTCATCGCGGATTTCCCAAAGTGTTTCCACGACCACTCGCTGGAACTCTTAGTGAAAAGATTTGATTTAGTAACATTCAATTCAATAATTACAATACATTACATAACATTTTGTACTGTAGTTATGCCACTCTTACTTTTCTCAGGCATTGGGTAGGAATAAACCCTCTTCCTCGCTGCAAAATCCGAGAACGAGACAATAAATGGATGATGAGTGTGGTGCTTAACTTTGGCTGTTAAACACAAAATCATATGCACTATTTTAAAATAGCCCCCACCCTACTTAAAAACCACTGCTAAACCTGATAAATCCTTACCTTGAATCCAATTCAAAAATTCATCCATGAAATCACCCTCCCTAGCTCTTTTTCTCCGCCACTCTTTCAAATAATTAGAGGCCATATTCACATGAAAACACATGGAAAAAAGAAAGTAGAAAAACAATAATGTTAATAACAGTGTGAGCTTGTAGATCAACCTTTATAAAATTGTTTTGTTTTTTTAGTACAATTGGCAACTTGTGAAGCAGGACATAATGCATAATGAATACCGTCTGCTCTTGGTAAAAAAATATGTCGATACCAGTACTTTGAGATTTTTACTACTAGCATTTCCTATAGCACTGCTAATGCATTAACAAAATAATATTGGAATAATTCAACTAATGCATCCCATTTCTACCACACATAGTGAAAACACAATCTATGACAATTACAGTTAAACACAAATTTAATTATATGAAAAAATACCACTGGATAAACAAAAACAACAGTACTGGCATCAAAATAGGCTTCATTTTCTAATTAAATGGATAGCCTAACTAGCAGCTTTTAAACTTGGCTCCAACAGAGCGAGCAGGCCCTTATTTACTTTCACGACAACACACGTTAGCATGGACTATTTGATGCTGTTGGGCCCACGCTGGCAAACTAGCCACAAGCTAGCCCTCGTAGTAGCAACCAGGCTACATGCGAACTCGAGTTTAACATTTGCTGTAAATGCATTTCACCGTCACGCATCATGATGCGCGACGGTGGGAGGACCAAAGTTTGCAAAAATAAACATTTTCTATAATATCTCCCTCAGCACCCACCTCTTTTCAGCAGAATGTATAGCTCTCGAACTCCGCGACTCCGCGTTTGTCTAGATTCGGTCTATATGTAGACGTTGAAATGACGTATAAATTTATACGTCTAAATCACGTCTAAAAATAGACAGAATCCCGACGTTGAAATGAAGTATAAATTTAGACTAGCCGTCTAATTTACGCCTTTTGCTCAGTGGGACACTCAAACCGAGGCGGTGGATTTCCACAGAGTAAACAAACATGATAAAAAACATTCTATTGTTGAAATTAAGTGAATATAAAAGTGTAAAATAAGTGATTGCGGGTGGATTAAGAGTTTAGAGGAATAAACTGCTTTTAGATGGTGAGAAAATTTCGGTTTGTTTGAAATTATGTAATTAATAACGCCCGGTGGGAGTGGTCACAGGGTTCAAAAGAGGGTCACCTGAAGCTATCGGTCCATTTGCCACCAAACTAAGAGGAAGCAACACCTTCGTCCACAGCACAGGTAAGGACTCAGTGGGTGATCGTGACATGAAGCCTCTTGAATCATTATTTCCACGCATTTGCTTAGTCTGGTGTGAAACTTCATTTGCTCAACTGTGCCATAGTGGACAATAAATGTAAAACAGGCAGAGTGATTATCAGAGACACCCCCTTTGGTGTGCGAATCTCTGAATTGAATAAATGAATGAATGAATGTGACGCCATGTGTTTGAGATATCGATACAGAAATTATTAAGTTATTGATATGTTGTCTGTCTTTACGACACAGTAGCAGGGTGAAAAGGGGAACAGGACATAAATAGTAATGGAGACAGTTGTGATGTGAATGTGCTTGTGTGTAACTCGGTTTGTGACTGTGCGTTTGTTACGGGGACAGCATCGAACACGTTAATATTTCATTCATTTTCATTAAAAAACAACTCGTCAAGTCTTCGGACTTTTAGCGGTACTCCGTCGCGTTTCGCTGCCCGTTAGATTTTAAATCACCCGCCAAAACCGCACTTGGTACGACCGGTGTTCTGCCGTAGATTGCACCCCTGCCGCAAAATGCACCCACTGACGGAAGCGCGGTTGAAAGTACGGAACAAGGCGAAATAATCCAAGTTTTCCCTACCATTGGATGAATTAAAAAGTGTATGCCTTTAATGATTCTGTTCAGGTTGTCCGGATAAGCCGAAAACAACAGCCCTCTGATTGGGAATATTTGCTGTCCCAAAAATATAATGTTCTCTACCATAACAGCGTACTGTACAGTTTATAATACCCAAGTACACTTCTGTATGTGCATTTTTTAGACACATAAAAACAGAGGGAAAGTTTGCTGCTCCATTTGACATGTTGTCATGATCTAATACTCGTGTTTTGTTTTAAATATAAGATCATTTTCTCCTACTTTAAGAAGCTAATGAGTGGAGGGGATGCATTCCATGGCATAACACCGGCTCGCGAGGCTTCAAACGTTATCACATACGTCATCAACTAAAGCTTCGATACGCGCTTCGCCGAAATTTACTTGAAAAATTCGACTCGTATGGTTTTTTTTTTTTTTTCAATCTCTACTGAGCTAGTGTTTGAACAAAATGGTCTTAGGCATTCTTTCATATTTAAAATGCTTTTATTTTCATGGGATTATCATACAGGCCTGACATGTTTAAGCACTAACAAAGTTAAACACAAGACTTTTTCAGTAAATTTCCACTCTGGCATCAAGTTGTAGCTTGCAGAGGGTGTGTGTGTGTGTACACTAAATGCCCAGCAGATGGCGTTATTCAGGCCACTGGGCCTTAAAATCCTCCAACAGCTACACTAAACATGACTCCATGACACCTATAAAAACATTAAAGTGTTCTACTTTAATGAATAAGTTTGTTTTAAGGTTTACATGATGTTGCCATGAATATAATGTTCAGAAGACTGCATTTGGCCTTATTCTTGTTTTTCTGACCATATTAAAGACAATAAGATCTCAAAGCCCAATATGAAAAAGCGAAACTGCTTATTCAGATCTGTCTTAGTGTACCCTGAGTCTGCCGTGGAAAGTGCTGTTGTTGGTGTGTACTAACTGTGTTTGTTTGGTTTTTTTTTTTCAAGCATGTTCCTCAGACCCCAGCTGACTTCATGTCCTCTCAGTTGACTCCACTCCACTGAGGCCAAAGGTGAGACTGAGGCAGGGATGTAACTTTATAAGCCCAGAAAGAAAATAAAGATGAGGCTTGAAAATGGTCTTTAAATGGTCTGATTTGGAGCATGGCTGCCAACCATCATGCAAACATGAGCTGTTTAAAATGACTGGTAACACTTTACAATAACCATAACTTATCAATGGTAAATTGACCATTTATGAGTGGTAAGAAGATAGTTTATTAATATTTAAATAATTTATTAATAGCATATAGGCCATAAATAGTACATTTTACAATTTTATAAAAACCTTACACCTAACCCTAACGTTACTAAAACCATTTAAGTAATGTTTATAGGTGGTTTATAAACCAATTATTTATCAGTTATTATGGTTTATAATTAGTAATAATTATAAACCAATTTACAAAGTATTTCAAACATCAGTTACAACTTTACAATAAACCATCAAGTAATGTTTATAGATGGTTTAAGAACCAAATATTAACCATTTACTGACACACATTTTCATCTAGATGTTTTAAAACCAATATTTAAACCCTATATAAACCTTTTAATGAATAGTCCATTAATAATTAATGAAAATTATCAATCATTAAAGTAACAATTAACTTGCATTAATAAACTATCTATTTGGCATTTATAATTGGTCTATAGGCTTTTTTTAAATGATGATTAAACTTTAATTATCTATTTACCATTTATAAATTGTAGTTATTGTAAAGTATTTAAAATAGGGCTGAACTCATAAACTTGTGTGAAAGCTGATTATTGAAGGAGGTCAAAGAGGTCAAGCTTTTTAATTCTGAGTCTTTTATTCAGGACTTAAGGTTTGATGGTTGTGTATTTCTCTGTGTGTTAACCAGGAGCGGAAATTACGCCGCATCAAGTCAAACTGAGGCCGAACTCATGACCGTCCAACGCCTGGATCCTGTAAGGTAAGACATTTTCTACTTCACTCCACGGACAGACCATCAACGAGGGACACTGGAGGTCAGTTTGCTTTTGGTTTGACAACAACCGCACCAACAAAAACAAGAACCCCGCCATCAACAATCAAGCAGTGAAGTTGTTCTCTGCCCGAGTAGCAGGTTTTGGTCTAGTTTTGGTGATACAATTGTGGAGAGAAAGTGTTCTCTTCTGGGGTTGCAGATTTTTGTCTAGTTTTGCTCTGTTTTGGTGATGCAATTGCGGAGAGAAACTGTTCTCATCCAAAACCACAAAAACAAGAATCCCCACCATTAACGATCAGCCAGTGCAGCAATATAGACCTCCAAAACAAGTCTACTATCAGATTTAATTAAACAAAATAGCAACTCAGTCCTCAAAAACGTGTAAATCAACAAATTTACCAAAACAAAAATGAGAGTTCACTCGAATTACAATTTAACTTCCTGAGGGAAGCTTTAAAATAGTCGGGATGCGTCACAGGGATTAGATCTGATTTCGGCAATGCGTTTTTGGAAAGCAGCGTTTCTCTGCCCAAGTGGATACTTCTCCTCGACGCTCCAGACTACCTCAGATTTCCCTGATGTGCTTTTGGTCAAAGAAGAAAATGAAGATATAAGAAGACCTCCGAAAGGTGTAAAGATCTTCGACCAGGGATGGCTGCCCAGTGCACGGACCCATTTGAAGGACACCAACCAGGTTGATTATTTCATACTGCTTGTTTTTTCCCCCCTAATTTGTATTAAAACTGTTGTTTTCACTCTTATGAGTGATTATGAAAATGAAAACCCATTAATGTTAATTACAGTGGCTGTTACAAAGATAAGGATTCAAGGCTGTTGTAAGGATAATTAGACTGAAAACAAACCCTGCTAAACCTAAGTGCACAGTATTTTGCTGTGCTTTATTTTGACACTCTTGAATGAATGACAATGAAAATGAAAACCCAGTAATGTTAATGATGGAAACAGGAGCCGCAGTGGCTGTTACAAAGATAGGGATTCAAGGCTGTTGTAAGGATAATTAGACTGAAAACAAACCCTGCTAAACTCTAGTGCACAGTATTTTGCTGTGCTTTATTTTGACCTTGTAGACCAGTTTAGTATTTCTATTGATTGTAAGTTGTGCAAAGTGCTGTGAGCTAAGTCAGCAAGTACAACCTGAAGATATAAGAAGATCTCAAAAGGTGTGAAGATCTTCAACGAGGAATGGATGCCCAATGCACAGACCAGGTTGTTTTTTTTTTCATACTACTTGTTTTTTTTTCCCCTAATTTGTCTTAAAACTGTTGTTTTCACTCTTAAAATGAGTGATTATGAAAATGAAAACTCAGTAATGTTAATTACAGTGGCTGTTACAAAGATAAGGATTCAAGGCTGTTGTAAGGATAATTAGACTGAAAACAAACCCTGCTAAACTCAAGTGCACAGTATTTTGCTGTGCTTTATTTTGACACTCTTGAAATGAAATACAACAAAAATGAAAACCCAGTAATGTTAATGATGGAAACAGGAGCCGCAGTGGCTGTTACAAAGATAGGGATTCAAGGCTGTTGTAAGGATAATTAGACTGAAAACAAACCCTGCTAAACTCTAGTGCACAGTATTTTGCTGTGCTTTATTTTGACCTTTTAGACCAGTTTAGCATTTCTATTAAGTGTAAGTTGTGCAAAGTGCTGTGAGCTAACCCAGCAAGTACAACCTGAAGATATAAGAAGAATGATGTGGCCATCGGGATCAGCGTGGTGACACCAGAAAGACTTGGAAGAAGCAGGGTGAAGATGTCTGCGCTACACCTGGACCAGTACCCAGGTAGAAAAAAACCTCTGAACAGGGTCTGTTTTTTTTTCTTCTTTTTACATTTGACTTAAATATGATCACACTCCAAAAAAACCCTAATGATAAAATTTTTGTTTTATTCTGGAGTGACATGAAAACGAAAAACCAGTAATGTTAACTTTGATGCAGTGGCAGTAACAGCTGTCAAAACTGTAAGGATAATTATGCTGAAAATGAACCCAGCTAAACTTGTCAAGTGCACAGTATTCGACTGTGCTTTATTGATATGTCCAGCTAAACTTCAATTGTTGAATAGTATTAGGATCATGCTAATGTTAAAATGCAAAAACCTCAAAAGTTAAGATGAGAAGATCCAGAGGAACTACAAGAAGGACAACGAGAACTTCAAGAACAGCATGACAACGTTGACATGGCTTTTGCTGTAAGGTTGGTCATCTTTCTGAGGGTAGGTGAACATCTCCTTGTTTGTGGATGTGATCATCTTGATTTAAAACTCAAAAAAAAAAAAAAAGGTTTGAGGGGTGTTTTCCAAAACTTGATCTCAAATCCAGAAACAAGGTTCAAAGGTTGCTTTTCATGACTTGATCCAAACCCAGAAATAGGTTCTCAATGTGCTTTCAAAGACTTGGTTTCAAGCTCTACAAAGATTTGTAAAAGTTGCTTCCAAAGACTTGATCTTAAAACCAAAAAACAAGGTTTAAAAAGGTGCTTTTCAAAAACTGGTTCTTGAACAAGCAAAGACGGTATGTTAAAAGGTCTGGTCTCAAAAAGGTATGTCAAAAGCACCTTTTCTAATTTGACAAAAGCACCTAATCTAACAAGAGCACCTTCAAGCCTAAAAATAAATTGCCTCTACTCAATCAAAAATGGCATAAACCAAACAATCAAAGCTTTTTCTCAGCAGCACTATCACCGAGAACAAGAAGACCAATCAGAAGAACTAAAGGATTAGAAGAAGACCTGATGTGGACCTCGTGTGTCAACGCCCAAACCTCTGAACAGGACTGGGTCTGTTTTTTTTCCTTCTACATTTGACTTAAATATGATGATCACACTCCAAAAAAACCCTAATGATAAAATGTTTGTTTTACTCTGGAGTGACATGAAAACGAAAAACCAGTAATGTTAACTTTGATGCAGTGGCAGTAACAGCTGTCAAAACTGTAAGGATAATTATGCTGAAAATGAACCCAGCTAAACTTGTCAAGTGCACAGTATTCGACTGTGCTTTATTGATATGTCCAGTTAAACTCCTATTCTTTCATAGTATCAGGATCATGCTAATGTTAAAACTGCAAAAACCTCACAAATTAAGACCAACTGATCCAGAGGAACTACAAGAAGGACAACGAGAACTTCAAGAACACCGTGACAATGTTGACATGGATTCTGCTGTAAGGTTGGTCATCTTTCTGAGGGTAGGTGATCATCTTATTTTTAGATGTGATCATCTTGATTTCAAACTCGGAGGTTTGAGGGGTGTTTTCCAAAACTTGATCTCAAATCCAGAAACATGGTTCAAAAGGTGCTTTCATGACTTGATCCAAACCCAGAAATAGGTTCTTAAGGTGCTTTTAAAAGACTTGATTTCAAACTAAAAAACAAGGTTCCGAAGGTGCTTTCAAAGACTTGTTCTCAACCCAGAAACATGGTTCAGAAGGTGCTTTCAAAAGACTTGTTCTCAGACAAAAGGGTTTTAAAAAGGTGCTTTCAAAAGACTTGTTCTTAAACTCAGAAACATGGTTCAGAAGGTGCTTTCCAAGGTATGATTTCAAAACAAAAAAAATTCTAAAAAAGGTGCTTTTCAAAAACTTGATCTCAAACCAAAAAAGGCTTGAAAAGGTGCTTTCAAAATCTTTCTCAAACCAAAAAAGGCTTAAAAGGTGCTTTCAAAATCTTTCTCAAACCAAATACAAGGCTTAAAAGGTGCTTTAAAAAAAATAAAAAATAAGGTTCTAATAAGGTGCTTTCAAAGAATTGTTCTCAAACAAAAACGTGGTTCAAAAGGTGCTTTCAAAGAATTGTTCTCAAAGGGTTTAAAAGGTGCTTTCAAAAGACTTGTTCTCAATCCCAGAAACATGGTTCAGAAGGTGCTTTTCAAGGTATGATTTCAAACAAAAAAGGTTCTTAAAAAAGGTGCTTTTCAAAAACTTGATCTCAAACCAAAAAAAGGTTTGAAAGTTGCTTTCAAAAACTTGATCTCAAACCAAAAAAGGTTTGAAAGGTGCTTTCAAAAACTTGATCTCAAACCAAATTCAAGGTTCTTTAAAAGGTGCTTTTAAAAGACTTGATCTCAAACCCAGAAACAAGGTTCTAAAAAGGTGCTTTCAAAGACTTGTACTCAAACAAAAAAGGGCTCAAAAGTTGCTTTTCAAGGATTGATCGCAAACAAACAAAGGTTTGAAAGGTGCTTTCAAAGAGTGTATTTTAAACCAAAAAATTTTTTAAGGTGTTTTCAAAGCCTTAGTCTCGAACCAAAAAAGCTTCAAAACGGTGCTTTCAAATACTTTACCTCAAACCCCCAAAAAGTTTTAAAAGGTGCTTCCAAGGCCTTGATCTTAAACCCAAAATACAAGGTTTAAAAGGTGCTTAAAAAAACTGGTTCTTAAACAAGCAAAAACGGTATGTTAAAAGTCTGCTCTCAAAAGGTCTGTCAAAGCAACTTCAGCAAAATCACTAGCAACCAAAACTAAGTTTCAAAACCACCAACATCGCAACAACCGTCAAAGTGCTTCCAAAGTATCCAACGGAAACAACGACAAGACAGCAACGTTTGCACATTGTTTCTATCAGATGTAACTGTCAACACTAAACAGAACGAGGACAATAAACAAACTGTGTAGATCCTCCAACTGTTTTTGTTAAAACTGTAGTTTTTCTTATTTTTATTTATTGTTTGTATTTTTGTGAACCTTTTGAATCTCTGAAATGGAATCCTTGAACTGTGCTTGTAATGATCTGCATGTGTTGTACTTTTTTTTTTTGGTAACTTATTCGCTGTGTGTTTGGCCATGTTTCTTTGGGTGGATTTGTATGTCTCTGCTTTCCTCCGAACATAAGCAGGTCTGACGAGGTGACCACTCTTTTCCTGGAGGAACTGTTGCTGCAGAAACTCAAAGTGCCGCCTTCCTGTTCCGTCTGGGAAATCCAAGGGTGGTCATCTTGTCGAAGGTAAGATGAACTTTTCATTGTGGTAGCGTTATGTTTTCACCAAAGTAACCACAAGAAAGCATGTAAGAAACCAGGTCCTGCATTCTGATAACTTCATCCATATTCAGTTTAAAACAGATTTTCTAATGCTGCACCTCACCTTCACTGTTTTGAAGTCGAGTATTTTCTGCATTTGTATGTGTGTCTCTCTCCTTTTCCCCAACCATCACAGAAGTGAGCATCTTCAGTGTTGAACCTGGCAACCACCAATGTCTTCAGGAAGGATCTAGATCACCTCTAAGAGACGAAGTCAGGCATCCTTGTGCTGCAGGTAATATGTGACGGGGAACACCACTTAACACACTGTCCTATTGTCACCCAAATGTCTGAATGCGTCAACTCCAGAAACAACTTCTCTGGTTATTAAATCATATTCACAAAGGCAATGCGACGTGGGTGTGCCTCAGCTGTTCTACCAAAGTTAAGGCCCACCTAAGCTCGATCTATGCCTGTTTTTATGTTGATAACATGTAAGGCTGGGTCAGTGTTTCCAATGTCGTGACTATAACCTCTCTTCGAAAACCAGTAGGTGATGCAACAGCTGTGTATTTTGTGAGTACTTTGTTGTTTGCAGGTAACTCAAGGATGTGGATGCAGGAGAATATTAGCTCTTAAGTGACGCTGCAGCCTTTTCTGATGTTTAACTGTACAGATTTGTGTGTTTCTGTCTGTAACAATCATACTCATTTTCTGTGCCTGTAAAGACATAGTTTTATATGTTATTTTTCAGAAACAAGTCCTGATGCCCTCTAGAAAAGAGCCCAGCTGGAGAAGTGTGTCCGACGTCCCAGTCGAACGATAAAAACATTTCAGCCATAAGGTGGGTTATTTTTATCAAAAAGGTAGGTGAATGTCTCTATTGAAACACAACAGCTGAAACAGTCATAGTACTCTGATGCAAAGATGCAACACCACAAGGTTCAACGATCAAAAACACAACAATCAAACCAAAAACAAGGTTTAAAAAGTGTTTTCAGCCACACAACCACAAACCAACAAGGTTCACAACGATGCGTTCAAAGACAATATGGAAACAGACAACAAGGTTCATGAGGTGCTTTCAGGGACATGATGGTAACACAAACAAGGTTTAAATGGTGCTTTCAATGACATAACAAAAAGGTTTAAATGGTGCTTTCAATGACAAAAGGACAAATCAACAAGGTTTTAAATGGTGCTCACAGGGACACAATGGTAATACAAGGTTTAAATGGTGCTTTCAATGACAAAAGGGAAAACCACCAACAAGGTACAAAAGGTGGTTTTAACTCAAAAGTTTGACAACAGTCAATGAATCAAGAAATGCTAAAAACACTAAATAAAAACCAAACAAAAAAGAAAATTCACAACCAACCGGAGAATGGTTCAGCATCACTCAAGGTTAAAAGGGTTTTATGACTTTAAAAAGGTTATTTATGTTTTCATGAAACTTGGTTGGCATGAAAATGTCAAAAAAATGTCAGTTGCAAGTTTTACCAAATACTTGCTGAGCCCACCACTAAAACAACAAAATCCAAAAAGCAAAACAACAACTCTTAAGGAAACAACAAATCAGCAAAGTTCACTCAGTTCTCCAAAAGGAAACCAACTCAACAAGGACAACCTCAACATCAACTACAACTTCAGGCCTCACCAATGTCTCCTCTACAGCTTCAACTAAAATGAGGGGGACAATGAACTGTAACCATAAAATGTTTTTTTGTTTCTTTTTTGACCCTCCAGTCTCTGTAAAAATCTGAGATCTGTACTTGTCATGTTTTTTTGTGTCCTGTTATTCTGTACGAGGTTTTTATGCCTCCCTTTGGCTGCACATGTATGTCTCTGCTTTTCCCCTAAACATGACGGAGGTGTCGAGCCGTGGCGTTGGATGTGCTGACCACCACCAGGTCCTGGGAGGATCTGATGCTGCCCCACTTCGATGAGCTGCTCCTCCATCCAGACTGGGAAGTTTTTAAGAGTCACCGTCAAGCTGAAGGTTTCTGAAGTTCTCTTTTAATGATTTTGAGAAACTTTTCAAAGTTCTTGTAGTTGTTTTCACCGAGGTCCAAACACTCCAGCTTTTCTGGGGGTTTGTAGACGCCCAAGAGAAAATTGATTTTAAATCTGTCTGTTGAATCTTTTAAGTCTGTTTCCAATGTAGTGACCCATCTTTCTGCTTCTCCAAAATCTATCTTGGGTTGTTACAGTCTACATCCAAGAAGACCCTGGCAGACCCCATCACCTGCTGGACTCTGAGCTCCTGCATACTGGGTTACAGGTGAGCATGGAGTACAGATTCCACCAACTACAAAAAAAAAACCTGGTACAGCAGTTTTATCTGATGCATCCAGATTTCCTAACCCCTGCCAATTTTAATCTCTCCCAAACACCAGTGCTTTGCCCACTTTGAGGGACGGATCTTCTTCATTCTGGACCCCTTTAACTGAAGTCTGCACCAGCACAGAAACCTGCCTCTGGACACCATCCCCGAGAAACCGGTACATAAAACAGAGATAATGATTCACTTATTAGTTAAAAACTGTGCCGGTCTAAAGAATAAATTTGTCCTTTTTGTTTTAAGACTACACCGAGACGTCGATGACCCCCTCTTGCTCCAGGACCCGGCTGAAGAATGAAGACAAAGACTTGGTCCCCTGATTGGAGGTAAGTCAATCTTTGCGAGTGGTCTTGCTTGTTTCAGTCAAAGTTTTATGGTGATAAATTGATGTTAACAGTCCACTAACTGGATCTGATCCCTGTCTGCCTTCTGTAGTCACCACCCTGCAGGCGGACTTCCTGTCTCACTGTGAGCCCGTAGACCTTCAACCTCGTCCAGAAAACCCTTACTCAGGACATGGTGAGTGCGCCTTTCTCTTTCAGGCTCTACTTTGAGGAGCACACATGAGCAGCTTTCTTAAATCCTTCTAACAGATGAGTCCGTTAAGATGATGATAGTTGGATGTTTTTACTCGATGGGCACAGATAAACCTCCACAACCCATGAAGAGTGCAAGCTTTGCTATGTCACTGTCACTTTATAGATCTCCTCCACCTTTATATCGCTGACATTATCAGTATTATTGACATTATAGGATTTTCACTGAGACCTTTTCTGACTGATAGAAAACTAAATGAAAACGAGGCAGAATATTCACTCATGACAGTTTTCTTCATTTACAGGAGGATACTCGAGTCTCGACTGAGGACCAAGTGATGAAGATGGATGACCTGTCTGTGACACAAGGGTCATAGAGGATAGTTCTGTACTGATGAATCTATTATAAATTATATATTATAAATATTATTCATCTGTTTGACCAGATGATGTGTTGTTAAACTTGCTAACATTTGAGTTTCTTTGGTGCAAACCTGTAAGATCTACAGCTAGTAGAGTCTTCTTACAATTGTAACCAGGTGGTTTTTGTGTTGTACTGAATTTGATTTCTCATTATATTTGTAAAACTAAATGTTTAATCTGAGCTTCATTTATGGCTTAAACTTTGTTAAATGGAGGCTGAAACTGTGACAGCATGTAGAGAGCTTTTTGTCCACTGGGGTTTTTTTTCCTTCAATATTTTTCCCCAGCTGGTTTTTCATCTCTACCTCCACCAAACTCACTCTGTACACAAAGCTTGTCTTAAATGTCATCTTTTTGGATGCACATATTCTATTTTGCTCATATTGCTTTGTCTTTATTTTGTTCATTTTTCTGTCATGCTTTATTCCTATCTCTGCTCCATGTTTTTTTGCATTTGTATTACACATATAACTAACTTTTCACATATTTTGTCTGAGTCAATAACTCTCTGACAGTGAAATACCGTGATTGTGTTTGGTAAAACTTGTCAACTTGACTGTTTTTAAATAAAGTTTTGTTTAAATGGAATCAAAAACTTTTCTCTGGAGGTCAGTTTTTTATTTTGATAACATGCACAGTAGGTTAGAAAGTTTTAAAATCAGACGTGAACACTTTTAAAATCAGTTCTCTGGCAAAATTGAACCTAACCTGCTCGGGACCAGGTTTAACTCAGTAAACCCAGAGTTTCAGGTGAGACATCTGCATTTGCATCATGTTTTACATTGTCAAGTAAGTATTAAGTGGCAGTTTGATCCCTTACAAAATGCTCTTTTCACACTCAAAAATGAATTTTACTCTCTTATGATGTTCCGTTAAATGATTAGGAAAATTAAACTAACACAAAAACGGGTGGCCCAGCAGCCCCACCTTTGACGGAGGCAGAGGAGCTGCCCCCCCCCCCCCCCCAATGTTAAACATGCTCAAAATGCAGATGTCTCACCTGTTTGCACAATGTTTTTATATTTAATTTTCAGCTGCTGCCAAGTGCACTTTTGTCCCACTGGATTGCACCTACATAAAATAAATGAATTTGCTCCATGCAAGCAGTTTCCCCTGCAACAGTCTGTCATTGTGATTGCACAAGACTAGATTTAAAGTTACGCATTGACGCGAACAGCAATTTCCTTCCATGCCCTCTCCCTCTCCTTTGCAGCTGCTGCTGTATTGCACTTTCTTTTAAAAACGTGCTGTAATTCGCCGTTGGCTTGCTGCTGCCCCCTCCTTCTCCCTGTTTCCATTGGTTGATCAATGAATCTGGGCTCCACAGATGCTGGCTGTTTATGTATGGCGTGCATGTGCTTAACTCCAGGTCAAACTACTCGGAGTTGCTAAAACTGACTCAAATCAGGTTTTGTGAAACCGGAAACTCAGAGTTTCCTATCTCAGAGTAGATCAACTCAGAGTTAAGGATTTGACTCAGTTTGTTGAACCACCTACGTGAAACGGACCCCTGACATCATTTTATCTTTTCCTAATTTAGTTGGCAAAGAGACTAAACACAACTCACCTACTCTCTTCCAGCAGCCACTTGTTTGTAGGGAGAGCTCGGACGAGTCCATCAACTGCTGCGGGGTGACTCAGCTCAATGAAGAATGTTTATCATTTCTTTTTGGAAATGCAATCAGACCAAGATGATAAGGCAGAACTACTGCGTCTGCAGTGCAAAATAATTAATATGACTAATCCTTCAAGAATATGATCGAGTGTTGTGTATTGCTATTGTGTGGTCGTTGTGAAAGTTGGTGTAATTAGAGAAGCTAGCAGTTGGCAACATTCATCTCTCGAGGGGGTGTCTAACTCAGTGTGATGGTGTGTTTGACCCCAACTTAATTTTACACCGGAATTTCCCTTTAAGTCATTGAGAATTTAGCTGATTAGTACAATACTGCATGAGAATGAAGCTCATGGGTCTGATTCCAGAAAAATAAACCTGTTAGAAAATATTGATGCCAGACCCGATAAACTGTTCATAACTTTTAATTTGGACAACAAGGATTAAACCAATGTTAAAATGACATCAAATCCAAGGCCTGGCTGGTAAACCTATTTACCAGCCAACTATTAAGAGTTGAGGAATGAAAGACAGATGGAGGGAAATGGGGCAAAAAGAAAAGTCAAGCTATCAACTCAAGTCACCCTCAATATAAGGATTCACAGATGCAGGGGACCAAAGTTACAAAAACTTCTTCTAAAATAAAAAAAGGCCTTTGCCATGAAAATGATGTGTAGAATTTATGTACATCATTCTCGAATCATGTATGCATACAAAAAAATCCACATCACAAGATGCTTGTGTTCAAGTATATTCACCAACTTCATCTCCATGATTTAGCATTCTCATCTTTCCACATTTTTTGAAATAAAATGTCCTTCAAAATAAAATCAAAATGCAGAAACCACATTTTATGTCCTACCAATACATATATACTGTATAAATACATACATAAATATATTTTACATACAACAGCCATAAATTTGAAAAGGGGATATACAGAGCAAAGGAGAGGGGGGTGGTAGTGTGTGTGTGTTTTAGCTTGTGTTGTAAAATGGTTTGTCCTTCTATGATCTCATCAGTCTGATACACAGGAGTGGTGCTGTGTGACGGTGTCTGTCCTTGCACACGCACACAAACACACATCATCATGGTTGTGGCCTTCTCAGTTAGCCCAGTAGGGGGAGCTGCCGTAGCTCGACTTGTTGACTTGGCTCTTCTGCTGCAGGCTGCTGGACTGGCCGCGCTGGCTAGGACCACCCTGATCACAGACAGAGATCCGAGTGAGCTTTGGAGAAACTTTCGATCTGTTTAAAGCTGCTGAAAATGATCTGAGTGGTACCTGTCCATCCTGAGCTAGATGGTGGTGCAGCAGCTGTGAGTGTGGTTGCTGGTGAGGCAGGATGTGGAGGAATGGGGCTGGTGCATAGCCTCCAGGAGCTGCTCCGGGGTTCAGAGGCCCTGGACCCCCCAGTGCTGATGGCAGGCTGAAGGGAGGAGGGGTCCCTGCATGGAAACCCTGCTTATCAAAAGACTGGGAACAGAGGGTAAAGTCAAAATTAACACTAAAGGAAAAAAACAAAAAACTAACCTGGACTATGACACAAATAATACACTGTCTGGGTCTCACCTGGGTCTTATTGTAAACACTTCCGCTGATATCTGGCACACCCGAGTTACTGGACGTCACTGATACGCCTGGCAGAAATACAGAAGCACGATCGACGTTTAAGATTGGATTCCACGACTAAGACACGACACTGAATGTTTGTATTTTGCTGACTCTGTACCTTTGCCGGGCCCAGAAGCAGCAGATTTGGCTTGTGCCTGTGAGGAGGAGTTGTATCCTTTACTGTAGTCCACTCCTGCTGGCCCCGCTGTCAGCTCCTCATACCCTGGAGAGGAAAACATCCGTGTCAGAGACAGTCAATTATACCCAACACTCAAAATTAAACAAGATTTGAGGAATAACTGAAGCCCAAATCGAATAATTCCCCTAAACCGTTCACCTCCAGTGCTCTGACTTACCTGAGCTGAAAGTGTGCTGGCCATAACCACTGGGCTGCTGCTGTGTCTGCTGCTGAAAGGGGCTGGCTGAGGGGTTTCCCAGACCAAGACTCATGCTGTGCTGCTTGGCTGAGGCTGGTCCCGGGCCCCCGGGGGGAACGAACATGGTGGGGCCATACTGAAAGGCAGCGGCACTGGGTACAGCTCCGGGCACCCCAGGGTAGTAAGGCAGGCCAGTATAGCTGTAGCCCGGAGGCAGGAAAGCCTGCTGACTGCTGTGGTGCTGTGGCTGGCCCTGCGGCTGAGGCTGGGCCTGGGGAGGCTGAGGCTGGGCCTGGTTCTGTCCTTGATTCTGGCCCTGAGGAGGCTGCGGGGCTGCAAGGCTTGTGGGGGGTGCTGGGGAGGTGGAGTCATTCCTGCTGAACTTGTTGACTTCACCTGAAAAATAAAGGAGGTGCCATTAGAGAACAGATTCTGGATTTAGGGATTTCAGAAAAATGATTTTCCCTGGTTACCATTTTTTCGAAGTTCCAGTCAGAGCCAACCACGGTAAAGATACCTTACCTGAGTAGGGGTTGTTGGTCAGGCTCCCGTCTCTGCCTGAGAGCGTTGCAGTGGGGCCAGGGAATGTGATTCCATAGTAGTCCTGTAAAGAGGGCTAAAGGGAGAGTACAGGTTGAGGAGAGGAACCACACAACAACCAAACAAAATGAATGACTTCTGTGAGCCCTGTTGATGAATCTCACCATTGGCAGTCTTGACTGGAGCATATGAAGGTCCTCGTAGCCATAGATCTGCTGTGAAACACAAGAGACAGGTACAGTCAGCTAGCAATACTAAAACTCCTGTGAAAGTTTAGATCTGTAAAGCACTGTTATGAGTAAAATATCTCTGAAAATATCACATTTTAGTTGACTTATCCTTTTAGATACTTACTGGGTATGCAGGCAGCAGCCCACCGGGCCCCATGATGTACTGGTTGGGCAGTAGAGGAGGTACTCCTTGGGACAGGTTAGGGGGAGCTTTACCTGCCAGAGAACAACAGTCACTTTTGTATACTCAGCTTACACTGGCGTTTAAGTGTCTGAACAGCAGTTTAAGAACAGCACAGTACTATATGAGTATATGAGCGGCATAGGTTACCAGCAGAGGAGGAGAGCAGAGGTGTGGTCCTTGGTGCAGAGAGGTTGGACGTGGCAGTAGCTCCATTGGAGCCAAGTCCCAGCGCTGTGCTGGTGGCGGCAGCAGAGTGAAGTCCACTGGTGCCAGCAAGACCACCAACTGTGCTGCTCATGCTGTTATTGCCCATATTGGGCAGGTTGGCCAGGTGGCTGATGCCGCTGCTACTGTTGCTGCTGTTGTGGGTTGAGTGGAGTGCTGAGGCGGAGGGCTGCGATGAGGTGTATGAGCCAGAGGAGGGAGCCAGAGAGCTGACACTGCTGTTGCTGTTTTCCACACTTGTATACTGAGAACAGAGGGAAGGGGATATTTGTTAAATTTAGGGAAGTGGTCTTGGCCTTGCATGAAAACACTTGAATGCAGATATGGGGTCTGCACTGCAAATTCTTAAACACCAATGTGTCATGGCTCTGTTTCTTTATCATATGATTCCTGTTTTAGTTGTCTTTATTTGTGTAGAGGATGTATTCGACAAACTGCTTAAGCTGTTTAGTTGCATATCATCACATAGGATCAGTCATCACTCAGAGAGTTTAAGCCACAATGGAGGGCAAAGGTGAAACTTACAGTGAGGGAGCTAGAGCCCAGAGCGGAAACTGAGGAATGACTGCTGACATGGCTGTGAAGGAGAGACAGAAATACAGAGTGACAATTCATGAACTGTTTTGGCAGTGAGAACAGAAACATTCAAGGTTGTCTTTGGTGTCATCAGTCATTAGTCAGTGTGTGTGTGTGTGTGTGTGTGTGTGTGTCACCTGTTGAGAGAGTTGAGCTGGCTGACTGTAGGAAGGTCCTGTGCCAGGTTGGAGAGCGTGGTGGAGCTGTGTGCAGGCAGGGAAGAGGGTAAATGAGAGGAGGGTGCTGAGGCACCATTGGTGCTGATGTTCAGAGATGGCGAGTCTGGCTTTGGCGTGGACGACGCAGACGAAGCTGGGAGGAATAGGAAAGTTAAAAGGCTTTAGTTTGTGATTAGACATCCGGAGAGATGCCTGATAGTGGACATCACATCTTTAAATATTAATTGAACAGCTGATTAAGTGATATGAAACTCACTGTCCAGAGCAGAGGTCCTTACACCGTTCAGACCATTCTGTTGAAGAAGAAAAACAAAGCTTAGAGTTTGCCTTAACTGGAAACAGACAACAAAGAAACACCCAAATATTTTCAACACATCAGAGTAAAGCTTAAATAGACCATATATGTCAGGGCTCGACAGTGCAACCGTTTCACTCGCATTTGCGACTGAAAACAGATGTGTGCGGATTGTGAAATGTATTTAGGGACACGTGCGCATAAAAAAAAAAAAAAAATCAGCCGAGGCGACTTAAGTTTTTTCATGTAAATATCGCAGTGAAGTTAGTTTTAGGTTGGATATCGGACGGACATTCACTGAGGATCTACCAGTGTCTCTTCACTCTCCATAACTGGGAATAGCAACAGCAGCACGGTTAAATTTGCTTGGTACCCTCACTGTCAACGTCGGGTGTTAAATAAAGGACCATCAATAAATTACCAGTTGATGTTCTCAAAAAAGGCTGTTTTCTTTCAATAGCTTTCATGTCATGTAACCAATTGACCCAAAATTTATTTCAAATAATAGTGCGAAGGTCGGACAAGAAGACACACCTCTTTATTTCCCTAATTTGTCCTCTAAACATTTTTGAACATTTTCTTCATGTGACCAAGAGACTTCAAATTGATTTCAAATAATAGTACTTATGTCGACCAATAAGACACATATTATTTGATCGATTTTGATTGTGCCCCTGAAGTTCTTTGATGGTTCCTTACTTATTCAATTTACGAGCACATGTGCTTTTTTATTGAAAAAAGTTAGTGTCAAGCCCTGTATGTTTAATAATGAGTTAGGGTTTTTCTTTATTTTAAAACAATATTTTCCTACAAGTGGAATAACCCTCGGGAGACTCTATGACCTGTAATTTCTCAGTCTATTCCTGTTAAATCAGATGCATTTGGGTTGTTAACTCTAATTCACAATAACATTTCTTATGAGTGTTTGAATGTACATTTCTCACTCACATCTTCAAAAATTAAAAAGGCCCTGAAAGACGGTGTGAGCATTTCTTTCAGCTGTTTCTACTCACCATGACTGGCCCCGAGGCCTCTTTGCTCTGAGAAAAGGCCAGTCGTGTGTGAGGGGGCATGGTCCCATCGTAATTCCCCCCTACTGTGGAGAAGTGAGAGGAAGGGGGCACAGAAGAGGAGGTGGTGGAGGCTGCAGAAGAAGAAGAGGGGGGATTGGTGGAGCTGGCGGTCCCTAATGAGGAGGGAGGGAGGCTAGATAACGCCACCGAGGAGGAGTGATATACTGGCTCGGATGATGACAGAGGGAGGGGCAGGGCAACAGAGAGGGGGCTTCCCAGTGACTCACTGCAAGACAACAGCGGGGAGAAAACATCACTTGTTTTTCAGCGCTCTAAAATAATGCGTCAAATCTTTGTGCAAAACTACACTGAGAGTCTTTTAGCTTGTCAGTCTGCAGCAGTGGCAGTACCTGAGTGGTTTGGAGTACAGGCTTGTCTGGCTCTGTGTCCCTGGTCCTGGAGCAGTAGGTGCTGGGGCAGGGGCCGGTGTGGACTCCCTGGATACCGCACCTACACAATTGTCCACAACTCCAAAGTCTGGCAATGCAGACTCTGAGCCAAAGTCCAAAGCCCCAAACTGGAGGTTTAGCCCGGGGACATCAGTTGAGCCTGGCATCTCTACAGCTGTGGAGGGAATCTGCAAAGAAAGACCAAAAACAGTGTCAGGTCTAAGAATTGTGAAATTAACATCTAATTTTATCGCAATCTGATAATTTCAACTTTTATTTTAGTGAGAGAGGTTTCTAGAGTAAAAAGAAAACCTGTTCTTAAATCAAAAGGAGCCAAGTGCATCGACCGGTACTGTTCATCTTTTACCTTTGATGTGGGAGGTATCCTTCGTTTCTGGCCTTTCAGCACTGCCCGTTGCTGCTGTGGTGTACTGCCACCCTGAGGGTCCAGCCCTGCACTGGGGGCAGGAGGTTTACCAACAGCAGCTGCCATCACCGGGCCTGCCTGTGTAGGTGTGCTGCTGTGCTGGGGGGCCGGCGAGGCCGAAGCAGGGGCTGATTGTTGTTGCGACGGAGGGCTGGCTTGACGTGCCAGGGGCAAGGACGGGGTGGTGTGCCTCTGAACCAGCTGGCTTAACACGAGAGAAGGCTCGGGCTGCAGGCCAAACTCACCTGCAGACACAGAGACAGGACAGGCATCTTAAATGGGCACTTAAAGGGATATTCTGGCGTAAAATTAAATTAGGGTCAAACACCACAACACCAAGTTAGACATCTCGTCGAGAGATCATTTCTTCATGAAAATGCAATCAGACCGAGACGCTAAGGCAGAAGAACTACTGTGTCTGCAGTGCAAAATGATTAATATGAAGGTTATTACTTCAAGGAAATGATAAAGTAATGATCATAAATGTTCTTCCTTAAGCTGTGTCACCCCGCAGTAGTCTGTAATGGACTGGCCCGAGGTCTTGCTACAAACAAGCGGCTGCTGGAAGAGAGTAGGTGAGTTGTGTTTACTCACTTTGCTGAAGATATTAAGCAAAGTTAAAAAGATGTTTGGTGGCTAGTGCTATGGCTGGGACCCTATATGTACTGTTGATGAAGGTAGGTGCTGTTCTGAGCATTATTTGTGGCTATAGAGTGGCGTTTTATTTGAGATTTGTGTATGGCTCCTCAGACCGCTGTGTACTGCTATTCTACAGTTGTTACTAGAGCTGGTGTAACTTGAGAAGCAAGCATTCGGCAACATTCATCTCTTAAGGGGGTGTCTAACTCGGTGTTACAGTGTGTTTGACTCAAAATTAATTTTTCCCCTGATTATCCCTTTAACAGGCCGAAAGACCACATACATACCACATACATACATAAAAACACACATACCCGGCACCATTCATGAAAGATTAATCTGTGTGTAGATTTGAACATCAAAGTCCTTATTATTGAAAACCTACACAGGATTCATGACCATGGAGGGAAACTCTGGTTTAATTGTAGGCACCTGTATGTTCATATACGGTGGTTTTTGTCAGTACCTACTTAAGGATTGATCTAAAGGAATTAATCTTACCCTCGTTTCATGAAGGAGACCCACTGTGTCCAAGTAAGGTGAGGGTTCAATACTTACGACTGAACTGTGACGAAAGCGAGTTGGAGTTGGGTTCTGAGGCCTTCATGTCCCAGCTAGATGAGGAGGGTGGAGGTACAGGTCCTCCCAGGCCTGGTAGCCGGCCAATGGAGGTGTTGCTTCCTTGGGTGCTGGCAGGAGGTGCAGCCTGGGATGAAGGTAGCGGCCCCAAGCCAGGACCCTTTAGCTGCTCCAGTATCTGAGCCCCAGCACTGGGCTGATTCCTTTTGGCCTGGCCCAAGTCCCCGAAACCAGCCCCCAGGACCGACGACTGGTATAAACATGGGGAGAGAAAATCATCAGTCTTTGTTTGTCTGTATGCAGGTCAAGTGTGTACACTGTAGAAAGCAACACATATTACCAGAGCAGCATGAGCGTAGCTTGTGCTGCTGGTGGTGCGGCTGGGAGGTGGCTGCTGTTGCGGAGGCTGGTGGTGGTGGTGGGAGTTGGTGAAGACCAGACTCTGTGGGGAGGAGGAGGAAGATGGTTCTCTTCCTCCACCCACAGGCTTCTGCAGCAGAGAAGCGAGATCCAGACTAACACAGAAACAGTCGGTGGATTAAATACAGGAAGGCTTCAGAACGCTCAGTCATTAAATAGCTGCCACACTAACATTTGTCGTACTATAACCAAAGCAGTGTTTTACCTTTGCCCAGGTGTAATGTGATTCTCAGCAGGTGGTGCACATGAGGAGGTGAACACTTTGGTCTCTGAGAGCTGCAGACACATACAGACACAGGGAGATGTGTTATAAAATGTACAGAATGCCAAAATAGTGATAGAGTGGGTTCTCCTCATAGACTGTATATACTATGGACAACTTGATTCCACCTCCCGCCGATATACGGATTTTAAGCCGAAAAGCTCTCAGTATTTCTGCGATTTTTCTCCACTTCCTGAAACCAACATTGCGCAGTAGCATTGTACGCATTTGGCAGGAGAATTGCAGAGAGCCGCTGTGATGACGCGCTACTCAAACAATATATCCTCCAGGTGAGCTACGCAATCTTCATACACCTATAGGCTGTGTCAAGTGTCAATCATAGAAAACATGAACCCCCGGACAACTTCACCGAAAAAAGAGGACTTTAGTACAAACCAGTCTTACTATAACTGCATGTCAACATCAGAATCAGGGGGGAGAAAACTATATATTCTGTGTAATAAATTTCTAAAGTTTGTCCACAGCTCCACAAGCTTTGCTGGAGGAGGCGGGATTTATGACCTATACTACAGCCCATCACCAGAGGGTGCTGTTCTCGGAGTGGCTTCACCCAGCAAGGAGGCAGACAGTGTCCATTCTATATACAGTCTGTGGTTCTCCTGCTCTCTGTGTCTACTCACGCTAACGTCTTCACTCCATTCCTCAGCTGACCAGTCTTCCAAAGTATTCCTCCAGGTAACTAAAGGTCAAACCAAGATAGGTCACAAAGTTCAAATACATGCTCAGTAGGAAGGTAAATAAGATACAGGATGCAATTTATGTACATTTGTGTCAATTATAGAGAGCCAGACAGTGCTACTTAAGTAGAATTTATTTGTCCACATGCCGTATAAACCTGCAATGAAGAGCTCACCTGTCCCATCTGTGCTGTTGTTGGCCACTGTGTCCCATGACTCTGTCTGTGTGGTCCCAGTACCAGCCTCTGAGGTATAGTCTGCAGGGTTGAAGATTCTGGGAGGGAGTCAATGAGAGGTATAATAAATTACACTGAGATAAACTCAATGGGACCATAGATTAGGTCAGAGATTTAATCCCCTGAAAACCTTTTTTCTCTGATTATCTGTGTCTCTAAAAATATTAGACTTACATTACAGTACAGGCCAAAAGTTTGGACACACTTTCTCATTCAATGTCTTTTCTTTTTTTTTTATATGACTATTTACATTGTAGATTGTCACTGAAGGCATTAAAACTATGAATGAACACATGTAGAATTTTGTACTTAAGGGTGGCTACTTTGAGAAATCTAAAATATAAAACATGTTTTCAGTTATTTCACACTTTTTTCTTAAGCACATGATTCCTCATGTGTTCATTCATAGTTTTGAGAATCTACAATTTAAATAGTAATGAAAACAAAGAAAATGCATTGAATGAGAAGGTGTGTCCAAACTTTTGGCCTGTACTGTACATTATTCGTGTATTTCATGAAACCCATTAAAAAAAGCTTTCTATAGTTAACAGCCCTGGGTAGAAAATACAGTGAGATATGTTGAATATTTAGTTCACATATCACACATTTAGACTGCAGATCAAACACCCTAAATGCAATATTCTGACCTTCTTTTCAGGTAAAAAAAAAAAAATAATAAAAAATCATACTCCCAAAGGCCTTTCAAAGCCCCTTGTATGTCATGTGTGTGTGTGAGAGTGTGTATGTATTTTGTCACCGTACCCCATGCCCTGGGCTGAGAATCGGCTCCCTGCTGGAGCTCTGCCTCGGCCCCGACCTCCAGATCCTGCAGAACATCCACACAAAAGTCAACATCTATCCAAGTGCGGGTTGAACGGACAGCTACTTGATGTACCATACCTCTTCCACCTCTGACCCTCCGACCCCGATCTGAACCTTTGTCCACTGGTGTCACCTCGACACCATTCTCCTCTGGGCGGGCTGTACGCAGAGACCAATAACAGTTAGAAACCAGAATGATGTGACTGGTCATCTTGCTGAGGAGCTACAGGAAGTTGGGATAGCGACTGCTTACCCGGCCGACTGCGACTAGCTCCCTTGCCCTTGCGGTTGCCAGCTGCTCGGCCTTTGCTGGCCTCCCTCTCTCCTTTCTTCTCCCTGTTCTCTTTGTTTTCCTTGCCTTCTGATGGACCATCCTTTACCAGGGGTTTCTTCTTTCCAACTGTCTCCCATGAGGTCTTCACACAAAACAGGTACAACAAAATAAAAAACATGTAAACATAAAGTAAACAAGATGTAGGATAAGTGAACCAAAGCATCAACTGTCCACTGCATGTTTCTTAGGTCTCTTTCACACCTGACCAAGTGGACTTGGTTCAATTGGGGAGTTGAAAGTCGCAACATTGTTGCATTTATCACTTGTTTCGGTTCTGCTTTCACACTTATTTCTAAAGCACACCGAACTTTCCGAGCAGCATCACGTGGTTGAAAGGGGCGCTCGTCGATTGGACTAAGGAGGAGAAGTATGTAACCTCACGGATTACAAACAGGGGTGGACTAATCTTCTTGTATCGTGCTTCATCACATTATTTTATGGAATGCTACATCGTTAGTGAACGCAACTGTTCCTATAATGCTATCGTAGCTTGTCAGGGATTGATCCTGTTATTTTTCTAACTTTGACAATCTAACGTGTGACAACATATGAGCTCAGAGTTTAAGGACTGTGACTGTTGGTAGTTGTGATTTGATTTTGTTTAAATATGCCAAATTGTGAATTTATGGGTTATTGTTGTTTAGACAATTGAGCTAAGCTAGCTAGCAACTGCTAATGTCAGCGGTCACTTGTTGCCATATCAACAAGTGGCGCCATGCTTCCTCTACCCAAGATGCACTGCGTATAGCGTCATTACGTACATTTGGTCCTGTGTTTGGTCAGGTGGGCTTTCACACTGCATACAAACCGAACTAGGGTTCACTTGCAAGCGAACCGAGACCTACGTTTTCAGGCGTACCAGATTTTGTTTGTTTGGTTTGCACCAGAGTTCAGATGAGCTCTCACACCTGCCCAACAAAGTGGACTATCCGAGGAAACAAACTCTGGTCCGTTTAAGGCGGACCAAACGGTTCTGGAGTGAAAGCGACCTTATTGAACTCTCTGGGAAATACAGCAATCAGTCTTAGGGTGACCATATTCTGACTTCCCAAAAAGAGGACACGACTACGTGGGGGCGGGGTCGCACAAACACTGAGAGTTTTTTGGGTCGGGTTTTTTGGGTGCTTCTAACTCAGTAAGTCCACGTGACACAAAATCGAAACTTGCGTCCAAAACCGCGGACATCTGAAGGATTTCATAAACTTCCCCCCAAAAAAGAGGACATGTCTGGGTAAAAGAGGATGTATGGTCACCCCAATCAGTCTATATGTTCACATCGTATTTCAACAAGCAGAGCAGGAAAGTAGCTTTATGTTAAGGAATACATTTTTAATGTCTTCATATCAGGGACCGTCTTCTGTTACACCATTAAAAGTAGCCTCAGCGTTTCTATAATCCAGGTTTGAACCTCTGTATTTTCTTAAAGGGAGTAGAGAGACACCGTGTCTAACGCTGAAGGATTTTATGAAACATTTCTGAAGGCTTAGCAAATGTACTGCCAGCTATATTCATTACAAATGTGTGTGCTCAGGTATGCACTGTATGGTAAGAAAACAAATACCATGTAAGGTCCGGTAACAAGTTTGATGTGAAATATCAAAATATTTAGGTTTTCATTGCATACTACGACAGCAGAGGATTCCACAAACCATGTATTTGCTATTTCTGGATTTCCATGAAACCAAAACAACACTCTGGGTAGCTATCTGGCTGACTGCCCTGCCCTCCAGCCTCTCCTCACCATCTGTGCAGACTGGTATTTGATACAAATGTTTGGACATGAACTTCGACTTGTAATGCAAACAAAGAAAACTACTTCAGGGTGAGGTGGGACTGTTGAACTTTTTCTCTGTTCAGGAATAATGCTAATTATATGTTCTCATGCCTAAAATCTCTGGTGCCAGGAAGAGCTACAGAAGCAATAAGAAATAAAGCTCCGAGGCGGATTAAACTGTGCCTTAATTTTATGCTCGTAGAGGTCAGGTTCAACTTCGCCTCAGCACAGAATGGGTGTTTTCCTTTTATCCATCTGACAGGAGAATTATGGCTCTACTTAAATCAGTTCAGCTGTCGCCACAGGCCGAGCAAAGACTTGATTACCACTTTGCATATGTTTTAAAGGTGTAAGTACAATGATAGTGTATTGGCCTCTGGGTGCTGCTGACACAAAGCTGACCTTAGCAGTGTTTTATCTGAGCACATCCTGTGTAAACATAGATAAAGGATGTGCTTTAATACCTGTTAATCTACTGTGGTTAGAGAGTGAGCAGGTGTTAACTTCGATTTTTGATGGGCTGTCAGACTTAATACACTGGGAGTTCACATTATCCCATAAACTACTTAGAAAAATAAAAGTATGTCCTGCTGAAATAGCTCTATTTAATTAAAGGGAAGAACAACCGAGTTCCTAACAATCTTAATAAAAACATTTATACAGATTCATCAACTTGACTTTAATCCTTGACCAAAACATATGTTTTAGATAGGGTATAGGTATAAATCTATCCATATGTCCGTTAGTTATTCTGCTTATCTTTAAGTAGATGTAGGGGGCTGGAGCTAATGGCATCTGACATAAAGAAGACAAAATCATTGACAACCACTGACTCTTACATCCATATTTAAATGTTGAGTCACCCATTAACCTTAGCCTGTTTTACAGTTCAAAACAGTGGTGGTTTATGAGATTAAATAAGACATGAAAGGACTTACCATGTCCGAGGTGCTCTCCAGGAGGAAATTGATGGCCCGACTAACATCCTCGTTGCAGTCATGGAGTGCTACCATGCACTCATCTTGGTTCTTCCCAGTCACCTCCATCAGCTGGGAACAGCAACAATCACACATTGAAATAAAGGGACATCGGCAATCAACAGGGGAAACAACAACAGCAACAAAATGCCTGTTTCTGATCCAAATGACAGCCAAGTGTTCCTTACCTGGTTCACTTTATCCTCAAAGTCAGCATCATTCTTGTCATAGATCATCTGAGCAAGTCGGATCTGTTCAGCAGTAGCCTGCAACACAGAGACTGTTGTGTGACTACTTGTAAACACACCAAAGAGGGAAGAACAAACCACGTCCACTTAGTGTCCATTTTACTCAGGACACATACAGTGAAGGTACAAGGGTGGTAATCAAATCCCTGGACTTAAAGGGCTGAAGCAGCATGGGATGGGCCATTAAACCACTGAGCTAGAAAAGCATGATCCCCACTTGTAAAACTTATTGTCATCGAATACTGCATGCAAACTGGTGTTTCGCTCCAAAATGTTACATGCTCTAATAAGTTGATGGTTAGACTATTGTAATGGACTATACGTTGGCATCTCCCAATCATCTCTTAGTCGCCTTCAACTTGTGCAAAATGCTGCTGCCCGTCTTTTAACTAACACTAACAGACGAGAGCACATCACTCCTGTCCTTCGCTCCCTTCATTGGCTTCCTGTCTCTTTTAGGATTGATTTTAAACTTTTGTTTGCTTTTAAAGCTCGTTACGACATCGCTCCCATCTTTTTAGCTGAGCTTTTAACTGTTCGGGAACCAGGTAGAGCTCTGAGGTCATCAAATCAACTTCTGCTGGAGGTGCCCAGGTCAAAACACAAACACTGGGGCCTTTTCGGTTGCTGATCCCAGGCTTTGGAATAAGCTCCCCAACAATGAGACTTATTTCCGACCTGGGCCTTTTTAAATCCCGATCAAAAACGTACTTATTTATGCTGACCTTTTATACCCAGTAGTGTGGTGACACTTTATTTTATTGCATTGTATTTTATTGGTTTTATTGTTTTTAGTAATTCATTTTTATTTCCTATGTATTGTAAAGCACTCTGGTTCACCGAGAGGTTTGTTGTAAAGGGCTGTATAAATAAAGAACATTTACATTCACAAAATAACTGCGGTTCAGGGAGTGTGTTGTAATTAAGGGTTTTTCGGATTATGCGGTTGCAACGGCTCACCTGTATCTGTTTCTGTGGTTGTGATGTGTGAGTGGGAGCAGGCAGCGCTTTTTCCCGAGGGGCCCGGGCCTTGTCGCCGCCCAGCGAGCTCATCCTATACAGTATATACAAAACTCTGTATGTACAAAATAGAAAAATCTACGAAAGAAAAAACAAACAAACATGGAAGTATGAGTTGTTAAGTATACCTCAAATTATTTGAAAAAACCACAAACACACACTCAATGGGTTCATTCACAATAAGAGCATCAAAACTTTGCCCTGCATAAAATAAGGAGTTTAAATTATGGAATAGTGTGTTGTGAGCTTAGCAAGGCCTTATTGCACAATCATGAATGCTGCCCTTATGGAGGATGTAAGAGTTGGCAGGGTGACAGAACAGCTTTGCTGAAAATCTAGGTCAAGGAGGGAGAGCGACCCAATGTCCTCTTACAAACAGCGGAGACCACAGAGAGAGAGAGAGAGAGAGAAGAACAAACTCTTCTCACTCTGACCTGATATCCCCTCTGTTATTGAGTTCAGAGCAGCAAAGATTGTAAAGAAGCATTACGCATCCTAAACACTGAACTGCTGCAGTGCATTTCTTAACCCTTCTTATTTGTGACATAAAAACCCCGTACAATTTACATATTGCCTCGTATGTGATGACAAATACAGCACTGATCATTTCTTGTAGTATAAACAAACGTCAACAACACCACAAAGACTGGGTTTGTATCTACCAGCACAAGCAAAAGGTAAACCCTGCACGCGTTATCACGAAAAATGTCTCATAAAGCACAAGACATTCAAACTTTATCACTGATGTCAATCCCTAAAATGATATGAAGCGATATCCTTGCTGACCCATTTGTTTTATGTCCGAGAACAATAGCGATCCAGCTTACAGTGACGGAGTGACGTGAGCCGACGCACGTCTGCCATTGGCTGCTGCGCGGAACAAAGCTAGCGCAGAAAGACGAACTGTATTAAAATTCACCTTTAGATTAATAAATCTTATTTAATTGTACAAGGAAAACCTCTAATAGATGTCTACAGTTTCTCTTTTTTAAATAAAAAAATCATCTGTTAACGTTACGTGTCACAAACAACAACAAAACAAGCAGTCGCTAACTCTACACATCACAATCACTAGTTCTAACATACAGTCTAAATTAATTAATTAGTTAATACATTAATTGGGCATTTGCGTCAACTAGTATTGGACCGTGTTATAGAAGACAACCTCCAAGCCAAATTTTAATCCAATATCGAAGAAAGCTTATCGTTGTTTTGAGGCAGTGCTAGTGTTAGCCAGGTGCTTTTCGGCTACTTAATACTTTCAAAAGACTACACAGTCGCTGTTGTTTACAGTATATCGGATTTTTTCCTGCATTGCTTAAGACTTAAACACAGATAGACATGGTGCTGTTGTCAGTAGGCTCTCTTTGTCCTCGATGTAGCTCTTCCATGCTAACGCTGACACAATCACCGTCGACTGAGAACAAACGATGCAGCGGGGATGGAGCTAGCTAACAATGCTATCTAAATCTGCTCTGAGTTCACACAGCAAACCACGACCTAACAGGCGTGTTTAAGTCGTTGTACATATTAGTAGATTTACACAAATGTAAAACGACAGTCTGAGTTCTATCAGACGTGTGGACAAGAGGCCAGCCAGTAAATAACACCTCCGTGAGAATGCCAGAGAAAAAGGCCTCATAGCGGAGCACAATCCCATCCCGACATTGCTCGCCGGGGAACAAGACAACAGAAAAATTGCGAAAGACATCCCTCACAACCGCGTGAAAGCGAGACTACGAAGCCAGGAACAAACTATAACGGCGAAAACGCCCCTCAATGTAAGGTTCAGATGTGCTGAAACAAAGAAATTGAAGTTGAAAAAGATAAATATTTGTATGTTTTTGTTACCTGCTAACACGCTTCACTCAGCCAGCAGCAGACAAGATGGTCACGTGACGAGCGCTGCCGCGGTGGATGCTTTGCTCTCCTCTCCGGGTCATTTCTTCTCAACTTCTTCCTCTTCAGGCGAACTTGTGCCATTTACTGTGGTTAACATTCGTGTTTTAATATTTTAAACTATCCGGAAGAGGCGCAAGTTACGGTGTTTCTACCTAATATCAAAATACAGCCAAGTTTCTGGGTGTCTGGGCAGCTCCTGTGGTCAGACACCTAAATTAGAATTAAACTCTTCAAGCCAAGTACAAAAGGAAAACATTACATTAATATACATTTTATTTTTATTATTTACTCTTTTTTAAAGATTTAATAGCTTGTTTTTCTTTTTTTTTTGCAGATGTTTGTACTTTACAATATCCTCAAATTCAGTCATTTGTAAAAACATTCATGAGGCATGTATAAAAAAACAGGGCATCACCAGGTAGACAGATTGATCCACACACTTCCTCAGACATATACATAAAAATTTATGCAATTGTCCCTATGTATTTTACACATACATATACACATATTTATATAAAATACACTTTAAAAGTGTTGGTTATTTGTTCAATTTGTGGTCGTAATCGGGGTTTTTTTCTTTTCAATCTGTCGTTATCATGAAAACTGGACAAAATTTCCACATAGAAAAGGAAAACTATGATACTTGTGGCAGTCTTTCACAGAAAGACTTGTAGGAAGGCAAAATGTAACTCGAGCCTATCCCGCCTCTACCAAACAAGGAGAGGTGCAGCATCCCTCACTGCTTGATACACAAGAACAAAAGAAAAAAAATGAACAAAGTTCTTCCAATTGCGACAACAAATATATGTGCCTGAAGCATGTAACATCAGGGTGGGTCTAAAAATCCTCATTGGTTCCCCCTTGTATCCTTCTTGCTGGATGACTGGAAAGATCAAAGTGAAATATAATTATTATTTTGTCTTTTTTTGTCAGTAGCTCCTTGGAAGGAGTACCAGAATGACAAAAGGTAGGGGAGACTGGACCCAGAAACTAGGGGCTTCTAAACCTATCAATCACCATGTATGCTGTTTCTTTACTTGCTTCCGTAACCTTAAACATGAAGGTGAGTTCTTGAGTAACAACTGTCCAGTTCACAGACCCATGTCAAACACCAGCAATCGGTCAAATCTGCTGAATAAGAACAGGGGTATTGGCGAAGGGAAAACGACAGCACATCCTTCAAAAGAAGCAGGTATACACACCCCCGATCAAACTTAATAAAGGGGACAGAGAAAGGGGAAAATAAATACAAGTAAAGCTAGTTAATATATCAACAGGGGTATGCCTGTCAAACCACACACTCAAAAATAAAATTAGCATTTTTAGGGGATTAATTCAGAGCAGAACAACAACACTGCATTTAGCAACTTTAGTGTTTGTCCTTTACACCATTTGCGGAGAAAATTCTGAATACAAGGTCCCATATTGATTGGCTTCTTTGTTTTACTTCCAACAGGAGAAGAGAGAAGTTCCTTGTGATTGTAGCAGGACAGGGCAGGCTGTCCAACCAGTAAATGTCCTCTATCAAACCTCAACTTCACTCTGTGTCAGTCCTTTTGAGTCTTCAGTCCTTCTTCATCTCTCTCCTTTCTACTCATGTCCGTTTCAGCGCAATAATGAAAATGAACTTTTTTGGGAAAAAACCTACAGGTATTTTCACGCAGACAGTCAGTTATCACAGAGGAAGCAGCAGTTAACACTATCTGTACTAACGAAAACAAGCTGTCAAAAGACCATACCCTAATCCCTGCGGTCAGGTGTGATGATGATGAGAATATGTATTGTTTTATTCATAATGTATCTAAAATCTCTTCTGAGTTCCTAGGTGGCAGACTTTGCAGCTCTTGAGAAAATTACCGGTTAAATCTTTGTACATATCCATAGAAAAATCTGAGTAGCAGAGGTGAGGGGAGGGATGGGATAACCAAGAGTGAAGTGAACATGTGATGGTTGACATAGAGATAAACAATATACATAGCTGTGATCCATTTGGGGGCAAGATCATGCTCCTGAGTCCACATGTGAGCAAAACAGAGACGTTTCGATGAGCCAGAAGAATACCATAGACAGTGACATCACCAGACGTGAAGACAGAGAGGACTGGTGGAGTAAAAATCACGATATGAGGATGCAGTGATAGAGAAGACCATGAGGCTAGCTCCACAGTCCTGCGTAGTTTCCATGCAGGCCCGAGCAGAGTGGTCCACCCGCTACAAACAGCTTGGTGCCAGAGTCATCATAGCAGTGGGTGTACACAGCGTTGGGGAAGGAATGAATGTCTGAGAAGTAACTCCTCCACGTTTCATCATGATTCTGGGAGGGAGGACATGAGAGGGTTGAAATAGGAGGAAATAATTAGAAAATAGAGAGTATCTATCACAACAATGCCTTGTGTCAGACTAAATCAAGTTTATCACTACTAAAACAGAAGCTGCATACCAGCCAGCCTTTTCCTGTAGTGAGCTTGAGGATGCCATCTCCTGGGCACTTCCTGTATCCCCCGCCTGGATTTAAAGGGTTTTCCAGGAATCTCTGGGCCCGGATGTCGTAAAACAAAAGAGAGCCTTGGCCGGTGCCCACTGTCACGATGTGCTCGTAGAAACTCACCGAACGGATCCCTGCAAAGACACAGATCCTTTCAGCAACTCCAAAGGAAACAAGAAAAACTTCACTGTCAATATTTTTATATCTTATTAATCTTTTATAGAGGATCAGCTGCTCCAAACGAGTACTCTAAGTGTGTTTTTACAAGTGTACAGAACATTTACCACTTCCTCTCTCTCTGGAATTGACGGACTTGATGCTGTGTGTTGGCTGTCGTGGATCAAGAAAGGAGACGTGAGCCTGAGAACCCACAGCATACACAGACCAGTCCTGTCCATACGCCAGACACACATTCTCCTTGCAGTGAGGCAGCTTGGTGGACAGTATCTGGAAAGGAACAGCAGAAAATATTAAATGGGATCCAAGTCCTTTTGCTGATCTTGATCTTTAGCTCAACAAATCTCACCTTAGAAGTTTTCATATTGTGATTATTTATCAAACTATGTATTTTTCATTTACCTTGCACAAGTTGTGCTCAGCCTTCCAGAGGTGGAAATAGCCATCCAAGGACACAGCACCCAGTTCCTGTAAATGGCACAAATATAGGAAGAAGAATGTAAATAAGTTAATCTGCTTTTAGACTGAAATGCTCACCCCTCCCATCGATGGAGTAACAGCAACCTTTGAGGACAAGTCTCTACTGTGATGCATGTATGTATCACCATCAAAGACTCCTACCAATACCAATTCTTTGTCTTCCAACCAGTGCATTTTGTGTACTAACTAAATGTAAAATACTTGTAGAGGAGTTTGTCCAATCTGTGTTACTGTAGAAACATGGCTGATGGTGGCCTAAGTGGAAGGGGACCCACTTCTACGCAGATTCAAGAGTCAGAAAGTTTTAAGGATATTTGTCAATATTACCTTTAACTGCTAACCAGTCTGTCTAATTACATGTTATGCATGAAATAAAGTGATATTTCACTGTATGAATATCCCTAAGCTATAAAGTAGACTACAGAAACATTGGTTTTATGCTGCATTCGAGTTACCTCGGAACTCAGAAGTCAAAACTGAAAATGACGTCACACCTTAGTTACCAGTGTTTCAGTTACCAAGTCAGAAAAAAGTAAAATCGGAGGCGGAAACAAGATGGCTACATCTACCTGAAGTTATTTTAGCGCTTAACTTATATTCAGACCAGGCAAGTGCTAAAATAACTTTTCTAGCTGTCACTATTTTGTTTCCGCCTCCGATTTTGTTTTTTTCCTACTTGGTAACTGAAATGCTGGGAACTCGGTCGTGACGTCATTTCCAGCTTGGACTTCTGACTTCCAAGGTAACTCGAACGCAACATTAGTACAGTGACCTTTTCAATAGATCACCTCAGAATGAGCCAATTCTATTTTCAGTTATTTTGCACCAGTTTTGTGTATGGTCCTGTGATTATTGGTGTGCGGAAATGGTAAACACACTCATGTCCTTCAGTGTTTCCCCTACATTCATTCAGCAGTAGCGCATTGTCGCTGCTGTATTACGTGCGCTGCTACTGAAATTTCACATGTCCATTAATATCGAATCGCCACTGATGATTTCTACTTGTGCTGTTTGAGCACAACCACACACAACGTTATTTGCAACTTGTTTTGAGTCATCAACGAGCACAGCAAATCCTGTCGGACCCTCTTCCATTAATGTGAAAGGTAACGTTCAAGCTTATAAACGGTCTATATAGCGTGTAGCATTAGTAGCATTAATATCAATGCCCCACTCATGATTTTTACTCGCACTGTGACAGCACAACAACACACAATGTTATGTTCGACTTGTTTTAAGTCGTCAACGAGCGCATCAAATCCTGACCCTCTTCCATTAATGTGAAGGGTAACGTTCAAGCTTATACATGGTCTATCTAAGCAGTACTGCTGCGGGTCAAAATTGTAGGGCGAACACTGTCCCTTTCTCAGGAAAACTTATATTGAGCCACAAAAACAAAACTAAAATGGGCCTTTACTTGGTAGTCCTGTCAAAAACCTGGAATCTGCAGAGTAATAGGAACTGTGAAATTCAAATGCAGGTCTGACTGTTTTGAGTTCATAAATCTGAGTGTTTGTTTATACATGTAACATTGTGTGTTCTTAATACTTCCAGAGTTGTCTAAATATACTGAAATAAATTGCAATATATTGTCTGCTTATAGTGTCACATTCAGAGTATATTTCATGGTCATCTTTGTCTCAGGACACCTATTATATCACCAGATTCAATACACAGCAAGAACGTTAAAGGTCAGTCAGTTCTCAAAGACCATGTCTGTGTTCAGCTTGAAAGATGGTAACAATAGATCCCTCTGAAGACCCACTTTTACAGCACTGAAAAAAGAAACATTCAAGGAAATGTCAAATCAGTCCACTCTCTCCTATCTTCAACCCCGGTGTGTTTCATTAACTGACATTTAGACAAAACACGGCTTCATTTCCATTTGTTGCTGGCTCAGTTATGCGTTAACACCCAGGCACTACTTTTGATTAACTCAGTGTTTGTTAGAACACAAGCACCAAATAGAGGAATCTAAACTTGATTAAAGCTGTTGTTTGCGTATCTTTTATTTGATTCATATATTCACATCATGCGCATTGTCATTATCAGAAAATTAATAAAATGTTCCAACTCCTCATAATTCACCAGCAGCCAAACTGCATGCATTAGGGTGGCGCTTACTTTGTGGTTGTTGTTGAAGGCCAGAGCACGGACTTTACAGTTGTAGGGGTTGGTGTACTCCTTTGGGATATCCTTAAGGGCACGATGAGAGATGTGGGCATAGGAGGGTACTGTCTGGTCGTTCTGACTGCTCTCTGCCTGGCTCATTACATCTTCTGTCACTTCCCAAAGGCCCATCGAGCCATCTCTGGAACCTAGGAATATAAACACACGACACATCTCCTGCTCACAAGCTGCTTTTATCAATGGAACAAAAAATCAGTTACTGAGGGCAAGAAGACAACACAAAACCATGAAACTTAAGCAGTTTAGTGGCTTAGTACAGACTACTCACCAGACACAGCCATGTTGTCACTGATCCAAGCTATGGAGAAGATCCAGTCATTGTGGCCATCCTGAAAAACAGAGAGGGTATTATGTAAAAAGAGAACAACTTGCCTACACTAACTTTGTGTTCAAGATGAAATTGCTGGAAAGCTGGCTGGACTGCAGTTAAACAATGGTCTTTCTCTCCTCTCTGGTTAACAGTGTGCCAAATGTAAGATGTTGTTATTCTAATATGAGTGTATGAGAATCCTTGATTTGCAATACTTCTAGTGTTGGGGTAACTCAACCATTTCCCAGCAGTCATTTCTGTGTGAGGACCAACAACCTGTGTAGTTGTGTGACTCTAAAGACACAACAACTACATTTTTATGGCTACTTTGCCTTGAGAGGAAAGGTTCCTAACTAGATAATTTTACAATATAGCAGTGGTTGAACATTCCTGCTTTTTTCTAACCTTACAAAATTAAGCGTTTTATTGCAGTTCATCTAAAAACAGTGAAGCGCTATTATGATGCAGGGATGTAGAATGTGTTTCAATACAAGAGATTGAGCTTTCTTTGAAAACATTTCAGTGCATAAAAAATAAACACCAGGATATAGAGGATGGAGCAGTTAGGTTCAGTGAAAATATTATGTAGGTAAGGCAGAGTTCTTGCTGTTCATGTTGCATCTGTGCATGTGGCACAGAATAAAGCTCATGGTATTTAAAAGTATGTATTTGCGAAACATATCTTTTCATACCACACTCCAGATCAACATGATGAGGGGCAATAGTTTACAAACCCCTGTGGTGAACATGACGTGAGAAAGTGGCAACTTCACATCACAATCTTCACCTTTACAATCAATATCTGTATGGTTGTATGTTTTTACGGGGACATTTTGGCATAGATGTGATGACAGCTTTAGCTCTCTATGAGCCTTGGTCAAGTGTCTGAGTAAAGATGTTGGCAATGTAAGGTTTTCTCCAGGCAGCTGGCCCTGACATTGCTTTAGGACCTGAGCCAGAAGCTTAGTGTTTGATTGCTCATATCATGCCGCCTTACAATTTGAGCAGATGGATTATAGATATCATATCACTAGATACCTCATGACCCATATAAGACAATGGCAGCGGAACCATCAAGATTACCACCACCATATTGGAGCGGTACCAGTGATTGCAGGCAAACATGGTGTTGAATGTTAACAAATGCGGTTGTCAGGTAAACCACAGGCTTCCAAAACTTCACCTGACCTCTAAATCATTGACAAGCACCGCCTCAAGATGGCAGCGGTATTGACGCATCCTGGGCAGGGTTGTGAGGCATCTAGTGATATGATATCTATTCGATAGATAGTTTTACCTGCACACATAGTAAACATCTAGCCTGGCTGGGCCATCCAGTTGCGTGAATCACTTGCCGTTCCTTTCCACAACAGTCTGGACTTCGCCCAATTGCGAGCCCTAAAAGTGGGCGGGAGTACTTTCCTTGATAGACAGACTACTGTAACCAATCACCGTAACCAAACATCTGATGTAATCACAGTGCGCAACTGTGTTCCCTGCTGGCCTCTCAAGCATCAAGTAAAGGTTTGGTAATATTTCAACGTATGCGAGCAAACAATGTCTTTTACGTCTTCTTCTGCGGATATAAACGATTTCTGACGACTTTGCAAAGTCAACTGTAGAATTTACGGCGTTCTGAATAAACAGCGCTTTGAAAAGTCCCGCAGCATGTGTTAGATGTCGCCATCTACACATGGACCAATCAGGGGCCGCCTTTCCCTGTTGTCCGGGGAACAGTGGAAACACAGTCACTGATTGGCCCGGTTATTTTCTGATTTCTAATACATGCTCCCAATTGGCCGAAATGTGCCAACACTTGAGACATGAAACCCAACATCTTGATAAATCTGCTATCACTGCATCCTCATATCATATACATCCACATTTTTCATGCACATTATACAACACAGTTTAAAGTACTGATATAATAGGTGATTTGCTTTCCAACCATTATGAATTATTTTATACATCCCACTGGAATGTAATGTGGCTGTTCAAGAATCTATGCAGGTGAATCATGAAATTTAAACTGGTGCATCGATGTAAGAAGTGATTGTTTAAGCCCTATTATTTTGTTTCGTCACTCCAGGAATTAAGACCTGTAGACCAACCAACACCAGAGCTCCTCTACTGATAGAGTCATTAAAAAAATCCAGGAACGGTTCACAACAAACTAATAAACATTTTTACTCATAAAGTTTCTATACAATATACTGTGATATGGTAAAAAAAAATATCACTTTCATCACAAGATGAACAGAAACACCAGTAAAACTGCAAAAGCCCACCTCGAATGAGATAAATCTGAAAAAACCCTCTCTTATATACGAGTTGTGCTTTCACCATCTGAATTCAAAGAATAACCCACCGCCACAAAGAGCTCTGGATAAATGCATGCATTTACATCATCTGGCCAATTAGAGCCCAAGTTAGCCTCAGCTATATTCAGGTATAAATAATTGGATGGCAGCTGTGTGGATAACTAGCACAATGGCTAGACAAGTGAGAAAAATGTGGGCTGATGAGGACCTTATGGTGAAATAAACAACACTACATGCACAGTACTGGTGCTTATAACGTGTTATCTTTCAAACTGCTCAACATCACCATCACTAATTTGGATGATGTTGTTGTTGTTGCACACTTTAAAATTTTCCCACACCAGGCAGGGATGATGTCGTATTTTCAAGTGTACAAATATTGATAGTTGTCAAAACTGCCACCTATAACGCAACAAAATCTCTCCTGATTAGCCAAATTAAATCTAATTAATAAAGTTCTTCTTGTCTTATCTTAAAACATATTAAAAGAAATACTAAATACAGTATGAAAGAATCAAGACAAAAATCAACAACTCTTGGCTAAGACCATATCAGCAACAACCAGCCATAATTTGGTGTCTGTTAACCGATAAAGATCCATCCCACTTACATCTCCAACACAAACAGGGTCCAGTGTGGGCAGCTGGTAGATAGCCAGGCTATTGGGGTTGTCTCCTCCTGTGGCTAGCAGCGTCCTGGAGGGGTTTAGTTCAATAGCGTGGATACCGCAGCCTTGCTGGTCCAGTCGAGAACGAGACCCTGCTGTAGAGTGGTAATGCCTCCCTGACACCACTCCGCCCTCCACCCCAGAGTCTCCACCCTGACACTCTCTGTCCTTCAGCATTGGAATGCGTGTTATCTGCCCCGTCAGGACATCAGCTACAAAAAGCTGCAGGTAAAAGAAGAAAAGACATTGTGTTAGTCCTTTGAGTACAGAAATTAACACAAAAGATATCTGAAATTTTAAGAGGAGTTAAAAATGACTGATTTACAATACTGAAGTTAGAATAAACTAACAATTCTGAACATCCTACTTTCAATATCAGAAATAGATACATATATGGTCTTCCATTATCAAAACATTTTTCATTTAAAATTATTATTTTCACAAGAAAGCAGGAGTGGGCAATATGACTAAAAATATATATCACTGTATTTTTTTTGCAATGACTGGATGATATTGCAGTATTACAAAGTGTAAAGTGACTCCCCTCCAACCCCCTCCCTTGAAAACAAGCATGTGATGCATGGATCAAATAATGTCCGTGTTTGAGACCGGAGAGATAATTTTATACACTAGAGTAAGTTCAGAATTCAGAGCATTGTAGTTCCAAACTGAATCTCTGTGACCTGAATTTACACTTCCTGAATTTAGGTTACTGCTGAAACATGCTGTTTCCTGAGGTGGCTGTTTCAGTTATTTCAGAAACAAAACAGGGATCTTCATTAGGACTAATTTTGCCATTAATGAAATGTGTTTATCTAAAAATCACCGCTTAGGCAAAGCTATGATTGAGAGGTGATTTTCAAGAGTTTCAGTAGCTACTTTGACTGCGAGTAACAGCCACGGCCTGCTTCTTTTCATCTTTTTGGAGACATGACAACTAAGACATCAGATAAAATACACTTTTAAGCTGGAAGGCGTGTTTTAAAGGAGATGCAAATTTCAGCAGTGCTGTTATTTGCCAACAACAAAGGACAGAAAAGAGCACCAGTTTAAGGATTGCTGTGCCCTATTGCACTACTTTTCTTTTACTCACAGCCTTGGCTGTAAAAGGCAAACCCTGTTATAAGTGCAGTATTCACCACTGACTATGACGTATACCTGTGGGGGTTATAAATCTTTTAGGGCAATATCATTACAGCAGGGGTATGTAAATTTCATAGTTTATATGAGAAATCACACCCTCATCAAAAGGAGGGACATTCTGTTAAGACTTCTGTCTCTCTCTGATCAAATGCCCCAAAACATGTCAGGCGCTGTAGTTTATGACACAAGGGGGAACAAAAAGCAATGAGAAATCTGTTTTATTAGCTGTGGAAGAAAATCTAAAAAATGACAGCAACAAAAAAAAAAAAAAGATAATATGAAAAGATTACAAATTTTTCTTCGGTTATTTGCTGTATACTCATTAGAGCTTAAAACATCACACCTAGTTGAGATGACATTTATAAAAAACTGAAGAAAATCTATTATCTCTGTATAATAGAATAAAACTAAATTGATGCAACAAAAGTTACTCATTATGTGCTACTATTCAGATTAAAATCACGAGTAGGTCCCCAATAAAGTAAAATCAAAAGAACTAATTCAAATAAATGAACGGCATCTCACCGTGTTGCACTTGGTCCCACAAACCACCTGCCTGTGGTTGAGCCACTGTGAAGCAAACACCTTGTTGAGTCGCCCCAGTGAAAATTCCCTCTCCTTAAGGATACCAGGGAGCTTCCCAGCTGCAAAGCCCCGAAGGCTTCGCTGAAGCCGCAACTCATGCTGCTGCTGAGGCCTGAACTCCCGCCCTCGTAGGGCACATACCACTGAGCGCCGACTGCACCACCACTGCTGGGCATGACGTGAAGAAGAAGAAACACGGCTCCGCTTGTGTGGTGTCTGACACCAGCCCAGCTGAAATAAAAATTTAAAAGAAGGGGGGGGGGGCATATGTTATATTTTCATTGATGAAAAAGTTAGACACAATGTATAATTGTTTCCTCTAAATAAATGTGAAATATTCAAACAACTTCTTCATTATTCTTTAATTACATACAGCTTCTTTTATCTCTATTTCAGCATTACAAACTGTGCTGAACCACTTATCTCTCAGAGTACAGTGAATGCATCTTTGTAGTTTGCTGTTACAGATTACCAGCCTAAATGGTTCATGAGAATTTTTGACATGAATACAAATAATATAGCTGTTATCAAGGCCCATACACCACCTTTTGTTAGACAGCTGACCTAAAGACTGTTCACTCAACAAGCCCAAGAAAAGGACATTATACTGTTTTATATAAATATTTTAACATTTTTGTACTTGCTTTGATCGTTCACACGTAAGTGACAAATAGACATTTGAATTGACTTACTGATTGAAAATAAGCCCTTTTACAAATATACAACCACTGACATTTTCTCCTTTGACAACTGTGCAACAATCTTGTGCAAAACTGAAAAGCCAAGATATTATTTTTAATCTAGATCATGGTTTTTAAAGGATCTGTGGTGCTTTTGGATTGGTTTAGGTGTGTCGTTAGTTGATTCATGACTGTGGACTAGCTGAGGACCAGATCTCTGCTTTTCAATTCTGTGGGGATTTTTTTTTTCTTTTTTATATGTCTGTCCCACATGCTGGAGAATGTCATGAATTTATCGGAGGCAGTACTAGTAGAGGTCTTTTAACATTTAGCTGAATAAACTTCCAACAACTACGTGGTTTTGGTTCAAGTCCGTTTCGAGGTGTCAACATGTAGGCCCATGGTTGAATGTTGAGCAGAGATCTCTGTGTCCATGAGTAATCCTGTCTACTCGCTTCTGCATTGGTGAATTAGGTTGTCTTGGACAGGCCCGTACGTGCTTGGTCCTTCTATCACATTGATAATCAATAATCAGCTAAACACTAGGGTTAACGTTAGCCTAACAAGGGCAGCTAGCATCATTTAACGCTCTTCTGTCAAAAGACTCCAATGTGTCAGTTCACGACCCAATTTTATTAAGGATCTATGAAAGTAATCTACCTTAAAGTTGAGTTTCCATGGTGGTTAAACTCAAATTAAACAGAAATAAGATAGGCTAAGGTAGCCCTAGTTGTTATTGTGCTAGCTGCCGTAACGAACTGCCGTTGGCAATCGCCATGCTAACACTTACCAAAGCTGACGTTTAAACAAATAAATACTGTGTTATTATTCATAACGTCAAACATTTTTTGTGTTTTGTCCCTAAACTCCGACAGCTGTTGCAATTCATCTCGGGGGGGGGGAAACCGTATCAATACTCTGCCATGGGTTTAGCCTACATCTGCGATACCCAGCTAGCTCAGTGCTAGTTAGCATGCTAACTAACTAGCAAGCACTGAGCTAGCTTTAATTGATCCACACCGGTTTCCGCCTACCTGTTGTTGGTCCTTGGGCTCTCCTGCCTTCCTTTTCCTGCTAACTGTTTTTCTCGCCATAATCTGAGACACACAGCTCCCTCACCCACATGGAGGGTAAAAGTGACTCTGGACACTGGATCATATAATGGCGATATGCTATTTTGTTCCTTGGCCCTCGCTGGCAGCGTCCGACGAGGAGGAAGGGCGATCACATACGGGAGAGCTTGGTTTGTCGCTGCTGTAGATCGTCACTGTGTTATTATCCTTTACTCCCAAACAAAGCCCGTCTCGGGTTGTACAATCTTTCAGCGGCAGCCTCAATCGTCTCGCTAGCAACAGCCAGAGGGTTAACACTTTTTTTCTCAACCGAGTCGCGTCAGCAACGGCGAAAGCATTGAGCAGCGCGCAGTCGCACTCATATTAAACATCAACAAAAACAAGGTCGTACGTGAACGCGACTGTCGTGCGTGCTCGTCCACGACAACTACCTTTAGCTGGTTAAACAAACCGATATATCTTTTTTTGTATTAGATAACTTAAGAAATTATTTAAAAAAAATATATATATAATAAAATATAAAACTTTAACGTGTTATTTTTTTGGTCACGTTAACAATAATAAGTAATAATAAGTAATATTTTCAAAATTTTCTGTGATTTAGAATCTTCATTGAATGCTATTACTGATAAGCATGCATATATTGATATATTGACATTTATTCTTAAAATTTGATAGATAGATAGATAGATAGATAGATAGATAGATAGATAGATAGATAGATAGATAGATAGATAGATAGATAGATAGATAAAAACTATTTCTTATTTAGTCTCAGGGAACTTTTTGAATGAATATTTGATTATCTGTTTTTTCAAACCTGGTGGATTAGGGCAGACCAAATATGGCCTTAAATTTGATGCAGAATTGTCTGCTGAGAGGGCACCAGGAGTAGATGTTTCTAGTTGCAACACAATACCTGGATGGAGAAGTGTCTGTATTGTTTGTGCCCTCTCTGCTCACTGAAAGAATAAACTGCATTTGCTAAAGAAGAGAGTAAACAAAGAGCAATTGTGCTTTATGTCCACAAGTGTGACATGTGACCCGAGTTTGGAACAAAATCATCATTTTGCTTAATAAGCAACACCAGCAACGATGAACAGTCTCACCACTGAAAAGATGTGCACATTTAATCATGTTGATTTTCCAAATCATTCAAAGGAAAACATTTTGCAAATCACAGTTCATAGGCTTGGTAAAGAACACTCAACTCACCCACCTTTGATAAAATCAAGATATTTAAATGATCGTTCGAGTCATTAATGCACCGTATTCAATCATATAATGACTCCAAAGTGGATGTGACATCAACTCTTTGACATGATGGCTGACATAATAAGAACCAGGATTAAGTCACACAGCAAGAAGACTGTAACACAAAAGGCAGGTCTTGAAGCTGTTATGCTGATTCACTCAAATTTCAGTGTGTGTCAGAAGAGAGACAGCGTGACTTCAAAGGAAACCAAACAAGGTATGTTAGGGCGATAAAATAATTTTTGTGCCAATAAAGTAATGTTGCCATACCTGTTTATAACAGAAAAACAAGACAGGTAATTAAAATTGAACTCCACAGCTTAGGTTTCCCTGCACCGGACACTTTCCTCATAAAATTTTAAAAATATTTTTTAAAGAAAAATAAGGATAAATGGATTGAATGATGAGTTTGCCCTAAAATTGAGGTTCATTTACTGTAGGGTTATGTACTGTGCTCATCTCTATAGTTTATTTGGCCCTTTATTTTGCTCAGACCTCAGGTTGTGATTTTAAGCTATGTGTGTTTTGAAATATAGTTGCAGTGTGATAAAACAAAAACAGGGTTTGAAAGTTTTGCAGTAGTGGAACATAGAAATATTTCTGGACCTGCCTTAAGAAAATGTTGATTCTTCCAGTCACATTTTGCCTATCAAAAGCCCTTAATGTGTTACTATGCCAATCCCAATCCAAATACACACCGAGATTATGGGAAAATCTGTCATTTTTGCCCATAGTGCAACTGAGCAGATACACTTTAAAAACTTATGTATAAACTCGGGGAACTTATGATATTGGGAGTCATTAATATACAATATAAAAATAAAATTTTCTGATTAACGACAACACCCAATCAACGGTTGAAAAATGCTATTGTGGTGACATAACCTTGTTTTTACTTACCATATGAGATGGTTGAGATGCCAAGAAACCTACATTTAAGACCAACACTCCTTATTACACATGAGAAAACCAGTCAACAACTCAACAAATCAAAGTCATGTTTGATTCAAATTTGTGGCATGAAATCCAATTACAAAGAATGAACGATGGAATTTACTGAGCTCAAATCTTTTTCAGTTACAACCAAATTTCCAGCAACAAGACCATTCCATAACTCCCATCAAAATCTCGAGGCTCAAAGTGCCATCTGACAATCACACAATAAGAAATGTCTCTATTGCACTGTGATGTGGCTGTTAAGACAACCCTCACTTACATTTTGCTTCTTTTCCAACCACTCATTCTTTTCCTGCTGCAAAAGGAAAGTCTGTGACCATTCAAAATCATCACTTTTGTGAGTTGACATATCTTACAATATAACAAACTTTTTATTCTTAAAAGAAAGTGTCAGTGTACTGTTTTAAATAACTCAATAATTAAGAAATGTGTCTGTGCAGTGTGTGACACAACAGTGCTGAGGGGTTTTTGGATGTTATGTGTAATTTCTTACGGAGAAACATTCACAGTTCCTCCTTACTCCTTTAACAGGCCTTTCCAGTGCAGGTCAAAGAGCATACAGGGCATTAGTATCCTTTATGTTCTGAGTTATAATAACTAATGTTCTATTATGCACTTCCTAAAACAGAAAGCAAAAAATGGTGTCTTCAAAACAATATGACAAAAGTGCCCAAATAGACAGAGAAATAGACATGAACGAATGAAAGAATAAAGTTAAACAAATCTAGGCGCGGGGCACCAGAGCAGAGAGGGCACTTCTTGAGACTCGGTTATCTGCCTGGCAGCCAGGCCTCTGTATTTTGTTTTTATCTTTTTAACCACTTTTTTTTTTTTTTTTTTTTTTTTTTACTTTAAATGTTAGTGGGTTCAGTTTGAAGAGAGCCTCCTCAGGGCCCCGACCCTCCACCATTTACTAGGTCTGCACTGAGCAGTGGAAGATGGCAGCTTAGTCGTTTGGGAGTTTCAAGAGTTCAAACTGGTCAGTCTGTGATGCACTCAGAGGACGTCATCAGTCTCCTATCCAGTCATGTAGCTCCTTTAGTCACATAAACACTTCCACGAGGAAGCAAAACAGAACAGCATTAAAAGCCACAGCCCAAATCTTCTAGTTTCTCCTTCACAGCCAGTAAGTCCCCTCCCCCCAACTTGTAAATACCCAAAGAAGTACCAAATCCAAGGATTTTGTAGAAAAACAACCCCACCATCAAGTTTCTTTACCCTTTGACCCCCTCCACTCTAGGCACACAGTCTTAGAGAAGTGCTGAGACACAATACAATTTAGCACAGAGAGAAAAAAAAACTGTCTCCAGCTGTCCCTTCCACAACTGAGGCAAGGGCAGGGCATGGTGTGACAGGGTCGGCAAAGGGAAAGGGGCTGTGTTGGCTGGCAGCAGGAGGCAAGCCAAGGGCTGGGCTTCAGTTGATCGGTTAGTTTAGCTCAGCTTGCAGCAGCTCGAGCCATTAGGTCCTCTAAAGCCTTGTCCTGATCGTTGTTGTGAACCAGCAGCACTTCTTTGATGGCATCTCGTTCAAAGCCCATTTCACCAAATCTTGACATAAGTTCAAGAAACTGAAGGGCCTGGAAAGGAAAGAAAAAATTCGATATCAAATCTTGCATTGTCATTAACAACAAATTAAATAGTTTTCTCGCTTCCAATGATTTATCCACATATTGACACATACACCATAGGATGTACTGTTACCTTACAGCAAACTGAACAAACCTTTTCCTCTGAACACTGGTACATCTCTAAACATTCCTCCACTGCACTTGCATCAAAGCCCCGCTCACAGAGACGTCCATGGACAAACAGATAGTCCAGCACCTTCGACAAACAAAAAAACTCATGTTTATTATGCTTCTCTTTTGAATACGCCATTGTTGATTTACCTCAAACAAGTCCTACCTAAGAGAACCTACATGCAGGTTTTCTCATTTTACCTGAGGGAAAATTGAGATTAAATAGTGTTTGAACTAAGTGAATGAATGTGTCTCTAAGGTAGATCCATTGTTTTCCTATTATGTATTGTCTTCCATCAAAGTTAGCAAATCCCAGTGCAAATCCATCATCTCAAGGCAGCTTGTATGGAGGAAATCTTGCTTGCGAACATTTTTTTTAATGTTTTACAGGTTACATCAATGTATCCAATGCCAAACCCCAGGACAAAAAACAGTACAATTAAACAGTTTCATTTAAGGTCAAAGGCTTTATTCACCTATAAGGAGAATGGAAGCACCACTGACCACAGTTACACAAGCAGGAAAATAACCAGTTGTTCATCATGTCAGATGGCTAACACACCAAGATTCTATCTTTTGTACACTGATGTGAAAGGAAATCGCACCTGCTCCACATTTTGCCCTTGTCTCTGCATGGCTCGTAGTACACCCTCATAGGAGTAACCCATGCCAACAAGGGTTTCCACACACTGACGCTCGCTGGGGGTCATACTGAGCAGGGCTCCACCACATGGCAGACCAGCAGTTCCTGATCCTGGGTTAGCCTACCATAAAAATGTGTAAATGTTAATGAGGTCGATACCCATAATGATTAGTGGTAGTGAATGATGACCAATATTTGGATATGCGTTGACAGTGAAAATGTCAAAATTTAGAGATCAGAAGGTTACAGTCCCCAACACAAGAGTTTTTTAAATGCTTTAAGCAGCTATTGAATCAAAAATGTCATATTAAAGGTCAAATATAGACACAGAATACATACACTGAATGCACACATAGACGTTATCAGTTGACCAGTTAGTTTTACAGGAGGGTCACACAGTCATGCGACATGTGACACTGAATGTTGTGTGGAACAAAATGAAATGCTCACCAGCTTTGGTGCGCCACTCTTGGTGTGGCTTTGTGACTCAGGGGCAACAATAACTTGGGTCTTGGGTATGGTCGGAGGGCTTCCATTTGGTAGATTCTGTCGGGGAGCAGAAATGGGTGCAGGGAACGGGCTGTACCTCACTGGCTCTGGATCACCAGAATCAGAGAGCTTGGGAAAAGTGAGAGAGCGTATGTTACAGGGTCGATCATCTGTGTCGAACCCTGTTCTCCCAGGATGCCCAACTCTGTCCATGTCCAGCAAGGCGACTAACCCATTGGGTTTATGTGCAAAGCCAGGTTTGGCTGTGAGGCTGGTGTTGGTGCTTGGGGGGGATGGGCTGTTGCCACGTGACTCAGATCCCCTCTGAGAGACCTCTGGTGGGGATACAGAGGGGGGAGGTTGAGGTTGCGGTTGAGGTTGAGGTTGGGGCTGGCTCTGAAGGATGCTCCTGAGCTCCTCTTTATCGTCCAAAGTCTTGAGCTCGAGCTTGTCGAAGGGGTCCTCCTCGCGCTCAAAGTCAGCCAGATTGAGGCTGTGCGGCTGGGGAGTGCTGGGCTGGGTTTTCCTGGGGCCAAGGCTTGGGGCAGGCAGTGGAGTGAGGATGGCGTTATGGCTCAGCCCCGCCAAGACGGGGTTCATCGCTGGTGGTAGAAGGTCCTGGTCCTCTGCAGCAGACTGTGGTTTTTTGCCTCCACCACCATCCATGTCCTTGGCCTGAGCCAAACGCTCCCTGCTCTCTGCATCCTGCTTGGCTGCTGCTTCCTCTGCCCTGGCCTCTGCTGCTCTGGCCTCGGCAAGGTCAAGCCCCCAGCGCACGCTACGCCTCTCCAGAGAAAAGTCATACTGTTGAGACCAAAGTGACAGGAAAGATGAAGATAACAGGAAGAGACACACTGAGAAGAACCAAGAAAATGCAAGAATATCCAACCAGCTTAACAGATAAAACAGCTAATGCATTCAAACTCATATTCAGAGCCTGCTGGATATACTGTAAACAAAAAAACAAGGCACAGCAAATTATGCGCAGCCACATTTGACGACCTTAACGATTTCAGCATTTGCTTGACCACAACTAGGGATGAAGGATTAATTGCATTTGAGATTACACCGCAATATGATAAAACGCAATTTTCAAACAGCAAAGGCTGCGATGTTGAATGGTTATGTGATCTGGTCACAGAGCAGGTAGAGAGAGAAGTTCACGCTGCACTCACTCTGTCTCACCGACTTCAGACAGTTTAGTACCAAAGAGGGGCAGCTCAGGAAGTAACACTACGAACCTTTATCAACACTTAAAAAACACCACAAAGCCATGTACGATAGCTGAATGGCTAAAACAGCAGCAACCAGCACTTCAACTTCAAACCACATCTGCATAACGATGGAAAACACATCCAATACGATGATGGCAGCAAAGAAACATGAACAGACGCAACTCCAGTGTTGTGGGCACTGATTACATCTCGTCATCAGTACATAAATTAGTAACATGACGTATATGAGGGTGCGTGCATGTGTGTGCAGAGAGAGCCTGTGTGTGTGTGTGTGTTAAATGATAAATGCCAGAAAGAACTATTTATCTATAATTAATCTGATATTGTTTACCTTAATACAGTTTGGTTTATTGTTTGTGTTTGTTAAAAAAAATACAATAGAGGAGGACCTTGAAAAAGCAATTGCATATTAAATCGCAATATTAAGGGATAAAAAGCACAATTAGATTATTTTCCAATAACCAAAGGCTAAGCAAAAGATGACTTAAAAATGCTGCCCTCTCCTTGGTGCGCAGTATGACTTCACATGCTCCAAAATGAAAGACTGACAAAGCAGCACTTAGGGCAGGGCTCATAATGATCAGTGCCATGTTATTATAGGTCCGCACAGTTAAGACATGCTGTGAGTAAATCTGAGAGCAACATACTTAGACTAAACTAAATGCAAAGCCAGGATCACACCCCTACTTGACTAACCTGCGTGTCCACCAGTAATGAACCACAGTCTGGCAGACAGAAACCAACAGGCAATCCTACTTTGGCTGGGCAGCGGAACTTGTCATTGATTTTAAAGGGAACATCATCAAGGTAGTTGATGGGTCCTGAAAACAAACGAAAGCCAAACAGAGTTAGTAAGTATTTAAAGAATACACAGGAATTACAGGTGCAAGTATACATGCCTTCAAACCCCACCCTTAAACCAGAACATGAGTGGAGTCCAGGATTAAGACAAGAAAGAACTGTGAACCGGGCTCTCACCATTGTTGTATGCATCAGATCCAGACTTCCTTGCAGCCATTTAGAAACTCCTAAAACAAACACGAGTAAAGAGTGTGGAGGGTAAACAAAGGGACTTTCATGGTTTGAACTTTACAAAGAAATTTATGTTTTCAAGTTGAAGAAATACAGAAATAATGCTGAGTTAAAGAGAGATGGATGGCAAGGAGAGAGGGCCCAGACTGGAAGAGAAGACAGGTCACCCATTTGAGGACTATAGCCTCTGCACATGAGGTACGCAGGGCCAAACCAGTGATCCAAGTCCCAAAATTATTTTTAAAAAAATTGTTTAAGTGTCTAAGTGCCTTGTTTACAGACCTTACAGTTTCTTCTAGAGCAGTTTTAATCAATGCATACAAAAAATTACACTTCATTTCAGAGTGCAAATTCACAATTTAATTCCATTCCCAATATCCCTTTGGATTTGAGCCATTCTTCCACTGAAGTCATATAATCCCTTTCTTGGTCAGGCAGCGCCACAATGCCTGACATTATGAACACAGAGAAGCCACTGTTCTCACATCCGCTACACAGAAGTCTTGATCTGTACTTGCTGAAGTGGAAGAAGTGATAAATTTGATTCTTACACACAGTTCAGAGAGTGATCCCAGAGTGAAAGTACCTCAAGCTCTAAAACACTACCATCTTGTGTTTTTCATACTTCTGCTTGTCATTACAATAAGCACCTTTTCTTTGTACTTAACCTATTTTATCTTGATCCTCTATTGTAATGTCATTTTTATATTACTAGTACCACTTAATTTACCTCTAGGATCAAAAAAGCTCTCTTTACTTATTTCAATTGAACAGTCTGTTACATACCTCCCTCCCTAATTTATGATAAGATCACAAGTAATGCCTAGACTTTTATAAGCAGCACTCAAGTCTCTGGCTCCCTGTTGTGCTCTCTGTTCAGTAAAGTTTTCATAATTAGTGAGCTAATCAATGACTTCAGACTGTTCAACTGTTTCTACAGAGCTTACCGACGTCAGAAAAAGAATATGCAAGGCGCACTGCACACAGCCAATACACCAAACAGAAGTGAGATAGTGGATGGGTAAGTCTTTATTTTTTTATTAAAACATTATCAATATGCTTTAGCAACAGAAAACCTATAATCAAACTGTACATCGCTTGACACTCTGAGTCAGATCAGAATCAGAATTACTTTAATAATCCCCAGGGGAAAATTGCTTAGTCTGTGTAGTCTGTCCACTTTGAAACAGTTTCATTATCTAGCTCACACCCAGAGATTACCAGGTCCAGCAAACATAATTAACAATATAATATATTTAAGTTTTGAAATAAAGGAAGTGAGAAAAGGAACAAATTACCAAAGCTAGACCAGGTACCTTTGACCACAATTATTAAGGCTGTAATAATAGAGGGTAGAAGTAGTAAAATGCTAGAGATAGTGTAAGGCTTTGAGTGATCAGGTTAATCATCCAATGACTTTATCAAAGATATAAAAAATCTATTAACTATTATTTCTCACATAATATCCTTGTGTTGCTAAAATAGTCAAGACTGAGTCATCCATTGTCAAAATTACTTGCTATTAAATAAAGATAAAGTAACCAATCTTTGCAGATTTTTAATACACTGTGATCTGCTGGCATAGGTCAGATAACGACCCAACAACCTGAACACAGGTTACCTATTCTTTACTGACTTTTGAGCTCTGCTCTTCAGTCAGTTCCTGTTTCATCAACAAACCCTGACACCAGAATGTTCTCTGTGTAATCATGTGTGTTAATAGGCCACATGTGATCAGGGAGGTATCTTGTGATCAAATGGACTCTTTCTATGCGTGTTGTTTGAGCTCTGATTTCCATCAACACATACTGGTGACCACACAGTTAACAAGGGCAGAACGCAGCAACAAAGTATGGCTTCATTTCTCCGCACAAGTTAATGTTTCCTGTCGCTGAGTGTCGCCAAAGTTAGAAATTAACGTTACAATTTGGGAGAGCGGTTGAGTCAGGTTGGTGTTACGTTCGTGATATCTTCAACAATCACATCAGCGGCGCACAGCACAGAGGTCCAAAAGTAGTTTCTTATCTTGTTTAGCTGAGAAGATCTACAGTCAACGCCGCGTTTCACATTTGAAGTTCAATTTGCATTTAATGGCGAATTTCAAGACTCCTAGCTGTCACATGTGGCTCACAGATTAGGTTATCTGTTCTGAAATAACATTTGTTTGCTGGATTTCGCTGAACTTGTAAAAGCGTCAGTTAGCACCAAGCTAAGCTATTACTCTCTTTGGTTGATCCTCGTTTAACAAACATTCACTGTTTGGCGAATAAATTAGTGTCGAATACGACATTAGCTGGTCCTGGTGGAATAATAAGACCGAGCTGAAGCAATTACCGACTTGTACCTGGATAATTTGTCTTGAGGAGAGCCTGGGTTCGTGCTAATTCGCTTAGCCTCGTCAGTGGCCTGTTAGTGAAGCGGACAGACTGTCCGTGCTGCCACCGCCCCTCAAACTCTACTCAGCTCTCATACAGACACACAGCCCTCTCACCTGTTCTTGCTCCGGCTTCTCCTTTCGAAATCTAAACGACGTCTCGTCGAGGTGGCACTTGAATTCAAACTTATCTCCGAATGAGTTTATTTATTCTGACATCTCTTTCCTGCTTTAACGTGGGACGCCATCTTGATTTGTCAAGCTGCCTTCCTCTGGTTCCTGTCTGACGTCAGTCATGTAAATGACGTAAAAACGTCAGGACGCTCCGTGCGCTCCCATCCAGCTGTGCCGTTTTGTTTGCAGACAGGTCAAGTGAAACAAAAACACGAGTTCCAAATAACTAACATTAAAGAACTGAGAAAAACAAAGAGCATAAGCACACACAACATTGGGCGACCTCATAAAAATAAACACAAATCCTGCAAGTTTAGAAAAAAATGACTCCTCTGGACTCATCCGAACCATGAAAAAAACAGAAACCTGAACCCGTTTTATTGATTTGTACGCTACTGAATTTAATGTATTACAGCCTAGGAGAAAAGGGTCTATACTGCCTAATAATTAGTTAGAAAGGAATGAGAGTGTCAAAATCTTGAGTCAAATGTGTCAAAGTGTCAAAATAACTTAGTCCTCAGACATTACACTTCCTAAATGGTTTTATAAAGGCTTTGGCTGTTAACTTTGCCCATTTCTTTGTGCAAGTTGAAGAACTGTAGGGGAAAGTGGGGTAAGATGAGCCATTTTTCATATTTCAGATCACTACATCAAGGCAATCATAGTTTTGTCTCTAACTAGTGTATCTACATATGTTTCAAGATGTTGTGCATCCCTGCAAACCAACAGAATGAGTGTAAACATAACTGTCTTGATAATATAGCATGCCAAAAATAAGTGGTCTCCTAAGGTCAACTTAACCTGTGTATGGGGTAAGTTGACCATAGGAGCGGGGTAAGTTGAGCCATATCCCTACTATCCCACCCACTCTCCACTCCAGCCCTCCCTCACCTTCTCTCTCCCTAAATAACAGTCACTTCTTCACATTCATGTGTATTTTTATCTATTATATGCTATTCAACTAGTACAATAATTCTTTTTATTATTATTGCATATAATTGCTAAAAAGCTGTTTTGTAAAAAAAAACATTTTAACACGAGAATGCCGTTAAGTGATTCAGAACATTCACAGCTGTATTTTTGAAAAGAAAAAGTGAAACATTTCAACAATCTGAACTGAAACTCTGATCCTCTCATCAGACTCCTTTACTTTCTCAGATGAGCCACTGGATCAACTTACCCCAGAACTACTATGATGCCTGTATTAGTCCTCTGAGCTAAAACGGTGGACTTTTATGCTAAGGGGACTGGCCTCATGTTGTAGCTCATAGATGCCACAATTGATGTATAAAACAAATTTAAAATGATCTTTTTTGGTCTGAACAAAACTTTAATAAAATTTATGACAGACTAAATTAACTTTAAAAAGTGAAAAATGTTTTTTAGGAAATAAATGTCTAACCCCTTCACTCATATGCTTGTAACCTTCACAGACTCCATGAATTGATGCCCATCTCCTAAATATTTGGTCACATGATCAATTTCTTTTACCATTTCCAAGCAACAGGGGGTGGCTCGACTTAACTTTTGGCTCAACTTACGCCACTCTCCTCTATACTGTTTAATGATTAGTTAGAAATGGATAAGAGTGTTACAATCTTGTGTCAAAAGTGTCAAAATAAGTAAGTCCTCGGACATTAAACCACCTAAATAGTTTTATAAAGGCTATGGCTGTTGACTTTGGCCATTTCTTTGTGCAAAGTTGAAGAACTGTATGCCATATTGCTGATCGATAGTGATACGTGTTTAAATTAATTGTGAATCAAGTTTGTGCTGTTGATGTAACCTTTGAAACATGTGAAACTGCAATGCGGGTGCATCTTAACTATTTTTACAGTTTTTAGGGTTCAGCGATTCGTCTTTGTTGAACCCCTCAGCGTCGAGTGCGCGCACGTTACGCCAGGACAGGGACGTGCTTTACGTTCCGCAGACACGCGCAATGATAGCCGGAAGCACCGATGGGAGGAAAATAAAAATCGATGAAATCCACTGTTATTCGCGAGTATAAACCTCTCACTTACTGTCCATTTCGCGGCCGTAAGCTTGAATATATCAGCCTCTTATAGTGCCAGTGTGTCGGAGGGGACGGCAGTGAGCAGGAAAGCTGCTCCATTTGAAGGAAGTTGCTCGGTAGGGGTTTAGCTGACGTGTGGAGAAGTTGAGACTGCCAGTGAGCAGATAAACAAACATAAACAAGCAGGGATCAGCTGAGCGCCTGTCCGAACCGAACCAGCAGCACGGAGAGATGTCAAGGGGGACGTGTTTCCTCTTTTGAACCCAAGAATGATCCACAGGAGACCGTGACTTACACTGATACTAGCTCCATGTCAACTGTCAACACTGGCACAAAGAATTTCGGAAACACAACACGAGGAGAAGCAGCAGCAGCCACAGGCTTCAGCAGAAAACCTACTGCTTCTGTCTGTTTGACAAGAGACAACCAAGCTAACATGGACAACTAATGAGTTTACCTTCCTGTTTTCAGCTGTAAAGAAATCAACACATATAACAGTACAAGGAGATAGAGGTAAACAGTTTTCATTAACTTTGCTTTTTCCACCATAGAGGGCCTGTGGACTCAAACACTGACCTATATGTTTACTGACAGACCACTTAAACCTGTTTATCTTTGATGTAATACCAGCACAACCTTCATCTATTCAAGTTTGCTGTTTAATGTCTTTGAAAAGCTTCTTGCTTCAGTGTAAACAAAGTTAACAGATAGTAGGTGTAGCAGCACAGTCAACAATTACCTTGAAATTTAGTACACAAAACACTACCAATTACCCTATTTTTCTATTTCCCGTTTAGCTCGAACTAATCTGTGTCCACTGGTGTCAGACGTGGGATCAACATGGCCCACCAGGCAACCCCTAGTTCCCAGAAGGCCCTGATGATGGAGCTGAAGTCTCTGCAGGAACAGCCAGTTGAGGGTTTTCGCATCACTCTGGTGGAGGAGTCTGACCTCTATAACTGGGAAGTGGCCATCTTCGGACCCCCAAACACCCTGTATGAGGGAGGCTACTTCAAGGTGAGGGAAATTTGTATTTCCAAAAGAGCAGGAAAAGTACATGACAGAGTTAATATGATGGGACGCATTCATGAAGCTAATTTATATTCATTAACAGGTTAATGTGTTCAGTGTGTGTGTATGCAATGCAGCGGTGCTCATGGCAAATATCCCTCCCTGAGAAGGATAGATAGAAGATTGCTGCAACTTGGAAAACAGCCAGGTGGTTCATAGACAGTCACTCTGCTTGAACTCAGAATGTCAGAGCAAGTAAAGTCATATTACAATAGCTGTAAAAACTGTAATCCAGTAATGACCCGCCTCACCTGCACTGTTCTTTTTTTCCAAATCCTAGAGTATTCAGGCAGCCATTTATATCTCTATAATCTTAAGCCTTCCTCCCCTGTCCCTTCATTCTCCTTGTCCAGCCTTCTCCCCCCTTGCTGTATGATGGTTGTGCTTCAGATGGCTATTTTTAGCTGTGGGACTGATATAAATGGCACCTCAGCACAGAGCAAGAGTAAGAGAGAAGGGCAAGATGGGACTGATCTCCATTTATTCCATGCTACTTCTTCAGTAAAACATTTTGAAAAGGCAGCCTAGCAAGAGCCAGCATTCAAGCCAGGGCAATGCAGATAACAGGGTGGCCTCCCAGGAACTCTAAAGTAATACAGAGTAGGCCTTGTTGTTGTTGTTGTTGTTGTCATTAGTGCCGTTGGCTATCATTGATTGCATCAGGCTCTTGCTTTATTCACTGTGGACAACATATCATATCAAACCCTCTGTTAAAAAGGAACAACTCTCAGCAGTCATCACATCTTTTGAAGTGATGAGGTGTCATTCTCCAAAGAGCCACGGCCAAACTATCTGCAGCACAATAACACAAAACTACACGTATCGATGGACAGGACAAGCATAACACAGAGAACAACGATCATAACAATGTAAAAACTAGTCAAAAGTGACAAATGGTAAACAGACCCATGTGGCGAATTTGTTAAATCTGTATGTCGAGAAAACAGAAATGCAACATGTCACCCCTGAGCTCCTGTAACACTCATAATTAGGAAATAAAATTGTGGCTATCACAGAATTATTTACTTTGGTGCACAGCATAATGGAACAAACAAACAAACAAAAAAAAAAACGGTTACACTGAGGCACAGATGAGACTGATTTGAACCTGAATTAAGTATTACTGCACAACATTGGTCCCGTAACTTTGTTTCTGCTGCTGGATGGCTCCTGTGAGGCAGTGAGTCAAAAAACACTCCCCTCTCTATTGAGAGGAGGGTGAGAGATATTGTTTTTTACATATCAAGTGATAATTATTGTGACGTTAACCTCATGATAGTGTGGCATAATATCAGTGTTTGTAATGTGCCAAGGCTGCACCAGTGTAGAGGCTATTGGTGAGGTATTGATAGTCCTATCTGAGTTGCAGCAGGTTACTGAGAGCTGGGGGTGGTGTTAAACGCATACACACCCAAACCTTTCACCTACATAATTACGCAATACTTTTGGGGGAAAAAAACACATAATTGGGACTAATATGCAGACAAACGTGGAGCTCAGTTGAAATTCACTCTGAGTTACTGAAGACTGATGACAACTGCGCTTGTGCTAAATGTATGAAATAATTCTCTTTGTAACTTAAATCAAACTTTATGAAGCTACCTTGCGATTGAATACTTGTTGTTGAGACAAGTCGGCTAACAGAGAGACCATTTTAAAAGCAACATTATGGTTTGACTTCAGTCTGGATGTGTCAACATTATGCCCACAGGGACTCGTCTAAAACAGTGTTTCACAACCATTTACATCATGAGTTGTGAAAGTATCCTAAACCAATTTTCATCTTTGTTGCTGTTTGATATTATTGATATTACTACAGTTCTGTTGAAAGGAGCATGAAGGAAAAATTTAGCTTGTTTCACCAGACAAATCATGTATCATGTCGTTTTTCTCAATAAATGTTTACAACAACTTCTCTAATATCGGCTCACCTCTCACAGGAGTCTTGGGCTCAGATGACATGAAAGTAGATTAACTGAACCTGAGTTTTTTACCTCCGCCAAGAAGGTTATGTTTTCGGTAGCATTGGTTTGTTTGTTTGTCTGTTAGCAGCTTTACGGAGAAAGTAACAGACGGATTGACCTGAAATTAATCCAGAGGTGCGTCTCAGCCCCAGGAGGATCCCATTAAATTTTGGTGGTGATCCGGACAAAATTCTGGATACTGTGATCCAGAACACACAAAAATAAGGGTGTCATTGGAATTTTCAATGCTGAAAGATAAGAAATGGGCGGCACAGTGGTGTACATAGGTAGCACAGTGGTGTAGTGGTTAGCACTGTTGCCTCACAACCAGAAGGTCCTGGGTTCGAATTCCAGTCAGGGCATTTCTTGTTGCACTCGGAGGTCTGCGCTCTCCGAGTGCTCTTCTAGTTTCTACTGTGACCCTCTGTCTGATCTTCTAGGCCCACATCAAATTTCCAGTCGACTACCCATACTCCCCACCCACCTTTCGCTTCCTCACCAAGATGTGGCACCCTAACATTTATGAGGTATGGCATTTTGTGTTTGATATCAGCTGTTTTTATACCGTTTGGGTAGCCACTGTTCTTTCAGCATAGTACCCATGTTCATGTCTTCATTACAGGCATTAAAGTAGATATTTTGTTCTTTATCCAGAATGGAGATGTGTGCATTTCTATCCTGCACCCTCCTGTGGATGACCCTCAGAGCGGGGAGTTACCTTCAGAAAGATGGAACCCCACCCAGAATGTCAGGTAATGTTTGCCTTGTGCTACACGATTTTATCTTTTTGTGTTGGATGTGCATATGTATTGAAATAATGGATGTCAAACGATGAATTTTTCAATTTGTCATTTATTACTGAATACCAGAACTCGATGGTGATTACTCACACTTTTAACAGAATGTTTAATTTCATTATTTACCATTTTCATAATGATTTTAAGAAATCATTCACAATGTAAAGCGATACATGCCAAACTAAGAGTGCCCCTTGAACCCCAGTCCTCTATGCTTCTGGCTGGTATGCAATTCAGTCACTACCTATTTAGCAAGCGCTGTAGTAAACTTCCATGATCTAGCTCTCTGCAGCGTTTCACTCACTCCTAAATGTGTTTTGCCAGCTTATAAGATGTGGTTGCTTGCTGACAGTAGTCTGTTTAGTTGCTCCTGTATGCATTGCTCACAGGTAGTTGTTAAAATTTAAAGTACATCAGTGATATTTGAGGTCTGTTTTGACACTAACTAACTGCATTTTTCCTTCAGTTTCTAAAGTGATACCTCAGCGAGCTGTTTGTTTATTTGTTTTATGAAACGTGCCATCCAAAAGTACAGTAGTGTTGTTTTTTTCCGTCATGGCAAAACAGAGACAACAGCAAATGATTCACAAGAGTAATAAAATGTATTGCTGTCAAGACATAAACACTGAAGTAAAGTTATCTTAGTTTGAAAAGTTGGTTTAGATATGTTGCACTCTGGCTTCTATTAAACTGTAGTTCTCGTTTGAGGAGTGTGGGATAATAAAGACTCTGTGATGGCTCCAGTTTGATTCCCTGTCTCTCTTTCATATCTAGTAAAGAATAAAATAATCTAAGAAAAGGGAAGCATAGATTAGAGGAATCACCCCAAATAACACAGCACCTCATGTAAAGTACATGTAGTGAAAGGTTTAGACATTCCTTTGTTCTGAGTAACATTTGAAGGGGAAGTAGCTGCAGGGCAGATTTCAGAAATTCTTTTTAACCCAGAATACCAACCTGGCTTCTCTTGTCGAGGAGTAGATGTAAAGCGCTGAGGAAATGTTTGAAAACATATGCAGATTGCATGCTGCATGTAATTAAGCCACAAGGGAAAGAGGTGAGTTAACGCCTCCATCCAGGCTGCGATGAAGCTTAACAAGGATTCAGAAAAGCCTGCACAGAGTTTTTCTTTCAGACAGAGGCGAGAGCTGACACTGGAGTATCCTTGTTTTACTTTCTCTGTTTGTGTGTTTGTGTGCTGTCCCCCCACCATTAGGACTATCCTGCTCAGTGTGATATCGCTGCTTAATGAGCCCAACACCTTCTCCCCAGCCAACGTGGATGCATCTGTCATGTTTCGCAAATGGAGGGACAGCAAAGGCAAGGACAAGGAGTACGCAGAGATAATCAGGTATTAATCTTTTACAACAAAGAACTTGAATTCCATTTAGCTCATGGTGATATCATTGACTGACTCTGTTTTTAATTTATTCCTGTTCGGCCCACAGGAAACAAGTCCTGTCAACAGCGGCTGAGGCTGAGCGTGATGGCGTGAAGGTGCCAACCACACTGGCTGAGTACTGCGTACAGACCAGGGTCCCTTCTCAGGACAGCAGTTCAGACCTCCTTTATGATGACCTCTATGATGACGACATGGAGGAGGAGGACGAGGATGAAGACGAGAGTGAGTTGGAGTCTGTAGGCGAGGCCGGTGGGGTCAGCAGCATGGAGGGCGGCGGGACCTCCACCAGACGTTATGACAACCAGGACGACTCTGGAAATGAAGACTCATGATGATCTGGATGATTACTCCTCCCTGCCAACTCCCAAACCCACACCCTCTTTTGTTTTACGTGTCACGTTACAATTTTTCAGTGGGTGAGTGCCTGTGTGTGTGTGTGTGTGTGTGTGTGTGTGTGGGTGGGTGGGTGTACAGTGGGGTCAAAGGTCTACTGCCAAAATACTTTTCATCATTTATTAAACTAGTACAAACGATTGGTAAAACAGTGGTTCTTGGATGCTGTTAAATAGGTTAGTTTGTACTGTTTTCACCGAGAGTTAGAATTTGGTGTTTCCACCATTTGCCTTAATTACAGCTTGCACTCTGTCATCTGTCGCAGTCAGATGTTCTGCAGAATTTATGGAAAGTGAAGTTATTCCAGCACCATTTGAGAGCTACCCTCAAGTGTTTGTGGTGTTTCCCCACATTTCTGTTTTTGAATGTTCCCACTGATGAGGATGAGGGTCTGTCCCAGTCCTCATTGTTAAAACTAGAGCCCATGATGGTATCAATCCATGGTCAGTGTGTGATTGATAGTGTTCATTAAGCTGACTATACATTAGACAAAACATGTCAATCAGTAACATTTCCATCATCATGTCCAAATCTCATATTTTAAACTCAGTTTTATCACTCCCTCATGGAACCAAACCCAGTCTTGTAAGTTTTAGATAAACTTCAACCAATGCTAACCTTTGGGCTTCTTTTGCCATTAAATAATGGTTTGATAACTGCTACACAAGTAGATCTTTACACAGCAGTTTTTTCAGCCTTAGTAGACTTCATTTGTTGAATCTGCTTGGCATCATAGATGAAGCTCTGTCTCAAAGGTGTTGGCTTTATAAAATGAGGCAGTTTCTCGTTGTGTCTGGAGCCTGTTTTTCACCTTTAAATCTGAGTCATCGGCTGTATATAAAGATGAACAACGCGCCCCACCTTCTTTTGCTGTGCCAAAGTGAAGCTAAAGTCCCCCCAACATGTTGTGCATTTGTAGTGTCCACACAGAGAACAGTCTTTGCTGCTTCAGTGCTGATTTCCCGCTTCACACATTCGACTCAATCGGATTAAATTTGACCCAAGTATTCTGCACATTTTTCCACACAAGATTTTGAGCTTCGAAGTTGAATAGCATGGATGTGTTGCTGGCAGTAAAGAAAACTTTGGCAAAAGAAGAAGAAAGGGTGTGAAAAGGACTAAACTTTTGTATCTTACAAACCAACGGTACAGAGCTGGTTGAGTTTTTTCATCGTTCAACATACATCCTGTTAGCCTCTTGCTATCTGGTTTTGACAATTGATTCAATGTGCAATACATCAACATAGAGACAATCTGATAGTGCTGAAAGGGGGGATGTCGCCACCTCCCATAGCTCTGACATCCTTCTGTCCAAACTCAATTCTTGCCCAGTGCTTGTAAACTGGAACAAGGCCAGAAGTCCAGTTAAGTCGCCTGATCGAGTTGTAAGCATAGCTTGACTTGACTGTGCATGTAAACATATTGACTGTATCAGCAGACCAGTCAACAGAGCTGTCAATCATGGCATAAAATCCCAGAAAATTTAGACGTAAATCAGCATTATGAGCATTAGAAAGCATTATAATGATAGAAACCATGTTTGAGAAAAAAAAAAGAGTTTTTTGTAGTTTTCAACTTTTATCCATGTCCCACCCGTTAACATGGAGGAGGCTTACTTTCAAGCCTGTACTGCAGCCTGTCAGTGGGGGAGCTCTGAATCTTTAGCTTCACTTTGGGAAGATAAAATGTTGTCCATCTTTTTTATATAAAGTCTATGATCCAAGTCCTCTTTTTTTAGTTTCAGCTAATACGAGTCGTCTCAGTTCTCATTACAATTACAGATACCAAGTTATGAAACATCAAAATATGCACGACGAGACAAAAAAATCCACAGTTGATATTACCTCCAGGTATTTCCCAGAGAAAAGATTTCACGCTCAGTTTAAATAGTGTGCTCTTCATTTAAAATTTCTGCTAAGTAAACAAAGTGTCTTAGATTTTGATAAATGATGAAAAAAATACTGTCCTTGTGGTGGTCTCTTGGACTCCATTGTAGCTGACTGGCTCTTTCTCTGGCTAGTCTGTCAGATTGTTTGGTTTTGGCTTTATCTACATCGTCTGTCCTTGTTGCTGTTTTCTTTGTTTATTTCTGTTTTGTTGGTTGACACTCTGTCCTCCCTGACTTGTCCCCTGTTTTTTTTTTTTTTTGGGATGGCTCAGACAGTCCGGCTGATGGGAATTTAGCTCATTAATCAGATAATGAGTGGGGCAGCTTGTTTCCCCTGTCCTCTCATGCCTGTCAGTTCAACTTTGATGCAATCAACAGAAAATGTACTAAAACAGGCTCTGTCATGACTCCACCCTCTTGGGCACACCTTCAGTAGTGACGTCACTGCTCTCTCATCCCGAAAAGCAACGCTATTTTGTTCGGGGTGAACAAGAGTTAAGACCTTTTCTCAAGCCGCCTCCTAAACCTCTCTCTGCCTCTTAAACCTCAGGGCCTCAAAAGACTTTCACTGAGAGAGAAAAAACAGTCAAAGAGAAATGTACCACATAAAACTGCTCCTCAATCCCACCTTTCTTTTCTTTTCTTTCTGCATCACTGGATAGTCTAGAGGGCAGACAGTGAACTGAAAGTCTCCAATCCTACCGCCAGCATGTTTATACATGACTGAGTGTTGCTGTTGGTCCAGATTTGGGCCCTTAAAGTTGTTTTTCTCCTGTGTGGGCTTGAGTCAAATTCTGAAAAGTACTCCTGAAGGGACTTCTCTTCAATATACAGTGGTCACATTAAGTTGTGATAGATGTGAGAGTGTAATGTATTGGCATCGAGACTCCAACTCATGCTTACAGGCAACTTTGAGAAAACTGGACAATGTTACTGTTCTACATCACATCCAGAGTCTGTTTCTCTACATGCAGCTTAGCTACACATTTGAATGAATATGACACTGATTGCTCAATATGTTTGTGTGTATGCGTGTGTGTGTGTGTGTGTGTGTGTGTGTGTGTGTGTGTGTGTGTGTGTGTGTGTGTGTGTGTGTGTGTGTGTGTGTGTATTTACATTTACTTTTCACTTATTGACTGCAGTGTAAGGATTTTCCTGTTCCTGTCTCTTTGGAAACAGTGCAGACTGTCCCACACAAGTGAGTTTTCCCCAAATGACTTTTTGGACTTTGTCCAGTTGAGAAAACATTTGGTGTGTTTGCACTTTGTTCCAGGGTTGTTTAAGGACACCTGAATGGGCTAAATATTTGGATGATTAAGAAAACACCTTCTGAGTATTAAACCTGTGAACACACTGAATGACAGGATGCGGCTGACACTGCTCATAAGACATCAAGTGAAGAGCACATTTTGAGCTGTGTTTTATGGTTGTAGGTTTGAATCTGGGTTTTGAAGCTGCCCCTTTTAACGCAGCGGAGCGCTGCACAAACTTTTTATTCAAATTGATGGGTTTTAAGCCAAGGAAACCAAGTGAACCCTACAACTTTCCGTTTTGAAGACTATGGAGCATCGGATGCATGTAGTGGATTTAATCTGTTTTGAATAAACTCTTGTAAGAGATATCTTTTGGATTTTAATGTGAAGCCAAATGAGTGAAACATTTCCTCCTGGCCCCGTGCTTCAGAGCCTCGTGGAGATTGGATTCTGTCAAGGACGGGAGAGGAAATCCACTCTTGAACCAGATCTTTAATGGATGTGATATCAAGGCACAGCCAGAGGCAAAAAAGATGCCACAGAAACTGAACTTGTCTCACCATGGTCCCATTTTTGCCCATCATGCACCATAAAGAGACAAAGACATTGTGTTGAAATGTACCAGTGTCATGTTAGTCTGATAATGGACTACACTGATGTATGGGTCAATAAGCTTGTTTGCTCTTTTGCTTGTTGTTTGGGTTTGAGTAATATTAGAAAAGGTAATCCCACTGCGATGTTTGACCCTTAAGTAACAGACCCTATCCAACAGCCATTTAGTTTAGCTTGGCACTCACAGTGAATCAGGGTACAGCAGCTAGCCTGTTCCAACAACAGATAGACCCGGTTTTTAAGTTTTTCTTCTTTTCTTTTGATCATTTGTCAGGGTCACATTTTTTAGACGAAGTCAGGACAGCTGTTATCCTATTTCAAGTCATTGTGCTAAGCTAAACTAAGCTAACCAGTTGCTGGTTAAGCATTTAACAGAATTGATCAAAAATAGAGAAACCAGGGCGGTATCAAATTACCCGTTCAAATTTGTCAGGCAGTTTTTTAGTTTATTTTTATGCCAACATATGGAATATGAAATCAGCAAGTTTGACAGGGAAAACAACTTGCCAAGCTTGAGCTAAAGGTATTTCAATCAGCCAACCTGAATCTTCAAAGTTTATCATTTAGGAACTAATGTTTTTGTTTTAGCATTTTTAAATTGGTAGTTTGTCGAAAAATAGATTTTAAGATGAAATTATGGTCGTAACAGAAGTAAACTGCTGACTAAGGCTAACCGTTTTTGTCTTTGTGTCAAGCTAAGCTAACCAGCTGTCGACTTTAACTTCAAATTTAACAGACATATGAAAACTGTGTCAAACTTTCCACTTACTCTGCGCAAAAGAAAGCAAAATATATATTTTCCTTAACTATTGATGGATTTCTGCAGAGCCAAGCTTTTTTCCCCCAATAACAAATTTAAAAACTGTAATCAATGTTGTTGTTTTTTTCCTTTTGGGGCAAAGTCTAGGCATTGTGTAGCTCTAATGATAGCAAGTCGATGATCAGTTTAGAGGTCTTGGATCTTAAGACTCTCTTCTCTCGTACTGAAATGTATGCCTTGTTTTACAACGAGAGCTGGAGGATTCACAAATTCTACCTGAACTTTATTCCCTAAAAAGTCTACAGCTTAAAATGCTGCGGTGATATTCCAAACAAACTACACATACATATGACTGAATGAAATTATTTAGGTCATAAAATCTGTGTGTTTGTGTGTGCACAAGAGTGTCGTTTTTGAAGTGTGGACTGTCACACGGCCACACACCACTCAATGGGCTGACCTGCGTATCCACAATGATACCACAATGTGTCCACACCTATCGATGTTGACGCTGTCCTCGTTGGTTTCTTCTTTCATTTAGTGTCTTTTTTTTTTGCCTTCATCATTTTGTGTTTGTGAGATTGCAAATGTCACACATAAAGTTTTTATTGTAAAAAAATATATAAACATTGTTGGGTTTGTTTTGCAAAGTAGCTTTGATTTGCGTTGCCAAGTTTACTTGTCATGAAAAACAGACAAACACAGTGAGTTGGTTTTTGGATAATGGGTGATGTGCAAACTGAGGCATACCCTCATTGTGGTTAAGTTGGAGTATCTTTCAAAATAAACCAGTGTCACTAAAGCCAGCTGAAAGGTTTTAAACTTATTTTTAAATTGACAATTGGTCAAAACTGTATTAGGGACTGTGTCCACTGACGGCATTCTTTGTTCACTCACCCTCAATTGAAAAGCACTCCTCACAGGCGCTAACTGTCACCAGGTTTCAAAAATCGTTGCACTTCCACTGCCCTTAGAAGTGACCAAGTACATGCAATTGGGTGATGATGCATTTACAGTAGCTTTAGACCAAGAAACTGTACCTTTGAGAAAACAAATCCGATCAGTTTGCCCTGTGTCAAAGTTATTGAAAAAAATGGTATCAAAAGTCCGGCCATACTTGATTCTGACTGGTTAGTGAAAGAGAAGTTAAAATGACGAGCACAGGGGCATTCCTAGTGTTTCCATGTGAGAGTGCTGTGAGTGCAGCAAACAAAATCATCTTTCTTTAGAGAAAATAAGCACAATCAGCTCAAAATTTTAAATGCCATGAGTGGACACAGGCCCTTCAAAAAATTACGAATTTAAAGATCAAGACTAGTGAATTTCAAGTAATGGAAAACTCATGGGGTAGTTTTTACCTATGGTGAAAAAGTGAATGAGAGCAAAATATCAACACTGCTTAATTTGTCTGACATTGAGATTCCTGTTTTGGGCTTCTACATATCCAGTATGTCAACACTTAAATTTAAAGTGAAAATAATAATCTGACAGCCCAAACTGACAAAATTTCAGCTAAAGATAACCATGAATGAGGAAATCATGCCTATCAGAGGTGCTGAATACTTTTGATATCACCATAAGTCAAACATCATTGACCTCCACTGTATTAAGGTGAAATCAGAAACTGAAATAGTATTTGTGGCAGCAGAGGTTTTTCATGTTTTGTTGGAGCTGATCCATATGACCTTTTCCACAGAAAGATGTCCCAAAATTCTTTTAACAAATCATAATCAAACCAAATAAACTGCAGAGATGCAGCCAAATCATAAAGGGTATTATACTTAGTGAAAAGCCTTTTATGCTCTGCCAGGCATGAAATGAAGTACTGGTTCAATGATGCTCCACTGTATCATAAAGTTATATTTCTGCCTGTGCTCAATTCACATTTTGACTTTATAATATACTGTGTATATGTGATGAAAATAGAAAAGACTGTGCTACCTTCTGCATGGTATTTACAAGAATACCCAGGTGACAAATGGCTCTTAATCGAAGTGAGTACTTCCAAAGTGAGAAAAAAGCTTTTTTTTTTTTTTTTCTTTAACTACGCCGTTTCATCCCTTCAGCAGAGGCTATTAGTGTAATCTTTAGTCCTCATTTAATCTTTTGGCAGCACAATGTCAAAAGCAGAACATGTTTCTTCATATAGAACAGTGTGACAGTAAACTGGGACCAAAGTGTCTCCAATCTAATGTGAAGGTCCTCATTTGCTTGTAACAGAGAAACACTTTCAGCAAAGTGATGGTCAGCTCCTGCTATTCTGTTTTTAATTTATATGTAAGCACTTGCTTTCAGAAAACTGTGCGACTGAGAGAGGAGAGAGAAAGAAACACAATTTACAAATAGGGTGTATAATACGAAAGGATGGAATATCATGACTTTGTTTCGGTGGGTCCCCAAGAATCACCAATGCTGGGGGTGAAGTGTTTTGTGTATCCCTGTGATCCTGGCAGCTATGTTGTTTGGGGCAGTAGCATAAATATCACCTCACCCAGAAGAGGGCTTGCAAATTTCAGCCCTTGTTGCAGAAGTTGCTGGCATGATTCCTGGCTGAAACCCCTTGCACTATTTTCTGCCCCCCAATCTCTGCTCTCTGAATTTCTTGTCTCTCTTCAGCTGTCCCATCTGATAAAAGCAAAAATGCTTCTCCTAAAAATGAAGTATGATAATTACCCCAGAAAGTACAAATACAAATATGGGAAACTCGGTGACAGTTAACTGAGTGAATATAATTATTTACTTCCACTCCTGTGCAGTATTCTTGTTTATTCAGTGTTTATGATTTCAACGACATTAGTTCTTCTGTTTTGATCTCTGATGAACACATGAACTAACTCTCTTTGTAACACGTTGACAAAGCTTTGGTAAAACCTGGTAATGTTATTTTGTAGGTTGGAAATTGTTTTTTCTCAGATTATAAGACAGTTGATTTTATATAATATTACTAAAACTACAACCAACGTTTTGTTCATTGTTAAACTTTAATGATACATTAATTAGAATCATGTTAGACCCTGTTTAATCTAAGTAACACAATCTTCAACGCTGTGTAATGATCTCAATTAATGGGTGAAAATTCTTTTGACAGGAAGTAATTTTCAAAAGTAATGGTTGTATTTCACTGTAATTATAACAGGAGTCTGAAACCATTAGATATTCTGGGTTTGTCTCCACCTTGTGGCAAAAACTGCTGCTTGCAACTTGGTTTTACCCGGCTACATTTTTTGCTTCACAAGTTATTGTCTCTTAATGAGCCACTCCCCATTTACATTCAGAAAATAATACCAAGGACCACCAAATCTGATTAATTTGGGATATATTTGACTCCAGCTACAACAAATATATCAGTGTCAGCTCATAAAACATCACCTTCCTTAGATAAACCCTGAGAGAGCACATATCTCCATTTTTTCTTTTTCTTTTTCTTACAGTGTAAATATTGAGTAATTTGATTTGGTCTAATGACACAACATTTAGATGACCAAAGCAATAATGTTTTTATGGACTGGCAAAGATCATATCAGTAAACTGAAACACAGATTTTAAGGTTGACATTGAAAAATACAGTAAAGACCCATGTGACATGCCTTTCCCCCCTTTTTTAATGAGGTCTCTTCCCAGTCTACACCCTGGTTCATCACTATTTGTCCACCTGAGCCTCCAGGTGTTTGTGTGCTGCTCTTAGCGTGTCCTGCAGGTCTTTGTACCCTGCCAAATTGCAGGCCTCCTCCAGTCGTGCCCAGCGATAGTCCTGGTGCTCATCTGACAGGGTCACTGCTGTCCCAGGGTCCATCAGCTCGGCCAGCCAGTACAGCACCTCTTTGGGTTTCCCTCTCACCTCATAGCGCAGCTCCTGCACAAAGCCATTTATCACCTTTAAGTGCTCTTCTCCGAGTCCTGCCTCCTCCTTGGTCTCTCTTAGAGCTGTGGTGAGGTCATCTTCACCTGGGTCCACGTGACCTGTTTGAGGAAACAGTTAAAGCTGTACCAGTAGAAACTCCTAAGTTTTCATCCCCACTTACATGATAAATGTTTGTTTTGTTAACACCTTTAGGTGGGGTCCAGTGGTGTTCTCCATATGAGGTCTGCAACAGGAGGTACTCAATGTTGTCTGGTGGAGGGACACAGTTGGCTAGGCGAAACACTATGAAGCCACAAGCACGCAGCGCCATCTCCCTGTTCAAAACCAACAGACACAAAAACATTCAGTATTATGTTGTTCTCTGGGATCCCTCTTCCCTGGATCACAAAGTAAAACGACGTTTAAAAATGAACACTGGATAATACATTTTGTGATAAGAGTCATGTTACTACTTTTTAAAACTCTATTTAGAAACAGTTGTAAAAGTTATGTAAAATGTGTACTGGTAAAACTGCCATTAAAACACCCATGAGCAACTTTTGGTCCCAGTGACGGCCAAGTAGAGAGGAGGGTTATGGATTCCTGAAAAATTCACTGAAGGTGTTTGACATTATAAACCTTATACGTGATCACATGTGTTGCATTAGTTCTCTACTGCCAGACTGACAGGATGCAACAAGGTCCTGGTTCCAAACCACTAAACTTGAGTTGCAAAAGTGCAAGAAAAAAGGTCTGTTTTATTGCTCTTTTCGCCTTTGGACCTTTGGACCTTTTAGAACCTGGTCAGAAGGCAGAACAACAATACCTGAACTTCTTAAACCACTATTTGTTTGTGAAATTGCAATAAAGACATCGAAAGAATTGAATAAAGAATTGCAATTGGACTTGATTCTTATCCAAATTCCAAAAGCACACAACCTGTGCAAAACCTAAAATAAGTTGAACTCTTGGAAGTAATAAATTTAAAACACAGCTTTACAGCATATTTGTTCCAAGTAGACAGTTTCTTGTCTCCTATTGCGTTACTGATTGATATGGATAGATTGTCATTTTTGCTGCAAAGCATAAGCACAAAAAATAATTGTTAAGAATAACAATCAGAAATTTTTCATATAAATTTTATCATTAATTCGCTCTTTTTTCCCCTGGTTTACCTCTAACTGGCTATCTGATAAGACTATTAACTGGATTTGGGTGAAGACCTAGTTCTTTGTGGTGAAGCCTGAAAAAATAGTGAGGCTGCTGTTTCTTATACACTCACAGACACTATAAAAAGGTGTTACAAATAGGGATGGGAATCGAGAACCGGTTTCTGTTGAGAATCGTTTCCAAATGGTTCAATCCATCGACATCATTTACATTTTATCTTAACGATTCCCAAAACGATTGCTTTCTTCTGGGTGCCTTGAAAAACAGTTTCACGAGAGCCAGTCTACGCGAACAAGAACAGAGACAAAGAAAAAGCATGGCGGACGGTTAAAGGAGGCAGAGATGATCTAAAGTGTGGCTTAATTTTACTAAGAGAGATGACAACAGCGCAACATGCAACGTATGTCGAGCAGTGATAATATGCAAAGGTGGAAACACCAGCAACATGCTTAAACATTTGTCAACAGAACACAGTATCAAATGCATACATTTTGTCAGTTATCAGAGACTCAATAAAATTTTGAGTTAATGGTGAAAACCTAAAGTCTACCTTTTTTTTTTTTTTAATCAAAGAGAGGCATCGATAAGGGAATCATTAAAGAACTGAATCGATAAGCAGAATCAATAACGGCATTGATATCGATACAATCTTATCAATTCCCATCCCTTGTCACAAATTTAGAAGATGTTATTAAGAGGCTGCAGCCTCTCTAGAATCATCTAGGTCAAATCTGAAAATATTGAGATTGTGGATCAAGACATGGTCCAGTGGGGTCTAGATGAGACAAAGTAGTGTCACCTTTTTTGGATTTGAACAGAATACAGAGTTTAAATCTGAAAGTGTTTTTTTTTCTTCCAGGAAGCTGTATAGTGGTTAAGGATCAAGATTTGGTTTTCATAAAATTCTCCTTTAACAGTCGAGTCAAAGGTTTTCAATAAGATGTGAACCTAAACACCAGCTCCTCATATTTTACCTTTTAAATCAGAACAGCACTTTCACTTTGACTGAATTTTACCTCAACCTGACAGACAATAAAGAAATACTTGGATATAAAATCATTCGTCTCACCTTAAATCATATTTATAACCATAAATGACCCTGTCACACTTTAACTGATTCTGACACATTAGTACAGGTTTGCAGACCCCAATTCAAATCCTGCTGCAGCAGAGATTATATTCACTACAGAAACGTTAACTGTTCATGTTTATTACATGCTAGCTAGCTCCCTCTTCTATTTGAAATTCCGTAATTGAAGAATAAGTCTTTAACTCACCAAATCCCCCCCAAAAAAGTGATAAAAACTTGGGATTTGTACAGGTGGACGCTGTTTCCCACCGGCTGAGAGCGAAACGGAGTTCAGCGGTGCACTGGCAAATCAGTCCGGTCATGTTGAGGGGCGGACACAAACAGTTCCGCCCGTAACGAAAAGCTTCTACCAGTTCAGTCAAGAGAAGAGTAAAACGCTGACAGACACATGCTTTAATTCGTTAACATTCGATCAAATTACGATGATGATGCCGACGAATTGTTACTGTTATTATACATAACGAATACATGGCATATAATGTCAAGTACCGTGTTACATTATGGCTTGCTATAGCTACATAGTTGTCAGAACTGTGGCAAGATCTCACATGCTGAGGTTCTTAACCTATAATGGGGTATTATCAAATAAGTGTAAAGTTTGTGAATTTGAATATGCTTCTAACCACTCGATTGATAAGTAATGTAGCTACAGCCCTACAATAACTCTCTATAAAGGAGATGTACAAACAACCTCATTTCAATTATGCTGTGTAAAATGTGTCCTAGAAATCTAACACTTTGCAAACCACCTAAAACCTATATGTTATTGAAAATAGTGCAAATAAAATTGATCAATTAATGAACCTGAAAAAGCTAACCGTTGTAAGAAAACTGCATATACATTCGGAATTTGATGTTAGCAACACTTTCCAAAAGTTTGGACAGGGCCATGTGCTGCATCACTTCTTCTGTAGATAACACTCTGTAAATAGTCTGGAACCATGGAGATCAGTTTCTGGGATGTGGAAAGTGAAATTTTGTTTCATTTCTGTCGAACAGGACTTGAATGGTTCAACAGTTTGACATAGTATGACATGAGGTCTCCTTTGTTTCCAAATGTTTTGAATGCGTGACAAGTTAGAAAAACAGCAGGCAGGCCAATTTAGCACCCAGGCCCAGCTAGAACAGAACCATACTGTTGTGATGACTGCAAAATGTAGTTTGGCATCTGTGTTTTGTTAAGTCTTCCCTAAAAAAGGCATCGTCTCAAAATCTGCTCAAAATCTGTAGGCCTACATACCATTCAGCATGCGTGGTACCTTATCAGTTGTGTAAACTAGCCATGTCATGGCCACTTATACCACCTAAGCTGGGTGGTCCCTCCCATCCATAGAAAAGAGAAGGCTGTGTTAATGATTTTGAATAACTTTTGAACTTCTTATTTTGATTTGTCAAACTACAACACAGTTTTCCCCTTCACCCCACTCCATCTGGAATAGGCTCAGGGCCAGAGGACTCACTGACATCTTGGGGTCATGTTTTAATATGGTTTCTTCTTTGGCACAGTTTTAGCCTGCCTTGTGAATGCAGTGACATCAGTGTTGACAGTCAATATTTTTTAGCCAATGCAGTGATTCCCATGAACAGAGTCATGTCTGTTTTCAGTACAGAGCCTAAGGACCTGAAGATCATGGCCAGTATTGGTTTTGGGCGTTGCCCCTTTTATACAGAGATTTCTCCAGAATAGTAAACTATCTCATCGCCCAGTCTCTCACAAAGATGTGAACCTTTGAGAGACTCTGCCTCTCTTGAATGCCTTTTTGACATCCAGTCATGTTTCTTACCTGTTTCACATTAACCTAAATGTTAAGATTTTTTTTTAAGCATGAAAACACTTTTTTAGTGTTTTGTTGCCCCTGTCTCAAATGTTTCAAAACATGTTACTGGCGTCATGTTTAGAATCGGTATATATGAAGTATAAAGGATAATATTGTTCAGTTTCAACATTTAATGTGGTCTTTGCACTGTTCAAGTAAATATAGAGTATGTAGAGTTTAAAGGACTTATAAACCATAAAATTCTGTTCTTATCGGCATTTTACAAACATCCCAACTGTTATGGATTATGAGTTGTATAAAAAATACCAACAATGAGAAAATATGCAATTAAAATCAAAGAAGGCTACTGTAAAGCTGTACTAAAGTACTTCTGTAATTGTATTCTGTTACCTCCTACCATATTCTTCTACTTTTGCAAATGATAGAGGGCATAAAGGAATAAGCCATGTCTAAAGAAGCAGCATGGAGCAATAAGGCAAGAGATAGGAGGCTTTGAACTGTGTCTATAGACACATTACAAACTGGATGATCAAATAGGTAATCTTGATAATATTTGAAAACAAAGGTTAAAAGAGGGGAATCATAGAAGCAGATATGCAGATCAGAGAGATTGTTTTATGATAGATGTATAAGACTCTTTACAAATGAAGATCTGTTGTGCCTGCAGGAGATAGATAAGACATGAAGGCAGCGCAGATAGGACCAACTGAAGACAGCTTGTATCTGAAGATAGGGGGAACAGGGGCTCCTACCCACGCAAGTAGAGCCTTAAGCAGTACAGTTTGTCAGCTTGACAGAGGGGACACCGCTGCTTGTTTCAAGGTAAAGACAGAAACTCAACCCTAAATACATATGTTGTTATTTTCAAGTATAACTACATTCATAGTAGACAGAGAGACACACAGGCTGTCTGTATAGAGAAGGTGCTGTATCTTTATATACTAAAGGGATTGCATAAATCAAGTTTGTAGTCTTTGGTGGCCTCGGTTAAAGATTGTTTTCTAGTCAGATGCAATTATTTTGCTCTTCTTTAGCTGCTTCCTTCACAGCATGTTTCTGTCTGTTGTTTAGCCAGAGGCTACAGGACATGTGACTCTCACTGCTGCTGCTGCTGCTGCCGCTGCTACTACTGTGCTTACTCAGCCCACTCTGAAGTGCTCATTATTCCACTGTGCTATACATGAATCACACTGGGGGTCAGGTTGCCCTGCATCTAGATATTTTTGGTCCTGTCATAGTGATTTTATGTGAATGTAAGGCCGCGCTCTTTAGATGTGTCCCTGCTTCCATACAATGATGACACCTAAAAATGACACTGTGTTTAACACACATGTGTCACATCCTATAGGTGTACTGCAGTCATCGGGCAGGTCACTGGTTTTTGAGGAATACATTAAAATACTCTCTAAAGTTAAACTAGTCAGGGTGATTCATATAGTAGGGATTAAAATTGCGGGTCTGAGTTTGTTCAAAGTAGAGCTGTTTGGTGCCAAGACATGCTCGATTTCTTTCAGCTGAATGTTTTGGAGGTGTTGGAGACTTAATTTAAGCTGACAACTGTGATGGGTGGTGCCAACATGATAATCCCAGAGACAAATCCAAAAGCTACACTTTTCATGTGGAAACTCAAGTCCCTCTGTAAAGTAACACAACATAGTTTGAATCTGTAAAGAAAAAAAAAACATGTCTTCAAGATAAATCCCCAAATGTTCAAAAAAGTCTCGCTTGCCTGCTAAACAGCATTTCACAGACACATGGAAGAGAAGGAGCAGCCCACTGGAGGGCCTTATTTTGTCGGGAAGAAAGATGAACTCATCCAAGCAAAGCGCTCTTTCAGAACAATAGAAGGTCGGGATATACTGATCATCCACCACCAAGGGGTCTTTTACGCTCTGGATTCTTACTGTTACCGTAAGTACCGGCCCTCAAATGAGCTGTTACCTACAACTTCAGATCTGATAACTCATGAGAAGTATCAGGTGGATTGAGGGTATGTGTTAACAAATGCTCACTTTCAGTGAACCACTTGAGAATAAACTGCTTACATAAAGAAATCCTGTCATAGGATAAGTTTTAGAGGACTTACTTTGTTATCCAAAGGACATTTTAGCACATATCTCCTCCAAATTGCCCAGTCAGCAAAAGGTTAGTGTGCTGTAATCAGTGTGCTTATTCTGCAATACACTGATCCTCTTTCCTTCTCAACAGATGCTGGAGGGGAGCTGCAGCATGGAGACATTGAGGTAAGTTTTGACTTAAGAGATTAATGTTTTTTTTGAGTGACTTGGAGGAAAGATGCCAAAGTGACATTCAAGGGGAAAAAAATGGATTGTGTTTTTGTTGTTATGTTACACTAAAATACTCAAAAGCAAATCCTCCAAGGCTTTTGTAATAGAGAAATCCACTCTGCATAAAATTAGTGTTTCATTATGCTAATGTGAAATGGCCTAAATGCCCTACAATTACCACACATAAGGTTTCTGACCTGTTTTTTTCACACACTCGCAGGACTTGAATGGCAAGCTGTGCATAATTTGTCCGAAACACAAATACAAGATCACTCTGGCTGAGGGGGAGGGCATATACAAGGCAACAAACCCCAGGGAGAAACCACCTGTGCCCAGATGGCTCTCCAAAGGTGTGAAGCAGCGGACACATACTGTCTCCGAAAACAACAATGGGGATGTCTATGTCAAGCTCTCTGACGTAGCAGGCTGGATAGAGTCCGACTACTACCAGGGAGAGAAGGGCAAGGAAGCGAGGGAAAGAGCTGCAGCGGACGATGAGAAGAAATCCTGAAGTCTTGTCACAAATAGACGAGGATGGCGTCTGGATAGTCTTGTCTTGTTTCCCCTGATCCCCTCCTCTATGACGACTGAGTTAGGAGAGATTTTTTGACAACATGCAGATTGTTTTGTACCATAAATAATCATTCTTCTGAAATTTGTAAAACTTTTTAGAGTATTGAATTGCTTCGAGTCTTTACTTGATGTTAAAATGCATTACTAATAACCCTGGCATCTCTAAATTATCATGTTGTTCACTAAATAAACTTTTGCATCCATTAATTCTGACTTCTAATTCCATATTTTCAATTAGGCACAAGGTAGCTGAATGTGTGCCGATTCTGGTGTCTTCCCTACTTTTTAATTACCCTCATGCATTATATATAAAGTGAATGAAACAATGAGATGAAAAGGTTTCTCCTAATGGTTATCTTGAAGACTTAAAATGAGAATCTACATGGACATATTTTCTCCTAATGGTCGAAGCCCAAAAGTGGAAAATCATTATTCTAAAAATGGAAAGACAATACAACAATGATGGATGTTTCCCATAATATCTATGTCTTTTTATTCCTCCAGAAAGCAAAATATCAGGGCTGCACATATCCTGGTGTTTAGGATTAGTGCTGTGTACAGTTTCTTGTTTGCTGATGAAGAACTCTTTCAGTGGCTGAATAAAAAGGAAACCTTTATGAGAACAGCGAGCAAATCCCTAAGGTTGTTGAAAGGTGTGTTGACAGCAGCTTCCCGCAGGTACTGCAGCTGCCAGAAGGCTCTGTTCGCTAGTTATGGCTCTTCTGCTGCATGTTTGGTGAAATATGCAGCAATGTGAGCATTCACTGTTTAATCTCCTTTTCTGGGCTTGTGTCAAACATTTATTGGGATTTAAATACTCCTGAGTATTTAATACAATGCATAACTTTTATCTCAAGATATAAAATGCTGCATCAGCGCTGACTACTTTACATTTCACTGTGGTATAGTTTGAATGCAGTTCTACATACTCAAGGTCACTCCTGTGTTTTAGGCATTATACTATAAGAACGCCAGGGACCACCATCTTCTCAAGTGGTGGCAAAGATATTTTGATTTCAACCAGTCAATTCATCACTAAGCTTTGCAAACACACTTAAAGGGATATTCCAACGTAAAATTGTTTTAGGGTCAAACACACTGTAGCACCGAGTTAGACACCCCCTTGAGAGATGAATGTTGCCGACCGCTTGCTTCTCTAGTTACACCAACTTTAGTAACGACCGCACGATAGCAATACACAGAGGTCTGAGGAGCCATAAACAAAGCTCAACCAAATCGCCACTCTATAGCCACAAATAATGCTCAGAACAGCACCTAACTTCATCAACAGTACATATAGGGTCCCAGCCCAAGCACTAGCCAAAAAACGTCTTTTTAACTTTGCCTGATTTCTTCAGCAAAGAGACGAAGCACAACTCACCCACTCTCTTCCAGCAGCCACTTGTTTGTAGGCCAGTTCTTTACGGACTACAGCAGGGGGGTGCAGCTCAAGGAAGAACATGAATGATCATTTCTTCATGGAAATGCAACCAGACTGAGACGCTAAGGCAGAAGAACTACAGGATCTGCTGTGCAAATTGATTAATATGGTGATTATTACTTCAAGGAAATGATAAAGAAATGATCAGAAATGTTCTTCCTTGAGCTGCGTCACCCCACTGTAGTCCGTAATGGACTGGCCTGGAGGTTTCCGTACAAAGAAGTGGCTGCTGGAAGAGAGTAGGTAAGTTGTGTTTAGTCTCTTTGCTAAAGAAATTAGGCAAAGTTAAAAAGATGTTTGGTGGCTAGTGCTTAGTTGGGGCTATAGAGTGGCTTTTTGGTTGAGGTTTGTTTATGGCTCCTCAGACCACTGTGTATTGCTATCGTGTGGTCTTTACTAAAGTTGGTATAACTAGAGAAGCAAGTGGTCGGCAACATTCATCTCTTAACAGGGTGTCTAACTCGGTGTTACAGTGTGTTTGACCCCAAATTAATTTCAGCCGGAATATCCCTTTAAATGGCAGTGACAGCAGTGACAAAGGACACACTAGAAGAAAGAGTTGAAGTGGCAGAAGAACTTTTACCAGGTCAAAACTATCTGAATGTGTTTAATATTCTATTTGTCATTGACTTCCCGATATGCATGTGCACATAAACAAGATGACAGGTTGTTCATATGCCTGTAATGATTTACAGTTTCCCTGAGAAAAAAGGGTTGCATCATTTGTTAACTGTTTGATGTGAAGAGTGGAGACAGCCTGTCACATTCAGGTTAACTCTCTGTTCTTGTACCCGTTGTAGGGACCAGCTATGACATGAATTGCAAACTGGAACTGCAAATGCCATGGGTTGAGATCACACAGGCTATGGGGTATGATGTTCCTCATGAATGATCTCTTCAGCTGGCCTACAGTGAACTCACCACACAGTCTGAGGCCCTGGCCTGTATGACACTTTGAATACCATCAGAAAATGCACAGGGCCGCAGGGTCACAGAGAACAGGGGCCTAAGCACCCTAAGCACTGGTGCTTCTCATGGAGATCTCATTAAATATTCAAATATGATGATGTAGAGAAAGGTAGAGTCATGAATCAGAGGTCATTTCTTCAGGTGGTCTTTTCAATAGTTAAGAGGACTGGGAGAGAAACTGCAGACTATCAGGGGAAAGTGCCGAGCAGGTCTAGTACCTCTTATTCCACAGGGAGAGTATGTAAGCAGCATGAAATTGTGACAGAAACTGTAACACTCCATGTCGCTTTGTTGTATGTCTTGCATTATTCATCATAGTTGTGAATGACACCAAGAGGCTCAGCCTTAAATGCCCCATCAATTCCACCTCGCAGTTATCCCTGGAGCTTTTCCAAGACTAGCGATCAGATCCCATTTTCACCGTTTATTTACAGCTGACTCCCGCTGCAAAAACAGTCCAAGGACCTTATGTTTTCTTGTTTTGTCAGCAAATAGCTGGTCTCTTATTCATTGTGTCTGACATCGTTATCACTGTTATTAACATTGCACCCGTGCTCATATGTCTCTCGGCAATTCCTTTTTGTGCCTATTCATGTGAGAGGATTAATTGAGATGGTACTCAGACTGAGATTTGCACAGAAAGTTAACTGTTTAGAGGAGAAACAGCACAAACTGAAAGATTACGGGCGTAGCCTATCAGAGTGTAAAAGTACGGTGGCTGAGAACCGCCACTGCTGCAAATACAAAGAATGCAAAAAATAAATAAATAAATAAAAAAGAACACCACTGCTGCAAATAAAGAATGTAAAAAAAGAAATCACAATGGGAGTTACTGATGCAAAAAAAAAAAAAAAAAAAAAAAAGAGGCCCGCTGCTTTTTTTATCTGCACTGTTTCTTTTTTTAATTGCAGGGGTCTTCATTTCTTGTTTTTGCATAAGTAACTTCCGTTGTGACTTCTTTTTCTTTTGCATTTTTTTTTTTTTTTGCAGCAGTGGCGGTTCTCGGTCACCATATGGAAGTATGTTTGAGTCATTAAAACAACACTGTTATCCCCTGTAGGTCGGCACCGTGGTTTTGGTGAGGATGTTTGTGTTTGTTGGCGCCGCACACTGCTTCTACATTTGCATAGCCGCGTGCGTGTTGCTGAGTCAGGCGCTCTCTCTCTCTCTCTCTCTCTCTCTTCCTCCCTCTCCCTCCAGTTGTTTTGCGCCTGAGAGACTTTGTTTTATCCACCGACGTCATTCATATGGACTGGACACCGAGGTGCGAGGCTGCATTCTACACGTCGTTAATAGCATCTGACCTTTGTTGTTCCACTTCTATGCCAAAACTGTGCCAAAAAAGAAACCATGCTAAAACATGACCCTGGTTGCCGGTGATTCATCTGGCCCAAGCTTATTATCGACTCAGGCACAACATGGCCTAACCAAATGGCACATTAAAAAGTTTACGAAGTGAAATTAAACAATAACCTTTCCACTTACTTCTTTGCTCGTTTTTTGCTGTCGTCTTCTGTGCGTCATCATTATTGGTCCCCGACAGCTCACTTCCGTTGTGGCTTTTTGTATTTGCATCCTTTTTTTTTTTTTTTTTGCAGTAGGTAACTTTTTTTCCATCGCCACTTTTTTTTGCGTGGTTAACTTTCGGTGTCGCTTTATTATCTGCCCTGGTTCCTTTTTTTATTTGCAGCGGGCTTCAGATTCAATTGTTTTTGCATCAGTAACTTCCATTGTGACTTATTCTTATTCATTTATTTTTCATCTTTTTTTATTTGCAGCAGTGGCGGTTCTCGGCCACCGTACAAAAGTACGTTTGAGTAATTAAAACAACAACGTTAAACCCTGAGGGTCGACGGCGTGCTTTAAGTGTGGATGTTTGTGTTTGTTGGCGCCGCACACTGCTTCAACGTTTGCATAGCCGCGTGCGTGTTGCTGAGTCAGGCGCGATCTCTCTCTCTCTCTCTCTCTCTCTCTCTCTCTCTCTCCCTCCAGTTGTTTTGCGCCTGAGAGACTTTGTTTTATCCACCGACGTCATTCATATGGTCTGGACACCGAGGCGCGAGGCTGCGCTCCTCTCCACGTCGTTAATTGCGTCTTCTACCGCCTGACAACTTGTTTATTAGCACACGAGCCGCCCATGGGCGCTGCTGTTTACACCTTCTGCTGCTCCGCCGGCTGGGCTGTCCGGTGCGCCTCTGCGGTCGGTTTGGGACGGTATCGAGCTCCGCTTTTATGAATGAATAACAAGACGGGGAAATGCGAGTGACTGTAAAAGTCCCCAGCAGTCGGGCTCCCGGGGGGGCAGCCACTGATGAGAGGGATTAACGACGGAGCAGAGCCGCGGCTCATTGCGGAAAAGCCGACTGCAGACTGGCGTGGAGACGCACCGTGAGGGGAACGGGCTCCATAGCGTACAGCAGCGGAATCAAACCGCGGTGACCACAATGTAAGTTGCTCCCGAGCTGCAACTCATTAAGGCATGTGAGGGAGAAGAGGGGGTCCTGGTGTGGTTGCATGTTTTATGTTCTGCCTTTTATCACTGATTGATAGATTTAAACACAGCTCCGAAAATATTCCTTAAAGTGTCTCATTTATAGGCTCCCCCTCTCAGGTGTTGCTACAAAGGGCCTTGGCAAGCTTCTCTCATTTTCAGTGACATAGCGTGATGCACTGTCTCCGTGATAGACATGAATAATAAGGGCTAAAGCAAGCAGAGGTTTCTCCTCTGGAGCATTATCCGCTCCGTTCAAGTCACTCTCAACCTCGACTTGTCTGGCTTTTACAGGTCCATCCACATCGTGGCTCTGGGCAGCGAGTGCCCCGGAGGAGTCGGACCCGGTGAGGAGATCATGGGGCAGGGGCAGCTGCAGGGAGGCCTGCTGTGGAGCTACTTGGGTCATGGAGCGCTGGTGGGACCATGCGACCTGGAGAGCAGTCTGCACAACCCAGCCTTCATGGAGTATACATCACGTGTGTTTGGAGATGTTACTGTGGTGGTGCGGGATTGTCCCAGTTGGGTAAGGGGCTGATGATGGTGTGTTTGTTTGCAGAGACCAACATGTGACTGAGAAGCATTAATTTCCATTTTTCTCATTCATGTCTTTGTGGCTAATTTGCATCATTAAGTACTCTCAAACATCATGTGTACATCCTCCTGCTGGTGTGCCACCATTACAGACTTGATTTGTAGAGGAATGATAGAGCAGCTAAGACGCCTAAAATACCGCAAATATGTTGTAATTGTTCCAGTGCTGTCATTGCTAAAGAGCTTGCATCACTTCACCATAAAGCTGTGTACTTTTCCCCCCTGCCTGTGTTTCAAATAAGAAGTACAATAATTCCTATTCCAAGGCTACTTGCCTTCCAGCGCTGATTCAGGCTTTATAAAAATGTCTCTATTCTTAGGAGGACTCTATTTTAAAATGCACTGCACAGAAAGAACCTGATGAAAGAACTTTTGTTCTTAATAGCATATGAATGTGAAATGAAAGCACTGTTATGATTTGGTAGCAGCACTGTATGGGTCCTATTATGGGGCTGTCTCACCCTGTCAGAGCTGGTGCTAGGTGGAGGCTGTCAGTCTAACTCTTTGTCTCTGCTCTTTTTTTTTTTTTTTTTACTCTGATTGCTCACAGTTTTCTGAACAGTTGTTTTTTCCTGCCTAATGAATTGAATCAGGTTGGTTTAGATTGAGAAAGTTGCCTAGTGCAGGTCCTCAAGGGGGTAAAGTCCCAAGAGCCGCACAGTGGTAATTATACTTGCAGAGACTGAGAAGGAAAGGGGAAGGGTTATCTGAGGTAGAAGTCTTGGTATGCGGACAATCCCCAGCATTGCATTTCTCACGTGTGTCCTCCTCTGACCTCTTTCTATTTCTATTTGTTGCTCTTTTTTTGGGCTTTTTCAGGACCTGTTGGACAGTGACTGGGCCAGCGTTCGGAAAGTTCTTGAGCAGGCGGATATTCTGGTCATCAAATATTCAGTCACTGACAAGCTGGCTTTCCAGCAGGTCAGGAACGGCTACGCCCCGAGACTGCGCCCACTCCTGAGGCACTGGGGTGTACCTGTCATCCTGGTTGCTGTCGGTGCACGGCTGAATGGTGAGGACGTATTTTGTATTATGTTTTCACTGGAGTCAGGTAGAGTTTGAATTTGCCAAGAGTGCCTTGACAACTGATCTTTCCTCTTGAAGTTTGTCATTGTTTAACCTGAAAAGAAGAGTTTTGAAGGCAGTGAATGAAAAATGTCGCGCTTGCAGTTATTAAACTCTAAAGGTTACTTGTGGTTAGTGAGCCGTTGAACCTAGGTCTTTGAGTTTGATCTTAAGATATTGTCTTGTCTCTCTGGTTTGGCCTGTGAGATCACTGTCTGGCCCTGTGTCCTCAAGTGCGTCCTCCTTGCACAGGGGAGGAAGCTCATGATTTAATCTCCCTCACTGCCTCCAGGCTGTCAGCTTACATGCTCCCCGCAGAAAACCCACCGAATAAAGACACACTCAGTATTTTTTGTCTCTCTAAACCAACAATTAGACAAAAAACTGTGACAGCGCTTCAGTATTCACTCCCATGGCTCAAAAGTCCACCAAACATTTGCAGTTCTTTAAGGAGAAGCTGGGCTTTAATAGAGGCTGCTTATCACAGAGAATCGATTCTGGGTGTGTTTGTGCACACACACACGCTGACCCTTCTTGAATCCAGATGCGGTAAACAAGCTCATCAAATACACCGGGTTGTATTTTTAGCCTGTCTGCTCGACATACTTTGAGAACTTGTCAGAGCTGCGCTGCAGAATGATCACAGTGTGAATCAAGTGTGTGCCAGAGAGACTTGAGGAAGAGAGACAATCGGTACCTGTAGACTAGAACCTTTGTTTGTCTTTCTGAGTGTGGCTGCCGTGAGTATTTTCATGCTATCCCCTCATGAATGCAGTGAATGACGGCTGAGCTCAGAGCGCTTCCTGCTGCTTGGCTTTAGACCACCTCAGGCACAGCGGTGGCAGAGGGAGAGAGCGCTGCTACGTGCATTAATGCAGCCATTAAACCAGCGCTGAACGCAGGAGCACACACAGATTTAACCAAGGGCACGCACTCACCCTCACACACGCTTACAAACATAGCACTGATATGCCAAGTCACTGCCGTCAGACACACACTCTGCTTCTCTCTCTGCTCCTCTCTCTCTCTCTCTTCCACACACACACACCCTCTCACACACACACTATCTGTCTGGCTCCTTCTCTGTGTCATGCCTGTAGGTTATTAGCAGTATGATTTATCAAATGCCCCGGCACTTAGCTGCATGTACCGCTCGTCCTCTCTTTCGCTCTGGCTCCCTCCTTCTTTGTGCAGCTTTTTCTCTCCTTTGAGCTAATCCCTCCAAATTTCTTGTCGGATTCTGTGTTTTTGGTCCCCATGCACACATGCCACAGCCCTGCTGGTTCTAGTGCACATGCTGTTGCACAATTCATGTTGAATTAGATCATTGATCCGCTCTCTTGAGAAGAGAATTCTTTGTTTTTTCCTCAGACTTGTGTGAGGATGTAAAAATTAAGGCATGCAAGGGCAAAACAAATCACTACTACTACTGCTACTAAAAGACAAAGAGCAAGAACTGATGGCATTTCAGGAAACAACAATTATCTTTCACAAAAGGGAAAATTTAGACACATGCTTGCTTTTTACGTTATCTCTCTCTGACAGGATCAGATCTGATGGTTGCAGTCTGCAAATAGATCAACAGAATACAACCACAACAGTGTTAAGTAGAGCTGGGCGATATGGGAAAAAAGTTCATCACAATATATTTTTTTCATATGAGTCGATTCCGATATATATCACGATATAAAAAATGAAATTTAACAGTGCTTATTGGTAGCATGTCTTTTGAAATACAATAAGCTCCTGCATCTGTGAGGTCTTTGTGTCTCTTTGACGTTTTGTCGTAAGGCGTTGCGCTAGCGCAGTGGTTCTCAAGTCCAGTCCTCGAGGCCCACTGTCCTGCATGGTTTGGATGTTTCCCTGCTCCAACACACCTGATTCAAATGATCAGCTCGTTATCAAGATCTGGAATGGCTTGATAACGAGCTGATCATTTGAATCAGGTGTGTTGGAGCAGGGAAACATCCAAACCGTGCAGGACAGTGGGCCTCGAGGACTGGACTTGAGAACCACTGCGCTAGAGAAAGTGGACTGAATGATCGGCTGTTTCAGTACAGGCGCCATGGGCTCCTTGCTTCGCTCAGGGTTTGTAACCCTTTGCATTGTGCATGCTCTCCCGCGTGGCACTGCTTCAGGTGATGAAAAAGATTTGAGGTATTCCCTGACTTTGCGGGAACATGTACTCAACATAATTCGCAGTGCACATTACTCTGCATTTTCGTGCCGATGTCATCATCTGTTGAGCGTTCATCTGCATTTCTGTCAAGGGTAGCACTCATTTTCTTCTTTTCTCACCGACAGTGCTGTCGGCTTCACGTGTCAAAGTGCTATGGTTGCGTGTCGCTGCAGCCTGCTACTACGCAGTTGTTTGCTTCTTGATTCCAAGTCAGCACATGATTGGTTCAGCTCAAAGCAGACCCAGAGCAACTCCCCTTTTCATTGGCTATTCGTATAGTCTACCAAAACATGGCAGAATGCCGACTACTGAAAAGCATATTGACCATGTCTTATATTGGTATATAGGGAAATCAATTTTGAATATAGATCGTTATCGTTTCATCGCCCAGCCCTAGTGTTAAGTCTGTTCACAACTGTTTACAACACAACACCTGCTCTCCTGTGTGACGCTAACACAGCAGTGGCTAATTAAATGAATGAAAAATTATTATGATTTCTGTCTTCAGAATGTGTTTTGAGCCATTTCTGGTCATGGTCTTTAAAAATTCTGGATCAAAATGTGCTGGAAGTCAAATACAGCAGTATTTTTTAAATATATATTATTACTATTACCAGCCTTAATAGCATGCTAAACCTTAACTCTCAATTTACACCAGGTCTGAACATCCTTATAGACATAACATCACATCAGAAGTGGAATTGTATATCGTTTTTGAGTAACTTAAAAAACCCTGAATATAGTCTGAGTAAATGAAATCCTGCTCTCTGTGTGTCCAGATGAAGGCCCACCGTGTACATGTCCACTGTGTGCCTCTGACTGGAGCAGCTGTGTGCCCCACAGCGAAGGTCTGCAGCTGTCTAGAGACCTGGGGGCCACCTACCTGGAGTTGCCCTCGCTCAACCATGTGTTCGTCGGTCGTTATTTTGGCAGTGTGGTGAGTGGTCAAGTGCACTTAAAAATGGTTCACAGAGTTTTATTTTTAAAAGTTTCTGTCATTGAACAGTTTTGAGAAAAGTGAGAGATCTTTGCAGCAATCCTGTAATTCTATTTTATTTTTTGAGTCACTGTGTTTTCGTGCTCAAATCAAGCTTTAGCATAAAAATGTCTGCGCTTACACTGTCTGTTTAACTGGTTGATCTCTTCACTTAGACTGGTGTAATGCTCAGTCAAGGAGTGAAAAAAGTACCTGTGCTTTCTGTGTCTGAAATAACATGACTATCTTTATATACTGCTTTTAACCAAACATGTGTATGCTTCTATTATTCAGCTGGAGTACTTCATGATTCAGTGTCTGAAACACAAAGCCAAAGAGAGGCCAGAGAAGAGGAGAGCAAACAAAGTGAACGAGCTCCGTCCTCCTCACTTAGAACAACCAGGTCAGAGGACGACGATGGTGTTTAAAAATTAACCATGTTTTTGTTTTAAACATGCACATTTTTTGTCTCGTTACTTTCTACAGCCAGTTCCCAACCCCTTGTTTATCAAATTTTAAACATGTTGTTTCACAGGTGGCATTTTTTCGAATCTTTTAGTTTTTTATTATATTAAATACTTGTTGTTCTTTTATTTTGTACTTGAATGGACGGACAGGGTTGTTTCTTCTTCTATGGCACTACAAAAAGAGCTGAGCACAAAGGTTTTATTCAGATCAATATTCTCTGTTCCACACTGGAAATAAGAAGAGAGACAAAGAGCTAGGTAGACCACTTTCATTCAGTGATGCTCAGATCAATTTGAGACTGAGCTCTCCTCAGCAGCAGACACTGAGTATTTAGTTCTGAAGGCGGCTCGGTGATTCAGTTTGGAGACATGAAAGGATTATTCAGCAGTCTCATCATTGCCCTTCTTTTTAAGAGATCAGGTATTTAAATACCTGAGGTCTACTAACATCTTTTGGGGAGTTATTTTTAAAGATGTTTTTAACTATTGTGCACAATACTGAAGTAGAAATCAGCTTTGGAAGATTAAGTTTAAGCTTGCAGCATGAAATTACTCTTAAGTTATTCTTTTCTTGTTCAGTCTGACTGCAGTAAATGCTCAAGGATGCTGAGTCAAAATCAACAAAACCTTCTCTCGTTTTAAAAACAGAGATTTTTCAATAATTGATTAATCATTTAAACTCTAACATAGCTTAATTAGATCATTTCAATAATTTCAGATTAAATTTTAATCAAGCCTGAAAACACACCACTGAACCCCCATGTTTTTTTTTTTTTTTTAAATGAAAGACTTTGATAAAAAAGAAACTTTGTCCTCCTCTCTCAAGGACAGCCACATATCTCAAACACAAAATACTACACATGAGGAGAGATACATGACGGAGCCAATTATGATCAGAAGACCCTCAAACTCAAAGAGTCACAAAATTTCAGTTCACAGCAGAGCAGCAGAGACACAGCAACATTAATCATGGTTACAAAGATTAAAAGGATGAAGCCAAGCTGGAGTACTCTGCTGCTTTTTCTTTGTGTTAATGTTATTATGTTTTAGTCTGTGGAACTATTTCACCTAATTGGCTTATAGACAGCCTGATTAAATCTGTAAGAGGCTGCCATTCTTAAGCGCTGGATGTTGCTTCAAATTAAAAACTTTCTGCGTGCCGTATTAAAAGTGCGCAATTAAAATTACTCTAGCTAGAAGCAAAACTCACAAACCACAAATACACTAAGTAGTATAATTGATTTACAAAATGGGATTAGTTCTGATGTTCCAGTATCAAGATACATCCCCCCCTCCTCCTCTTGCCTGAAAACATTGGTCCTTAGTGTGTTATCACTGATTTTTTTTACATAATAAACCACCAGAAAATATTTACAGGAGCTAAACTATGGTTAATTCTTGATTTGACCACTTTGCCACCGTGTGTGTGTCTGCATTTGACGTAATGATTGATGGCTTCTGGTGCAGCCACAGAGGCAGCAAGTGCTGGTAGATTTATTGGTGCCCGTCCAAGCTACTTAGTTGTACTTACAGTGTAGCTTGAATTAAATATGAAGTGCACTGACTCAGGAACAGCACAATTTGCACAGTCAGATCTGAGCAGCTATAAAAGTAGAGATGAGGTCTACAGAGATGCAGTGTGTAGTAGGCATGAATAGGAATATAATAGGTCTGTGATTTGTAAAGCCCCTCTCTCTCCCACCTGGTAATCATTCTGGTTTAGAGGTCTGTCACTTTTTACGAATCTGAATTTATGAGGGCATGCAGCACAAAGCACAGTTTTTCCTCATTCTATTCGATGGAATATTTTTACATTGCTTGCTGATGGAGTTTTCCACCTCTGTTTTTTGATTGCTACATTTGATGCCGTTACTGTTGCAGTCAGTTTACTGCAAATCAATCAAACATGTAGAAGCAATTCTTCTCAAAATGAGGCTTTGTCTCAGTGTTCACAGTACCCCAGATTACCTCAAATAAATCTTTTAAATTAAAGACAAAAAACAGGGTAGCAACATGGTTTTCATCTTCACAGTTCTGTCATCAGCGCATGTCCACTGAGCAATAGACGGCTATCAGATATCTAGTTTCTTTGAGACCTAATTTCAACCGTCTAGATTCTGTTTATTTTTAGACAGAATTTAGATGTTGCACTTCAACCCATTATTCTATAACTATTTATTTCAAAAAGCAACTGTGAGTTGCATAACTGATCTCCAAGTACTGAACTAAAATAATTATGATAGCTGTTAAGTGATATACAGTTAGACCTCTGTTAGCCAGCTAGTCTAAACTTGGTTCTAAATTTAGACGTCTAAAAAACGTTAATTTTTAGACCTGTGGTAGCCTGATTTCAGACCAGTTGTCTAGGCTACATTTAGACGTCTATTAGAACTCTTATAGACCAAAAAAAATGCTGAGTGGGTAAGAATATCTAGAATTTTTGACCAACTCAAACTATTGGACAGGGCACAGCCTGATGTTTGTCTCTGCCAGCCCTCACTTTTTGTTTAAGTGATCTTTCTTACTCTGCCAAGATAGATGAGTCTCAAACTTCTTGATTGAAAAGAGAGGAAACCACAAGCAGCCATTAGATTTATGAAAAGTAAATGACAACACACAATGTTTTGAACACAAAAGTTTTTGCTTTTATTTTTGGTTAGACTGAATTGCACTCTCATCCTTCATGTCCTTTCTTTCCCCTTTCAGCCCGTCTTCCACCCATCCGGGTAGAAGAGTCCAGCTTCTCCCAGGACATGCAGTGGCTTCTGGAGCGTGGTGTGCAATTTGCCGATGTGGCTTTCTATGCAGGAGACTCTGGAAAAGAGCTCGGGTGGGCGCATGCAGCCGTGCTGTGTGCTGTGAGCCCATACTTCAGACAGCTGCTTCTGGGGCCAAAGACCAGGTAGGGGAGATATTAGCTCACTCACAGAATTACGCTTAACAAGCTTTTTCAACACCTGAGCCTGTAGCCAGCAGGTGCTCATCTCTCTCTCTCTCTGCAAACTCCTCTGTAGTGTGACTGTGAATGAATTTGTGATGAATTTCGTCTTTGCTTGGATAGGGAACGTCCACAGTCACGGTGTGTTTGCAGAGAGCGGGATGGAGGCCCACATTCGCTGCTCTCCACCTGGGACGGGGGGATTATTGATGACATGCCTCGATCAGAGGGCCACCTGACAGGACGCCTCTCTCGCCTGGTGGTGAAAGACCCCCTCCTGTGCATGTGCCTGTGGGAGACTCTCATGTTCATATACAGAGGTAAAAACTATCAGCACACTTGGATACAGCTGACCAGACAAAAACTAAAACCTGGCTGAGAAATTCTCCACTGTTACCTTTACTTTACTTTTTACTGTTTGCATTATTCTGGCACAATGTGGAACTTTTTTGTTGTTTGCCAGTCTGATTCAGGATCCAGTACTTTTTGCTATATTTCATATTTTGCCATTTTAAAAAGAGCAATATCTGTCAATGAAAATGACTTTGCAGCATGGCAACAGTAGATAGGGCTTCTAGAGAGCTGACCAATCTGAAGAAAATTACCATTTTGTCACGTATTCAGTTATATACCTATAAATCAGAACAATTAAAAATGAACCTTTGTTGGTTCTTTGTAAATCATGAATATTTCTTAAGCAATCCACTCTCTGGTTGTTGATTCAGTTCTGGTGAAAGTGGTTCCTTTGGTGTTAGATTATGTCATGTCATTTTTGAGTTCATCCAGGGTGAATCCTTGTGAGTACAATGATGACTATTATATTACTGTTTAAAGACTCTCTAACCCAAACAACACCTCCACAGTCTCATCCTCATTAGATCGAATAAGTCGCACAAACTGAAGTTCTGGCATTGGAATCAGTTGCACAGGGAGTGCCAAATACAAAGCTGAGACTAGAATACAAAACTGGCCCCAAAAACAGCGGCCAGCGTTGGTTTTTGTTCACAGAAATCTGGATGTCTGAATCGGTTTACTCCATCACACTGGATTATTTCTAGTTGGTTGGATTTGTGAAGCTATCTCCACTCAGCGTGGTGAATGTCATGCATTTTTTATGACACAGTCTTTCTGATACTTCTTGGCTTTTCTCTGCTTTTATGTTATCACCCTTTAAGACACATCCTGAACATTAGTACTGAGATTTGAATACACTGAACAGACCTGGATTGACTGTTGGAGTATGGCAGCTCCATTCACTGAAAAGAGTGATTCATTTTTTCAGTTATTTAGATGTGATGATAAATGTTTCCTGGCAGCGAAAAGCAGCTTTTCTACAATTGGGTCTGGTCCAGTGATCCATTATGGTGAGGAACACGGATCGATCAAATTGAAAGTGCTTGATTGTAGGCAGCCATAGTATTTTCATCTGTGACTTGATTATTCGAACTGTGATCACTCACTTCTTTCTACTCAGTATTTTGACACTGATACCTGAGGCCCATCATGTTTTATCTTATTTAAAAGTATGAATGCATGGATGTATGGATGGATGAGAATATCATGATCCCAGTTGAAACAAATGAAAGAGGACCCAAACGCAGGATGACAAAAAAAGGGTTTATTCAATAAAAAGAACCAAACAAGAAGCAACAAAAACTTAGTAGAAAATGTCCAACTCAAAAATCCAAAATCCAAAAAATGCACTGGAGTAAAACCACGAGGAGATACTGGAGACATCCACACACACACACACACACACACACAGGGCACTGACATACAATGAACCGACCAAGAAAAAGGGGAAGACAAGGACTATATATAGACGGGTTTCTGTGCAATGTCATCGCAGGGTGCGCAGCCTTGGGTTAGAAAGCGGTACATTTCTTATTTGTTTACTAGCGGGGTCAACGGAGAAAGAAAATGACAAGGAGCTGTTGTTCTGTAAACTGCACGCATCGGCAAAACAAGCAATCGGCAAACATTACAACCCTGCTCCTGATATCAGAAACATCAAAAACAACGTCACAATCTGGTAAATTGAGTGAAATTCATGGATATTTCAGCAAGTGTTTCTCTGATTTTGATGCAATGAAAGACTGAGCGATTTTTCAATGAAATGATATTTTATTGCAGTTGTGTCAGGGAGAACTTGCAAACAATACGGCATCTTCACTGATATCAGTTCACTCCGAAGCAGGCTTTTGCCCCATGGTTGCGCGCACACTTGGGCTGTGTCTGAAATGAATCACTCAATCCCTAACCCCTAACCCCCATATGGGATTTTACTATATAGTTGACTATGTAGTGAACTTAATCACCAGAGGTTTCGGACACTACATGGCATGATGCAATGCATGACGGGATGCCCACCACCGGTGAGTGACCATCCGATGGTCACTACATTTAGCAATGCTTTATGGGAAATTTTGAGTTGCCTATATAGGGCACTGGAATTGATTACTGAGATTTCGGACACCCCTCAAAATGGCGCTAACCCCCATGTAGTCACCTATATAGAGGTTAGGGATCCATTTGGGACACAGCCTTAGTATTGTTTGTACACGAGAAACCCGTCTATACATACATAGGGAAACGAGCAACAGGAGGCAGGTGAGACACAGAGACACAGGTGCAGATAATTACTAAGGAGGGAAAACTGAGGAAGTAAAACAAGACTAGAAACACAGGGAATAAACTACTACAAAAATAAACAGGAAACACTGAAAACTGATAGTGAATAAAACACTGAGGGGAACTGAGGTCAGACACAAACTGAAAACTCACAAGACAGGACTGCAGGGGAACAGGGACAATAGGGCACAGAAACACTCGGAAAAATCACAAAGAAAATACACTCAAAAGACCAAAACTAGGGGAAAACCAAATACCAGAACATATATCATGACAGGAAAACTGAACTTGCATCATTTTGAAAGCAAGCAGAGCTAACAAGGACTTTTTCCAGTGGCCCAGCAAATGACAGCCGCTGAGATTCAGATGTCATGTTAAATCGAAGTCAACTTACATTTACTCTGATAAACATGAACACATGTACGGACAAAACATGCAACCATCACAGATGCTTGTGCAGATGTTGCATCAAGCATGTTCCAGTTGCGTATAAAGCCCGGTTAAAGAGCTGTGTGACACATTCTCAGCGACTTCAGCACTGTAAAGAAAATCTTCTCCCAGTCTGCAGTGCTGCGCCTGCTGCATGTAAGATTGCAGCTGCTCATGCATGCAAGCTCATCATCACAAGCTGCATATCGTGCAGGAGTCCTTATGGCAAGAAGCTGCACTCACACCTGATTCATCGCTGCCGCTTAACATGTATGGGAGCAGCAATGATGGTCTGAGGAAACGCTCATGTGCACACTCACACACATATTCACCAGAGGCTGACACACAAATGCGTTCACTGCGTATGAGTGCGTGTGTGTGCTGGAGAAGGATGAGCAAAGAAGGGAAGAAGATTATAGGGTTAGACTGAGTCTCCATGAGTGGTGGTATGAATAAGAATAAGAGAGAGAGAGTTTGTCAGACAGAGGGCGTGGTGTTGACGCTTGTGCACAGGTATTAAAGTACTTGTGCAGATTTTTTTTTACAGTAGGAGAGGAGAAATATGAAAAGCAAAGTGGAAAATTGAGGACATGACAGAGCTAAGATGGAGGGAAAATATTTGGTCGGTGGGAGAGCAGGGTAGTAGAGCATGCAGCTATAGTGTGTATGTTTGTGTAAGTGTGTATGTGTCGGTATGTGTGGAGCGAACAGCAGAAACAGGAGCATGTGGGCATGTGCTCTGCAGAATACCAATGTCACGTTTCTACTCCTGAAACACCGCAGGGAGTCGGTGTGAAGCCTTGTGTGATGTAATATAATGTTAACCTTCAACATGGCGGGTCTGACTGTATGTTTAAAGCAGATGACCTCACTTTACAGTGTGGGTGCGTGTCTCTATTAGCGTGCTTTCCCGGACTGGATAATCAGATGTGAGCGTTTGCCTTCCCTGCCCACAGAGAGATCCAGACCAATATTGGATGTTCAATCTGTAAATCCACATTGTGCCGCTCTCGGCTTTCCCAGAGAAGGGACAAATATCTTCCACTGGCGATGTAACTCAAGTCTTTTGTCAGTTGTGTCTCAATATATTGGTTTGACAGAGCTAATTTCCATAACAATATCATGTTTCTGCGTCATACTTGCATTCCACACATTATGTTTTTTTCATTCAGTGTGTACGGACAGTCACAGAGGCCGTGACTTATCCTGTATGATGTTAACACAGTGAGACTCTGTCTCCTTGTGTGCTGTGCAGCTGAATCATTGCGTTTGTCACTTGGTTGCTTTTATGTGTGTGTGTCTGTTTAGCACATGCTCTTAAATATATGACACAGAGGAATTATGTCTGTTTGGAGTTACTTTTGTCTCATTAGCAGCTACAGTTAAAAATACAGGTCTGTCATTTTTTGGACAAATGACCACAAACTGTACTTTTTTATGACCTTGTCAGGGCTGTTCAAAAAAGAAAGGTTCAGTTTTCAGGTTTCTGTGTCTGGCAACATGGTACGTCAGCAGCACACCTCCTGAGCTAATCTGTCGCTGTGCCTATGAGGTGTCAGCGCCACGTTATTATCCGACAGCGTGTGCTGAGGTAATCCCTCTATCAGCCCAAATACCGTCATTATGAACTAATGATGAGATAAATCCTGTCCAGTCCAGCTCCCTATTCCCCACACTGTCTGTTTACATCCCAAAGAGACAGAGTGCATCAGCTAAATCAAGCTGCAGGGCTGTGCAGGCTCCATGAAGACATCTTCAGCTAAAGTGAATGAAAGCAGCATAGTTGTTTCCTGCATAATAATATGGAGGGAGGAATTTTTCTGCGTTTTAAAACAAGTTCTTTTTGTGTCTTGCTGCAAGTTCTTGGTATCTTACTCGTGTTATTTTTTATGGCATGAACTGTGTTTCACAGCACAGATTGTTTTTCCTAGTGTTACTACCATAAAGCTGACAGTTTATTTGTTGAGGATAGCATATATTGAGTAAGCATCTTGATAAATGTTTGTTGGACGGCTCCCAAAAAGGTTCATGTAAGTCCCTTAGAGGTTCTATAAATCCTACTCCTCTTGGTGATCTCATAAGGTTTTCATGAGTGTTTTCAACAAAAAAAAAATCAACCTCAGCCAAATAAGTCCCCTCTCTTTTATTGTATCATAAGCTTGAATTTTCAATTTGAAATTTCAGCTCTTTGGTTTATTATTTTCCCATAAGCATCAGCCTGACTTTACTGTTGTATCTAGCAAAAGCTAAATTCACATCACTCGCTGTTGTGAAGTCTGTTTGCCTTGTAGCACTGTGATAGTACCTGTCATAAAAACCTGTGAAAGCTTAAGGCTGGCTGCATGATTGTTGCTATGATTGTTTATAAAGCATTTGATGGCTGTGATTTGAATGGAATAGCTTTTTTTTCCAACTGTCTACTGGGAAAAGATAAAACTATTACAAATACGCACCTGAAATGAATAAAAGAAAGGCTTTACTACCAACCAGTTGACCTTGAGGCTAGACTTGAGATCATTATTTAGATTTACCATTTTTCCACTGAAAAGACATTCTGGTCTCGATCTTGAACACTTTTGAAACATGGACTGAGTGTCCCGACCGCAACCCGCATGAATTATATAAGCAGACATATTTTAGAACAAGCAAACTTTGTCAAAACCAGGTCCTGAGTGCTCCGAGTAAGGTGGTGTGGGTGGTGAGAGCACGGTGCCAGCTGGAATAAAAAGAGTTTGTCTGTGTGTCTTTTTTTGTAAACTGTACTATTGTGGATGTTTTGTAGGAGCGTGGGAGTGGGAACACCTCCAGGAGGCCCTGGAGGAGAAGCTGAAGAATTCACTCGCTGTAGCTCAACTTATGGAGCGCATACGATCCCTCATTGGCAGAGACAGGGTGAGAGTGTTCGTGTGAAAAATCACCTCTTTTACTTTACACAAAAATCGCACCGCTGTTTTTTAAAAGGGATATTCCGGCATAAAATTAAGTTAGGGTCAATCACACCATAACACAGAGTTAGACACCCCGTCAAGAGATGAATGTTGCCAACTGCTTGCTTCTCTAGTTATACCAACTTTAGTAACGACCACACGATAGCAATACACAGTGGCCTGAGGAGCCACACACAAACCTCAACCAAAACGCCCCTTTATAGCCACAAATAATGCTCAGAACAGCACCTAACTTCATCAACAGTACATATAGGGTCCCAGCCACAGCACTAGCCACCAAACATCTTTTTAGCTTTGCCTGATTTCTTTAGCAAAGAGACTAAACACAACTCACCTACTCTCTTCCAGCAGCCGCTTGTTTGTACAAACATCTCAGGTGAGTCCATCACGACTGAAGCGGGGTGACGCAGCTCAAGGAAGAACATTTATGATCATTACTTTATCATTTCCTTGAAGTAATAATCATCATATCATTTTGCACTGCAGACACAGTAGTTCTTCTGCCTTAGTGTCTCGGTCTGACTGCATTTCCATGAGGAAATTATCATAAATGTTCTTCCCTGAGCTGCGTCACCCCGCAGCAGTAGATAGACTCACCTGAGGTCTCACTACAAACAAGCGGCTGCTGGAAGAGAGTGGGTGAGTTGTGTTTAGTCTCTTTGCAAAAGAAATTAGGCAGAGCTAAAAAGATGTTTGGTGGCTAGTACTATGGCTGGGACCCTATATGTACTGTTGATGAAGTTAGGTGCTGTTCTGAGCATTATTTGTGGCTATAAAGTGGCTTTTTGGTTGAGTGCGTGGCTCCTCAGGCCGCTGTGTATTGCTATTGTGTGGTTGTTACTAAAGTTGGTATAATTTGAGAAGCGAGCGGTCGGCAACATTAATCTCTCAAGGGGGTGTCTAACTCGGTGTTACGGTGTGTTTGACCCTAAATTAATTTTACGCCACAACATCCCTTAAAATATCTATAATTTGTCAAATATAGCCCATAAAGGTATAAACACATGTTTTTGAATACAGAGACAAACAACGCCTTCATTAGCAAGACCTTGTTAACAAACAGTACAGTGTTAATTTGGCTATAATTAGCATGTTTATTTAATTACTGAACGTATCCTCACTGTGGGAATTAGTATCAGATAAACAAGAGATGCTTGTTAAAGATACTGAATACACAGAAGAAGTAGTTCACAGCAGATGATAGCCATGATGTGAATTTTATGGTAAAAACTGCAGCTTCATATCTGCAATATACCCCATCAGTTTAGAAAACACAAGGCTACTCCATGTCTTAGGTATCAGACATCAGCATTCAGATCATGGTCAGGAGATATGACTTGTCTGGGTCTGACAAGCCTTTGGCATATTGCATGGTCTAAAAGCACATCTGTAGAGCTTCACCTCAGGCGGCGTCAGGATGAGCTGCTGTTGTGACAGCTGGGCCACTTTAACGGGATGAGATGCCCTAATGTCCTGTAGGGGTTTGATCTCGTTTTCTGCAAACACCTCCAGGTCATCTCACTCTGTACGACAGGTTTGAATTTTCCTCCAGAAGCTTCCCATTGATTTACAAAATCAAAGAGGCTTGATTCAGTTGCCGCCTCTGCTGAACGCTCTGTGTTTGCTGAACGCTCCCTCTGCAGCAGAGCAGTGCAGGAGTATGGAGTTCTTTGTGCTCCGGTTGACTGAGAAAGGTCACGCAATGGTAATTGGATGCTTTGACGACTCTTATTTTCAGACTTTGTGAACACACAGCCACAAAAATACCCCGACAGCCGCTCTCACAGAACTGATTTGCTCATCTGTGAACCACAGTGTGGTGATTTATACAGATTTGACATTATTCGTCTTTTTTTAAAGGCTTAAAAGAAGAAAGGACGTGTTAATAAACACTCACTTTGGAGACCAGGGGGTTCACAGTCTGTCAGCCAGCTCTGCCATGTTATTCTTGGCGTTGCTGTTCAAGTATGTTTGGGTAGCAACAAGCTGGACTGGCTGAGAGGTCATTTATATTCCACAGGGGAGGTGGGATAGATTCACAGAATGACAATTGTGCAGGTAACTAGAAACTGACACCTAGCAGAGAAATCCTAACCCTCTCTCTTTATGTGTTTTTCTCTGCTTCTCTACATGTGCGTGTGCAGGGCACTAGGGACACCCCGAGCGCCCGGGCGGCTCAGCTGGGCCCCCAGACTCTTGTCAACCTCTTCAATTCCCCTCTTTACTCTGATGTCATTTTCATGGTGCAAGGTGGGTCCATGCTAATATATGTTTTTGAGGTTGTCACATTTACAAATGAATGCATCGTCACACAGCGGAGGAAGCCTGCATTTTATACCCATCATTGAATTATGATCTCAGTCCAGGGCCTGGTCACCCATTTGGATGCTAAACAAGATAAAATGGTCTGAGGAACGGGCAGCCTTCCGCGCCTGTCATGTCTCATCTCACCAGAAGCTCCTCCGTGAGCTCCAGTCAGCCAATTCGCTATTAAAGGATCAAATTGAGAAATGCAGAAGTAATGCCTCAAAGCTTCATCTCAATCAATATTTATCTCATCAAAAGTGCAGAGAGCTATTCTGGTCCTGGCACCTCTGAGCAACTCTGTGACTCTTGGAGGTCACAGAGAATTTAGTGATATTTCAGCCTTTTTTGTTCTTGTATTCTGGCATGTTGATGGAGTGAAGTAAGGGAGCTGTCACTTACTGTTAATAACACTTAATGACAGCAATTATGTCAGGAATTTTGCTCAGATTGTTCATGTCATTTGTTTCCTGTTTATTTAAATGGCCCATTATGAGAGATCACAACATGCCACATTGAATTAGATAAGTCTTCTACACTGCGTCGAAAGAGACAAGTTAGATTTAGAGGTGGGGTCGGCAGGATCTGAGGAAGTGCCACTTTGTGGGAGAAATCTTGAACGTAAACACTACCTCTTCCAACCAGTTTTCCATTCAGCTCCTCCTCTTTCCTCCCTCTCTACTCCAGCAAGCCCCGCCCACAAACAGACGCTCCTGCTCGCTTGTATCGTTCCAATTAAATTCAGATAGAATACAGCTAAATACTTAAGATAATTATGAATGGGGCCTAGTCAACGTGAAAGTAAAAAGCATTGGTGCTACTGTAGATGCCAACAGACTACCAGCAAACATGATGTTTGCAGGACTTCTAAACCTAGGATAAAATGACATACTCCGGGACTCGAGGTAAACATTTTTGCAGCGCTACAACACGCAGCAGGTCCTGTTTGACAAGAAACACTTCTGTTACAGACACTGGGCTTACTTTGTTAGAGCAGTTTACCTGTCCAGCAGAAAGGTTACAGGGTCTGTAAGCATTTACCAATGTTTATGCTAGCTCCACTGATGTTGACCCGGGTTTTTAGCTCTTGTCCGGTCTACCTCTGTTTTAAACCCCGTTCCGCCAGAGTCTCAGGTATTTACTTTGTTTTCGTGCAGTCCTGGCCAAATGAGGATTTAGACAATTTTCTGTACTTTCTGGTTGGTTTCTACTGTCCGATATTGTAGCACGCTAACTTTGTTTGGGCTCCTGGATGACACAGGGGCGCAGCGTTAGCCTCACAAACAATCAGCACTAAGGAGCAGCGCCGGCCTCACAACCAATCAGGTTGGGGGAGGCGGGGAATGGCTTTGTTTACAGTCAGAAAGAGCGGACCGCTCAAAAAATTTAAAATGTTGACTACACAGACATAAGAGAACACAGCGATATTGTTATATTATCAAACATCATCAATAACTAATTGCTATTGACAGATATTAAAAGCTTTTTTGTATTTACACTACAAAAAAGATGCTTCTTTAACGGAATCCTGCCTACCCCATCTTTAACAAGAGTGTTTGAGTTCATTCAAATTGTTCTAAGATAACATGTGATGTGAAACAGTTCTGTTGAGATCCAATGAATTAATCATAAACAGTCTTTAATCTCAGGCATTTCTCTCTGCTGCTCTTCAGGACTTTTCAAGAAGCTTCCCTCAAATCTTACATGTAAATTTTGCATGTCCGTGTGTGTGTGTGTGTGTGTGTGTGTGTGTGTGTGTGTGTGTGTGTGTGTGTGTGTGTGTGTGTGTGTGTGTGTTCAAGGGAGTGTATTACCAGCTCATCGAGCAGTGCTAGTGGCACGCTGTGACGTCATGGCGGCCATGTTTAGCGGGAAGTATGCAGAAGCTCGGAGCCGAGTGGTGCCCATCCATGGTGTCTCCTCAGATACCTTCCTGTCTTTCCTGGAGTACCTCTACACTGACTCCTGCTGTCCTGGTGAGTTTACTGCACACAGCGCAGACGTACACAAGTTTAGTAGTACTCAAAAGTAATGAGAGGATGGTGGCATGTCACACTACAAATGAAATTGGTATTTTGTGTGCTAATCCAACCCTGAAGCGGATGATTTTGCACAGTAATTGATTGCTGTGGGAAACCCTCACTCAGTATGTCAGTTTAACCTGTTTTCCCATATTACAGCCATAAAATGGGGTTTGTGTTGTTTAATAATGAAAAATCATTAAAAATAGACGCTCATCGGGTTTGTGACTGGGATGAAAGTGGCTTTAAATGCCATTAATCTGATCAACAAAACAACACAGCCTGTTTCAGAGGGATGGTGGACCTTTGATTTCAGTTTAATCAAAACAGAAATAAAACACTTGAGAGGTACAGTGGTGTTTTCCTGCAGGCCTCGCTCAAAACACAGACCAAAAACAAAAGCACAGATGACAAGTGGCGACAACCATCTGTGTGACTACGACATGCTGCCAGTGTGAGTCTCTGGAGGAATGCAGAGAGAGAGAACGGCACTGAGCTTAAAATTAAATTAGATTCAGAGATGACAAAATCAAGCGGTGGCATCACTGCCTCATCTGTTTTTAATGGTGCCAGCTCACGGCCCCTGACATGATGTTCTTTTTTCTTCCTCTATCACTATCCGTCACTCTGCAAGCTGCATTTTCAAAGTCATCAGCGCAGATAATTCTCTCTGAAGATGAGAGCGAGCGTGTTTTTTAACCTCAAAGATGCATTTGGTATTACTTATTCTTTGACACTGACTCAAGTGATGTCAGCTCAGTTGATACTGTTAATCTCACTGAGTACCAACTCTTTCGCTGCCGCTCCCTTCCCACTTGGTTTTTCAGTCAAACATAAAACTGGTTCTTTCAAATATACATGACCTGATGTCAGGAGTAAGCACAACACTATGAACCCCCTCCCATCAAAAGGATTCTGAACAGAGTCATGTTCTTCTCCATGTAAAGGAGAAACACTAACCAAGTTTAGAAATACGAACAGGACAAGCTGCACCATCTTTGAGGCTTCTGTTGTATTTATTTTGGGTATTTCTGCCCCCTAGTGCTAAAAGATGACATAATACGGCTTTGAATGTCAAGCTTATGCAGTCATGTCTTAAGGGGCTTCAGTAGTATTGTGCATTTGTGCATGTGTATTTTCATAGTGGCAACACAAGAAACTGTAAAATCAGTTGAATCTATTTGATTACAGATTATTAGAGAATAGGCAAAAAACATTTCACTTTATATTCATGATAAAATTGCGCAAAACTTTATTTAACAATTGCTGAATTGTGGAGTCAATTACATCATCGGCAGCCATCTTCATTTCTGGTATTATTATATAATGAAGCTGCTGAATGGACTCTGTACAATGTGGGATAATCCATTTTGAATGAGCAGCTAGTCGTATCTGGCAATTTCTTTATTAGGCAGCATGGGATGTTTTGGTGAAAAAACACATAAAAGACCTTAAAAAGTAGCTTTAAGATCCAGCTTATGTGTAAGCAGGTAGTTTCAAGAGGCTCAGCTTCAGGTTGAGTCATGGGAGCAGAAAAGCAATAAAAAAAAATAACTCCAGAGGCAGAAGCTGCTGCACTGTTACATAAGAGCCTGACACTCAAGGTCAGAGCAAGGTAACTGCACACATGTCCTCAAAAATGAAGGGTGTGAAATCAAAGGGTAGTTTTTATAACATGTAGTCTGAGTGTAATACTTTGTCACTGCTCATTAATGTCTGCAACAGTGCTGCAGCCTGTTAAAGACACATGCTGGGAATCATGTGGGGTGAAGGATGCTGAGGCTGATGGACACAAACAGCAGGAATCAAGTCGGATCAGGAGTGATTTGATTTGACATTTTTGACATTATGTAACAGGACCGACTTCGCTTCTTTGATGCTTGTTGCATGTGCGTATGTAAGGATGTAAACTAACAGCTCGGAAAGAGCAACAGTAAATTATTCATTTGTTCCAGTCTGAGTGATTTTATTGAAAGCACTGGGCTGAGATTTAGACCATGTGAGGATGCGGAAATTATCGGAAATGGGAAGTTACTAACGAGGTTTGCGTGAAATCAGACGAATATAAATAATGATGTAAAATCTGAGCTGTTAAATGAAATGGCTGATTATTAACCATGTAGCCAGTATGTGAGCTCAGTATAGCTTCAAAATTAGACAAGGAGGATGAAGTATTAGGCCATGAATAATTTATGATCCCTAGGTTCAGATCAGGAGTGTATGTGGTGTGATGTTTTTGAGAACAGATGAAAGTGGTTAAATTAAAAAAAAAAAAAGTACTGCATCAAGCAAACAGTAAACAATATTTGGGATTAAAGTTTGGAGACAAGAACCATTTCAATATTTATGGTAATTTTCCTCTTTTTTGTTTCCACCAACCCATGAGGTAAATATGCATACTTCCAAGCTGCCTAATGCTCTGCCGTGCTCAGCATCTAGTTGCTAGTAGTCGCTGGTAGTATGCTTCAAGTTTTTAGAGTTTTGTTTTAAAAACTTAAAACATAATTCTGAGAGGGCCTATGTTGTGCAAAACTTAAGGAAGGTGTGTAGTGAAGGAATTGATTTCTGCTGTTTGGCCTTTACAATCAATACTTTCCCAATCATTATTTCAGTTTAAACTTCCTCTTGTGCTGAATTAATGTTTTTCTTTTTGGTCCATCTGGAAGATAATCAAGTTTCATACTGAGAAACCCAAATTGAAAATGCTGTCTCAGCACTGTTGACTGTGTGTAAATAAAGCATCTCTGAGTTTACTGTCAGCTAAAGTTTGAGTCTAAAAATCAAACAGGAAAATGGAGTAAAAAACTTTACTTTACTGGTGGTTTTGATTCCTTCTGGAAGCTAAAAAAAAGCTTTTGTAAAAAGGTTAAATAGGCATTTCATTTAAGAATTTGTGTCTTGCATGTGCAACATATCAGATGGTTTTGTGTGTGTTTGTGTGTCCAGCCAGTGTGCTGCAGGCCATGGCAGTGCTGGTCTGTGCCGAGATGTACCAGGTGAAGCGTCTTCAGCACCTGTGTGAAGTATGCGTGTGTGCTTACCTTCAGAGCATGCCCAGTAGAGAGCTGTCATCAACAGGTATCAGCGTGATCCGACTACTCCGCCGGGCAAAGGTGAGTGAGTGAGTGAGTGAGTGAGTGAGTGGCTTAAATGGATAGGAGAGTTTGATAAACAGCATATACAGAAAAAAGCTTGTATGCGACACCCAAAGGCATGTTGTGTTTAAAGGGATATTCCGGCGTAAAATTAAGTCAGGGTCAGACACATCGTAACACCGAGTTAGACACCCTGTTGAAAGATGAATGTTGCTGAACGCTTGCTTCTTTAGTTATACCAGGTTTAGTAACGACCACAGATAGCAATACAGAGAGCCACGTGTTTAACCAAAAAGCCATTTTTTTTTAATCATTTCCTTGAAGTAATAATCATCATTTTGATAAATTTGCAGTGCAGACGCGGTAGTTCTTCTGCCTTAGTGTCTCGGTCTGATTGCATTGTTATGAGGAAATTATCATAAATGTTCTTCCTTGAGCTGCGTCTTCCCGCTGCAGTCAATGGACTCACCCAGGGGTCTCTGTACAAACAAGCGGCTGCTGGAAGAGAGTGGGTGAGTTGTGTTTAGTCTCTTTGCTAAAGAAATCAGGCAAAGCTAAAAAGGTGTTTGGTGGCTAGTGTTATGGCTGGGACTCTATATGTACTGTTGATGAAGTTAGGTGCTGTTCTGAGCATTATTTGTGGCTATAGAGTGGCTTTTTGGTTGAGTGCGTGGTTCTCTGTATTGCTATCGTGCAGTCGTTCCTAAAGTTGGTTTAACTAGAGAAGCAAATGGTCGGCAACATTCATCTCTCGACTGGGTGTCTAACTCAGTGTTACGGTGTGTTTGACCCTAACTTAATTTTACACCGGAATATCCCTTTAAGGAAATGTAGATGTCAGTCAAAATTGCTCATAGCTGTGTTTCTTTTCAGCAGCAATCTTACTCTTTTGACTTGCATTAGTTGTAAGCCTCAATCTGCATCTCATTGTTCATGGTCACCTGTTGAAAAGTGTTAATACTTCAGAGACTCTTGATTCTTTGACATATCTGTGTTTTCTGTGATTTTGTCAGTGTCACAATGCAGAGCAGCTGTACATCTGGCTCCTTCACTTCATCGCCAACAACTACCTGATCTTCAGTCACAAACCTGACTTCCTGGAGCTCTCAGGTCAGTGTGTGGACATGTAAACACAGAGCAAACGTTTGCCATATTCAAATACAAGTCCTGGGTATGCAAAGTGAAGTCTGGCTGCACAGAGCGATAGCAAAATCAAAGTGCTGATTTCAGCTTTGAGTGGGCTGCAGATTTCATTCAGGGAATAATGAAGTCCAAGTGCCTCCAGTCTTTGCTGAATGTGTTTTGTTTTCCAGAGTATAAGTAGGTTAGGCTCCTTTTGTCTCAGACAAGGAATGTGAATGGAAGGCTAGCACTTATTTTTGTCGAATACAAAGGTGGATCCTACTCTAATTTTCTATTAGAGTTGCCTGATTAGGGCGTTGGCGTGAGTGCATGGTCATGAAGTACGTGCTAACCTTTAGCCATTTCTGCTTTAGCTAACATTAAAGTATCATTCAGATGGTTTATTCCTTTATTCCTATCACGACAAACTGCTCCAATCCTTTAAGCTTATCTCTTTAGGGACTGAAAAAGGAAATGTGTGTTCAAAGCATAGACTATGTATTAATGTGGATGATCACAGACAGTGAGGGTTTCATTTTCTCTTTTGATGTATTTTCTGAACTTTCAATATTGAACTTAATCTTGAAACCTTTGGAAACTTTTTATTAGTTATTCAGTTATGAGGCAATGTGGCAGTTGGCTGTTAGCCCCCCAAATAAAAATAATGCATCTTTATAGTTAGGGCTGGGCAATATGGGAAAAAGTTTCTCACAAAAGTTTTTTTTCACATCAGTTGATATCGATATATATCATGATATAAAAATAAAATTTAACAGTGCTAATTAGTAGCATGTCTTTTGCAATACAACAAGCTACTGCATCTGTGAGGCGTTTGTGTCTCTTCGACCTTTTGTCATAAGGCCTTGCGCTGTTAAAGTGCTGTGGTTGCGTGTAGTTACAGCCTGCAACTACACAGTTGTTTGCTACTTTGTGCTAATTCAGCACGATTGGTTCAGCCAGAAGTGGACCCAGAGAAACTCCCCTTTTCATTTGCTATTTGTTAGGTGTGTGAGAAAAAAATCAATTCACATAAGTATTGCATTTTTTTTTCTTTTTGTTTGTTTTACAATTTTTAAATCAATTCAAAAATATTTTTTTTTAAAATTATTATTTTTAATTATTATTATTATTATTATTATTATTATTTTTTTTCAAATTTAAGAATACATCTCTAAAACTGACTTACATGTGATGTGTATTTTTTGGGGAAATATGGTTCCTGGAATAGTCACTAGACAATCATAATCATTCAACTGTTTCACTGGTTTTGAAAATGAGGCCAAAAAATGAAAAATCGGCAATATCGTAGAATCTTAAATCGAATCAGCGTCCAAAAAATCGTAAAGCATCATAAAGTAAAGAAAAGCATATCGTCCCAGCCCTACTATTGGTTTATGCACCTATTAGATTCATATGCAGTTAATTGGCCTGATAAGTACCCTTAAAGACAGGCTAATTAGAAAGACTAACAGCGACTGGTTAGAAGCAGTAGCATGTTTTATTGACATCATTACTCACACAAACATGAATCATTGGACGGGAACAGAAGGGCACAAATAAAGTCAAAAGCCAGAGTGAATATGAGGCACATGATCGATCTTCTTCCGTCTTCTGCTGCTCTGCAGTGTAAACAAAATCATATCAGATATTTCAACCTTGTTGGCAGTGGTAAAGGCAACAATCCCCAGGGTTCCTATGATGTGTGTTTTTGTGACCATGTGCCAAGTGCAATAAATCTTTGTGTAATATTTTGAGCAGCAAATCTTCCTTCTTGTGGTTGCGATAGCAGCAGAGCACGGCTGTGATATGTGTGTCTGTGTTGTTCTAGAGGAGGAACGGGAGCAGGTGGAAAGGTTGCGCTGGCCGTCCAGAGGCTACCTGCAGGAGCTCAGCGAGTACCAGCAGCGGAGACGCAAGCTACGCAAGTCCCGCTGCATAGTCATGTGACCCCAGCTGGACGCCAGCCTGAAGAAGACAGGGAGGGGGGAGCAGAAGAGGGACACCAGGGAGACAATAAGAGTGAGACTGATCTTGAACATCTGGAGAAATGAACAGAATAAAAAGTTTTGTTTCTGCAAGTGCTGCTAAATGAAAGGCTGATTCATTCAGATGCTGACTCTTAAAGCAGAGATATACTCCGCTGTGATGGCCTCGCTCGCCCCTGGAGGAATAACTGTGTGTCCTTCATTTAATGACTATTCTATCACTGGCAATACAAAATGACTAATCCTTAAAATCCAATATGAATTTAAAATGACTGTCTGGCCACAGGCTCTGTGGGAGATTAGATTTCCATTGGCAGTGCAAAATGGAGGATTTCCAAGATGTGCAGTAAAAATAAAATGTCTCCATTACGAGGACAGATATATCGAATAACCGCACATCTGTTGGAACTGACCAGGATCATGAGAGCAGACTGTTTCAGGCTACAGGAACAGGAACAGGACTTCAGGTTGAGAAAAAGTGCTGAAGTGTTTTTGATTTCTATCAGAGGATTCGTCTGCAAGCTGGACACAGAACCACTCCTTCTTCAAAAAAAAACCTTGGCCTGTGTTGCATCTGTGCTGGAACTAACAACTGTGAGCCCACATAACCTGAAATAACTCTCGAGCCTCAAACTTCTGAGTGGCATGATCAGTTTTTTTCAGCCGGGTGTTGACTTACACGAACACAAAGAACGCAGTTGTAGCGCAATCATGCTCGTTATCATTTTTTTGTCTGAAACTCAGTTCAGCCGACAAGCGGGGCTGATTTAATTACATCTCTTTTATTAGATTCTTTCTCTATCTGTGATTGAACATCAGAGACAGTCTCCGAGCAAATCCTATTACCATGTGAGAGGGAATACATTTGGAGCCAGGCTGGTGACAAATCAGCAAATCTCTCAATCATTGAGAGGTGGCTAAAAGTCAAGTCTTTAGATTAAACTACACATGGCATCTATCAAAATCAAGCACTCCGAGCACCAAACCAGTACAGCTACCACCAAGTCCCTGATGTGGACTTTACATCATTTCTTTTGCAGATTAATAGGAAACTGTTTTCATTTTATTTGCAGAACTAAGTCATGTTTTTGTCTCTGTCATATTTAAGGGTAAAAGCCTTTTGTAGCATTTTCATGTACAGAAGCAGTGTAAAGATTTATGAAAAGATGATATCATGATACACTGAAAACCACAATGCCTCTGGGAAGGAGACAATATTTATTTTGTCTTAATTTTAATTTAAGATGGTTGTTTTTAATCATAACTAGATTATGATTTATCGGTGCTGCAATTATTTTTGTAAACTACTGTAAACTGTATGTGGACATGATTATGACATTATTTTTTTTACATCTGGTGTACAGACGACTGGGTTGCGCCATTTTACAGTCTAGGGCTTCATTGTTATTTACAATAATAGTGACTATTAATAGACAGAGCAAAGAAAACACACACTAACATCCTATTTCAGATACACACAGCAAAACAAAACACAAAATATGCATTGTGTGGTTTTGCTGTTATATTTGACAGTTTGTGTGGGTTTTAGTCAATAATAGTAAACAAATAGAATCTGGTGTTATCTGCAGTATTTTACCAGAGCTGTAGTATCAGGATGCTCATAAACATGACGACACAGCTTCTACTGTAAGAGCCTGACAGTTTGTGGGTGATTTCATTTGGCACATTAATCCACCTGGTGTATACTTAACCTTCTACCTAGTGTGTATCCGTTCACTCCTCAGATTAGTGCTATTATACTCTTGAAAACAATATCAGTAATTAACAGCTGAAAAGCTAGACTGTAAAACTAAGTGAACTCCAGTGCTGCATCTAAACCCAGTGTGTGAGGACACACACGTGGGCCTCTCTTGTACAAAATGTAGATAACATGAAGTCTGACTTTAAATAAAGACATGTTTTAGATCAACGAAACACTGACTGGATAAGTGTCTGCATCCTAGTTTGCATGTTGTTGAGGCAAAGCTTTTGTGCACGTGTTTGTAGTGTAGGTTTCTGTGTGTATTCATTCCCACCCCCTGAAAAAAATGCTTCCACAGGGTTTTGTTGTTTCCAAAATGTTGAAAGGGTGCTAATTTGTGTTGAGACCCGCTAACTGTGAAGGCAGTAACACAGGATTAACATGATTTTCATGCTCATCAAATCCCCCAGAAACCCCTCAGGCCTGGGATGCTATGTCTGCATTCATGATGTTTTCTTTACTGATTTATTGAGGTGTTCCCTTCAATCTGGCAGCCATCTGTGGGAGCCTGGAGCTAATTTTCTTCCCATCTCTACCACTCTGCTGCAATTACTTTTTATCTCTTTGAGAACCACCCCGGGCATCTTATTTCCTTTCATTTATTTATTCCTGCACTAATGAGCGCTCACTGTTACTAATTCATGCACTTAACAAGTTGCTCCAAGTCTTCTGGGGGGGAAACCCACCCCCTGTTCTCACCTGTTATTGCACATGTTTTTTTCATTCTGTCCCTCACCTTTCTGCAGCAGATTTTCTTCTCTATTTTTACACTGACAGGTGTGTGAGTCTGTGTGTTGTTCTGTACCCGAGGGTCTGCAGCAGGATCACTGCAGAGCTCCAATAGACTTCAGCATGGTCTCTAGTTTACCGCTTTTGTGTAGTTGTTCTACATCTGATCCTCCTCCGACACACTCCTCGCCGATGAACACCCTTGGGACCTGGAACCATCAAAATGGGCAGTTATTGGTTTTCATTGTCCTGCAGTGAGTGTAAAAAAAGAGGTGCGTGTACTTTTCTTAAATCATTTATCTTTCTGCATCTCTAAAACCTTAAATCAACTCACTTTAGTGTACATTTGAGTGTACATTTAACAGATACTTTTTAAATTTGTCCTTGACTGGCAAATAATTGAAAAGTTGTTGACATTTCCAAAGCAATCCATCATTTCTTGGGCCAAGATACATGCCAAAATTTTAAAATGCTTCTTCCCAATGTGTGTAACTCATAGGGCTTTCCAAAGACACTTTCCCAAAAAAATAAAATAAATAATAATAAAAAATACAGAAAATTATAAGTAATAAGACCAACAGTGTAGAAGGTTAAAAAAGACACAATATGAAAGGACAATAAAAGAAAAGTTCACAGGTTGAAAGCCAATTTAAAAAGGTGTATTTTGATTGAATTGATTTGAGAATATGGTGGTCTGTACAGTCAGTCAGTTTTATTTCACACACAAAGGACCAGATTTGCATAAAAATACAGTTACAAGCACAAGTAATAATTCAGAATTTATTTTGAATGTATTTTTAATTTTGGACAAAAAGAAACACACCACTTTGGACTAAAAGCAGTTTTACTAATGAGTTTTAGACTTTATTGCAAATCATTAAGTCCTGTAATGCTGCACATTTGTTGCACATAATCCTAGGAAACAAAGTAAACTTAAGTTTTAAAAACTGGTAAATATTCATTTCTAAGAACCATAACTCTCTACTAAAGTGAAACAAGTTTCATTCAGATTTTCTCTCTTGGGTAACGCCCTGTTTCATTTCTTAAGTCTTGTTTCCTTTTACAAGAATTTCCTAGAAAACAAAACTTCCCACAAGCAAATGAAACAAAACCTTTTTTTCTTGAAAAGCTTGCTTATAAAGCTAACATTGCTGCTTTTACTTGTAATTATTAAGTGATGAACCTGCGAATGACAACATTAATGGAATGAAATGAAAATAACCTTACTCTCTAAAAGCCTCAGGTGGAATAACATTAAAACATTTAGGCCTGTGTGTTTAGCAGTTTAAAGTGAAGCTCTTATTTGTAACACAACATTATAACCAAGCAGCTTTGTGTTTACCGTGCGGGCCCCGGTGAGCTCCAGGAAGTAATCTTGCATTTTGTCCATGTCACTCCGTCCACTGATATCAATGAACTCCAGATGTCCTGGCTTGAACTTGTACTTTGATAAAACGTCTTTGGCCTTGATGCAGAAACCGCAGGTGGGCTTGATGAACAGCACCACCTTGTCTCCTTTGATCTGGGTTTTAACAAACTCCTGCGCCATTTTACGTCGGATGGTGGAGTGGTCAGAAGATCGGAGGGTAACCGCAGGATTGAAGAGAGAGAAGAAAGACGATCGCCCTGTGTGCGTATGTCAATCAGAGTGACGTAAGGGGAAGCACCGCCCACTCTTAAAGAGACAGGACGAATTCTTGGACGTACCATGAAAACAATTGCAAGTCTTTACTATGTATATTCGGGGTAAAAACGAAACTTTAATGCCAGATTTAAGTCCCTTTATTTTTCCCCGTGTATTATACTGGATCCCCAAAACAACGCAGTCCCTAAGTTTAACAGTAATTTAATGCTGGCTGAAGACAATAAAAGAAATCCCCTTTGGTTTAAAGGGATATTCTGGCATTAAATTAAGTTAGGGTCAAACACACCATAACACCGAGTTAGACACCCCCCTGGGAGATGAATGTTGCCGACCGCTTGCTTCTCTAGTTATACCTACTTCAGAAACGACCACACGATAGCAATACACTACGGTCTGAGGAGCCATAGACAAACCTCAACCTAAGACTAAACACAACTCACCTACTCTCTTCCAGTGGCCACTTGTTTGTAGGCCAGTTCATTACGGACTACAGCGGGGGGACGCAGCTCAAGGAGGAACATTTATGATAATTTCTTCATGGAAATGCAATCAGACCAAGATGCTGAGGCAGAAGAACTACCACGTCTGCAGTGCAAAATGATTAATATGGTGATTATTACGTCAAGGAAATGATAAAGTAGTGATCATAAATGTTCTTCCTTGAGCTGCGTCACCTCGCTGTAGTCCGTAATGGGCTGGCCCGAGGTCTCACTACAAACAAGCGGCTTTTTGGTTGAGGTGTGTCTATGGCTCCTCAGACTGCTGTGTATTGCTATCGTGCGGTCATTACTAAATTGGGTATAACTAGAGAAGCAAGCGGTCGGCAACATTCATCTCCTAAGGGGGTGTCTAACTCGGTGTTATGGTGTGTTTGACCCTAACTTAATTTTATGCCGGAATATCCCTTCAATGGTAACTCTCTGGCATCACATTTTGTCATCACAGAAAGTCGATGGCTATTTGACTGCCTTCGTGTTGCATGTAAGCTAAAACAATAGCTGTCTTCATATCCGGAATGTTTCATAACACATTGTCACCTGTCAGCTAATGAAGCAAAAATGTCTTGTTGTCATAGGCTGCCACAGACAGGTTTATTTAACAGCTTATTAAAGCTCTTGTAAGGGGTTTTCCAATGAAACAGACCAAAAGAACAGTGATGCATCTCTATCATGTTCAAAATCAAACGAGACCAGTAACTAGACAGATATTTTCTATAGTGTGCTTTTTAATGCCTGTTCCTGGGGTGAGGGAATAGGTGTGCTGAAGACATGGCCTTTGCTACAGTTCCTGTTAAGTCAACACAGAGACAGCGACAGAAAAACTTCATTAAGTCACGTTTTAAAACCAGTCTCACCAGTTCTTCTCAGCCACAAGGATGAACTACATAAAACCTGCATGGTATCCTTATCCTGTTGTCTCATCACCTTTCACTGTATGCTCACCTGTGAGTCTTAGAAAGCGTGAAGTAAGCAATTTATTAAAAAAGAAGAGAAAAAAATCAAATATATATTACATTTAAAAAAGAATTATAACAGTTACACAAAATGTGTTTTTGAACATATCTCATCTTTTTTTGTGAGTAGGTGCGCAACATCACTATTAAGATAATTTATTACTTTTTGTTCAACCTTTTGAAAAACTTTTCATCTTAAATATTATCTAGCTTTGATAAAATCCATTTTATGCCAATGAATGCAGCAGATGTTTGCTTATTTTAAGTGTCTATGTAAACTAGTGTAATCCAAATTTCACATTTGAGTGACTTTATTGGTTGGCAAAGTTAAATTAGAGGAAATGAAAAGACTTCCAGGACTTTCATAACTCAACCTGTGGACTTCACTTGAGTAAACACTCTAAATTCAGATTAAGATGTACTCTTTATCAACTAAGCCAAGCAATGCATTAAAGGTTTATAAAACTGCCTTTATATCGGGTTTACTCTGCAACACCTAATGTTGCCACAAACACTCAAAGAGGCACATTCTCAGGGATAAATATAAACAGCTCTAAAAGGAATTTATTAAAAAAAAGACAAAAAAGGGACTATTTCCTGGTAAAACTGTTGATTTTTATTGAAATGTTTCATTCATTTTCACTTGGGCAGGATCATATTTCACACTTGATTTCCAGTGGTTTCTCTTGTTTAAACACTGCCAGGGTATTTTTAATGGTCACTCCCTCATTAAGACAGTTGATCAAATCCCTCCCCTCCTGCTATATAAAGCAGATTCTTCTTTATCAGACCTCATTTAGCTCATTTGTTTGTTTTTTTAAGACAGAAAAGAAGACATGAGCAGTAATGACATCTTAATGGCTGCACACGAAGCCTTGGCGTTACCATAAATTAGGAAGCATCTCTTTGGGACTCTTTCAAGTTCTGGGAAATGACCATTGTGGTGAAAGGAAAAACAAACCAGAGGACTGCCCCTGGTCCCGCAGCCTTAGTTAACCTCGATTTGAGTACAGCCTGAACTCTCATGGGCTTTCTTTTATTTGCTATCAAATAAACAAGTGCTGGTTTTGTATCCAAAATAACCTGTGTCATCATGAGAGTAAAGCCAAGTTTGTTTAGGGGTTTTTACTGACAGCTGAACAGAAGAGCCAGTCTGCTGCAGAGACTGACTGACTGAAGAGGTGCCAAAATCCAGGGATATAAAATTAGACCGTTTTTACTTTGATTTCTTTGTCTTGGAGAAATGTGGAACTTATTCCCATGACAGACTTGAGCTTGAATGAATCAACATCTGTCTGTTGTTAGTTTTTCTTGTGGAATCAGTTCCTATTGATCATCTTGAGGTGTTTTAATTCCTCCTTATTGAATTTGACTCGTACTGTATGTCACCCTTAATGCCGTCTTAAATTAAACTAATCAGAGATTTTTCTCCATGGATAGTGTACCAGATACGTTTTAATTTTTGGCAAACATCCTAACACAGGCTGTAAACAATTTTTCCCTTGTTGAAATAAAGACTTTCCATAGAAGCCATTCATCCATTCAGCAATTCAAATTTGTATTAATGTTGAAAAAAAAAATCTTTCACTGCTCTGCAGAACTCAAACTGAGGATCAAAAACATTGACATCATCTTTAAGTCTTGTCCTCTGGATGAAAACACATTTTGGCTTCTTTCTGAAACATCAACATAAAGTGTTTGCCGCTGGATAGAGCTGAAGAGGCGCAGTCCCGCAGTCCTTTCCAGGGTCTTAGAAAAGAAGGAGCATCAACATCTCTTCAGTTAAGATCAGGTATTGTTACTCCAGCCAGGTTGATCCTGAGTGCTCTGGCTGGTTAAACACTGTAGCAGCTTTTTTTAAATTGTTTTTCATATTTCGCACTTTTTTCTCCACATTTCTAGTATTTTTATCTTTTATCTCTCACTCCACATAATACACAATCATACAGACACACACACACACACACTCACAATTTGTAACACTCCTTCCAGACTTCTGATCTCTTCCTTGCTTCTTCTCTCCAACATGCACAAGCTCATACTCACACATACACACACAACCTGTTTCCAGGCAGTTATAGTTCCTTTGTGGACCCTAAAGGTCGGCCCAACTCGATGTTTCCCGAGTGTAAACACCTTAAGGCACCCATAATGCACCATGAGCGCTAAACACTGTTGGTGCAGGGAATACTGCCCCAAATGACAGGGGATCATACTCCTTTAGTTATAACACTCTCACAACCCCATGTTGCCATTACAACTAAATTAACAATCCATGCACACGTACTGGTGTAGCCTCTCAATCAGCTCATGTGATTTCTGCCGGCTGCCTCATTTCCTCTGCCCTCAGCCTCCAACAGCGATGTGCTGCAGCAAGGTCATCCAGTACAGTTATAATGAAGCCAGAGGAAATGAGGCAGGAGAGACATCATCGCCAAATGAGATGACAGAATGGATCTGGCGTGCAAAATGGCTTCACAAAGTCAAAACACATAAGGCCCGCGGTATATATTTTTTTTTTGCATTGTTTTCAAAAGTTAAACAATATAACATCTGCAGACTCTTCTCTCGCAATATGAGTCCCAAAATAAATAGTTCTCCCTCTTTTTTCTTTTTTACTTAAATACACGTTAATATTTTTCTCTGATACTCAAAAATACTTTTTTTGTTCTTTTCTTTTGCCTGAAGAAAAAGTCCTTCAAAAAAGATAAGTAGAGTTGAAGTAATTCCTCAAACCCCTTCACACATGCAGGCAGCTCCTTCCACTGGTCCAGTGGTATCAAATTCCACAGGAGCTCCTCAAGAAAAAAAAGGAAAAAAAAAAACAAAACATTGAGAAAGCAAAAGAAGGGAGTAAAGAAGTCAAAGTGAGATTTTCAAGATCGCAGGCAACAATGAAGCCAGTGGAATTTCCAATATCGGAAATGAAGGAAGGAATGAAGAAGGAGGATGAAAAAAGGAGAAGGGAAGGAAGAGAGGTGTGTGTGGGGAGGCAGTAACTGAAGGGGGGGGGGTTGAATAACAGCCAGTTGGACTCCCCCTCCTGCTCAGACAATCCGCTCTCAATACTGATCAGTGAGGATATTGTGTGCTGTACTCTCAGCACCAGGCCTGGGCTCTGCGCTGGTCAAAATCAGCTATCAGACGCTTGATGTGAGCCAACTTGTTGTGCAAGTACTTGCAGCGCTGTTTCTCCTCATGGTAGTTTGGGCTGCACTGTAAAACACAAAACACAAACACACACTATGTAAGTACAGCAAGCAACCCACCAGTGAAGCACAAGTCCTGCTCAGGTGCTACTTACTTGTTTCATCTTTTTATACTCTTTCAAGACTTCCTCTTGAATCTTCTGTAAAAGGAAAAGAAGAACCATGTTCAGTACAGCCCCTGAGACAGATATAGTCGTACAAATAAACACTAACATATCATGCAGTCTGATAGAACGTGATGGGACGCTGTGTTGACAGTTTTGGTGAGGCTGATGTTGAAAAATGCTTCACCAAGCTTTTAGAGAAATCCAAACTTAAGATCTCTGACTGATGATTTGGCACGACAGCAGCAGCCTGGAAATGAAGCTGATGGCTTTAAACACTGAACATAATGTGCCGCCTGCTGGTTGTACATCCCAGTGGATCAACAAACAGATGTGAAGTGTCAAGGACATTAATAACCAACTGTATGCTCGTTTTAAGGGGAAAACACACGCCTTTGTGATTCCTATGTAGCAAACAGTTCTGAACAAGCCAAACGCTTCGTTAGCTTAAAAAACAAAATGATGAACAAGAACACAGGACCACCAAAAGAGGCTCTTTCTTTGTTTTATAGTGATGGAAAATTCAGACTTCATATTCAAAACCGCTACAAGAAAAAGATGAGATTCTGCGTCAGCTCGGAGCACTCGTGCTGCCGTTTACAAATAAATACCTGATATTCTTTGGTGCCAGGCGCCAGCTTCCTGCATTGGGTGTCCAGCTGGGTGAAGCGGCGGTTGATGTTCTCCACACGGGCGTGCAGCAGGCGATACTCATCATACTCTGCATTGAAGTCGTTCTTGTAGCTTTGTCTCTGGTCCATGGACACCAGTGGCAAGTACTTCCTGTAAACGGTAAAAGAAACATTTTCTTTTATTTTGTATATATATCAAAAATACTTCAGACTTTATAGATAAGTTTAAGAAAGAAAGGTTCAGTCAGAGTCTGGTTTAACATCTGTGCTTCCGCATGTTAGATATGCAGTGATTTACATATTCCCCACGCCGAACAGAGACGTAAGGAGTGCAACAAACGGCCCTGAAACATCTATGACAGAAAAAATTCCAAAAAAGAAGACGTGCGTTTGCTACATTTCTGTCTTGTTTTCAAGATTTTGTCTGTTCAGTCTTACCACACAGTGGTTGTATGTGTCTGTGATATGTAAAAGCCAAAAGATAGAGAGTCCCACCATAGAAACTTTGAGGTTTATAAAAACTACTTACGTTACATAGTCAGGCATCTCAATGGTGGAGGAGAACTCACTGGATTGGACTGGCTTGACTTTATCAGAAGAATCTGAAGAGGAAGAAGAAAAGAGTGATGACTGAATTTCAGATCCATTATATACAAAAATTACATTTCTAAAAAGAACCAGTTTGCAGCTTAAGGTTTTTTCCCTGTTTGCGATTTTGTGTCCTGTTTCTTCCATATGTATTTTTTTCTGAGGAACATTCAATCATGTGACCACAGTGCAAAGACGAGCTCAGATCAATGCCTTGACATGCCCAGACGCCTTCCTGCCAATCAGTGTAATCAACGTTTAAACTGTATGTAAGAGACAGAAGAGATAAACACCGGCGCACAGAACAACAAGCCAAAGTCTGAAAAGATAAACTGACTGTGGATGCTCAGACAGGAGGCTCGTCACTCACAGCGCACATGAATGCAGCTTGACAAGAGTGAGTCTACATATGAAAAAAACCACACCAACCCTCATGTTTGAAGCTACAAAAGAAAAAGAAAAGATGTCTGCTCTTTTCAAGTCTTCTGCAAGTCTCCTTTTAGTTAAAAATAGATCTGCTTTCCAACACATTCACCAAACTCAGATCAGACTGTTCTTATTCATCACTGAAGACACAGCAGAGGTGCTGGTGTGCAGGGTGTGTTACATTTAAAAGTGTGCTCTGTTTTGATTCTTTGGACATCTTGAGAAGAGCAAAATATCAGTAACACTTTTAATATTATACCACCCTGTTCTCTACAAACAATTACTCATTCATAGCCACTAGGGGGCAGAATACCTAAAAAAAACCCAAGCTAACAGGGCCCAGTGCATGGAGCCTCACTTTAGTTTGTTTGACCAACAAATTTGCCAACAACTGCCTTCAACATCGACCATAGACAGGGCTTTTCAGAGCAGACGCCTCAACTTATCAGGATTATTCATTAAAGTCATGACAGTGAGCCAGGATTCACAACATCAGAACTCTGACACTAAAGCAGGTCAGAGATTTCAGTCATTTGTGACTCATCATCTTGTGTGTTTTTTTATACCCTCAGAAATCTCTCAAAGATGACTTTTGGGTGTGTCGGCCTAAAGTGAGAAAGAATTGAGAAATTCTTGATTCGGTCACCGACAACAGCACAGAGCACTTTTAAACTTTGCAGCTAGGTGTTGGACAGATTTTCACTGTCGAGGTCGAGTTAAAGGCTCTTAAAAATGGAGACAATTCTCTGTGGGTTGCACAACTTTTGAGTCTTTTCCTGTAGTTACTCAGCTGACAGTACTATTAACCAGAACAGGGGTTTGGTGTTGCCCTTAAGTTATGGTTTACGTTCATCAGAATGGTATAACATAAATGAGGACCAGATGACATGTATGTGCTGGATGTATTTATGTTGAAAAAAACGACACTATTATTGTGTATAATGCCATTGTGTTACGGTCACTAAGACAGTGAAGGTGAAATATACTGATATTTGAAGACCGAAACAAACCTTGGTCTTTGTGAGGATTCTTCTCACTGATTTCTCTGCTCTGCTCCTCCTCAGCCATGCGTCTCTTTTTTGCTTTGCGAGTCTCTTCAGGCGGCACAGCTTCACAGGGAGGACTTCTGCTGTCTCTTTCAATCCGTTTCCCTTTCTCCCTCTCTCGATCCTTCTCTTTGTGCTTCTTAGATTTCTTTTTGAACTTCTTGTTGGTGCTGCTGGACGAGGGAGGGCCACTGATGACAGTGGAGGTAACTGTTAGCGATGTGCAAGGAGGAGGAAGTGGGGGAGGAGGAGGAGGGGGAGGGCTGGGTGAGGCGGCTGGTCTGGGGACGGGGACGGGGTGTCGGTAGCGGTCCTGCAGGGTCCTGTCAGAGGAGAAAGGGCTGGGTGAAGGGTCCCTGCAGGAGGAGCTCTGGTCCATGGGCAGGTCCTGGGTGCCGCAGCCCTCTGGGGTGCTGGGTGAGTTGGAGTGGGAGGCCGGGCTGGGCTGCTGGTGAGAGGGAGCAGGAGGGTGGGAAGAGACGGGGAGATGGGTGGGAGGGCCTGAAGTGATGTTGGAGGGAAGGGACGAGCATTTCGAAGTAGGGCTGCCCTCGTCCTCCCGGCGCTCAGAGGAGGATGAGGATGAAGATATGGCTGGCCCTCTGTTACTGAGGTGGGAGATGCGGGCTTTCTTGGGCGCCAAAGGGTCGATGAAGTCAAAGTCTGGCAGGCGCTTCTGGAGTACACAACACAAATTTAGTGAAACAATTACTGGCATCTATTTGGGAGTGTGTGTTAATGTGCTTCTTTTGAGATACCTGGGGAGACGTAGGGACGCATTCTTTGGGAGAACTACTTGATGATGGAGCCTCAGCAGAGAGACCTAATTTGCTGTAAAGAAAGGAAAAGCGAGGTCAAGAGTGACGCAAGAAAGAGGGGTCTAGTGATCAACCACCATTACGACAATTTAACCCCCTGTTAAAATTTCATCATTAAAAACACTGTTTGTAATATTTCCTTTAACGCTGAAGTAGCACAGAAGCTCAAACCGGACGTGTCATAAAAGAAGAACATGTAAATGATGTATCAACATAAGCTGCTTTATGAATCACTGGTGTGTGAAGAGTTTCATTCATGTTTTTCAGGTCCCAACAGACAATGCATCTGGAGGGTGCTAAGTAAATCTACAGGGTGCCTTTTATACACAACATCTGGATACAAATGCTGTCAAATGAGTTTGAATCCCAGCTCAGAAATCTATCACTGCATCTATGTGCTCTTGTTTCATATCTATGGGGAAGCCTGTATATGACTCTTATGTCCTCCATCCTCTCTCTTATTTACAGTGTATGGTAAATACCAGGGTGTTTATCATGTGAGTGATTGTTAAGATGCAAAATGGTCCTTTACTCCTTTAATATAATCATTGAGTAATGAGTCCTTGCAAAATCAAAGATAGCAGTTTAAGATAGTGGACTTCCTCAAGAAAGCAAAACATCTGTAGTCACAATGAATTCAATTCAGCTACAGTATTTCCAAACACTATCTGGTTCTCTGCAAAGACGATGAAAATGAAATACTTAAAGGAAAATGCCAAAGGAGAGGAGAGTGTGCCTAAACCAAAGAGTTGAAATACACCATTTTTGTCATTTCTGTGTTCACACAGTGAGTGAAAAGCTGTTGTCTATTTTAATACCGAGCCAGGATCCGGTCCACCTGAGACTTCTCATCGTCGGAGTAACCAGGCCATTCTCGCTGGACGTCGCGATACATGAAGTCCTTTAATGAATATGTGTTGTCTTTGGGGTTCAGGGTTGCCACCTGTTTTGTACAAACGCAGAAACACACACACACAAAGTTTGACGGTAAGTTTAACCCTGTCTGCTTTAGAAACTTCCACTTCCTGTGCTGGTCTAGTTTCTGTGCATGGAAATAATGTTGAGCAATCAGGTGGTTTTCTTTCGTATCAAAGTGAATGAAGTCTTTAAAATGTGGACCTGATCTTATCAGGAAGATCTAATGTTTATGAGAAGTATACACTATTAAAATCTAACCAAACATTTCATCAATCACATTGATCTAGTGCCCAACAACCAAATGTATTTCTGCTGAATTCTTTTCTGTATATCTATTTGAAGTTGCTGCCTGGAGACTAACATCCTTTTATTGATTTGAAGAAATAGTACAAAAAAGCTCCCTATCAGTACCTGTTGCAGGGTGGTCCCCAGAGAGTTACGGTCCTTCTGATTGATGCCATCCCGCTGCAAACGTGCGAGCACCTCTAGCTTCTTGTAAGACCTCAGTGCCAGCAGATGGATGATGCGGTCCCGGAAAGGCCGCTGGGACACAGGGTTATTGGAAAGGCACTTACGAATAGTGTTGGCTGGGTTTATAGGTGTGGAGCGTTTGCGCTCAGGAACCACCTCAGGGGCCGATAACGCTGGCTTGCGGATATGCACTTGCTTTCCTAGAGACAGGAGGAAAAGACAACATTGAAAACTTTTTACATCCATAGGGGAGTTTATGTCTGCACGTTTTTTCTTTGTCACATATTTGCTCAGCAGAACTCCTGTCTTTCATCATAAAACTTATTCACTGAAGTGGAGTTCATAGAGTTCAATGACCGAAAACAACACTATTAGACAATAGTGATGATATTTTCTTAGATAGTAACAGAGCTTCTCTTAAGAACAGAGCAGCGATCAGGTGTGCAGTTTACTGTATCAACTTAGACTAATGTGTAAAAAAAACAAAACGCCTTATGTCAGTGTTAACAGGTCAGGATTGAGTCAGGATGCCTACACATTGTCGCTTATAGCTTCATGACCATTCTGAAAATGCAAAGCTCTTTAAAAGATTAAGGTTAGAGGGAGGATGAGAAAGGGAAAAAAAAACACCTCCCTTCCCTTTAAGTCAAAACACAGAAACAAGGAGCAAAGGGAGGTGGTGTAAGCTTACAGACTTTAGGTTGTCTAACCGTCTAAAAGCAGATTGCCGCAAGTGAAAAGCTTATGTAATCGAGTCGTCCTACAGGAATAGTTATTCAGTAAATAGGGACAGTATAGACAACACAAGTGAAGGAACCCATACATGTGCATTTCAAAGTAAAAGATGGAGGCCACCGGAGACTAAGATAAAAACACTAGCTTGAGGCGGTTACCTGAAATTAGCAGCCTGTGAAAAGAAGACGCTGAATGCCCCTTTTGCATTAGTAAATAGGGTGCTAACTCCAAACCAGCTGCTCCAGACTCCCGTCCCACCCCTTGTTCTCTGCTGCTGCTGCTTCTCTCGTTTCCCAGTTTCTATCTGGGCCACTTGATGCAAATTCCTCCCTAGGGCCCAGATCAAGAGATCTGTGGAAGCTTTAACCTGCATAGGAATTTAATGGACTAAAATTCTATGGTGGTTTGTTGAAGGGAGTCTTTGGTAAGCGTCTACATACATTATCCAATGCTCAGCTTTAATACTTTAAAAGTTAAGTATCAAATATGATTTTACAGGTTCTGAAGAATAAGTCTAACTGAGGGAAAAGTGTAGTTCATAAATACAAAGAAGGCAGAATGATCCGTTGTATATTACCCTGGTAGGTTTCTGTTTGTTATTGCCATGAAAATAAATCTGTCACTGCTTCCTACTCTATTTCCTTACCAATAATTCTTTCGTTGACAGTATCAGATAAACCCAGGACGTTTATAAGGAGGAACAAATAGAGACACCTGTCACCTGTCTCCATTGTAAAGTCTCTGGATTGCTCAGCATTTCTGCTTCAGTACATATCCACGCAGTTGTATTTCACTTTCATGTCTCCTACCTCTGCTTTCATTTCATAATTTCTCTAAAGATAGACTTTTACAGAGTCATAACTGCCATTTTCATAACAGCAGTCAGCAGTTTCAAGATAAAAATTTACGCTGTAGAAAAATGAAAGTTGTGGTTCATTAAACTCTGAGTAAACTCTTAAAGAACTCTTATTAAACTCTATCAAAGACACTTTACTCTACACATATTTTCACCCTGGGGATGTACAAGGCTGTCTTTCATGTCCAACAGCTGGTATTTAGTTAGCCTGTGTTTGTTCTCTAGTTTGCTGGAGTTGGTTGGAGTCAGCTAAGTCTATTAACAACACACTTGGCAGAAGACATTACATCAGTAAGGTCTTACATAGTACCTCCCTTGCCCTACATGAGGATAAGCCATATGAGAAAAGCTTAAGAGTGTAATATGCCAAATTTAGACAATAAAAGATAACTCTATATTTAGGTATGTGTTAACCTGGGTAATACTGTATGTGTGAGACCTTGGGACAGGAAACTGCTAGTTAAGTAATGTTCATCACAAGTGAAAAAAAACATGAAGGGTAAGTCAAAAGGTGACATAAGATCAGCACTTGGTGTCTTCCCTACTCACTATTACTTTGACTGGCTTTGTGTCATAACAGTGTTTTCCCTATAGCAGTGGTTCTCAAGTCCAGTCCTCAAGCCCCCACTGTCCTGCATGTTTTAGATGTTTACCTGCTCCAACACACCTGATTCAAATGATCAGCTCGTTATCAAGCTCTGTAATGGCTTAATAACGAGCTAATCATTTGAATCAGGTGTGTTGGAGCAGGGAAACATCCAAAACATGCAGGACAGTGGGCCTCGAGGACTGGACTTGAGAACCACTGCCCTATAGTGTATTTGGCAGGGCGCCCCATCCTGCCAGTTATAGATTAATATATATGTTTATTTTTTAATTTTATCAAAATAACCTATCAAATATAATTTATGCAATTTCAGACTCTATAGCTCGCAATCATATTACTTTCAAGAAAAATGTATCTCTCCGCTCCTGTGATGAGTGGGGCTTTCTGCACGTCTGCGAACACGCCACGCCGTGTAGTTCAGTGGCTCATACCCTGCCAATTTTGCGCAGGATATTTTTGAGGACCTGGAGTTCTGGCTCCTTCACATCGTGTTTTCCGTCAACAAAACAATAAAAAGAAAAACTAGTCATGGAGCACCGAACTGTCCCCGAACGTTCAACACCCCAACAGAAAATATCAGTATTCATCAGAAAGACGGTGTGTAGTGACTTGGACGCCGCACATTCTCTTGAGCTAGCTTAAGCATCTCTCCCAGCCCCGAAAACAGCGCTGGCTCATCTCCCGCCACCCGCCACCCACCCCCCCACCCCCGCCAAAACGAAAAAGCTAGGGGAAACACTGCATTAAACAGAAACAGCTTCACCTACCACCTTTGGCTTTTATCACTCAGACTGCTAATCTGTAAAATACTGAGACAGCAAATGGCTTAGTCAGTAGCAATAATGGCTTTGTAAAGAGACAGGCAGCCAGCTCTCCCCCCCATTCAGTCTCTCTAAAGTGACCAAGCTTTAAAAGAGAGAGGCAATGGTGACAGGATGTGGAGTTGGAGATATATCCGGATATCTGACAGCAGCAGGTAAAGGTGAGACTGAAATGAGGGTCTTACCTCTATACTGGCCCCCAGGTTTGATGACTTTGGTCCCACGTTCACGTGTGTCTTCAACAGCCTGGGCCATGCGCTCTCGGGTCACCTGGTAGGAGTCATTAGTGGCGCACACTGTGACCTTGTCCTGTACTGTGGCCAACAACGCCAGGTGTGAGGCCCCTGAGCTGGAGACACAGAGGGATTGATTTCTAACAACACATGGTAAGAGTATAACAGTAAGCAGGGAAGAACTATGATTGCCTTTACCTGGACACATACTGGTGGATGCACTCAAAGCTTCCCTGAGGGTTGTCCTTGCCCACATTAGACAGGTAAAAATCGAAATTGTGGAAGGTGTCAGAGGAGGAGTCAGTCTTGGGAATTTTAATGCGCTGTAAAAATTCAAAAAGGTTAGAAGTGTGCAGAACTATTCGACTCAGTTCTTAAGCTATTCTGTATTTACAACATGTGTGCATACAACTTCATGAAGGCATTAGCAGGTCAGTGAATTTCTCTGGGCAGAGAGCTGGAGCAGTCTGGAAATGTTTTTCATTCCTGTTTTTCCATCAACAATTCTGACTGCAACTTGCTGTTTGTGCAAAGCACATTTCGAGGAATAGCGATGGCGTGGCAAAGCATAACAACCAATTTAATCAAATATCCAAACAATCATCATGCCAGGAATACAATAAATTCAACCAAGCAAAAACAGATGCCAAAACAAAGCAGTCAAGATGGTCAGTTTCATCTGAAAGTAGGGCCAGGAGATTGATGAAACATTGATTTCAGTTACGATTCTGGCTTCCCACAATCATGACAAGAAGATGATTCAGTCACCTGGCTGTCTGATGAGTTGTGCTTCTTTTGTCTTGTGTAACGACTGGAGTAGTCACAGGTAACTTTTCTTCCTTTACAGCAGAGCCTGCGCTCTGCCCCTCCCCTCAAACAGTCCTCACTCAAACTCTTTCATTAAAAACTCAGAAAACTGCCCAACAAAGTTTGGGAGCACACAAAAGTCGTGGCTGCTTTGTTGTTTGAGGACTGATGTTATCTAAAATATGTTGAGCTACAGCAGTTTCAACTATCATGAAGCCACAGGTGGACAGAGCAGATCAGGGATCTGAGAAGCAGGGGGAGAAAAGCCCTTTAGCCCTGCCAGGCTAAACACTGTGTTACATTTGTCCAAATCTTATACAATATAACCCTAAAGCTGGTTTATAGGTTAGATCAGCAGCCTGTGCTAAAAACCAATGTAGCAGAAAAGCTCAGATCATAGGCTTTTTAATAAGACAAAAATACTCAGCAAGTAGAAGTCTTGTGTTATCTAACATAAAAAAAATGAGTTAAAGCTCTGATAAACAAATTAATTGTGGTTTATGGGGTTCAGAAATCCTGATGAAGTCCAAACATGTAATTCCAATCTCATCCTCATATTAAAAGGACTCAGGTTGTTAAATTAATATTGCTCTATAGCTCTGTGACGTTTTCTCTTTTTTATGTCCTTTTCTTTGTCAGTCAAAGTTTTCTATACGATTTGGCTTCCCAGCAACACATCCATGCTAATCAACCACCAGCTCAGAGCCTGGTGTGCGAACATGAGGGCATGCGCAGTATGTATGGGCCAGTTTTTGATTGAGGTATCTTAGTTCCACTATGAGAAGTTCAATCTCACAGTGATTTCAGTCAGTCTAACATGTTTACATACATTTTGAAAGTCCAGTTTTAGTTTGACTATTGCAATAAATGCACTTCTTTAAGTGCATGTAAACACACCGAGTGTCTACGTTGGAGCTCAGGCTCTTGATGTAAAAAAAAACAAAAAAAAAAAACAAAAAAAAAAAACTGGAGATAGCAGAGAGAAAAACCTCTGCAAGATCTCTACTGCAGCGAAGCTTCAAATCAGAGTGGAAAGACCGCCATCATATGTACTGACTCCATGTTGATTTGTTACGTGCAGTTAACAGACAAATGCTCAAACTCAACCAGTGTAGCAAAGTAACATTCGGGTAAAAACTGCATCTCTCTTACTTAATAAAAAGTCCTAAATTAATTATGGAGTACAGTGCAGTGTTAAGTTTTTGGAGATGTAGCAACCATCCCTGCGATATTGCAGCATTTATTTTTTCGTATCATGGTCGATTTTTTAAAGTTTCTGACCAATCAGATTGCATGTTGTTGCGACGTCTGATTCACCGGTATATCCAACATGGCCGACCGGCTGATTGTTTACGTGTCGGAGAACAGAGTGCTTTTTGATAAAAGACACAAATATTACAAAGATACCGACCTGAAGGACAACTTGTGGAGAGTCATGGCATTGGATTTCTCATGTGACGATGGTTTGTGTGCTTTAACAGTTTGTTTTAACTTTCATCTGCGCTAAGTAACTTTAGCTCGTAAGCTAACCTGTTCAGATACAACATACCATATGTATTTTCACTGTCTCAAACTCAATCACAGCGTTGCTGTCACAGCACCATCAGGTCTCAGTTGTTACCTTCTGTTTATGGATTATAGTTTAATGTGCTTATCTGGTACTGGCCCCGACTCAGTACATGCTATCAGGACAGACAGCCATCTCAACACTAATCAGAACTGAAAACGGTCTTCTCGCTTCCACCCAGGATGTGTCTTTTTCACCCCCGAAAGTCGCAAAATCACATCAGGCTTGATGTGTATAGTCAGGCGCATCAAAATTGTCCTCTGAATATTTCATGATTTTGCTTTCTATATTTGTGTCGGCCCCGGTGTGTAAGGACCTTTAGTGTAGTAGGAACATGTTTTAATATTGCACCACTTTGCCACTGTTGTATGCATCATAAACTTCAAGTCTAAACTGTGCCCATGACATTACTGCCACGGTGTTCATGTGAATTCCTGTTTGTCCACAGTACCAGTGCATTGTCATGGTGCTTGCAGGCACAGTCAGAAAAAAAGCCCTTGAGTTGGAAAATCATGTTGTGGCTCTGCTTTCACTGTGCAAAAGGATGCACTCAGCCCAACAAAACTTCTAACTTGTCCATAATTCATCTGAGAGGAGAAATTGTTTAGTTAGTTCTTGTGTGCACTATGTGACTTGGACTGAAATTCAACACCAGAATTGATTTGCATATCAAAACTAGCAGACAGAGCTGCTTCTTTGTAACTGTGATAGCGTCATTACATCATTCTTAGGTAGTTGCATATTTAAGTTTTAATCTCCTGGGTTAAGTCTTGTCATCTAGCCTTCAATACAATTGTAATTGAAACATTGGACTTATTGGACCAAATTAAAATTAGTGCAGAACGAATAAAGGGTCACTAAATAACTTGCATTGTAAGGGAGCAACATCTATCTCGCTGCTAACAATTTGCACAGATCCAGCCACATTTAATGATTGTGATTACTCCAAGATTTAAATAACAGCACTTACCCCTTGGAGTCCCTTGAATTGTATTGTTGGCTGCGAAGAAGATACATTCTGAAAAGAGAGAATGATCAACATTTTAAAATCAAAAGCAGTATGCCAAGAGTAATCAGCTAAGTTGAACAAAGAATCTGTTGTGTTCTTGACTTTTACTTCAGAATTCAGAAAATTTGGTTGCAGAAACAGCAGAGCCTTAGGGTCCTGTCACACCAAGCATACCTCGTACTTCGCACTGCGGGGGCTGACTGACGGACAAACATGTGCTCTCTGTGTTTGTGTCAGACTAAATAGCTGGTTGGTAATCTGCACTCATAATGCAAAAGAGAAAACCTGAAGAGCTTGCAGAAAGACAATCTCCCTTTTCCAAAGAGGTGTCAGTATGTTTGCAAAACTGTGTTAAAACAAAAGTCTGAGTTGGAATTATGTCGAATGAGCGCTGCATCTAAAGATCATCATCACCATTTCACTAATATTTATAATCCGTTGAACACACTAACAAGAAATTCACTTTGTTGTTGGGTTTCTTTTCCCCGACAACCACTTTTATATGAGAAAAATGCAGAAACACCAGTATTTAAGAATCAAGAGCCAAGAAATTGTTTGTTTTTTGTGATTTTGAAAGATTTAGCAGTTATAAAAATAGACAGTTTAACTCATCAAGCTGTAGAGACCAGACGTGACTGTCAGCCACAAGTACTTGATGACAGTCCCCCCCTGTCAGCCAAGCTTTGGCTCAAAGTATTTGAGTTCTTAACTTTGGATCTACAGTGCAGCCATGTGAGTCAATGACCAGTGTGGCCTTTTTAGTGGTTTAGAGGTAGGTGGTAGGCAAAAAACTGTTTGCTCTATGTGAATGGTGGCAGTGGAACTTGGATGACACCAAAATAGAGCAGATATTTTGAAGACGGTATTTTTGGAAAGTCTTTGTTTTGTGCAGGTTTGCAGGTTTGAGTTGGAGTCTACTTGAAACTGAGTTGAAAACCACAAATATGCAGTGGCTTTACAGCAGCACAGGTTAGCATAGGAGAGCACAGGACTCTGCTTTTTTTCACACAGCTTGAGCCAACAGAGGAACTAGTTGGCTAGACTTCTGAAATGTTGCGTCAACTGGTTTGAGAGGAATGCACATTTTATCAACAACAGCCTCCCTACATTCCTCGGCATTAAATATACTTGCTTAGTCATACATGAAACAAGATGCAGATCATTATGGATTAAATGCATACTTTGGTCAGGTTTTGAAAGAGCCATGTCATGGGGGTGAAAGCTAAGCTACTTCAAGCCACTGACCGGCTCCCTCCCCCACTATCCATACACTCACTCACTCACTCACTCACACACAGTTCTGATCACATTTCACATCACCACAGAAAGACAAAGATAGCCAGCTTCCATAGTTCGATGACTGGTTGAGCTCTAGCACACATTACTGAGAGGGAGAGAGAAACAAAAAGCAGGCAGTTTTGGCTGCTCAGTCAGCAAGAGATGGCAGGCTGCTGTTCAATGCAGTTTGCAAACCAACATTACCACATCCAAAAGGTTGTAGCATAGGCTGTCAGAGTACAATTCATTCACATTCCCTTTGCCAGAAGTCTTATAATTGACATTTGTGTCCTAATTCACATTTTAGGAGCTCTAAAATAACTACCTTTTAATTTCATGTGATCAAATGCTGGACATCCATGTTTTGGATAATGTGTGGCAAACAGTCATACACACTGACACAGACCATGTGCCATAAAAAGCACAGACCTCTGAACACTATAGCCCCACACTAGGCCATACAGTGCATCAACCCTAAGCGGAGACATTGGCCCATGCAGTGTTATGTAACAGCGTTGTTGATGGCTGAGTTTCCATCAGGTAACTTGGCTCCAGGCCTCTGCAACTCAAGACTGCAGGTCTCACCAGATTAGTTCACCTGTGTCGCACCTCAACAAGATTACACTATTTACACAGTTTAAGATTAACAAGTTATATTTAATCTGCACAGTTATGCAGCAGCGCCTTATTAGCACACCCAGTTGCAGAGGCTTCTCAATTACTGGTGTTGTCAAAGCTCAAGAGTGAAACGCAGATGACAGATATACTAAGAATATGTGAACAAACAGTATTTGCAATAGAGTTACACTTATACAAAAGCATACAAGCTCTTAGCTGTTATTATGTATCTGTCACTGCTTGCCCATCGATACTCCTCCTATGTGGATGTTAAATTATTTATACAAAAAGTCCCCAGCAAAATGGCTAACTGGACAAAATTAAATATCTGCTCCGTGTTAACTTGTAAGGCCATTACTCACATTAGCAACAACTTGTGTACTTATGTGAGTAAAGGTGAAACATATGTTAAAATCAACATTTTAATGGTTGTGTTTTAAAGCTGTGAAGGGGGGTCTGGTACGAGCGTCAGGACAGGTTTTGGTGCTGTCTTTCACTTTACAGCTAGTGAACTTTACACCATATGGTAAAACTAGCAGTGGCGACATACTTAAAAATATTTTTCAAGTTGTATTTGCCTGAAATTTCCAGATATTTCATATTAAGTCACACAAGCAACAGCGTCGAATAAAAGTTTAAGCTTGTTCCTAACTAGTTGATCTTAATCACATATGGATTGTCTCATGAAGGCGCATTAATTCTTCGACATATATATTATATTATATAAAAATATTAGTATTTAGGGTTGTTATGTTCAAGATTTGGTTAAGGCAAAGGTTATTTGGCAAGATAAAAAGAAATGACTCTGTTGGCCAGCACAGCAAAGTACGGCATAGGGGGGTTCAGTTCAAAGTAAGCTAGAGCTAACGTTGGCTAACCAGGGTGTCCAACTTTGCCAACTGTTCTTTTAGGTTAAATATCGCTTGTCACTTCGTAAAACCCAGTCAGAGTGTAACATCGAGGTCTCATTTACCGCCTCCGTCGACTTGTTAAATCTCCTACGTCTAATATAATGACAATAAAACAAGCAGAAAGTCGCTCTGTCAACAGCTTAGCTAACTTCGTAGCTTTAGCTGTGCGTGGCAGTTGAGCTTCCCAGCTGAGACGAGCTGTGTCAGCCCGTCAGTCCCAGATGGATTTTTTTTTTTTTTTACTGAAATTGACAGATATTTCACTCACCATACAGTTTTGGTGGCTCTCTATGGCTCTCAGTGCTGTCTCAGTCAATTTCACGTGCAAAACGGTGACTCTATCTGCGCTCTCTGGGCCACAATTTAAACCGTATCTCCCATCCTCGGAGAGCGCCGCCATCTTTACCAGCCCTCCACCATCGTCCCTTTGAGGCTGCTGGAGCATTTAGCAGCTCAAGCTCCCTCCCTGTCCCTGCTGCTGAGCTCAGTGTGGCCCGGGGAGGGACTACAGCTGCTGCTGCCTAAAGGGCTGACAGCACAGGATTGGTTTAATTCACTAGCTTGGAAGTCTTCACATCCAGTCAGAGTGAATTTACAATAAGGTAAAACGATTAAAAAAAATGTTTCAAAAAGTATGATTTTGAATTAAAAGTTTAGGATTTTTTTTAATACTTACACAAAACTGGGTTTTTGCATCCATTCACAAAACTAAGACAGCACAGGGTCCTTTTTTTGTTTTTAAATGAAACTTCTTAACAGCTTTCATTTCTCTACAAGGCCATAGCTTCTCTCTCTCAAACACACATGTACCTCTTGGCAAAACTGACTCTGCCTGCTGTGTTTTGCTGACATGGTGGAACTAAATCTAGCACACAGTAACTGTTAAAGGTAGTAGACACTGCAGTGGTGTGAACTCAGTTTGTTTGCTCTTTAACTTGGCAGCATTGTAATAAATATCAGCATAAACTGCGTACCACACATAATAAACTTTTTGACATTATCTATAATTAATTTTATTGTAGGTTTAAACTTAAATCAGTCTTAAACAACAAGCACACTAGGGTGAATAAACTTTAAGTAGGCCAGTGTTTGTTACTCAAAACCAAACAGCATGCATTATTGTTGCATATTTTAACTAGTTTTGGGCCTGTATACATACATGCCAATAGCATTCTTGAAGTGTTGCAGTCAGCATAGACAACTATTTGGAAAGCCACTCTGCCTGAGTGCTGGCCTATATTTTCACCCTTCATGTGGCTTCTTTAATGATAAGGGATACGATGTGACATCAGCACAATGGGCATGAATGTGTCCCCAAATGAGCTGCACCTCCACTATCTCCCAGTGTCACTCCCCTTGACCTGGTGATTAGGACAGCATGTTTTGGTGTGGAGTCGCCTCAGGCAGGGTGGGGAAAGGCCTGTGTGAATCCAGTAGATTATCATGGCTCCTCACCCCACCCAAAGACTCACACATAGACACCTAAGAGGAGACACAAATACATTCAAGGCTGCTTTAACATGAGCTTAATATTCTCATGTTCAAATTCTCAAATAAACTGCCTCAAACAAAAATCAATTTAAAGGTTAGTTCACATGTTGAATGTAGCGTCTGAAACATTCTTTCAGTTGTTAGTTTATTGTGCCTTCTCTCAGCATGAATACATGCAAATGCTAAATACAGAGTGTTTTCAATTCCAGGGGTGCTCTTGTCTGTCTGACAGGTTGCCTGCTGTGCAAACAATGAAGTTAAGCCTTTGGGGAGGACAGGATTCATTGATTTTAGAGTTTCTGTGTTTACAGAAGTGTTAACTGATGGAAGCTTAAGTGCGCCATGTAAAGAGCATGGTGAAATTACACACCCTTTGTAGAAAGATAATCAGTAAAAAGAGGCAGAGTAAAGATTGCTAAATAGTATTTTGAACTGGCTGAGTAAACTGAGTTGTTTTTAAAAGACATTGAGGAAATATTCCATGTTCTCTTCCCCATGCTGCTATTTTTCTCTTTCAATTTCTGAGTGTTGCAGTTCTCTATAAAACCTGAGATATCTAAGTGGCTACATTGGTTAATCATTAACATTCTTATTATTTGGTTAGGCTCTGATTTTGGTGGCAAAGGAGGCGCGTTTTAGCAACTTACACCTGGAAGTAAAAGTCAGTACAAAGGGTGTCTCTTTTCCTTTTGTAGGCTAGATAAAAAAGATTCCTATTTAGAAGTTAACATAATTGTGGTGTGGAACTGATTTAGATGTTGGGAAACTGATGATAGCTATTTGAATGGCCAGAAAAGAAATTAGTTCAAACAAAACCTTCACCTAATGGAATAAGTGACAATCTGTAAAGAAGCCCAATGATTGTGCATAGTTAAACACAACTTAAGTGAAGAGGAATTAAATTATCAACACCTTCTCATCATGAGTGAGTAATTGTACCCTCATGGCAGAGTCTTTGGCAGTTTGACTTACCTGTTTGGGAACTGTAATTGACACTAATAAGTAGTCATGGCAGTGGCACAGTGGCTCATTAGGTAGGACTGTTGCCTCACAGAAACATCCTGGGTTGGATCTCATCCAGATGCTCCCCCTTACTTCCCTCAAGACAAACATGCTGAACAGATGAGCCTTGGACTACAAAATGCGTCTTGGTTGAGAAAAAAGGGATGTACATATATGAATTGTTTTAATTTGTGGATAAAGATAAAGTTTAAGTTGGTATATGTGAATGAAAATGTGTGTTTCACAGGGATGTTTTTGTTTTGCTTTATTTTCAGGCTGACTCTGTGTACATGGCCTGAAATCAAAAGTTGACTTACCTAACTTGACCCATCCCACAGTCTGTGCAGTCATAAATGCACAACCCTGTGCTACCAATGAATCATCGACCTTTTTAGTTTTTGGTCCACCCTCAAACTGTTGAAAATGACCCAACTTGTTGGCCTTTTATCTGATTGTCTGCTGGGGCAGCATGTCACCCACAATGTGTCACAAACAACCACATAAATAGGAAAACTGCGTGGTTATTCAAACATGGTGATTCACAAAATTTTATCACTTACCTTTGTACGTTTTTTGTTTGTTTTGGAATAATTATGCTTCAATAGGATCACAATAAAAGGAACGTCCGAGAACATTATGAACTCCAAGTCTTTGCTTTACAAGAACTGTATATCACCTCTTGTGCATAAATGCCAGGATCTGTAGTAGACTCATGTTTGTCCTCTTTAGTAGCTCAATGACATGATAAAATATCTCTAAATACATACAGGGCTTAATGGTTGGTTATCATAGAAACATGATTACATGCAAATAGGTTTATAGATTTGAACACCTCCTCTTCCTCTGCCTTAGATTGTGCTGCTACAGCTCGGCTCCTTGACCACCAGTAAACCCCATGACAGGGATTAAACCAATAATTCCTTAAACTGCTTTGTATTAAAGCATGAAAAGGGGTTCTTGGCATAAACCAGGTTGCCTTTGTAAAGAAAAAGTCCTCCTGCAGACCTCAAGTTGATTGAAAGAAAAACTTAACAGACAAGGGAGCATCTGCAGATCATTTTGACGTAGCTGTGCTTTTTGCAATATAACAATGAGACAGTTTTTATATTTTACTGTAAAACTACTATCAAATTATAGCTGAATTAAATATCTGAATTTACATGTGATATAGCTTAAATTGGTCCACTCAAACACATCTATGTGGCCAAGGGGTGAACTTCGTGACATAAAAACTAGTTTCAAAAGATTATCTGGGGTTTACCTCGAACTTCTCTCCACGTGGCGATCCGGCCCTGAGGCCAGATTCTGTTGGCAGTGAGAAAGAGCCATCTGCTGCTGTTTAACCCTCCCATTAAAACACAGCACACAAAGAAGAGAAGGCAGAGTGTGAATGCGTGTTAGTGTTTGTGTAGATGACAGATAGAAAACATAAAAACTAGCAGATCTTTAAGGGTTATCATTCGTTCAAAATCATGGTTGGTCAAAATAACAGCTTTCAATGGAAAAGTCACTTCTTTACATTCTCAACCAGATTCGTGATGATTAAAAAAACTTTTATAGTATTTTATTGAGCTCAAACACTGAATATTCCATACACGTGAATCTGGGGGAAACAGCATCCTGTTGCATCCATTTTCCACCCACCTGGTATTTAAAGACCTTGAAACAGCTCTCCCAGTTAATCATTGGCCAGTGTGGGGAAAGTGTGCACTTACACTGTTGACTCTTATCGCTGTTGACCACAAAGCCGACAGAGCAGTATCTCTGAAGCTGACATTAATGGAGAGGACACTGGTTGGGTTAAAGAGACAGGTCAATCTTTTATTTGTCCACTATAAAAGAGAAGGTACGAAGAGAATGTTTCAACAGGATGAGACTTTAAGTGAGAGCAAATAGTGCAGTTTGCGTCTTTGCTTTGAAATCTACATTCACTTATAGATTGAGAACTATATCAAACAGCGACTGATAAATTGATTGAATTGGGATGGTTTGAATCTATGCACCGTCCCTTTGTTTTCTGTCCTTTCACAACACAATTTACTTGAACAGCTACCTCTTCGAAAAGGAAATCTACCTCTTACAACAGTTCTTCAAATAGGACTGAGATCTACTCCAAAACTTCATGGGTTTGGCCAGAAGTATCCTCAACATCCAAGCCGCTCTCTCATCTGAACATCTGTTGCCTCACATTGCCTTCCTAAAGAGATGACCCTCTGTACAGGTACATCAGCAGTGAGGGCTGAGTCCCAGCAGCTGTACTCTGGTGAAAGCACACAGGTGGGCCTGTGGTCAATCAGGTAGCGGTTCAGGTAACTTTCCTCCAGGCCCCTGGCCATTTCTCCTTTGGCCTGATCCTGCAGAATGAGCATAGAACAGGCTCGAGCCAGTCTGTAAACCTCTGACACCAACCCTCCATACAGCTCAGAGGTGTAGTAGTAGTCTCCTTCGTCCTCGTCAACAAAAGCCGATGAGACTTCCTCCACTTCATAAGGGAATGCATCTCTTGGCATCCCATAGAGCTCTGGGTGCAACGTTGCTACCAGATCTCCAAGAATTTCTTCCCCAACAGGGGCCACAAACTCCAGATCGATGTCAGCGCAGAAGAGATATTCAACATTGGTACCAATTGGATGTCTGATGGTTTCAACCAGTAGGGACATTCGTCGATAAGCCAACCTGTCCCAACCTGGCAGCTCAGCAACTGTAACCACCTTCAGCTCTCGTTCAGGACCCAACTCAATGGAGGGGTCCATCGAGCGAGGGTTATCTGTGAGAATGTAGTAGGTGACCATTCGACCTGGGAGAAAGTGGAGCTCAGCTGATGAGAGGAAACGTCGAATGAACCTGGCATAAGTTCCCACGACAACAGTCAGCAGACCAGTACGGATCCCTTTTTGGGCATATTTAGCCCTGCGCCAAGCAGAGCTACTGCTGTCACCCCACACTAATGGAGCCCCCCACGGTGTTTCCTGAGGAGTTTGAGGTACCTGTGTCTTGACAACTGTCATGTCTGACATTTCTTGAGCCTTTTCTGGTACCAAAGCCCGAAAAAAAGGATTAGGTGAGTCCACTCCGACAGAGACCTTGAGTCCTTGGAGGAAATCTGAGTGGTAAAACAAGAGATGAATTTATCTTAACACCTTTCCTTTGTAAAAGAAATAGCAAACCGTGACACTTTTTTGGCAAGTACTTGAACCCTTTCTCCATGCTTGTGTTTCCATAACTCAATAAATGAATGCAGGTTAGACAGTAAGGTTGACTTTCACATTTACTGTACCTTAAGCAAGCTTTTCAGTGTGCTTTTATTGTCGTAATACAGAGTGGTTGAGCAGAACGAATTCTTTGTACACTTACAGATGATAAGAGACAGGAGAAAACAGTACAGGACAAGATGCAGTCTGGTTACTCTGACTGGTCCTGTTTGAAGGACAAACAGAAACATGTAAGCAATTAAATCAAACAGTACAAGCCACTTTAATATACCGATCAGCACATGTTACTATGAGTGATCCTTTAAATCCTGCCAGGTATAAGGGCTTAAACTCACAGGAATGAAAAGAATGTACGGCCAAAGAAATTTCTAATAACTGCTCAAATAATGTTATCTGAAAGCATATGCAGTTTTTATACATTATATTTGATAACTTGTGTAAAATCCACAGACTGTATACACATAAGACTCTGGTATCTGAGTGACATTTACAGACTGAACAGAGTGTATGATTTATTGAAACAGTAGCACAGTGCATGAAGTCCTGCCACGTTTTTGAGGAAGTTTAGTGAAATGACCAAGCAAGCCGTGTTAAACATGATATGCAAAACAGAAAAACCATGTCATCTACTAAAGTTCAAACTGAGCAAAGAGAAATAAAGCAGAAGGCAGACCAGGCTGATGGTGTTCAGAGATTTATGTGAAGAGATCAGTATCCAGTTGTTGAACAAGAGCATGACGCATGAGATAGATCCTAAATAGAAGCACATGTGAGTTGTAGTTGTTTATCTTCATTCTCCACATACATTCTTCGGCTGTAACTTCCCTTTACTCGTCAAGAGGTTAATACCAGGGCATAAAAGTTCTGCAGCTAATCAGGGTTTATTTTGACTTCGTGGACATATTTCCCGGAAAGTGTTTTCTTCATTGAAAACATCAGTTAAAGCTTTGCAAAACTTTAATGCCTCTTCTGACTTAGTCTTTAGAGCAAATAAGTTTTTTTTTTACTGAGCATGGCTGCACAATTAGATGACAAGATAGGGGGAAACAACCAGACATGACACAAGCAGAGGAGGTGGAGCAGTGGCTGAGGTTATACTGACCTGAGGGCGTCTTGCAGAATGGGAACAGCGCCATATTGTGACCTGGTGGTGGATAAACACACAAACCTTTGTCTGGGGAGCCTATTTTTCTCTTCAAAAAAATCTCTGCCTCCTTCTCTATGTTTCTCTCCGCTCACTCTTTCTCTTCCTGGAAAAACTCTGTTTAACTCACTGTTTTCCACCAGGCATTATTTTCCTACATTGCCCCCCTTTCTTCACTCTTCTCCTTGCTTATACAATATTTTTCACTCCCTTTTCTGCACCTTCCTTCTCTCTCTCTCTCTCTCTCACTCTTGTCTTTACTTCCATACGGAGCTCCTTCTAGCCTCAGGATCTTGCAGAATTCATTTTTGGAGAAAAACCAATGTAACCAGATGTGCGCAGGGGAATTTGAACAATTGGGAGGAGCTTAAGGAGAAGGAGCAGTCACAGAAAAGAAGAAAAGCATGAAAATGTTGAAATTTCTGTAAATAGAAGAGTTATGACCTGCTCCTACTGCAGTTGAGGGTTTGACAATGAATTCAAGACTCAGGTCGCTGCTCACAGATTCTTAAAAAACTTCAGTATATACTTAAACTTACCTCAGACAGTGAGTCCTTTCAGAATAAAAGCAAGTTTACACATCCAAAGTCTTTGATCCACCCACATTCACAACAGTTAGAAGAAAAAAAGGACAGATGCAGCACTGCATTACACAGATGGACACCAAACCAGCAGGGTGTTGTATACTTCTGACCACAGAGGGGCAGCACTGAACAGGAAATAGGCTCTGAGAAGTAGTTTGTCATATAAAAATGAGAGACCATACTTCTTCAATTTGTAACAGCCAGTTGTGAGTTTTTTTTTCACTAAAGAATTGTGTGATAGTTTTACTTGAGGGTTCATTGAAATTAAAAAATCTCCAATACTTTTTACAATTGTAATCCCAGAAAATCACTGATTCTTTATACACACACATTACAGATGAGGATGGTTACCTTTGGTGGCCTGTGAAACATGATCGTTTGATAATGAATGGCCTCACCCTCATTTATTTATTTGCAACAACTCTTATTTCTGTCAAAATGTATTCTATAATAAAGTCACCTTTACACACGCACCATATTGTTGTGCAAAACCCCATATTCAGCTACTGTCTACTTCAAACCTTCTGTGTTGTCAAAAACTCAGACAGACTCAAGAGGTCGCTTTGCAGTTTATTACGATAAATTTAAATTTTTTTTTACATCCATACAGAAATTGCAACATAATGTTGGTTTATGTAAACAACTTTTGACTGATGCATCAGTCAAAAAAAAAAAACATGAAGAAAACAGCACAGGCTACAATAAAGAGAGGATAAATTACACTGTGCATGTAAAGCATTGTCCAAAAGTCTTCCTATTTCAGTCACTTTGTCGGCAGAGAAGCAGGGCCAGCAGCTTGAAGACTGGAGGGTAGAGACTCTGCAGGGGGGGGATTTATGTCATTAACACTTGCGTCAGTAAATGATATACACCGTATGAATCAAACTATGATCATGTAACATGGAACATATTTTAAGGCGATAAAGATGAGTGTGCCTGAAGGTTGCAGTACAGAGCCTCTACCCTGCAGTTTTTCTGAAGTTTGACAGGTCCAATGAAACAAAACAACTCAAACCAGAAAAGTAATGTCTGTGTAATCATCATATTGCAGAAGATGAACAAACAACATTTCAGCCATTTGCACATTCACTGAAATACATGAAGCCAGCAAAGATTTTGGCAGTGTACATTTGTAGTTCTGGAAACTGCAGTGACTTTGCAGAGCTCAATGCCACAAGAAAATAAACCTGTTCAAGGGTTTGATACTGTATATATTATTTTAAGAGGATCCTTAGAAAAATATTTCATTTAATGCAGCATTGTACTTATAGAAAATTAAATAAATTGCACAAAAAGATTAGTCTGATATTATTTCACATTTAGTGAATTGCTACTCCAAGGAGGCGCCATCTTTCAATCATTCATTAATCATTATTACCATGGTTATTATTATTTTTTTTTTGTAGTTACTTTTTTGTTTTTAGAATATATTTTCCTAGTTAAAGATCTGTCACACTATGAGTATTTCTTTAATACTTTTTCTGTAACTCTCTTGAGCTTTGTTGACACCCTGAGAATAAATCTTTAGTCAACACAGTCCAGATGTTTCACATCGCTAATTTTCCTCAAATTTGCCTCATTTTGAATGTGTGCTTACTCAAATTTAAAGACTACAGTCCAATTTTAAGAGATACATTTGTCCCGTAAAGTTGGAAAAATGAGAAGTTGTCCTGTTACAGTCAAATATATAGAACAAAAAGTTTAATGACTGAAAGATGGCAAAAATAATCAAAGAAAGATTTTTGAAAGTGAGGGTTTTGGTTATTGAGAGTTTTAAAACCATATTACAATCATTGTCTTTGAATAATATATAGATATAATATAGAGATACTAATACAAAACTTATACTCTAAAGGTGGCATGCTTTAGCAGGCAGTGAAGAGAAGAGAGACAAGGCCTTTCCCTTCTTCCTAAATGTTGAAATCAAAATGCAGAGGTACAGTTTGTTTCATGAAAAGTCCATGTTTAGTAGTAAGAGTGAGCTGCAAATACTGCTGACTGTCTGAAATAAGTAATGGCTGAAGGATGAGTGTAAACCAAGGTAAATATATCAGATTTGCAGCATTTTGGGTAAAATCAGACCTTTTCTTCATCTCTTTCTTCTTTTCCACTTCTTAGATCCATGATCCCATATTTCTGTGTTCTCTTTGCCTTGTTCCTCTGCTCCCCAACCAAAGCATAAACATGCCTCCCCCTTATCTTATATCTTTCTTCTACTCATCCCTATTCTCCTCTCTCCTCTGGTCTTCATTTTCTGGCATCGTCGATCATCTCAAACAGGGCCTGCAGCAGTCGGTCATCTCTGTGCCTGTACGGCTTGGTACTGTAGAAGCCGTCAGTGTAGTCGCTGTAGACACTGTCCTCAGGGCCCCGGTACTTGTTGACCATGTCCAGAGCCTGGTATAACATCTTAGGGGGAAGTTTTGATGTAGGAGGCGAGAGACTGCGGCTAGGCTGCTGTTTCCCCCAGGTGGAGGAGGTTCTGGTTGCAGACTGAGGCTGCTGAAGACCAGGGCTCTGCCTATTGAAAGCTGTCTGAAGGAGGCGCAGCAGGGCCAGGGAGGGGGAGTAGGCAGGATTTGCTGGCTTTTTGGCATCCACCTCAGGGTTGGAGGGAAGGGGGGCTTGGGCGGTTTCAGTCTTTGGTGGTGGATTGGCCTGTGTGGGCTCCTGTGATAGGGACAGAGAGGAGGAGAGTATTTTGGTGAGTTAGCATAAAATTATCCCTCAAAGTTCATCGAAAAGTTTGACAATACAAACTTGCTGTACTCTATTATTGAATAAACCCCATAAAAATGGTAATACAAAAATTACCAAAATTCTCAACAACAAAAGTAATGCCAGGGACAACCTCTTTACTTGTACTATCAAATTGGTCATCTCAAATGTGTGAACTGCCTGTCTGCCTCACCCTCAACATTAGCATTTAATTTAAAGCACTGCTCTTAATGCAGGCTGATAGAGCTATTAGCAAAACTGTGGACGTTCGCCTTTATTACATTCAGTCCTTAAGTTAAGTGTATGATTTCATAATAACAATTGTAATACATCAACCTTTGGTGTTAAATCATCTATGCATTGTTCTCACCTCCATCATGTCATCCATATGCTCCACACCACGGCGGTCATTCTGCACAGCGTTGTAGGGAATATAAACTCTGGGTTTCTTCATGTGCTCCGGCTTCTCAGATGTCCCGTGAAGGATCAGTTTCCAGCTCAAAATCCGTCCCTCATTCTCCATTCGTCCTGACTATGAACGGAAATGATGATGGTTATACAGTACATCAGGACAGACAGATACCAAACTTTAAACAAACAACCAACGCATTAGCTATAGTAATATGTGCTTAACATTATCACTGCAACTACAAATCTGAGGAAAAAACTACTCATTTGTTCATGAATATTAAAGCACCTGTCCACCTGTGTTGACTTTGACGCCCCCCTGTAGACAAAGTGGTAACCCTTATATTGTGGCTAATCTTGACAAAAAGCCCCTAGTGTCTTTTTACTGTTAAATCTATCACCCACAATGATTAATAATATTTATAAGTGACAAAGGCTGTTTAAAACACCTAACCCCTTATAGAAGTTACAGGCACTGAAAATTATGATACAGAAATTATCCATCTCATCATGGATGGCCTCATTTGCTTTTTTAATCATAGAGAAAAATCCCAGTTCATCTCAGTCTGTTTTATTACCTATTAAAACGTCTCACAGGAGCTTTAATAACTCACAGTATCTGTAATTTTTAGGGTCCACGTTCCAGAGGGATCCTCTCCCCATGTATGCACAGACATGAAGTCCCAGTTTCTGAAGCCATTAGAGGACGTGTCTCTCTCTCGCTCTGCTAGCAGCACTGTGCTTGTACCTGATGGATTATCAAAAATAGCGAATCGGTTAAGAACTTGGTTATTTGACCCACATGGCTGTGCTTTTTTTTCTGTGTGTGAGAGTGCACACATCCAACCTGCTGGGGAGGTGAGTGTTATATGCAGGTCTCCTCTCCTGGTGTATTCAATGCTGGCCTCCACTTGCACATGCTCCAATGAAACGACTGCATTCTCCTGACCCGCACAGGCTTTGGTTGGAATCTCTATAGTAATCTCCCCTGCTGCCTTCAGCTCCCTGTGGGATAAATTAAAATAGTAGAAATGAGATGCACAAACAGCTCTCTCTGTAGTTCCCTGTATTCTTCCTATTACAATATGTGGCTCTACAGGGTAGAATTAACGCGTAATGCTGCTATGCTTGCTGCATAAATAACGTGATAATGTGATGGAACAATCAGAATTTTTGGGAGGTATTCAGCAAATCACAAACATGCATAAGATGCACTGACAGATTTGGATCCTTCTGGTCATTCATTTTCAAACAGTTAATCCTCATCTCTCCCAGGAATGAATGAAAGGATTTCTGTGCTCAAGCTGCCATAAAGCTGGAGGGGTTTCTAGACCACTAAGCATTGACTGAAACACGGAGCCAAATCCTTGGGATTAGACAGGGATGTAGCTAGGTAATGGAGAAACTGAGTGCGGGTGCTATTGAGTCCCATAATCCAAAATAAACTGTTAAACAGATACTTCAAGGAACAGAGAACTTTTCTGGCTGATGCTGCTGTCTGCAGGTGGTGAAATGTGAAAATAAATTATTGCCTTAAAAACCAAAGATCAGAGTTTTGTGGGCCAAATTAGTCATCAACAAAGAAAATAGAGCAGCAAGTTTTCAGAGTTTGTGATTGTCATCAAATATCAGTATGTTTGACAGTTACTGTGACATTAACATTTATTTTTATTGGTCGTATCCTTAAAAAGCCTTCCAAGGATTTATACTTCATACTAAAAGGAGCCTTGATAAGTTAAACCAATCACAACCTCTATTTAAGAGGTGCCAAACTCAAGCGCATCGTATTGTGCAGCAATAAAAAACAACGGTAACACTTTATTTGAAGCCTATCTGTATAGCACATTATAAATATATGTATAATGTGTTAAAATCACGTCATAGCACTGTATAACTATAGTTATAAACACTCATAAATGATCATAATGCTTTATAGCAATCATCATAACACATTATAAAGCATTTTATCATGGCTTATAAGGTCAGGTATTATAATGTGTTGTAACATGGTAACAACTCACTGACAATGCCCACATAGATAATGCAATGAACTGTTGTAAACAGTTATAACACATTATAATACCTGACCTTGTATGTCATGATAGAATGCTTTATAATTTGTTATAATTATTGCTTTAAAGCATTATGATCATTTATGAGTGTTTATAACTGTAGTTTTACAGTGCTATGACATGATTTTAACACATAATAAATACGTTTATAATGCGTTATAGAGATAGGTGTCAAATAAAGTGTTACCAAAACAACATCTACACATTCTCAACCCCACTTAAAGTGCATAACAGGAGCTACTCTCTTAACGAAAGCAAAATATATTCGATAGCTGTCAGATATTAATTTACCGGGGCTGAAAAGAGTCGTCCCTGACAATACACTGCTTCTTCTCAGGCACGTGCTTCCAGGTGGCCGGGTTGGCGAGGTCCACCAGAGCTTTGGCGTTGAGGAGACCGAAACCAAAGCGGCTGTTGACCATCAGTCCTGCTCCATTCCTTTTCCAACCAGGGTTATTGGCCAAGGGATCAAACTCAGACGTCCAAACCACGATGTGCTGCAGGTCTCGCCAAGTTAACTCTGGGCTGAAGGAGGGAAGACAAGGTAGAAAAGCAGTGAGTGTGTACTAATGTTGATATTAATGAGTGAAATGCCATCTAGAAAATATCAGTGGGTCATAGGAGGTGTTGTTACTTTTGCTCTAGTGCCAGGGCAAATATTCCAGCAGCAAGAGGGGCCGAGGCTGATGTCCCAGTGTGAGTCTGAGTGCACTCATTGTGCAAATCTGCGCTTGTCTGAAAGGAAAAAGAAAAAAATCGAACATGAAAATCCAATTCATCTCACAGGATAACTTGTAATAAAGACGGCATGTCCCTTGAACAAGACTATCTGACATGATGTAATCAGGCGTGGTTGCTTACAATCCTCTGGTCAGTGTAGTCCCCGCTGCTGTATGCTGTAGCTAACGTGGAGGAACACTTCTCAGCGTACCATGGAGACAGGCCCTGCTGGGAGGCGCTGCTGATAGAGATGGTGTAGATGCTGTCTGTGTAACCATCGCAGTCACAGTTATCGCCCTGTCTGCCACCATTACCTGATGCCCAAACAAAGATAGAGCCTTTCCCGCCACGACCCTGCAGAGGACGGGGACAAAGAGAGAACATGATGTGGAATCAAATGCAGTCCTGCACAAAAGGAATCACTGGAAGATGTACGATATTAAGTAAAACAACAGCTAAAAGCTCCAGGATATAATAAACTGTAATTCTTAGCTAATGATAACTGATGGTGTTTTGTCATTAGAAGCTGTATTCCCAGCAGCTGAACACATCACCCTTATTGATCCTGTTTTATCTGATTGCTATCACTGCTGCAGATAATGGCTCCCATTAGGAACCGCAGTCTGATATCACAGCTGAATGTGAGTAAGTACTGCCCTGTCTCTCTAATAGTTGCTTACCTTCTGGATGCCATACTCAAAAGCCTTCTGAGCCAAGCGCCCGGGCCCCTCTACTGTCTTGCCATCATCGTTTGGTCCCCAGCTGGCACTATAAATGTCCACATGGTCTGGATTGAAGCCAATAGAACTGGCCTCAATGGCATCAGTCACAATCCCATCAAGCATACGAATTCCTAATCAAGGAAGAATAAAAGTATTATTGCACTAATACCCTCCTCATTCCTGTTTGTTTCTCATGAAATGATGTGATTTTTCACTTGTCAAAAAGAAGAGAAAACAAAAAATGTCTAGAATCTTGAAATAGTAAAAAAAAAAAAAGAAGTAATCATCGTTTTTTGTGAGAGCCAGATTAACGATGCTGTATTTTAAGATGCAGGTGCTTTGACATCGCTGACAACCGGCTTAGTACCAGCCCTTCAGATGTTGCAGCATAAATTTTTAAGCCATTGTTTAGGTGGATCAGAGCTCAGTTATTTTGGAGAGTGACGTTATGTAACCATCTGGTGGTAAAAATCAGGCTGCTTGTTGAGGGAATCTTTCCCCCTTTCTGGATATAAAACATGAAACCAACAAAGATTCTGTGACGTGCAGCTTTGCACTGCGTTTAGATTTTGAACTAATCCAACAATGTTCCATGGATTATGCATTAGAGAAAACTCGAGTTATGCACAGAGCATTAAAGTAACCAGAGAGCATCAAGACAGACCAAGCAGGGCTGCTTTTGCTTTATTTTTACTTTTTTTAAACTCCAAATCAGTTAAATCGATAGATCAATCAATCTAGGGTCATTCAGCACAATGACATCAACTAAGCCCCTACCTGACAAACACAATATGGATAAATAAGACGTTTTAAATTATGTGCATAAATATCTTACCTCCAACCTTTGAGTTGTATGCAACTCCAACTCCACATTTATTGTTATCCGCTTGCATAGCGATCTCTCCGGCACACCTGGTCCCATGTCTGGGAAGAAAAACAGATTCATAATATACTCAAAGCTCCTATGTGAAGTTTTCAACAGGTTAGGAGAAATACTAAACTAATTACAATGCCTCTTCATGACCCAAACATCAAATAGTTTAACAGTGCTATAACGTGATTATAATGCATTATACATATAATTCTAATGCGTAATAGAGATAGGTGTCAAGTAAAATGTAACCAATTCGTTTATTCTGCACAAGTTCCTCAAAGACTTAAAGTAAAGCCTGCATGATAAGTTTGATTTGGTATGTTATGTTTGATGGTTTTTTGCAGGAATTTAACAACATATCAGAGTTATTGATCGGCTGATTTATACAGTTTACCTGCCCTCTTTACCTCACAAAATTTATAACACAATTAAAATTTCTCACACAATTGTCCTATCAGAAGCACAATACAGTGATTGTGATAACAGAGATATTTTGAATTTACACTTATTAACCTCAGAGGTATTGAAGCGTTGAGTATCTGGATAATAGTCCATAGCTGTTGTCGGTGAGGAGTGTGTTCATGTATGTGTGTGTGTGTTACTGCTCGCAGAGGTTGAGTCATTAACTTCAGATGTGGTCTATAAATTACGTGGAGTTCTTGGATAGGCGGTAATCTGACTGCACGGAAGAAATTATTTTCAGTCTTTAGCAGAAACTGTTTCGGTCATATTCACCTAATTTTTTCCCATTTTGAGCTGATTTATTATAACACAGAGATTTCTCCGACAATAACCAAACCACAGGAGGATTTTATAAAACAGGTAATGTCTGAACGTCAATTTTCAGCAGTTCACTCACTTGTTCTCATTAGTAGAGTCGTATCTGGGGAAAGGGTCGGGGTCATTGTCGTTGAAGTCGTAACTGGCTGCTGCGTCCTTTGAAAACAAGAGGAAAAACAGTCAGGGGATATCAGTGATCATCAGTGACCAAGACTCTCAGAATTAATCACTGATTTATTAGAGCCTGTCTGCTATCATGGTGACTATATCCAATCCAATCCATTTCATTTATATAGCACGATTTAAGCATACGCAAGGTTTCCAAAGTGCTGCACAGAAAGATAAAAACACAATAAATAACACAACGGGAGCACAATAGGTAAGGTAAAAATAAAATGAGATAAAACAAAGTAAAATAGAATAAAAACAAACACAATAAATAAAATCAATTAAAATAAAATAAATAAATGAAGTCAACCTCCTACTGGGTGTTAAAAGCCAAGGAGAACAGGACTATGTGCAAGGAGGAGGAAGAGTGACTTGGAAATAAAACAGCAAATACTGATTTTCTCTCTACAACTCGCTTTTGTTTTAATTACATGAAAATGTTGGCCTCAGAGCTGTGTAAGTATTTGTCTACCTGCTGGTTTTAAATGTTTTGTTGTTTTTTTTACATTACAACGTATGTCTGACCAGTTTTTCTCCTCTATATTTAAATTAAGCAAGTTACTTGTTACTCCGGAGCACAGCTCAGTTTCTGGCTCGCAGTGTTTACTACAGTACACTAAAAGAGCTGAACCAGGTGACTGTCATTCAGAGTTACTGCTGCCAAATTACACAAACACATGCATACACCTCGATTATGAGGGGGGAGCGCTTTGTTGATTGAGGATCTTTGATTAATCAGAGTTAACTTAATTACAGCAGGAGTTGTTTCCATCAGTGCTGTTGTCAACATCATTCCCCTCTCTCCCTCCTCTGCCTAACTCTTCCCTTCTTTTGCTCTGGCAAAGTAGTGGCGGCTTGAGACTAAGAGCAACAGCTCTGTTTGAAACCAAACCACAGATGTGGCTTTTGAAAGTCTTTAAAAACCTCTTTAGCACAGGGAAGGAAACACTGAATTTCCAGTCAATCATGTCTGCCCTTACTGACTTGTAATTATCCTCTTTTAGACTGTGAATCACATTCTTGAATTTGGAGTTATTTTCCAAATTCTGCCTCCTAAAATGTCAAGGGCAGAATCACTCAGAGCAGTTTGGATCTAATAGAGGATCTTTGGAGGCAGACACTGTCATGCAGCAGATTTATCATATCCTCATGAATAGCCTTGCAAGGTGTCACCAGCAGTGTTACTAAGGCAACGGCAGGTCCAGACGATGGAGGCTGTCTCCATGGAAACGGTGTCTTACGTAGTTGGAGTAGATGTCTGTGTGGTTCCACTCCAAGCCGTCATCCAACACCGTGATGACCACTCCTTTTCCCGTGATGCCTTTCTGCCACACAGGGATCACATGCAGGTCAAGCTTTGGCAGTGAGGAAGATGTCCGAGTATCTTGCTGTGAAAGATAAGAACAAAATAAGAAAACTGCACATGCATTTTACACTGTTATTTCATCTGAACAGGCTCTTAAAGCATCATCATATATGCTGAAAAGGTCAGCTGGAGTTAAGTCTTAATCATTCTGCGTTGACCTTTACACACATTCATGGTTGGCTTCTCTTTTGTCCGGTTTGAGCCTTCCTCAATAACCACTTGTAGGCAGATTGGTTTCTAGGGGTCACATAGACAGGCTCTAGTATTCCCCTCACAGAAACTTTAGAGATAGATAAAAACCTGCCAGATACCCTCCAGCTCTTCAGGATTGTAGGATTGTGCTGTTTCAGCCCAGAGTTTCCGTAGCCTCATTCAATCCCCCTCTCTGATTATTCAGAAACTCATCTCTGAGGCTAAATATCACACATAGGGAGGATTGGGGAATGCAGGGCCTGGTTTAAATGGAAATTAAGCAGGGATCAGGGGAAAGCCTGCGGGTAAGAAGCCTATGGAAGAAAACACTTCTGAGCTTGAGACAGCTATGACTAGAAACAGCACTCTCTTTGCGCATTATACATAGACACTGCAGAACGCCACCCCAAGACATGACTCATCCCCAGGATGTATCGCCTTTTTCCTCGCCTCAGCTCCTACTTTGATCCCCTATTCAGCCCCATCCTATCATCAGTGTCTCACTGGCTGCAAACACTTTGCTGTTTTTAAGCAAATACTCAGCAGATTGTTTTGTTTACACCCAATGTGCTTCAATAGCAATTTGGAAAAGAGGGTTTTTACCTCTGGCCAACTATTATCTACAGATTGCTTGTTTTGGTGTAAAACCAAATGACTCACTTGTTGGTACCATCCATAGATTTTTATGGTACACGCTTTAACACACACAGCAATTTGTGCAAGGCTCTCTGCAGTGATCTAACATAAAACGAGTGAGTGGACAAACACAAATATCCTGTCCCCTGATGTACATAAACATATACTGACGCTTGCACTGCCACGGATACAGGCTCTCTTCTTTTCTCTCTCTTACACACACACTCACACACTCATGCAGCTGTGCAGGCAGGAGGAATTTCATGCTACAAGTATGAGTCACTCCCTGATTAAATTATCAGGCAGTCACCCACTCGTGAGAGATAAAGACTCTCATCCTGTGCTCAGGCTCAGCTCTCCCTATCAGCCGCCGGCCTGCAGCCGCCGTCATCACACGGCTCCACCCACCCCCTACTCTGATGTTTGTGCTCTTCCAGCCAACCAAAGTCTTTCTCTTTTCTCACCTCTACCTCCATTAGTCTTGTTGTTTATGCTTGGAAATACCGGACATAAAAGATAATATCATCAGCATAGAGGATGATTGGAAAAGGCTACAGCTCAATCTTTCTTTCCAGACAACAAGGATGAATCTCTTTGCTGTAGATGAACTCTAACATGGTCTGCAGAGAGACACCGAGCCCAGCCTGATGGGGAAATATACTAAACAAGCACTTTAAGGCCAATTCCATTAACGTCATCATGTCTCATCCGCAAAAATGATTCATCTCAATTTGTTTTCTTATTCCCCCGTAAGCATGTGCCTCATGCTGGTTCAGTGCAGGTGATGAGAAGCTGGGTGAGCGTAATGAATGTGCATACACACTCACACACACACAAATATGATGGTGCAACACGTATTTATATGTTTCCACAGCATATGATCTATCAATAACCCCGCTTTGCTGAGTGTGATCAGTTGAATAATCAATCAGCCTACCCTGAGATCACCATTGATCCCTGTGTATGATGTAATAGTAGAGATTCTGTCGATTTACATGGGTTTAAACAAAGCATGGTGATGAATGTTCCATGACTCATCTTATTAACCTTTGTTTCTTTGGGGATCAGTCCTACATTTTCTTATATATCACAGCCACATGGTCTCAGTTGGTGGGAATTACAAGAGTTTAAGGTGTTTTGGGCCGAAATTATCAATAAAAGTCAATAGTTTCTTCACAAAATAGCTACTTTTTGATGTTGTTTTACCATTTATGTCATTATTTGAGGGATAGATTAAGGTTTTGGACTTCATTTCACACAATAAAAACATATTTAACTTGACATCTGACTTTTTTCTCCTATCTTTTAATGACAAATTATGGACCCAGTGCTTTGTCAACTTCTCAAAATAGTTGCAGAGTATATGATAATGAAATGGTTGTAGGATGCAGCTTTAATTTGTTTACTTGTAGCTTGATTTATTGTGAGGTCTGACTGGGTTAGATAAAAACGTGGCATGTCTGTACGGACTGTGGTCTGAAAGTAACTCTCCCAGTTTATTCTGAGCTAATACACCTAACTCGGTAAAGAGTTAATGGCATCAGGGTCAGTCAGCGGTCAGGGGGATGAGTGAAAGCATTGATAATGGATCTGGACGGTGATGCACAGCTGTGCCAGTGTGCTACTCCCCTACGACTGCTTGGCTTCAATGGGTTAAAACGTCACACTCAGGGTAAATAAACATCTAATGCGTGATGCTCTACTCTAGTCTGTCCTGCTGGATTATCATCCACCCCTCAGCTCCACATCCACAGTGCTACCAATTAAGCAAATGGCTCTTTTGGTGAGATTTGCTTGATGACACACTACTGGTTTATGATTTCACGTTTTTTTCTTCTTTTAAGACAATATTGTGGAAAAATAATAAGCTTTTTCCCTTTTTTCTTGCTTCAGAGTTGGTTGTATTTCAGCACAAATACTGTAAGTGACACACATATGTCAAACACACTGTCAGTGATCTCCTATTAGAGGCTCAAACTGAGGACGAGGTGGTGAGAGGAGCTGATCAGCAGTCCCAGAGTTTCAGTGTCACGGAGGAGAAGAGCAAATGCGTACAACAGAAGTCTAAGACACAACATATGACAAAAATCAACACTTTTTGCAGGTTTTAAATATTTCCCCAAAACTATATATTGGTCTTTAACCCAGCAAGAATGCAATTCCCCAATGAGACACTACATGAATTCATGTATCCTCACAAACAATTCTGTAGCACACAACCTCATTTACTGTTTTATTGTACTTTATTTCTTTCATGGGCACTTACCAGATACCACTGCTGGTTCCACATGGGATCATCAAACAGTTTATCCACTGGGCAGTCCCTGCACTGCCGAATGGATGCTCTCTTGTTGCGACTTTTCTCATACTGCTGCTCTGCCCAAAGCACCTGCACGGAGACGAATACAGACATATGGCTTCATTGGAGTCATCAATACAATAAGAACAATATATGCAAAGCCAAAGCTGAAATCTCACCCGATCATCCTCCGACAGCCGCTTGGTGATGTGCTCGGCGCTTCGTTTCATTCTCCGAGGGTGATTGCGATGTTTGAATAAAAAATGATCTTGGAGGGCCCCAATCTGCAGAGAGAAATGCAAAATATGGGATCATTTCTCTCTTTTCTTTCTTCTTCTGTAATACCAGCCATCCAGGTCCAGGTCTACAATTGTCATCCCACAAACATAGTTACAAATCTCAACAAATCTACAATATCCCAATGCAGTATTTTAAATTCTCTACATCATTTGCTCTTGTACTAAATTTGTTGTGTTGCTTTAATCCTGCATAACAGGTTTAAGGAGTTATTACATTCATTAATCCTAAATAAATACTAACAATACATTACAGGTGTCGATGATGTTCTGTAGCTGTGGGTCTTTGGGGATGAAAGCATGTAAAACCCACATGAAAGCTAATAAATGATGCTTGATTGAATGCATATAGTGGAGAGTGTACAGTGTGTCTCCAATAAACATGACAGCTCAGTTAATAATTGACGGCTGCAGTTCAGTGCCACAGGTTTCATACAAAATAATGAACCGTCCTCTTAATAAATCTGAACGCTAATGTGTTTGTACAGCAGGAGACAGCATTAGAAGTAGGCATCGATGCACAGAACAGCAAAATGAAACATGAGTCTTGAGCTCTTGGTTATCAGAAATGGGTAAACAATGAGTCATACATTGATTAAATCCTCTTCCTTTAATTTAGAAGATACACCGTGTGCTTTTGGGACTATCATAAAATAGTTTCCACTCCTGTAATGGTCTGGTCAAGCAAAGCAGAATAAATGATACAGCTATTACCTCATCTCTGTTACTACACAGACTACAGATGATATTGTGGGCTTTATTACCATTGTATGACTCATTTTGAGCCTCTTTTTTTAAGATACAGTTGTGGCTTGAGTTCGGGCTTTTTACAAATGACGAAAAAAAAAAACAAAAAAACTGAATACAGTCCTATAAATGATAAAAATGTCCTCTTATGTCCTCGTTTATCAGTTTCCAAAACATCTAATGTATCAAACAAGATAAATAAATATATTTGTTTCATTTTAAGGACATTTTGATTTTTTTTTTTTTTTTTTGGTTTTCAGAGGTAAGTGAAATAAACATTTCAGCTCCAAAATAAATGTAAATTTTCTAGCCATAATTTGTGGTTTCAGGCATTAAAGGGTTACCCAATTTGATGTCATTTTAAGCTTTTTTTTTTCCCCTCACGACTGAACAGGTGCCTTAGGTTTTTTGGTGTTGGCTGTTGTTGCCTACCTGTCGGACCAGCTGGTAGTCCAGCTCTTTGGCGATCGCCTCTGCAGCAGCTAACCCACCCGGAATCTCCACCGCCCACTCGTTCAGGTACTGCCTGTCCCTGTAAGAGGACTCCAAAGACCCGGGAACCATGGAGGAGAGGATGGCAAGAACACAACACATCACCGCTGGAGGACATCTCACTTCCATCTCAGAGGGAAATCAATCAGATGAGAAAAAAAGATAGAGATGTAGATGCTCCCAAGAAAGCAGAGAAGATGCGAAATCTGATAATAATTGTGGGTTGATGATGATGATGGATAAATCTCCTTGTTTTCTTGAGTGCTCCTTGAGAAGCAGCTGTATAAGACAGACGGAACGAGAATCGGCGCGTGATTGCTCCGCCAAGGAGAGAGAGGAAATAGTGCTGATAGGGAGGGCTGCTGGTTTGATCGCTGTGTGGTGGCGATGGGGGGTGGATACACGTCAAACGACGGGTCCTCTGACGTCAGTTTGGCGTCTACCTTTGCGAAGATGTGAGTTCGAGTCCCTGAGGGAGAGAGTCTGAAGGGGAGGAGGAGGAGGAGGAGGGGAGATCTATCAGTCTAAAAATAGTTCACTGTTCGTCCCCGGAGCAAGGGAGGGAGAAGGAGGAGCACGGAGAAGAAACATAGCAGTTAAATAAATCCCGTATTTTCCCATAAAGGAGAGGCTCATTATTATCACGCTGCATCATTTACTGCGTCCTTGGTTCAGCGTTAATCTGCGCACGGCAGTCCACGTGACAGCAACAAAGCATGACTGCACTTTTGGCGTTTTCTGATTATGCAATAAAAAAAATTCTGTGAACCAACAGCAGAGCAACTCTTTGTGTGTAAAAGATGTGTTGTTTGAGAGAGAGAGAGAGAGAGAGAGAGAGAGAGAGCGAGAGAGAGAGAGAGAGAGAGAGATTCAGCACCGTGGACAGCTCCTCACAACTCTCCACCAGGAGATCAAACTGAAACGGGATTGGGTTAGTGAGTGTAGGGGAGACCGGGGCTTGTTGTCACACTTTTTACACTCTTGTATATTTCTTAGAATCAATACATCATATGTAAACAAAATGTGTACCAGATGAAAAACAAAAGTTTCATGTCATTTTCATATCTTGTGTCAGTGCAGTTATGAACGATCAAATAGAGGGTGTGAACATGTGACATGTTGCTCCACCATCAGTTAAGTTGTCTCACCACATGGGGTAAGATGTCACAGTGGATTTTGCAGCTAACGAAACAAGGACAAAATTATTGTTGTACCTCTTTTTTCCATGAAAGTGAACATTAAAGTCAGACACAGAAAATGTTTATCCTTGAGTTAGAAAAAGTCATTGAACAAACATTAACATAAAATATTATGCAACATGCACTGGAGTTATGAGAGCTGTCTGACTCTCTATTTCGGCTAGGATTTTGTTGATGTTTTGCAGTACCAAGGTATGGTAGTTGACATTAAAATTAAGGTGAGCCCTCTAACTTTGCTGTTATCACTGTAGAGTTGGCAGCTATGCTTATGGGACAAAGGAATGTATCCGTGGCTGCTTTTTCACTGTGACAGATGAAAGAAAGGCAGAAATAACAATAATGATAATAGCAAATACTCACATTCAAAATGCAATGGTAAGATGAAAGACTTGAGAGCTTGTAAAAGAAATCTCCCTAACATTATATATTAAGCATTTGTTGAAAATCACAAATAGAAGCATGTCCAAGTAACATTAAAAAGTCTAAAAATACTAAAAAGGACATTAACACACCAACATACAAAAATATAGTTAAGTTTATAACAATATGTATGAGATTTCTTTTGAGAAACGTAAGTCAAGGTTGATAAGGCACATCCACATAGATTTGAAGGTTATATAATGAAAGGATTAAGAGATATCTTGCATCTGTAATTAATTAATTAATATAGTCTCACTCCAATCTTTTTTTCTTTACTACTTAAAGTGTTATCAGTGGTCTTTAAATTGTGATTATGAAGTTTTGAGCCAAAGTCAAGTTACCTGTGTCATCTTCAAGGGCTTTTCTTCTGCAGAGCTCCAGTAGGTCATTAGCAATTCCCCTGAGTTGTGGACGGAGACACCACTGCTCTGCACCCTTCTCTTCACGCTAGACACTAATGTGTTTGGGAGCATGACGAAAGCTAAAATCATAATTGGCTTTCTTACGAGCATTGCAATCCGCTAACGCACATGCTTGTTCCGTAATCATCCTCCGAGTCTGGCTTGCAAAGTGGGGCTCTGGGGGGCGGAGCTTGCAGTTGTGACATAGGAAATCTCACTGTGTCTGAACCTGCCGTTCGGGTCTGCCAGAGTTTCACAACCATTTGAATGCAGAAGTACTTAGAAATGTAACATCACACTTATTTTTCTCATGATAGGTCCTGTAGCATCAGAATGCGAACATATGAACATTTAGACAACGAGAAATATGTGATTTTTATTGAAGAAGCTCCTTAAGATTAATTAGGATTTTTTTAAATCTCAGAAACACAAATCAAAGATGAGAACTATCTTGTGCAAACTTGATTATTATAGCACACACAATCTTACAAATAGTATCATTATTATAATACTTTAGTTGTGGATTTTGTTGTATACATATTGTTTTGTGCGCAAAAGTCATCATATTGTACTTGCCAGTTATTCTCTTGTGAACTCAAGTCATTATTGCAAAATGTATACGATAATTAAGGAGTCATATTGTACATGTTTTGATCTTGTTCCTGACCCAAGATGATTAATTGAGGGAACAAGATTAATTACCTGTACAAGCGGAATATTTTTTCTGTGAAAATCTCAGTTATTTTGTGCATGCAGAGAATAATCTTAATGGCAAATGTTTTTGTCTTGTGCACAGTAGCTTTCATCTTGTGTGCATAGAATTACAATCCCATGTGCGTACACAAGATAGAATTCTGTATCAACGAGGCTGGAATGTTTTTACCTTTAAGGGCATTCATAAAGTACTTACTTAAAAACTAAATTTTATAATGTTTTTATAATGGAGGTGTTATTGCAACACCCCCATTAACATTTCTGATATGAGTGTTTGCAAAAAAGAAAAAGAAAAAAAAAAAAAAAGAAAACATTAATACAGCATTATTAGTGTGAGAAAATTCTCCTTAATGTAAAATCTGCCTTTTCCACAAAACAGAAATAAGAGTATCCTAATGTTAATATCCTAAATTTAACAGGTTTTTCCAGGCAGTTTTGGTGACAAACATTCTGTCAGCATCAGATGCTGTGTGCTTTGTTTACCGATGGAGACAGACGGTCAGTGCTCTGCTTGATGAATGAATGTTTTCCTTTCCCTTCAGACACAATAGAGGTTGTGTCAGTGCTGTTCATGTCATAGAAGCTCTGCACGTTTAGCACAAACAGCAAGACAGAAAAAAAAGCATGGCCAACAAAAGGGCTCTCCAGTTTAATATTGTGTCTGGACATAGAGGCAGTTCACGGAGATAAACTTCACAGAGCTGAAGTTTATCTCGGTCATTTGGTCGTGTGCAAACAGATGCGCAGTATAATCCATGTTTTCCTAGCAACAAGTGTTTGCTTTGACTGAGGTAAGCTATCAGGAATAGAGAAACGCTTCAGCCAAGACAAGCTGGGCTAATAGCAAGGTGGACAGTTTGAAAATCACACTTTCACAGCAGAAATGAGAACCTTCGGCTTTATTGAGTTGATACTCAGCATCCTCTGTTCTCATTTCTGAACTGTGTGGGTGTTTATGTCACTTCCGTGGCTGAGTTCACTCATCCTGCTGTACTTGTTCCACTGGGAGGACACACACACTTAAACACACACATACACACATTTTTAAATCAAATGAGGTCAGAGGTCTCCGTTTGTTTTGTCAGCTAATTATTTTTCCAGTTTCACAGGCAGATGATGGAAGAGCCTGGGCTTTTAGCTGGAATGGATGACGCAAATAAAGCCGCAACCGCCTCAACAAACACTAATTCATTCAGGATCAATGAGGCGTGGCAAATAGATGTGAAGACTTCAACTGCACTTCCCACTCGTCACAAAACACTCCCGCGGTTCAGTGAAATCACAGGCTTTTGTAGTTAACTGTCAGTTTTCACAGCTAGTCACAGGTAAGCTATTAACCTGTTTTGTGCTTAAACAGATTCGTTTTTTCCACAACAAAGTAAATTTTAAAATCACAGCGCAGTCAAACTAGTAAAAGAGTCACTTCAAATATTATTCTAAAAACAACACTGATAAAATGCAAATACTGAAATGGAATTTATTTCCAGCTGAGAAAATGTTTCAAGGTGACATTGATAATAATCGATAATAATTAATAGAAATAAAACATGCAGTGCAGACAAAGTGATCAAAACCGATAACCAGTACTTTAAATTTGAGCCAGTTACATTCATAAGTTATACTGAATTATGATAGAAACAACAACATGATTACTTTTTATTTCTATTATTGAACCCTTACTTAGCCAAGTGGGCCCCACTGAGATCAGAGTTTGTTTCTCTGAAGGAGGCTTGGCCAAGAATGGCAGCAAAACAAAGCTTTGATAGGAGGCAATCAGACTGATACTGTTCCTGAATGGTTACTTATATAAATCAATGATATGCATTTAAATCTTTGCACACCTTGCTTTATTCAGAACTACCTGAACTAATTTTTCGATACACTCTGACCCTGTTGTGAAAAACTTTGTTCTCCACTGAGGGAAATTTCAGACCATATCCTTACTATTCAAAACCACTCTGTAACATCATCAAGTATGGACTGTTTCTTTAATCTCTGAGCCAAAAAATCTGAGTCATCACCATAAATGATTTGTTTATCTGGAACAATTTTGTGTCTTTTGATGTTTTAATATTGAAGTTTAACATTCTCCTTTATGATTTCTTAAGATATTTACAGCTTTGCAATTTTATGTAATATGGCATCTCACTCCAGAAGAGTGCAGTCCTAGGAACAGCTAAGATACTGCACAGGACCCTCAAGCTCCCAGGGTTTGGTAGAGGACCCGAGCTTCACTGCTCTGTTTTTTGTATTGACTTATGGAGTAATACTGCAGATACGAGTGGTACCAGATAAGAAGACCAAAGGTTAAAAATCTGTTTCATTCATACATATCACAAAAGTTCATCAACGATGAATAAATGTCATCTGTTATCTGGAGGTTCTGTAAAAATGTCGCTCTCTGGTGTCACCTTGATTGTCTTCTCTCTGAAGCTGACAGACTACGGTTCATGTTCAGGAGAAACAGAGTTCATAATGTTATCAGTGTGTGTGAAGGCGATGTGGTCTGAATGTCATTAGACTGGTGGACTCAGTCCATGCTCAGACATGCAAGGCAACATTTTATCTACCCGGAGCTTCACATATCAATGCTTTCTGAACTGGAAACAAAAACACCGCAGAAACAAAGTATGTCAACCAGGGTAGAGTTTGATTGTTTTTGATTTGAGACACCACTTAACAAATTTTATAAACACATTTTTACCTCTGCCAAGGAGGTTATGTTTTTGGTAGTGTTGGTTTGTTTGTTTGTCTGTTAGCAACTTTACAGAGAAAGTTACAGACGGATTGACCTGAAATTTTTACCAGAGGTGCGTCTCAGCCCCAGGAGGATCCAATTATATTTTGGTGGTGATCCGGATCGCCTTCTGGATCCAGGAATTTTTTGAAGAATTCTTTATCATTGTGAGATAGGGCAAATTTTGGATTTTTTTGCATTTGATTCTATAAAAATGGCCAGAGTCTTTAGTAAAAAAATTACACAAAAGGATCTCAATGAGTTTTATGAGGTGTCAAAGGTTGATCCTGATCCAGACAAAATTTCAGATACTGTGATCCAGAACAGACAAAAATAAGGGTGTTGTTGGAATTTTCAATGCTGAAAAATAACCACTGAAGATACAAGGAAGTGTACGCTTACAAATATTGCATAATAAATCATGCATTTATGTATCTAATGTGAGCTTTGTTGTTTTAGGAACATTATGAACAGTGAGCATACCAGTTCAAACACAAATGAAAGTTAACAAAAGACACGTAACAGTAAAAGTTGTGGTGTGAATCACAATATAAGGGGGGACATGAGCTGCTTGGCAGAGGTCTGCGCTCTCCGAGTGCTTTTCTAGTTTGTATCTATATCTTTTTTTCTTTAAAAAAGAGCACTGTCCCTTGTGTCCCTTGTATTATTATATTTTATTATGTAGTTGCATATTTGACAAACACATATACAGTGACTTGAAAAAGTATTCATACCACTTGAACTTTAGACAAAGTCCAAACCCAAATCCCATTAAGCATCTGTGGCCAGACTTGAAAATTGCTGTTCACAGATGCTCTCCATCCAATCTGGCTGAGCTTGAGCTGTTTTGCGAATAAGAATGGACAAAAATTTCCGTCTCTAGATGTGCAAAGCTTGAAGAGACATACCCCAAAAGACTTGCAGCTGTAATTGCAGCGAAAGGTGGCTCTACAAAGTATTGACACAGGGGAGCTGAATACAAATGCACACTACAGTTTTCAGATTTTTATTTGTTTCAAGTTTTGAAAACCATGCATCATTTTCGTTCCACTTCACAATTATGTGCTACTTTGTGTTGGTCTATGACAAAAATCTCAATAAAATACTTAAGTTTGTGGTTGTAGAGTGACAAAATGTGAAAAAGTTCAAGGGGTATGAATACTTTTTCAAGGCACCATAGTAAACTGTGAGCTGATCTAACTGTGAGCTAACGGCTCGGTAAGGTTCATATTCCTGTGTGCTATATAGCCAAGGACAACACAACGACATGATTAGACAATTGCTTTAAAGTAAATCTGCAGCTTTAAAGAGTCCTGATTTGATGACAAATTAGTCCTTCAATATGCTGACTATCGTATGAAGAAAGGAAGAAGTAGACTTATGCGCATATTCAGGAAGCCAGGTGATTGGTTCAATTAGATGATGTTGTGATGGAGCTGAATTATTAAAATGTGTAGACAAAACCTTGGATGTTTTAGTGCACTGATGATAATATGAGATTGTTAATTATTTTTAATGATTGCCAACCACTTTGATTTAAAGAGCCTGAAAGAAACATTAGGATGATTCATTTCTTATTTCGTTATTTATGCGTCTGCTTATAATAGATTCTATTCGCCTATTTAGCCTGGTGATATCTGAACCTATAAATACATGATACAATTATTTTAATCCAGTCAACTATATCTTGGAGTTTGTGGGTCAAAATTTCTATCTAAACTATCATGACAGCATAAATGGATGAAAACAAGTAATGCAGGAATTCGAAGAGTTGTTTCAAAGAGATGTTATCCTGTCAACTGCCTAAAATAAGTTAGTTAATGTTTTAATTTGAAATGGGCAATAACTTTCTTACATGCAATGCAAATGTTCCTCATAAGAATCCTAATTAAAAGGGAGAAGTAGTAACACTCAATGCTTAACATTCATTCTCAGCTTAGGGGGATACACTGTGGTCTATTATATCATATGACTCATGTTAGATTTTGTCAGGCCACTAAGCTGTCATACATAATTTGCTTTGAAAAGTATATGACTAACATTATTTTCAAGTTTGAGAAATAAGGTTATATTCAGACAGATGTTTTTATTGTTTGTTGATTTAGAAATTAAAGTGAGATTAAAACCTGCCATGTTTATCACATCCACAGTCAGCAGTTCAGAACTATTACTTCATACACAGATGATCTCATGAAAAGTTGGAAACATACATTTTGGGTATGCCTCTTTATTTGTGAAAATCAGCCAGATAATTTACAAAACAACATGTACTATCAAAAATGAAAGGTTTTAGTGGTTAGATTTTCATGTTTCTTTATATAAAATTTGAATTTTTAGGCTATGACCCTGATCCCATTTCAACTAGACATTCAAGAAGGAAGGCTTACACAGGTTCGAAGTCTATGAGGCTGAGAAGTTGTTCAAAGCAAAAAAAAAATTAAGATTTATAATGTTAAAATGTAAGGCTGCTTGGACCTGGAAGTGTATGCTGAAAGAAACAAAAAGAAAGAGTTAATGGTGAAGTGGTAATGACAAGTTGAGCCTGTTATTGAATAAGTGGATGGAAATACTATTACAATTGATTCTTTTGACAAGTAATTAATAAAACACTGCCAGATAGCTACAACTAATCGAAAAGGGAAGGGAGCAGTGAGTGGGAGCTAGCAAGAGGGAGGCAGTCTACCCAGGAAGTGTCCCAGGAGTGCACTTACCCACCACAGGTGAACTCACTGCAAACCGGTGTAGACTTTGTTGCCCCAGTGCGCCTACCACTGCAACAAAAAGGTGTGGGGGGACCACCCAACGTGCCTAGCCTCCACTGCTAGCCAGCCACCACTGCACTGTAGGTGATAACAAGGAAAGAGTTATACAAAAGAAAATGTTTAAAACTATGTAAAAAAAAACCCCAGTTGGTTCTGCTAAAAGTTCTCTTTATTCCATATCCCTAAAATACTAACAAAATGAAACAAACTCTAAAAGACATAACTGGATCTAAAAAGGCAAAAACAAAACAGAACAAAACAAAACAGAAGCTGATTGAGCCTGTGAACGAGAAACAGAAATTATTGCACAGTTAAGAAATATCATAAATCATGCTATTTCTTGGACGCCGTTTGTAAAAGATTATGATGAAACTGATGCTGGCTCATTGACCATCTTATACCAGGTGAACATTCAAACACAGGATCCAGGATTCAGTTTAGAAGTTTTATTTTCTTTTGTCTTCTGTGGATGATTTTTTTTCTGTTCAAACAATCAAAGAAATAGAAACAAGATGTTTCAACATATATTTAAATAGAAAGGGACTTATAAAGTTAAATGAATGTGTAAATTAGTTAGCTTACATCATCAATGCATCCACTTCAGGGCTTTAAATCATCAATAAATTTGGGGTTAGTTGGACAGCAATCTAATGAAATAATATTAGACAATAAACCATATTAGAAATAATACAAATCGGGAGAATCAAACAAAATTTAGTCAGGTTTTTGTCCATTTTCCACTCACATTCAGACTCCCTTTGTTCTCTACTGATCCATGGTCAGGGTGCAAGAGGAAGAGAAGGCCTGAGGGCTGGCTTTTATAATGTTGGGGGTGTGGCTTGGGCTTTGAGTGACAGGGAAGTCAGGTATGGTGATGATGAGGTGAGAACTTTGGATTTAACACTGTTGATTAGGAAAATGCAGCCACTCATACATGTTTAGATACATTTATCCATGTCTCCTGTACGCGAACAGACAGGGAAAAGTGCAAGCTGGAAACAGCCAGGTAAAGTGCAACTGCAATGAGACCATCTCAAAATCCAGTTAAAGTCAAACACCCTGAACCAGGCCTTGTTACCTCTGTCCAGACCATGTGGCAGCAAGCAGGTAGACAAAGGGAAAGGCAGCTCTCCTGCCACAGGTGTCTTAAATAGGAGGAGTTGGCCTAGTTTTTGGAAAGGCTGCACAGCATGCAGCCTCTGAATCCTACCTGCTACAACCCTGTTGAAATGTACAACCAATTTATCAAATACCCTGCAACATGTGGCACGCATAGACTGTATATAATAGAGACAACTTGGTTCCACCTTCTGCCTGTATACAGATTTGAAGCCAAAAAGCCATAGACATAATATATGTAGACCCCTCAAAGCCTGACGCTGCCTATTGGAGCTCACGTATCAACATGGCCGCCGTCTTGGATGGGTCCCCCATGCGCCTCCAGTGCATTCAGGTAGGTAGGAATGCCCAACCATATTATTTATAACTCTCCGAATCTCTGCCTGATTTTCACACTGTGTGGTTTGTTACAACGGAAGGGATGTAGCAATACTACAGGAAAATGTCACACATTAAAAATAAAACAAAATTATTTATCAATCCTATTTGTGAAATATAATGCTACATGATCTGGTTTCAATACTGCCTCAGGTTTTTCAACCATAGAGTGCAAAAATACAGGCATAGTTGCTTGTTCTCCACTGACCCTGTTTGACTCTTGAGCGAGCCTGGAGTGGAGAGACCCATCCAATGTGGTGGCGACGCTGGATTACGCTCCGGCAACGAGGCGTGTGTAATGTTGATGCCATAGACATAATAAAAGGGTAGACCCCGCTGGGGGTGCTGCGCAGCGAGAAATGCGGCCGCCATCTTGGTCAGGTCAAGCTTCCCATACGCTCCGGTCAATCATATTCATTCATTCATTCATTCAGCGATGCCGGAGCACTGTGCGGCGTATTCCTGTGCCAACAGGCGGACAGCAGAGAACAGGGCTCAAGAAATAACTTTTCACAGTTATGATTAAACGTTTTTTCAATATTACGCTTGACTGTAGAGTCATTTGTAGGCCAAAGAGGAAGACTATCGGTCAACTCCAAAAAGGAAACAGCATTTGCGAACAGCTAGCTTATTCACAATAATAGCAACTTTGCTCTATTATCAACAGATTTGCATTAGATTGAAAAACTTTTGTTTGAGAGAGGTTCTAAGAAACGTTAAGAAATAAAATAGAAAGAAGAAGGAAGAAAGTGAGCTCTGTTTTATTATCCTGTTCTATTAAAGATTTCTTTGTGGTGGATCTCCTGTTTCATTTTGAAGATTTCCTAAGGACAAAAACTTGAGGAAGAAGTGGGAGATTGCTGTTAGAGGGAGAAGTTCGCAGCAAGTGATTCCTCTGTGCTGTGTAGCCAACAAGCAAATTGATATGTAGTTTAGATGCTGTCCTGTCATGCTGTTCTTGTGTTTAAATTTTTTTGATATGTAGGCTATATATTTGTGTGTATTTCTTTGTGTGTATTTTCCAGTTATTAAAATAGTGCTTCTATATGACATTATTTGTGTGTGTCTACAAATGGATAAATAAAATTAAACTAAATAAAATATAATCAAATCAATATATAATGAATTGGCCTATTAAAACCGCCAGTTATTAATAATATTTGAGACATAGCAGGAACCTAGCTCTAAACCTAGATATATACTTGATTAATTGTTATACTATAATACAGCCACTGCTGTCATGTTCTAAAATATCATTTTATTCATTCTGAGTATTTGAAAACGCCAAAAAAATATGGCCTCTATCATGCCTCTTTGAATGGCGTTTGCAGAGAAGAAAATTACGTAGTATTGAGCGAACTATGATTCCTTTAATGCGCTCAGACTTCATTCCGCCGGTTAAACAGCGGTGCAGCGTGAGGCGGATGACCGGACCAAGATGGCGGCCGCATTTCTCGACAGCGCCCATTCATGGTAGCGGCCGATGCGGGGTCTATCTTTTATTATGTCTATGGTTGATGCCAAAAAGCTCTCCTTAGTTCCGCGTTTTTTCTCCACTTCCTGAAACATTGCGCAGTAGCGTTGTACACAATCCACCACTTGCACATTAGCGTTGTACACGTTTGGCGGGAGAGTCACCGAGAGTCGCTGTGATGACGCTCGGTTCAAACAGCATATCCCCGGGTAAACTGCGCAGTCTTCGTACGCCTATAGGCTGTATCAAGTGTCAATCATAAAAAAAACATGAACCACCCCAATAACTTTTTAAAAACGGAGCTGTACAGGAAAAAAAAGAGGACTTGAGCACAAGCCAGTCATACAGTAACTACATGTCAACATCGGGGTGGCTTCACTCAGCCAGGAGACAGACGACGTCCATTCTATATACAGTCTGTAGTGGCACAGCACCTGAACGCCTCAGAGGGCCTGCGCTGAGTGAACTGATCGCTACAGTTCCTCGCTCAGCCATTAGAGGGCAGTATTGCGCCGCAAAGGGTGACCAGCTGACTTCCTCTGACAGGAAAAATCTCGTCAACGGTGAGTCAACTCTTCCCCGTGCTGTTTCAGGGCGTGTACCTTCATGCCCCCAAAAATGCAGTCTGAGCTCTTCCTGTTTTAAATGCACTAAAAACCACAATTAAGCGAATGAAGATGCTTCCAGTAATGAAATATCAAAAAGTTTGCTTAGACCGAGTCTGCACTTACCTGCCATTTTGTTACAGCCCAATTCACATCAGGGACAAAATGAGTATTTACAGAGTGATAGTATGAAGACCTGTCTGCTCACGTTTATCACAGAGACAGAAAAAAGAAAGAAGCCCCGATAAAATAACTACAAGATCATACTCGCTGAGCTCCGTCCTTAACATGAGCACGTAACTCACTTATTCCAGCTGGAAAATGTGCGTCCATGCCAGCATCTTGGATCAATCACAACCTAAAAAGTTCCCTCAGCGGGAGGGGCAATTTCTGCTGCTCCGAGGGGCAGATCAGGCAGTAGATTCAGGTTGACACTGTCAGAGGACCGAGGGCACAAGAAGAAACCTGAAAAAGTCCACTTAACCTTGATTTAAAGATGCCACATAAGAAGAGGGGCCATGGGCACCATAAAAAGGAGGAGAAAGGGGTGAGTTTTTTTCTCTGTTTTCCTGCATGTCAGACGGACAGCTTGGGCAAAGAACATAACTTTTTGGTTTATGTTCATGGGTATTTGCTGAAGGTGAACACCTTCAAATAGCAAACTACTCTTGTTTCCAATGAAAATATATGCTGAAACCACTTTCTGTAACCTACACTGGCTACTTCTGAGATGATGTGGCACGCATGTTTGCAGGATGGTTGCCTGGATGTTGATCTTTGTTTACGCATCGTTGCTCAATCGATATCCTCGATCGGCTGTTGCCAATGGATACAAAGCTGTTGATTGTCAGGTGTTGTTTTCAGAGGCTGTCAGGCCCACTTCTGCAGAGCTGCTCCTGTTCAACTTTTAAGCCAACACCCCTCTCTGCAGAGGAGTGTAGTTTATCTTGGAACAATCTAGTTCCTCATGTGGAAGTATGTGTTTGTATGTGTGTGTTTGTATGTGTGTGTGTCTTGATGGGAGTGTGTGGGGGTGGTACTTCAAGTTCATTTCTTCCTGATTTCTCTACTGGGGTAACTTGGTTGGGCCAGAGACTCCGTCTGGAGAAAAAAGGTTTTGCAATAATGAGTCAGATGAGGTTTCACGTACAGACATCTCTTGTGTGATAATAATTGAAGAGTGCGTGGGGAGTGGCACAGTGTTTGGAGTGGCATGAGAGCAGAGATCCTGCGGTGAGGACAGGAGAAAGCGGCAGTGCAGAGTTTGAAGCAGACTTTCGCCCTCAGATCACTCATGGCGTATGCAGCATGGTGGAATCAAGTCGTGAGTACATCTGCTTCCTTTAAGTCCCTCTCTCCCCTCTTTTCCCCCTCTGGCAGTGAATTTAGTTTGGCACAGGCAGAGACGCTGTTTTAGTTCTGTAAGCCTGACTCATCTGGAGGTATTAAAGCCCTGCTGAAAGACTGCTGTCTAAAAGTTGGCATAGGCTGCACAAGATATCATTGAATTCAAATAAATAATCGTAAGAGCTTTGCACATATTCTGTCACACACTCACTGTGTTTGCATTTGTGGGTGTGTGACTGCTCAAACTTAGAGGCTTGTTACAGTAGTGTTCCAAGTTAGGATTAAATAGTAAAACATATTTCAAGATGAGATGATGGTTTAAAGCCTTTTTTTCTTATTTTGTCTTTTATTGTTTGAATGAAAAGTATTTCTTTTCTTTATAAATACCTTTTTTAGGATTATTTTTGAGTTAAGTGTAGAAACATTTGTCCTATGATTTTCTAAATCATGAGTACACAGGATGAAAAAACATGTGTATGAGACTTTTCCCTCAGATGTTAAATGGATAAATAAACTACCAACACAATAGGCTGAAGTCACTGCATCCTGGCCAGACATTGTTTTGAATTCACTGCCAGAAACTCATTCATCCCTGAAAACTCTTGCACCAAAATAACAAGCTGGTTTTTGTGTGTGTTTGTATAGAAAGGAGGAGATGATCCTCCCTCACCTCCAGTCCCTACAGGTAGCAGGTTCCCAGCCTCCCTTTACACTCCGAGGTCCTTCTATGGCAAGGTACGGACTTCACCTCCTGCTACTGAATGATAGATAAAAAGGATAATTTTGGTCTTATTGTGCATCAGAAACTCGTGTAGTTGATGAAATTAGTATTTTCAAGTGGTTGGACATCTTTGCAGAGCTATTGGGACTGTAACTGTATGACTAATATAAAATTATTGGAGCAAAAATGTCAGTAGTTGCTGCAAAGTTGCATTACCTTTCATCAGTGCGTATTGTTGGACAAAACTACAGATGCTTGTACCGTAAGGAGAGGAAGCCCCCATTGTGTGTGCTTGTGTGTATTTGTCTCCCTCTGGTGAGTGCAGCAGTGCTCCAGAGCTGTGAGACTGGAAATGCTGATTCCTCAGATAAGAGCAGCTTGTGAGTAAACTGGCTGTCTGGGAAAGTATCTGACCTAGTTTACATTCCCTATTTTACCCCTGTCGTCAAATATCAAAACATCTATGACCTTGTAATTTCAAACTACGATCAACATGCAAAGTTAAGTTTAAACCCCATTAGTTTACCGTTTTCTCTTCGTGCACTTGGAAAATGAGTCTTCACTCTGACTTTGAACTTAAAGTGCCTTATAGTAATTTTTTTAATTTCCTGTCTTTTCATAACCTCAAAGATCGCAAAATCTTGTTAGTTATTCATTTCATTCCTAGATTACTGGTGCAGAAGTCTCATGTAGGTGACCAAGTATGTGTGTGTGGTGATGGCTGAGTAGATATCACTGACTGTAGTATGACTTGGGTCTAAATATAAATAAGAGTGCCAACTTCAGAAAGGACTCCAGTTACATTTGAACACTCAGTAGCTCTGGCGAACATGTTTGTGATAACGTCTGACTCTTCTTCATTCATTTTTATCCCTGCTTATATATCTATGTCAAGATTTATCCTAAGATAACTCTTGCTTTTTAATTATCCTGCTCATTCTGCCACTTGTTTGTGCAGGTCTGATAATTCAACACAGAAATGCAGATAGAAAATAATTATCAGCAGCACCTCATGCCAAAACAAGTGTAACAGCCTCAAGCGTGTCTTTGAGACATCTACTTTTGTTTCCCATGGTGCACCAGCTAGTTTTACAGGCGGGGCCAGTTGGCTCTTCACATTAGTAAAGGTGTGTCTTTCTGACATGTAAGGAGTGTGCCAGTTCTGTGGTTACATGTGAACAGACATGTGCATGCAGTAGCATTCATGTGTGTGTATGCAGACTGCTGTAGGGCCATACACTGGAGGTGCCTGTACTGCAAAAGTCAGAAGAAATCAAAACCAAACTTGTCAGACTTCATTCCATCACTGAGACAGAGACAGCCTATCAGATCTGAGACAGAACTCTACTGCATGTCTTTGCACACAGTTTGGAAACCTCCAGAGTGCAGTAAGAAGTTTCGATCTATTTATTGAGCTTAGTTTTGCTGCCATACAAAGGGTCAGAGCAGTCAGAGTTGAAGCTAAGTGCGAAATGTTGCAGTTCCTCCAGTGTCTACTTGACTGGCTTCATAACAGGACCCAATTTAAATCCATTAACACACTTTTTTTTTTTTTTAATAACAAAATCAAACATTGTTGCAGCAAGGTGCAGACACACCCTTTGCATGAATAACTCATTGTTTTATCAGCTCACACTCATCAAAACTCATCTCTTTTGATTACATGAGCACTATGAGTGGAGCATATATTTGCATAATTGGAGGCGTGGTTCAGTTGACTAACAGACAAGCCCAATATAGATGTTTGCCAGGAGGTCAAAGACATGTCTCAACTCCACCTTAATTTCTGTTTCTAGGTTGAAAAACTAGGTTGATTCATCACTGCCATCTTTTGGTATTTCAACACTTCTCCTGGAACCAATAAAACTACCTCCATGTTTCATAATACATGTACCTTATCAGTGCTGTATCATTAAGCTATCAGATAACTCATTTTCATATTTCCATGCAACAGAAAGCACTTGTATGTAGTGATGGGCACAGCAGTTCTTTTAGATGTACTGAATCACTAGAATCAGTTCACTAAAAAGATTCGTTCAAAAGATTTGTTCACTAAATCACTGAATCATGTAGCGTTTGGCGGGAGTAGCCTGCGAATCCGACCTCCTGAACTGATACACAGCTGAACGGTTCAGGATTCAGTTCACTTCACAGCTGTGTTTGAGTTATGTCATGATGTTTTAAGTGTACTGTCCTAGGTTATGCCATTTATCAGTTTGGCTTGATAAATTGGGCTCAGTGAGTGATTCGTTCACTGAACGTTTAGAAGAATTCAAGCTGAACATGCACCGTCCCTCGCAGACAGCTGCAATGATAAGATGCTGAAGGTTTAATGCACTAGCTATTGTATGCAAGTTGTTGTGATGGCAATTTAGCATGGAAAAAAAAGTAGTTTTGTCCAACAAATATGATTCCAGAGAGTGTAGTTCAATGCGTGATTTGTTCAAAGTGATTCAGGTGTTGTTGCATGTGGTCCCTTGTTCGCTGGCTGCTCGACTGGCAATGCTGTTTCTCACTTCAGCTCAACTGAAGTGAGAAATGAATGAATCACTCGAGGAAGTGATTCGGTTCAGTGAGTTCACTTGAAAGATTCGGTTTTTTTTAATGAATCGTTTGCGAACGACACAACACTACTTGTATGATTGTTTGAAAAGTCTGGTATCAGCCATTTTCACTGTTATTTTGTTGTTTACTTATTTTTCATTTTGCATGTAAACTTGATTGAGCATCTAGTCACTCAGTTAAGGTATCAGTTTGCAGCTTCTTCAATGCTTAGTAATTTTATTTTGCATCATTAATCATGTCTAAACTAACAACCCAAACTCCACCTTGACTTAAATTTTTTAACAACCACCACCCTGACAATTAACATGAGCTGGACTTTCATGTCCAGCTGGTTTACACTCATTATAAACCAACATGTTTATTTTTTATGTTCCATTGAGGTGTACTCCTAAAACACGTGTAAGAGAGCTCAGACTAATTCCATCACAGTGACTCACTAAATGGCTGTATTGTCTTTTTACCCCACCCATGAACCTCCCAAAGAGGACGCATGGTCCACCCAGTCACAGGTGAAGGAGAGCCTCTGAGTTATGACAGGAATGACTCTATTTGTAAATGGCACACAATGAGCACAATGGAAACAAAGTAATGGCTTGAGACACACACGAAAACCAAACAGTGTGAGTGTATGTTCGTGTTTCCACGCTGTAAGCTGGAGTGTAATGCTGTCCAGGCTTCTTTGGTAGTTTGCTGAATATATTGTTCAAATGCAGCTCAAAGTCAAAGCAATCCGGTCAATAAAAAAAGAAGGGCAGGTGAAGGTTCAGAAAGACAACACCCACGCCTTGAGCTTCAGATCTATTAGTCACTGAGTCTGCAGAAACACTCCCTTCACTTTTGTTCCTCCTTTAAATGTCCTCTTCTTAGATTTTCACGCTGCATTTATATAATAGCTGTCATCTGTAGGTCGACCTTGTGATTGATTTCTTTATCCTGACCTGTTGACCAGATGTTGAAAGAAGCTGAGTTTGATCAGTTTCCTCTCCGCTGTTGCCCCACAGAGGCGATATCATTGGAGAACAAGATAAGACTAAAAAAGTTTCAGCTGAGTCTCGTCTCTTTTGGAAAAAAGTCAACGCAGATGTAACACAAACCGAAGCCTGGCCCCTCCCTTTATTCTCATAGGTAATCAGACAGCAGAAGTAGTTTTACAAGCTTTCTTTTATTGGTGAGTGTACATAACAGGTGTGTGCATAACTCTGTGTGTGTCTCCATGCCTGTGTGTGTTCAAGATACGAGTGTATCTCTGCAAATCTAGGTGTGTGTGAATGTGTTGATAAGAAGCAGGACTATTGTGTCCGAGAGAGATGAGTGGGTTTTAGAGACAGAGAAAATAGTGCAGGAGTTTTTTAAAGAAAGTGTGTCCTTGTGTGTGTGTGTGTATGTGTGTGTTGAAGGGGTGTCTATTACCCCTGAGAAGTGGCTCACATGTGGCCCCTCATCAGGTGGGTGACAGTCCCCGGTCAAGCTCACTTCCCTTTATAGCCCAGAGAGTTACGGCCCGGCCTCTTGTGACTTCCACCTCTGAGCTCCCTCTGCTCCTCAACCACGCCTCCTTTTAGCTCCCTCCCTCCCTCCCTCCCTGCCTCTCCCTCCCGTTCCCTGCCCCGTGCGTTGGAAACATGCAGCAAACCTACAGAGCAGGCAGAGGCTGAGACACAACACACACATAGACACACTATCGGGGGCACTTTTCAGCCAACATGGGCCAGATACTGAGCTGGATCCGAGGCCCACGCGACGGCCAGAACCTGCAGGATGTGGCCGTAGAGCAGCAGGTGTGTGGAAACATGTTTGGTCTTTGTGTACGTGTGCGTGTGCTTCTTGTGCCATAGTTTGTGCAGTGCCACTAATCCAAAAGTGTCCACGTGTGTTTTTATTTTGTCACTGTGAGTCAGCTCGGGAGTCTGAAGGTCTGTTCTGCGTTTGCACTCGCTGTTCTTTTAGTCTAGTTTGTCCTGAGTGTGTAACTCGAAGGGGAATCACATAGAAGGAGGAAAACCGTCTTGGCTTTGGTCCAAGTCAGACCTCCCTCACCCTCCCCTTTGCTTGCCCACTCTATCTCTCTACTGGAATGTGAATCTCCCGGTCAGCCTGTGTGACTTCAGAGTCAGAGTTGGAGTTTTGTATAAGTGAGGTATTAAACCAAAGGCTTGGACAAGGCCTGCTTTGTCTGCTCTAAGAGTTGCACACAGCCAGGAGAGAAACGGGAGGATTTCATCTAGGGATGGTTTTAGTTCATAAGAAAAGGACATTATGTTTGCTACGTGTGAGGACAGGGGTTTGAGTTTTGGTCTCGCCCAAATAGCTTTCTCCTGTGATAATCTGCAGCTGATCACACTGTTGAAAGGGTGTGTAGTAGAGGTTTTTTTTCCCATTTGCACAGCTCAAATTGCACATGCTGCAGGTCATGCCCAGATGTGTGTTTATCTTTTGTTTCTCTTTTCACACGTCAGGCTGACAAATCCAGTGCGACGTGCCGATATGCAACAGATCAGCAGTGTCAGTCAGACGTCAGTATTTTGTTATCAGGCTTGTGCTAGTTTGATCTGAGTCGCTTTATGTGTCAAAGGTGAAAGAACAGATGTGTCATGCAGTAGACTTATCGTGGGAGTTTGTTTTGTTGTGTTTTGGGCCCACCAGATTCCCAGCTTCGTCCTTGAGGAGTCTGCCTCCTCTATATTTCTCTTTTGTCTGGCTACAGAAACATTTCACAGCCAAGAAATGACCACCAGGGGAAACATGTCTTGACTGAGCCATCAGAGGAAGGACTTATAATGACAAGAAGACAATGGGGGAAGACTTGCAGGCATATCCTGAACATTCCCTTTCTGTCAAACACAGACGTCCATTATCAGCTGAGGTGGCACTAAAAACATCTGTCATGATGTTTGACGCTTGTGTTTACATGCAGTTATGCAATCAACGCTTTCACTGGACTCATAAAAGATTTTTTCGTTTCAGCCATGCACCACAGGCTTGCTCCAAAACCTTTAGGAAATGCAAATTGTGCATTCATTTTTATTTTTTACACAAGGATCCTGTGAACAACTTCCTGTTTGTGTTGGTGTGAGTGCCCCCTGTAGACAAAAAGTACCTCTCTTCTCTCTTTGCTGATCTTAAACATGTGCATGTAGTTATTTTTTACAAAGGAGTATCAAGACTAGGAATGATCAATACATTTTCAGGGAGGAAGATTTTTTTTGTTTATGCAGATGCATGCAGAAAAAAAGGTCATGTTTATTAAAGTTGGATATTTCAAGAGTAAAGTCTGAAATCGTGTTTTGTGAAAAGGGGGAGTGTCCAGAATTAGTCAAGAAAAAGTCAAGAGTTATAAAGTCATAAATCCTCATAAAACTGTTCAGTGATCGAAAAGCTTATCTCTCTCTGATCACTTACTCCCCCCTGCTCTTTGTGTTGATTTACTTGTAAATAAAAATCTTACACATGATCAAAACCCATGGTGAACTTTAAGAAATGCGACAATGTCATCTGCTTATCATCAAATCCATCATCAAACACTGTTAAGATTTAAATAAGCACAAGATGATAGATTGGCAACTATTATATGGGTTGATGTTGACATTATTTGGTCTCCTTTTCGGCTTCAAGTTTCACCAATCCTAAAAATTTGCGCAACCAAGCAGCTGGCTCAGATTTGGCAGCCTCTCCTCCTCGTCTGATAACAGCGTCCACATGCTGTGAATCACATCTGCAGAGGGAGGGCAATGTCATGTTATCGCTAAATGTCTCAGGCATTATCACTGTTTGCATTATAAACATACATATAGCATATTGCTTTTGTGCTAGCTTCAGGGACTTAATAATTTTCATAGTCGTTAAAGAATCTAACTGAAATGATAAGTATTAGATATCTGTTCTTCTCTTTCCTATAACATGGATATCGGAAAAAATCCAGCTAACATTTTTTTAGATTTTGCTCTACTAGATACAGTAATGAATACTGCAGTAAAGCATACTGAAAAACTGTTAAATGCAGAAGTGTGATGCCTTTGCTCAATGACGACCAACTTTTTCTTCAAGCTGCTATCAGGAACTTCTGGTTTATGTCAATTTTGGCACCCCCTGTGGACAAAGTAATACCTCGCATCTCTTGTCATGTACAAATGAAAGCAGCAATATTAGACAACAACCTCAACTTTAAAGAGTGGTATAGTAAAAGGAAGAAAAAAAGCTCTTCTGTCAGTCGATCTGTCTTTCATCTGGCGTAACACCTTCCCCCTTGCAGCAGTTTAAAGCCTCAGAGAAAATTTCAGTTTTATTGTCAATGGTCATGTTCACTTTAAAGGGCCTAAAAATGTATTGTTATTGTCAGTGTATTTTGTAAACAGTCAAAACTCCTCACAGAAGCTTTAAACTTTACTGTTTTGGTTCATTCTTTTCATTGGTGTACCGCTATTTTTAATTTTAAGTTCTCCTAAAGCCCTGGTAGATCATGTGGCTGGAGCAAGTACCTGCAAGATTGTATAAATTAATTAGAATTACTACTTATTACTTAAAAAAGTAAAAAAGTAACTTAATTAATGAATTTCATTGTTGTTAGAGTAAATGATTTCATGGGAAAGTAACTTTGGCTTTACTTGTTTTACTTAAGTACTCTTAGTGATACTTGCCTCAGTGGTATTTTGCTAATTGGTTCTCTGATAGCAGACGACTTTGGTCATATCTTCAGCAGTTTACTGTACAATCAGTCTGTTTAGTCCTCCCTGGCTTACAGATTGGAGCTGGCGGAGATTTAAAGTCAAACTTTAGCTGTTTGCACTGAGTGGCCCCTCCTCCTCCTGAGCTGCACTTGCTTTCCAACTCTGGGGTCTTGGGCAAGCAGGTTGATAGAATTATAGTTTCTGTTCAGCTGCTTTGTGAGATTGACGCATCTTGGATGAAGAAAAAGTTTGCTGTCAAGCACATAGACAACAGTTTAACACTATTTTCTTATCCTGAAAAAAATGCAAGAATTTCAGAGTTAAAAAGCTTCCACCTGAATAGACACCAACTATTGTGTGCATGTCACATTCTTCCTCCAAGGGTGCTACTGTGCTGGCAAAACTTGCCTGTCCACTCACATGTTTTATTGTATGTTTTTGTCTATTTGATTTAAAATAATGAGCCCTTTTATTTTGTTTCCTTTTATTTATTTAGTTTATTCTGACTGGAGAGGTCAGTGGATAGAGTAGCAAATAGGGTGGGAAAGAGGGGAGTGACATGAGAGAATGGACAGTAAGTTTAAATCGAGCTTTGGCCACCCAAAGGTAGACTGGTGGACTACAGCCTCTGTGCACTGAGCTTCATTTGACCTCAAAGCCAACCTGATGCCCTAGAGTTTGGTCATTTTAATGGAAGTTTTATACCACTTAGTAACTCCTACTCTGTGTAGCACTGTGCAGCTACAACCAGATGTTTCTGAAGTTGGTGGAGACCAAAATCAGAGCAAAAAGAAACTGTCCTACATTAAGTTTTCCTGGTGACCAAATCAAGAAGCTGAAATGAAGAAAACCATTGCTCTATAGCTTCTTTGTGTGTTTTTTGAGCTTGACTATCAACTTAAAGGGGTGACATTATATAAAGGAATTGGTGTCCACAGAAAAAAGAGAAGGGAAAAAATAAAGTGTTCTTTCTTCTGTCAAAATGGCCCCTATCTCTGTGTTTTTTGTGCCAATGGCTTATCAGAATTATTGCATTTATTTGCAGAGTTTTACTTTTGATGCTGTAATCCTTTAGGTAATTATTTTTTGACTTTTAGTCTATATCGGATTAGACCACTGGAGAGAGAGAGAAAGACACAGAGACGGGGAGTGTTGAAGTCTTGTTGAAACCTGAAAATTAATCATACAACCAGTTTTATGAGGATTGCACCTTTTTCTATATTTGGCGCCCTTCCCAAGTAAAAAAAGTATGAGTATGAAAAAAAGCCACAGTACAAGTGTCTAAAAAGGCAGTAAAGAGGACATATAACTGTGGACAAAATGGACAAAACTTGGTAGAAAATATCACAATAATACCTGCTGTCGAGCCTGAGTAAGCCTCTCAGTGTTATTGCATTGGCCCACAGCAGGGACAGAGCTTCTGTGCAGATTCTGCAGACTTATTGACCAAATGAAATCCTGAGGTCAAGCTTGTGCAAATTTTCACTGTCAGGAAATGACCAGGCCTTCCCACTGTTATCCCCTGATATACAGAACAGACCAGCTGGGTTAGTTAGTTATCATGAGCCGGGGTCATATACAGTTTACTGACTTGAAACTGAAGTTTGAATGTCCTCAAAGATATCTACTGATTCTGTCTCTGAATGTGAGATAAAAACAGAGAGATGGAGGTGAAACAGTGAAAGAGGGAAAATCAGCTGTATTGATGTGACGCTTCAGCACGTGGCCTCTCTGTGATAAACCCTCAGGCAGTGTGTGTGTCTGTGCCAGAAAAAGAGGGTGAGCACACTGTGTACACGGTGAGCATAAACACACAGATATTTTGTTGACACAGCCAGTACCTCACGCAGCTAAATATTATCTTTCCATTTCCGGTTAGATGTGTTTCTAAATGCCGGTGTTTTTCCTGTTGCATGGTAGCACCCATGTAGCATCCAGCGGCACTCGCCATATTTCTCACTTCGGCGTCAGTTTGGCTCAGAGTTGTTTGCTGATCCAAATGTTGCTTTCAGGCATTTTTCACGTCAGTCACAGAAGAGCAACTGTGAGAGAGTCCAAGCCTCCTGGCTAACCTGAGACTCCGCTCCAGCTCTTTCTGGAGCTTCTGTTTACATCTGCCAGGCTTGAGAAAAAGCTGCTGCTGTTGCCACATGATGTTTTTCATGACAAGATAGGTAATGGAGATCCGGTAGCTACACCCTTATGAGAAACAGATAAGTAAGGGTTAGAGTGCAATGCAGGTATTTGGCGTTGCTTCACACACACACATAAAAGTGGTGATCTATTCCATGAAGACTTTTCAGTACGGCTGTGATTATTACACACTAATTTTCAAAACTGTCCTGACTATAACCTGATTTTATTGTGGCTCTTTCAATCTGTGGACGTTTCTCATTATATCCTCTTATGTGAGACAAACTGAGCGCAGACATACAACCTCGCAAATGATACTCACTAAATGCAAGGTGACAGTAGAGACCCTCAGGTTAAAAGAGAAAGTAAAAACCAAATTGTGTGAGTTTTAAGAGTGTGATAAAGTGTGAAGTGGGTGAGTCAACAAACCAGGGGGAAAGAGCAGAGCTAAATTTAGAGGCTTGTACGTGGACATGCAGCTGAGCTGAGGACATCTATAGTTTTCTGTGAATGTGGGGGGATGTAGAGGCAGCCAGTGGGGCAGAGTACACAGTTTCACAGGAGTCACTCTTTGTGTTTCACAAAGGTGACTCACTGGTTTAAACTTGTGATGTTTTCGAATCATTGTTTTGGTTGTTGTTCAGGATGTGTACTGAAGTCATTGTTCTGAAAAATCAATATAACAAGGTAGTAAAGTGCACATTAATGCAAACATGAACAAGAAGTGCCCATCAGCACAGGCGGTAAAACAACATCTTACTGGAGAATAATCGAAGACTATTTATAGCACAATAATTTTGTCCAGTTGTGAAATGAATGAGTGGATCTTGGAAAGGACTCTTTCACATGAGACTAAGACTGACTATTGCACTGTTCTCCTACCAACACTCAGACAACACAGTCATGTGGAGTTACACCAGGCTTCATGATTCAATGACCCATATTTGTCCTGAGTCTGTGCTCTGCATGGATCTCATGTGCGTGCTTTCTCCCTCTATCTCTTTCACTCCCCAGGGAGTCAAATATTTTTACACTAACATCCTCATAATATCCCTTGGTTAAAGTGGAATACTAAGAAAATAAAGCTCTAGCATATTGGTGTGTCATTGAAGAGTTTTAGCATAAATCACTGTGCAGGAAAAAGAGAGTGAAGCATTAAACTTATCAATCGCTATGATTTAATTTATGAATCAGCAACATGAAACAACTAAGGCATAGAGAGTCAAAAATAACCCTGTCAATTACTTCATAAAGTCAGTATTATGCAGAAAATGCAGTTATTTTCATAGATAGTTACTTTTTGGTTTGCATAACATATATCAAGACACTTCCCCCTGAAATGTATGGCTTTAAGATTTACAAAAATACAGGGAATTAGGCGTTTGATATTTAAAATATACAGGAGGAGAACAGTCAGTGTTTAATTTGTAATGTTCTTTACAGAGGGGGAATTGGAATCTGCAGCTCCAAAAAATGGATATCTGAATCAAACAAAGAAATTTCAGTCGAGTCGTCCCATTTCTTAGACCTGCGTTTTCTCAGAGTTTACAATTGAATTTGTATTTTTAGTCAGTAGCACTTAAAACCTCAGAACGTTGGCTGCATAAGCCTTCTGTGTGCAATTTTGACTGTGTGACAGGCTGCTGACTCCAGTATCAGGTCTTAGATGAACACCACTTCAGACTTTCTTATACTTTACTGCTTTAAAATACTTCATCACACTTCATCACACAATGCTTCACTATGATAAATTGTATAATTGATTATTATGACGTGTGCAGCTGACCTCTTGGCCAGGTCACTCTTATAAAAGAGATCTCGATGTTATCTGGTTCTTATCTGGTTAAATAAGCGCTCAAAGCAAATATAGAGATATAATGAAAATGGGAACCCTTGCTCAACTTGGATTTGTTCGATCACTTCCTAACAGTGATAAAAGCTAAAACCTTTGTTGTAGTTGTGTTTTTGGTATGAAACACTACAAATATTATTAATGTTATCTATTTACATTTTTGGCAAATATGGAATTCATGAATTATGTTGGCATATGTAAACATTGCGTCATGAAATATCCCTTTAGTGAAGTAAAGAGATTTAAAAAGAAGAGAGAGCTTGGAGGTATGAGTCACATACATGTTCATGCAGGCTGAAAGACTTCTTTCGTGTAAAGATTTGAACATTTTTGCATGGCATTTCAAAAACTCCATAAAATCTCCAGGGGGTAACAGAGCACACAAAAACGAATGTCAGGGAAGAGATAGGAAATATGATCGCTAAAAGAGAGTATATGTAGCAGATTTCAAGCATCTGTTTCTAGTGCTGTTGCCAAAACAAACTGAAGACATGACTGTACAGGGGGCATTCAGACCTGCTATCATGAGTGCTCGGTGATCTGATCATGAGTTTGAATGTTCACACTTTGCATTAAAAAAACATCTTTGTCCTCTTGGTGCTACATTGTTATGAACTGCTCAATTTGATGTGAAAATATAGGGCAGATAAGGTGCCTTATGATACGAGGAAAGAGCATGAAAAACACACAGATCTATGTTATATCTGCCAATCTCCTCTGTAAATCATCTGTATCTTTGCTTTTTTTATTATAAATTTATTATCACTTATCTGTCTTGTGCAGGCTCACCCTATAAACTTGTCAGTATTGAATCACTATGTTTCCAAAATTGAAAGCAGTCTCCTTCATTTAATAATATTCACATTATGTGCATGTATTTTCATGCATGCTTCACTGCCATGCATAAACTATGATTTCACATACAGTAATTAGAGAGATCACCTCCAAATAGTGATCAAGTCTCAATCCAACCTCAGTATCCAATCATCCAGGATTGATGTTGATATGAGGTGTAAACAGTCACATAGTTTAATTAAGTTTTCATTTTTCATTTTCATACTTTATTTCATTCAGTTAATATTTAAAACATTCAATAAAAACAAGGAAAAATCTCAAACATGTGAATGAAAAGGAGCAGAAAGAAGAAAACTCTTAAAGAGTCTGCCCCTCTTTCATAATGTATTAATCAACTAAACACATAATAAAGATAAACAACAGCTGCAGGCCAACATGCCTTTTTACAGCTCATTATTTCTTATTTTAAAAAACAACCCACCAATGAACAGAAAAGACCAAGTTAATTCACTTTTTTTCACAAAACAAACATACCAAGACTTTGATTAACATATTCCCCTGTATTTACTCAACATACTGGCTTTGACACTTTTTTGAAGATAAATTTTGATTTAGCTTCTTTAGTTTCTTTGTTCAGATTGTCCCACAAACGTATTCCTCTCACTGTAACACACCGCTCTTTCAGTTTAGCTCTGAATCTTGGCTTTTTTAAATATTTCAAATCATTTTAAATGATGATTTTCTCTTTTTTTCAAATTGGCTCTGGATGTTGACTATTATAATTTTTCTATGAGCTTTATACATAATCTGCAACATACTAAAATCTACTAACTCATTGAATTTCAACAACTGCAATTTAACAAATAATGGGTTTGAAGGATCTCTGCATTGTCTTCTACTAATAATTCGTATTGCTCTCATCTACTGTCCCAGCGTGAAATATAAAGAGAAATCATTAATCAGGCAAACAATGTATATGTAATGTATAATGTAATGTCTTATGGTGACAGTTTTTTTTTGGTTTCTTCTTAAAGGTTATAAAAAGTTCAAACTATTACTTATGTGTCACATGCTAATGTTGGTGTGTCAGCATTGAAGTAATAAGTCAGAGTTACACAGCTGAGGCTTAGAAACTGCTACAGGACATTTAAAAAAGTGAACAAGTAAAAGCTTATGAAATTTGAGAGGAATTTGAAACTTACTGCAGGTTGAACAGTTTAGAGAGGAGTTCACAGCTGCATGTGGTGATTTTTAGAAGAACCAGATGGGTGCATAGCTGTGACAGATGTAGGTTTTTTAAAAAGTTGTTATAGTGCGACTTTTGTATTTGACATGTACTGTTGTTTGGTGTACATATGTATTATTTTGTTCTGTGTTTTTGTTTCTAGTTGGGTTTTTTTTGTTGTTGTTCTTTAAGTTTGAGATCAATAAAGAAAAAGAAAAAAAAATGGTCAAATTGAGAGATCAAGCAGACATGAAACATGATTAGCATATATTTAGAGTCACACTTTAGGAAACCTAACAGGTGCAATCCAATGCTTAATATTCAGTACTTCAACTTTGCTCCAACCAGCTCCTGAAGATAACACCTTTCATTTTAGGATTCAACATTTACAATTTAATGTTTCTTTGCCATGCAGTTGCTCACAAGGTGTTCTCAAAGCTTTTTTGCTAGTCAAACAAGAGACCCAAAAGATTCAACCAAACAGTAAAATTAAAGCAAGAATGCTAATACAGACCAAAAGATTCTGCAGACTCACAGAGTGGTTTGGAATTCAATGAAGAACCTACAACAGGATGTTTTTCATCGATCCGTGCCACCTGACTCTCTTTCATTAGGGAGTATTGGTCTGGTTTGTCGAGTTATCTTTGGTTGTTTCTGCACAGTCAGCACACCCTAACAGCTCTTCATACTGGATCTGAAAGCTTCCTTTTAACAAGTTCATAATGAGTACACAGTCTCCTTTTGGCAGCAACTTTTCATAAACAAGAATCCCAGATCCGCACAGTCCACAGTCTTAATTACTTTGTGAAATTTCTGGTGGATCATGCTTCTCGGTTTTTCCAGTGAATTTCAGGGTGAATTATTTCTTCACTGTGATCTCTTGCCAGCAAAAGAAAGCATCACCAGCCTGATAGAAAACAGAATAAAAAGTTCAGACACCCACACACTCACACACGTCCAGCTTCACAGCCCAGATTGGTGGATAACTCTGGATGGGTGTGTCCTGGGTCTGCTTCAGCTCCTTATATGTCAACAAAGAAAAGTGTTACCAGGGTTTTGGTCTGCCATGGTTAGGCGTTTAGATCCAGCAAAGATATCAGTTGTTTTTCTGTCACAGATTTGAACTTAATGAGTCAAAGAAACAAAAAAGAGGAATGCAGACTTGGTTGTGTTTTTGTCTGAGTCAGTCAGAGCAAAGCTGTTAGAGAAGATTTATTTTGAAAGGTACCAAAACAGAAGTAAATACTCCTGCCAGAGAGGTGCCAGGACGAGGATTTGTAGGAAGTCTACTGGTCCTTTAAGAAGATGTTTTTTATAAAAAGAAAAAGTTCACAGTAATGTAACATAGTTGGGAATCTTTGAGGCAGAAAATACTGAACACTGTGTTCTGGGTCTTATAATCTATACCTTACTATGCCTGATGCTGAAACAATTCAAGTCTATTCATGTTGCTGTCAGAAATCACTCCATGAGAAATGATGTTTCTACTGAGAAGTTTGAGCTCGCTGTGGCTTAACTTATAAAGAAAAGTAAACACAAACAACATTTTGTAATCCTCATAGCTACAGTTCATTTCTGCGTAGGAATCATATTGTTTGCCTTCAAATGAAAAAGATTTAACAGGCTTACAGACGGCATTTGCCGGTCTTGTGATCATTCAGTATAAAACAACACCCAGACAGACTCAGCAGCTCTGGACGCTGCTCACACACTCCTCCATTTATTCTCACCTTGGTGTTATGATTATTTTTAGTCACAAGGAGGTGCTGTTCTCCAGAGCCCTCCCCCTTTTCCAACATGTTTGACAAGTTATGTGATGTCGCTGCTTTATCTGAGCAGAGTTTTCAAGTCTCTGGGTTGAAAAAATGAATCAATGTTGTGAATGTTGAGAGTGTGTGTGTGTGTGTGAGCTCAGGGGTCAGAGTGACACCACCATGTTTTTCTAAATTCTTACATAACCTCTGGCTGCAGCCCAGCAGCTGTGTTTCCTGTCTGCTCCTTTGTTCAGGGTCTACTTTGTAGAGGAAAGAGTGAACGTATTTGATCTTGTGTTTCTGACCACTTCAAGTCTCTTCCTTCTGACTTTGTCTATCTCTTAAATTCACAGTTTTTCTTTTCCTCTGCACTGAGTGTCTCTGGGTGCGGTTTGGACTCCATGTGATGTGAGCCCTCCTCCCTCTCTTCTTTTCTTTCTAACCACACACAGACTCGCTCTGACTGTATTGCTCGAGTGGCTCTGCAGCCTGGATTCCTAAGCAGTGAGTCTGTCAGACACACCCAGACTCTGCCAAACAACCCAGCTGCTTTAGATCCACTCCTGCTTCATCACTGCTCCATCCCTCGTCTCTTCAGAAACCTTCCTGTCTTTATCTTGATGGAGGACATTCAATGTCTGTTATCGAACTGCAACATCCCTCCTCCGAAGGCCCGCCCTGACCAAACCTAAAGTTTCCCTCAAGCTGACTTCACTTATTTTTCCTGGCTGGCTTTGAGCAGTAGGCGGGTTTTCTTGTGTCTCACTGACCAATCTGACTGAGCCTGCTCTGCTGCCCTGTAGTCGAGAGGGGCGGAGCTTCAGCAGCACAGTCTTGTTGTGCTGCTTTTAGATAGGCGGAGCATCACGCCTGGGTGTGTGTGTGTTTACATGTGTGCCTGCCTGTGTGTGTTTCTGTGTGTGTATGTGTGATTGGATTAGAGTGCTTCCACAGCGGGAATCTAAGGTGAAGCAGCCTCAAGACAGCATCTTGGTAGTGTACACAGCTGCACATATAGAGGATTCACACTCAAATCACACCTATGGTATGTACCTGGGCAGCATTTCCCCTTCATGTGGGCTCTTATGTAACTGTGTATGTGTGTGTGGAGGGGCTTCCTGTTTGAGTGGCACCTGTCGATCCACGGTGACAGCTCTTTTAGAGCAGAGCAGTGGGTACTGAGAGGCTTTTTTTGGGCTCTGGTTTGATGTACACAGCAGCTATGCATGTTGCGTTTGTGGGATATGACAACAGCTTGTGTTGAAAAAGTTTAGTTGAAGAAAGTTGGCATAAGATAAGACATTGCTGTGTTACTGCATACCGGGACCCTGAGAGCTGTTGTTGCCAAGGTAACAACTAAAGGGGATCCACATACACAGTAAACAACCAAGTGTTCATGAAGAGCGAGGGTTACTGCACTAATGTTCTATTAATAAACCAACAGAGTCTGATGATGACTCTCACTTTAGTTTACAAATGTGATGTAACAATATCTTTGCTTCTTTGACGAAGAGTTTTTAGCTTTGTATAACTTTAAAATGTGTGTGTGTGTGTGTGTGTGTTTGTGTGTGTGTGCAGCCTGCAGACGAATGTAGCACAAACAAGGCAAAATTTAAGAGCAAAGTTTTGCCATAACACAAAGGCACCCTTTGTGTTCCTTTGCAACAAAAAACAATGAGAGAAAAGTAATAAATTCCACATGACGACTGACTGTAGTCAGATTACAGTGAATTAAGTTTATAAAAGAAGACAGTAAAATGCTCTTAAAGCGCCACGTTTGATTTTTTCTTCTAGGTTGTTTTGATATGACAATAGTGCATATTATACTGGCACAAAAAGCCCATAACAGTAGGTTAGACTAATGGCTTTTTTTTTTTTCAGTTTACCCAGCTGTCTGTTTGCTGTCCAATTCTCCCCTACAGCAACATTATTTATCCTCACGCGCACTGCCCTGAAACTTCAGTCCCACAACAGTTAGCTCCAGTGCTAATGTCACACTCCTGCTTCACATTCTTGCCTTGTAACTCTGACTTTACTTGAACTATTTTAACCACTCTTCAGAGGGGTGATCCGTGTGAACATTTGTGATTGTTAAGGTGACTTCTTTTGTTATGGTTGGTGCTATTTTGCAGTTGTTAGCAGCAGTGAGCTAAGAGCAGTTTCCAGCTTTGTTCGCATGTGCGTGTCTGCGGTTTGTCGGGTGTGGTCCAGCATTAGTCATCAGTTTTCATTACAAGCACAAGCTACCCAGCTTCAAACACTGTAGCTGGGTAAGGCCTGGATATTTGACATTGTTTCTTCATTTCTGAGAGGCAAATACATGGTGAGATATCTTTGTCATGTAGAGAAGAAGCACTTCTGGGTGATATTGAGGTATAAAGTGTCTAAATACATCCTCTAAAACAGGAAAAGAAAGACTCAAACTCTGAGCACATCGACAGTTTTCTGCTAAGATGATGTGTCAGACTGACTGCCAGTTCAGTAAGAGCAAAGGACAGAATGGCATCATGCTGCTGTTATCCACACTCTGAAATGTTGTGTCTATTTTGACCTCTCTCACTTGGGTTTCAGCCGGCAGCTTGCCCGGGTATCCCAGAATGACCATGACGCTGCAGGCAGTGACCGTTCAGTCATTGTTGTCCTTTTAGCAGCTTGAGCTCTGTGGTTCAGTGTATCTGTGTGCAGACAGTGTGTGTCGAATAGTGAAGTCGAGCCCTGCAGCTCGTCACTGTTTTAGCCATCGTTGAAAAAGGATCAACATGAGTTACGGTTGATCTTTACTGACTCTGACTGAGAACATGTGCGGCTTTGTGTGCATATCTGTTTTTTGGCATCTGTTCTCCATTTTAACAGTGTGTTTTTGTACTGTTTGTTTCGCCATGTCTCAAACAAGAACTGCAAAAGTTTCAGTCTGTCTGTACACTGTGAACTACTGCGTACCGACTCTAACAATGCCCCTCATGAAACAGGTTCGTGGCAACTACCGTCCTCTTCCCTTACCCCGGCAAAATTTCTACAAGGTAAAGATGTATGAAAAGTCCACCGTCTGCTCTGTTTTTGTGTCTTTGCACTGTATAGGACCCAAAATAACAGGAACACCTTATTATCATAATGCTGTCAGATCACGATCAACAAAATTTTTACATAAAATGACATTTTAGTCAGATAAACAGCAATATTTTCTGCATAACTCATTTTTAATAATCGGATGTTTCTGTTACATTATTAGTCATTTTTGCTGCATGAGGACAGTTTTGTATCAATGCTGTGTTCAGAACAAAAGTCATCAATCACTTGAAGCTCACTTGGCTTGTGTTAGACATGGTCTCTTCCCAAAATGTGGCAGTTTTCTGTCAAAATTTAAAGGCCAATTTACTGTATTATCCATTAATATTTCTGCTAAGAAATGTTGGGCCCCTTTTAAGACAAGAAAAGCAATAATATAGAAAATGTTGCCTTATTTTTTAAAGGATTGACCAAATTGGGCCTACATACTACAACTAGCTAGCTTACATTTTGTTGCCAAAATTTTTTTTTCCACCAAACTGAGGTATCAAAAATGTTTTGTCCTGATCTTTCTGAGTAGGTCACTCAGAAATGAAGCTAGTTTTAAAACGAAAAACTAACCCTACTATCTGCTATGACAAGCGTTACTGCTAGTCAGTTTACAAAAGGTGAGATGTTCCAGCTACACTTGACCTGTCACAGACCCCGTTACTCTGGTGTCGCAATAAATGTCTAAATAATGTAAATATGCTCACAGTTTAACTCTGTTGTGCCTTTTTAGTGAGTAAAGCCCTGGTTACAGTTGCGCCATCTCAAACCTTCACCAGTAAACATGCTTATCTGTGACTTCTACTCCATCATAAACCATGAGTATAAAGAAAAATCAAACTTGTAGCTGATCCTAATTCACAATGTAGGTCACAAAGAGGCCTCAGTACAAGATTGACACCATTTCAAAATCAGCTGACAACTCCTCACAGTCCTTAAGAGGTCATGGTAAAATAGTCCTGTATGTGGTTCAGATGTAGCTGTGAAGGACAAAAGAAGATACCCATACAAAAACGAAATATTCAAAACCAAGGAGAAATGTCAAGTTTTATGTTAAATAGGAAAAAAATAAGATTTTTTTAGTTGAACTTTCTGAAAAAAAGTTGAAAAACAATCTTGCCATTTGTGATTTACAAGAATCAGTCATCAGTTGCTGAGTCACAGAGCATAAAACTGTTTCCAGATGATTATCTCCAGCTCTTTTTGTCGGTTGACTTGTAAATGAAAAGCCGGTACATTATGAAAACACATGCTAAGCTTTTAGAAACACAACATGCCAACTTTTTACCAGCGCTGTCCATCATCCCAAACTGCAAAATATCAACTAGCACAAGATGCTAGCTCTGTTAATACTATAAATGCTAGTAATATTCATTCACAGGCTTGAAACAAAAGCTGCCACTACTTTGTCTTCATTTTGGCTAAAATTTTGATCATTTTTGCAAACTGAGCAGCTGGTGAAGGATCTATGATCATTTAAAACTCAGCTGTGTATCTATCTCACAGTGACTACAAGTAATGTTGTTTCTAAATGTCTAGTTTATCACTAATATTAACAACCTCAAATGTGACTCGAACCAAACACATTTGATTCATTAGTAAAATGTAAATGTTCATAAATAAAACTTAGCAACTGTCGGCCTTAATTTCTAAAATTGTATTTAGCCTTTTTTTTTTACGCAGAATTTTGACTTTTTTAAAAATTTAATCTGACCTTTTTCTCAGGAATTCAATTTTATTCCAAAAGTGCATAATGGAAGAAAAAAAAAAATCCTACTCCTCTCATTTTCCCATCACCAATGACCCTTTACTCCCCCAAACACAATTCGTCAAAAATATGTTACAAAGAGAAAGCTGGCCTTGAAGCAGAACCTGAAATAACTAATTTTGCTCAGTTGTTCAGCACAAATGGTTACTATCTCCGTAGGATCCGTGTTTTTATCTCGCCTGAAGTTACTTGAAAGCGTGGTCGTGATTTATGGGGCATGTGTTAGCATCTTGAGCCTGTTTGCACTGTGTCTGTGACAGACAGCATGTTTTCTATGAGAGGAGAGCAGTCTGCTGTACAGGAGGCATGAGGAATGCAGGAATGCTTGAGGTGACGGCAGGCAGAGAGCTTGCAGAGTGTTTGGGGGTTTCAGGTGAGCTGAGTTCACTTTTATTACAGTTGATGAGCAGACTGATGGTCTTTCAGATTAGCAACTTTTGGATTTTATGATATATTTTAAAATTAAATGATATGGAGATAAGTTGCCACCTTTTAAATGCACCGATGATCTCCCCTCCTTTCTTTTTACTGGCCTTTGTTTTCCACCAAAGACTGTGAAGTTGCTTGTTTGTTTGCCTGTTTGAAAAGTATCTGGGTGGTTCACTGTCTGTGTTGTCTAACCTGTCCGTGCTTTCTGTCACACACAGCTGTTCTGATGATTATAGTGTAAAACTGAGCCTGACGTGAGAATCTCCTGTTCATGTCACATTTAAAACGTTGTTTTGAAGTATATCTGATGCTTATTGAAATCCACTCTCTTATATATATATGTTCATAAATTCTATGAGGAAAGCAAAATCTATTGAATGTGTAGAGAAGGTCAAACACTGCCATAGTTCCTTAAGATCAGATCTTCTGGTTCCACGGGTTTGGCATTTTGTGGACTGCTCACATTTGTGGCTAATGAGTCATCAAATCCTCTTAACCAGCTTCCTTTGATTTCAGCTGGTTTGCGGGGTTTCCAAATTTAGGTCAGACTTTGTGTCTGAAAGTCAAAAAATGTTTGTATCACAAAAGAAAGCACACAGCTCAGTGATGATGGCAGTAATCTGGCTGCTGACTCAGCAGTTAAAACTTTCAATACGACATCTATCCAAACCAAAGTTTGGTAGGAAAACAAAATGGACAAGATGACACACTTCAAGGGATATTCCGGCATTTAATTAATTTAGGGTCAAACACACCATAACACCGAGTTAGACCCCCCCTTGGGAGATAAATGTTGCCAACCGCTTGCTTCTGTAGTTATACCAACTTAAGTAACGACTGCATGATAGCAATACACAGCGGTCTGAGGAGCCATAAACAAACCTCAAACAAAACGCCACTCTATAGCCACAAATAATGCTCAGAACAGCACCTAACTTCATCAACAGTACATATAGGGTCCCAGCCATAGTACTAGCCACCAAACATCTTTTTAACTTTGCCTGATTTCTTTAGTAAAGAGACGAAACACAACTCACCCACTCCCTTCCAGCATCTGCTTGTTTGTAGCGAGACCTCGGGCCAGTCCATTATCGACGACAACGGGGTGACGCAGCTCAGGGAAGAACATTTATGATCATTTTTTCATGAAAATGCAATCAGATCAGGACACTAAGGCAGAAGAACGACCGCGTCTGCAGTGCAAAATGATTAATATGGTGATTATTACTTCAAGGAAATGATAAAGTAATGATCATAAATGTTCTTCCTTGAGCTGCGTTCCCCGCTGCAGTCCGTAATGGACTGGCCCAAGGTCTCACTACGAACAAGCGGCTGCTGGAAGACAGAAGGTGAGTCTAGTCTCTTTGCTAAAGAAATTAGGCAAAGCTAAAAGGATGTTTGGTGGCTAGCTCTGTGGCTGGGACCCTGTATGTCCTGTTGATGAAGTTAGGTGCTGTTCTGAGCATTATTTGTGGCAATAGAATGGCTTTTTGATTGAGGTTTGTGTGTGGCTCCTTAGACTGCTGTGTATTGCTATCCTGCAGTCGTTACTAAAGTTGGTATAACTAGAGAAGCAAGCGGTCGGCAACATTCATCTCTCGAAGGGGTGTCTAACTTGGTTTTATTGTGTGTTTGACCCCAAATAAATGTTACTACGGAATATCCCCTTAATATGTGTACCAGTGATATGTATTATACTGTATTTGGATAGGTGTACGTATAAGCTAGCAGTTTTGTAGAAAGAAAACTATACAAATGTATTTCCAGTCCACAATGATTTTCTTACCCAGAGTTAAATGAGAGCATTGATATCTTTTAATGTCACATGATGCGGAAAATCCAAATAAAAAAGAGCCAAACAGCTGCCTCGCTCAGTCTCAGTGTTACTGAACCTCATAGCAACTCAACTCAACAAATAACACACATATTTTCAAAACTGTCACACTTTTCTTCAAAAGAAAAGTGGCCAATTATTATTCATTCATGTTGTTGAGCTGTTGTTGTGCCATTTTACAGCCATCAAGGACAGCCGTGGTGCTTTGAATGGTATTTTTGCATTATTTTCAACAATAGCTCCAAAATTTTACAAAGAACATATTTCAACCGGATTTCCCCTTCAACAGAAAAAGTGTGATTCATCGATTAGAAGCACTTGTCAAACCTCTGCTTCCTTTTTGTGGTAACTGAGCAACAACCAATATTTATTACAGTAGCAGGAGTAACATGACTTCTGCTGTGACAGGAAAATGCCCTGACTGCTGCTGGCCACACTTCCTCCCTCGTGCTGCTTCCCTCTCTTTCTTTATCTAAATGTGTTGACTCCCTAGAGTTAGCCCATTGATAACTTATTGAAGAGATGAAATGAACTTATTTTGGAAGTGTGGGGTTTGTTTGACTTTATTTAACTTTGCTGTCACTCTTACAAAATGCATCAGCTTCAGCACAAAGTGAAATTTTAGCTCCTGCTGGTTTCAAACGTGCCGATCAAAAAATATAGTTATTTATTTTTCTTCCATTTTGACAAAGCTTCAATAAAAGGCTGATCGATTTCTCCTTCCACACTGAAGTCTAAGACCTTGAAAATATTGCCCACTGATTATTTTATGTCCATGAACACCTCCTTCTTTGCCAAGACAGTCCATCTGCCTGACAGGTGTGGCATGTCAAGATGCTGCTTTAACTGCACAATGATTACACAGGTGTGACTCTGGCAGGTCACAGTAGCAGGTGACGCAGAGACAGGCACTTGTATCACGCAAAAGAAATTTGTTCCCAAATTTAGTGACGATTAAGTGATCTTTCTGCATAAAAATATCCCTTCTCTTCATGAAAACTGTGATACAAACTAAAGTGTTGAGTTTCTGTTTTAGTTTCATTTAATCAAATTGAATTTAAAGGCCAGTGGTAACAGTGTGCACGATTACCTGATTTGGGTCATGACTTTATGTGTGATGAATGTAACAGAAGTGTGTGAAGCAATCACTGACAGCACTGAGATGATTTCTAAATCTGGAGTCCCACATTGCAGTTGTCCTGAGTGCTGCAACTCACACCTTGTCTGTCCTTTCACTTGATTATCTGTTTTATCCGTCACTCCCTGCCCTTCAGTCCTTCTGGCTTTCCCCTTTAGTCACCCTGGAAAGTGTGTATGAAAAGCTCAATGCATAGCTGGCTCGACAGGATAACTCACTCAGAGGTTTACAGATGCTTACACAAATGGTATTGATAATACGAGTACTCTCTTAGCCTTCATTGAAAATTGACACGTCTCCACCACAGCCTGAATGTGAAACACACACTTACTCACAACTTTGTCTGTTTAACATGAATGGAGCAAAAAAATTAAAGTAATGTTCACAAACTGGCTTGGTTGGGTTTGACTGTATTATGACACATAAACACACAATGGACTGGGTTGGATGTGAAAGTACCTGCAGTTATCCTGACCTGGTGTCAGTGGGGTGGAGGATTCATGCTTTTTATTCACTCCACTTGAAAGACCAGGGCTGGGTTCTGCGGTGTACTGGGCTCCACCCGTAGATCGGTGCCAGCCGTAAACACACTAAGCTGTACACATAGCTGCCCTCAAAAAGAAGTTTATTTAGCGCTAACAGACTTGAAGAGTAACCTAGATTTAATATTCATCTGATTTGAAGCACTTGTAGATCATATGCTGCCGTAAATAAGTAATATCCATTCATCCATTTTCTACCGCTTATTCCCATTGGGGAAGCATCTTCAGACGAAGGCGGGAGACACTCTGGACCAGTCGCCAGTTCACTGCAGGGCTGACATATAGAGACGAACAACCATCCATGCTCACATTCACACCTCGGGCAATTTTTAAAGTGGCCAATTAACCTAACCTGACTTCTGCATGTCATAAAATAAGTGCAATTAGAACGGTACAAAAAAAGATAAGTATATATACATACACAAATGCGAATACAGTACAGGTGAATATGGAAATAAGCGCAGATATAAAAGATAAGTCAAAGAGACAAACAAACTCCTGTTAATTAAAAGGTTGTCTAAATTAAAGAGTCTTTAACTGCTTTTTAAAAGTATCCACTGAGTCGATCCAGAGTCACAGATCGATCCAGAGTCGGAGGGCTTTGAAAGTAATAGGTGTGCGTGATGTGTCACAGCATGTCATGAACAGTCCAGGCTGTTTCCTTTTCATTCAGCCAGAGTTCAGTATGTTGAGCCTGTCAGATATGGTACATAACATGGTTTGAAAACTCAGACTATATCAGCAAACTGATGCATTATCTGCCTGAAATACAGCAACAAGTCTTTTGAAGTATACCCCAACAACAACAGCAGTGTGGCGCTGCTACAGAAAGTAGTGTAAGTCAGAGTTTTTCCTGTGATATTATGCATAATATGTAGCCCTTTAATGCCTGACACCACAAATTATGGCCAGAAAATTCAATTTTTGTTGGAGCTGAAATGTTTATTTCACTTTCTACTGAAAACCATAAAAATCAAAATGTCCTTAAAATTTCACAAATATATTTATTTATCTCGTTTGATACATGAGATGTTTTTGGAAACTGATAAACTACAAGAGGACATTTTTATCATTTATCGGACTGTAGTCAGGTGGTTTTTAGTAATTTATTGATCATATTGATTTGATGGAAGTATATAAAAGTATGTATCAAATATGATACAAAGGGCATTAAAGGGTTAACTTGCAGTGGTAATTGAGAGGTACTCTGCATTAGCTGATACTGAGGTTTAAAAAGTAAAAGAAAAAAAGGCGAAAACAAGAACAGAAATGCTGAAGTTTGGATACAGTCTGTAGTCATTGTGAAAGAACAGCCTCAAGTCCTCAGACATGGAAGTCAAACGTCGCCCATGTTCTGTCTTCTAGGACTGATGAGAATTATCTCATCGTTTCTTTACACTGTGTGACATCATGTAAAAAAGTAGATTATAAGATTAATGTGGCGTGTTTCCAAGGCAACCACAGAAAACAATAATACTGGGTCTCTTTGCTCTCTGGTGTCAAACAAGTCACACCCTTCAGTCAGGAATGTAGCGCTTTACTCACCCACCTCTGGCTGCAGTTTGATGAATGTATTTGTTTGCATTTTGCAGCATTACATGACACAATGGAAGAGATGTGTTCTTCCTGTCCCTCACTTTTCACACACACTTTTTCTTTTTTCCTCTTTGATATGATTAGAAGTTTGGGGAGTGAAGTTTTCAGCATCGTTCCTGAGTTGTTTGAAATGCTTTGAAAAATATTGGCTTGTGTGAGAAACTGAGATGCCGCCCGATGTTATGAAATGTTGATCTCTGGTGATTTCTTGCCGGATCTAGCCTGTAAATAACTTTCCTCTCCTCTGTGTCTGTTCCTCTCTGTAGTCGCAGCCCAGTGAGGCCACGCCCAAACCGGCAGCTCAGGTCACCACCGTGAAGTCTGCACAGTTTGAGGTATTAAACATTCCTCTTTAAAACCCTTTCACCTCGCCCATCCCTGCACCTCTCTCTGAAAAAAACAAAAAACAAAACTATTTCAAATGTTCTAATGGTGGATTGTTTTCAGTCTGATCTCTGACCTACCCAGTTTTTGGACTATGTGTCACATTTCCCTTCTGCTCAGTGCAGCTTTATTTGGTGTAGAGTGAAGGAATAAATAGTTAAACAAACAAAAAAAAAGAGAGAGGGAAAAAAAAAGCTTTTCCGCCCATTGAAGCACAAGAGAGTCAACACCCAGTTTGCCAGAGGGTGGCGAAACACTTTAACCCTTTAATGGAGCTCTCAAACAATGGATCAAAGTGAATATATATGTTTATGTTCAGTTGCTGATTGGAGTAATGTTCAGTGTGAGGATAACTCCTACATGTTTAAGCAAAACTACAGGAAGTGTGTTTAGCATTCAGGAACTTGGATAGAAAGTTCTTTTTCTTTAAAGGCGTAGTGCCTGCTCTACACAGGGGTCTACAGCATGTTCTTGTAAATACACCAGCTTTGGGTCTGTTGCTAGAAAACATTTGGCAGGCTTAAACAAGAAGAATTTTAAGCATTTTACTTAATAAGTATGCACAATTATAGCATTCGCCTTGAAAGATGTCTCTAATCTCAGTTTTCCTTTATGCTTTTAAAGCCAGAACAATCTGACAGGACAGGCCTGCGGCGTTTTGTCTTGGCCTTCAACACCTGGGCTTTTGCTTCGTCTATTTTGGAGTCTGGCTGACAGTACAGAGAGAGGCTTTGACAGGATATTTAAAGGGGTTGTTACAATAGCTTAAATATTGATGAATTATAATGTAATATAAGGGTATTACATGTTTTAAACTGGACTATTCATAGACTAGGTTTGAATTACTAAGTCATCAATCCTTAGCTAAAAGTGACTCTTGTTATCTGCTGACCTTGTTGCTCACTTTATGCTTCCTCTTGCCATAGTAGGGTATAGCTGCTCATGTTTCAGTCACAGAGTATAGGACTAGACAGCAGAAGTATAGTATAACCACGGGCATCAAAATTATTTTCTGAACCAAAAGTTGTGCTGCATTAATTTCATGTTGCTCCTCTGTAAAGTTTGGGAACTTGCTAGAAACTTGTCAAAAACAAGAATGTTTGGAGTCAGTTTTGGGGAGAAGCAGCTTGACAAGTTGCAGTGTTACAAGTTAAACTACATTTCTCAGAGGTGAGGGGGTAGTGTTGTTTTTGAATGATAAAGAAAACACTCAAACAGCTCAAGCTGCACAATATTGAGGAAAAACAACATTGTGAACTCTTTTATTTTGGCAATATATGTTTATACTGTAATTGACCAAAGGAATTACTGGATTAATGTGTTTTTATGTACATAAAAGATTTGCAAGATCTGAGTACAATATGCGATCTGTATGAACTTCTACATATCTGTTAGTTAAAAACATACACTTAGAGGTAATTTGAGCTAACACAGCCAACACACTACATGGTGAGGAGCACGTAGGTCACACCCTTAAATCGTAACGTCCTAAATAGAGGCTCATGAAGTATTCTGAGTGCACAAGTTGTAATGTCGAAAAAAAAGCAGATTTGAAGTCACAACATTACAACTGTCTCTTTTTCTTGAATTTGTACTATAAGATTTTCCATCTATCTGTCATCATTTCCTATTATTAAATATTTAAAGGCAGAGGGGGGGTGGATTTCCTTAGCCCCATTAAAGAAAAGAGGACAATATAAATAAACTTTAAATGTTCTTTAAATTTCTCAGACAACAGGGTGAGGGTTTGGGTTAAGGTTAGGGGTTAGGTTAGGGGTTATTATGTTGGGGTAAACCTAACCCAAACCCCAACCCTAACCCAAATCCTTTATGAATTACCCCAAACAAAAAGAAGGTGAGCTTCTAAGAGACGCAATGTGATCAATATGGTCAACTTTTCCACACCTGGTGCATTACAGAAGGCTTCATCAGGATCTGCCATGGCTACAAAGCCTGGTGCGGTTACCACAGCAACAGGCGGGGTTGGAGGAAGTGGCATCACAGCTGGAGGAAGTGCTTCCATTGGGACAGCAGGAATCATGTCTTCTAAAACCAAAGCAGAGGTAGACAGACTCTGGATCCTTTCAGTGGAGGTGGCTTTTGGCTGTTTGGGGATGATGCACCTTGAATCACTGCTTACTTCCTAACTCATGAGGCAGCTCTTGTCTCCTCTTCTTCAGCGGCTTCATCATCTTTCTTATCTTGCAACACCTCTTTGTGGTGGTGTGTAATATCTTGAGCTTTCATGAGCACCAGAAGCGGAGCACTTGTTATTTCACATTAATACGAGCTGATATTTTCATTTTTTACGCTTTGTGGTGAATGCTCACAGTAAAACTTTTGGAGCTGACTTCATGAATAACACTTTCTCTGGCTCTCTCTGCACACGTGCTCATTGGTTTGTAGACTAACACTACGCTGGCAGGGGCTACTGTTATTGACATGTCTTCCACTGAGGATACTATTGTTGACATGGCATCAGCTGGGGTGAGGGGCGGTCCTCCAGAGATGTCACAGGTAACAGTGTCATCATGATGCCTCGTGTGCTGCTCTGTGCCTTTTCTTAGTCATCACCTTACTGCTGACCATTATTATTGAAATTTGAGGTTTTGTTGCTGTCAGGTTATAAACTCGTGAAGAGTGTGACTTTAAAATCCATTCTTGTGGTTCAAGCCATGTGTATGAGGGGAACTCCAACATACATGATTTACATGTCAGCTGATGTTAGAAACCATCAAATTCTGAATTCACATGATAGTTTTTTACCACTCATGTTTGCTCAACACAATCCATTGTTAAAGTAACTTTGCTTTGGTCTCTTTTTTTAGTTTTAAAGATTTATTTGATTTTTTTATCACAAAGCCGCTAATTTGATTTTGAACAGCTGAGACACAGTCACAAACAGAATATAATATTCACATTTACTTTTTCCCTCATAAACTTTGAGCAAAGTTTCAGAAAACAGAATTTGCCTCAGAAAAAGACAGGCCGACTCGGCTGCGCCCACATCACATATAGTGTTAAGAATGAATAAGTGAGCTACAAATCAAGATACTAATTTTTTAACAGGATGTGAACATGATGACATGACTCAGGATACTTTCTCTTTCACTCTGTTTTTACTAACACTGCTGAAATGTTGTCTATATTTATTGTTGAAATATTCTATAAACTGAATCTTTGATTCTTGTGTTCATGAGTTATCCTTTGGCATCATGTTTGTAGACTGTCCCGGTGTCCCAAATCAAAACCCAGGGTATACTTCCCTCTGAACCCTGTGGACCACCGCCACCTACCAGCCTTGTAGCATCTACTGCTGTGACCCAACCGAAAGAGTTACCCAAAGACACAGCCAAGGTAGACTGTGCTGAAGTTTTGAGGGGTAGCTACTTCTCAAGGCCTTCTTCAGTCATCCCCCTATTGATTTCTTTTGTCAGCTATTTCTTTGTTGTGCAGTTTCCTCTCTGGCTTTGTTTCTTTCTTGTCTGAGAGTTGTCAGGTACTTGCTTTGGACACTCTTCACTTTGGAAGTTTCTCCAACAACATCTCACTTTTTTGGCCCTCTCTTTTCTACGTTGGTGACCTGTTGGAAGGGATATAAGGAACTTTTGTTCTCATTGCTGAAGCCCTTTGCTCAGCATGCCTGCACTTGTTATTGTAATGGCAAACAGTGCACACCTGTACCCATGCAACACCTTACATACATCATCGGTCTGAGTCAGCTAGGGGAAACAAATGAGGAGAGGTGGAGACTTTGTTGTGTGTCTTCTTGGTTAATTGCACAACGCCCTCTGACCCCTTCATGACTGTGTTTAGAGATGGTGAAGGACTCTTCTATTTGGTTGGTGTCCCTGATTTCACTCTTTGGGTGTTTCTGTGCATGAACTGCACAAGTCTGTGATACTTGATATGTACTTAGGCAGTAATAGGTGTAAATTCATTACATTTTAGAGTACTACTGCCATCACAACACTCAGAGCTGATTTGCCCAGTGCCGACCCTGCTAAAACAACAAAGACAGCAGCAGCTACGACTGCAGCTGCAGCAGCTTCAGCTGCTACGACTGCAGCTGGAAGTGTGTCTGTGCAGGGAAAGAAGGAAGAAGCCAAACCAACACAAACTAAGGTAGACAATCCTGAGACTTACTTGGGTGGAGGTTTTCTGATACACTGGTCCTCTGTTATTTTTTTGACAGACATGCTGAATTTAATGTTTTTTATTGTGTTGTGGTTGATAAGATTTACATTGTACAGCCAGCGCTTTATGAGACTTTTCACTGGTGTCATACTTGGAGTGAATTTCTTTAGATTTGAAACTTTAATCAGGCATACTTTTTGAAATATTCTCATTTATATCAGGAAAAGAGCTGGTTCATCTTGGGGTGTCAATTATGTAATAACTATAATCACACTGAGGATGTTGTGAAGGTCCGTGCACTGATTGTGTTTCTGTGCTGCAGGTGCAGGTCGAGGTTCCTCCTAAAGCAGCTGCAGGAGCCAAAGAGGTAAAGACTAACACAAACAGTGTAAATTAGCTTTAACTAGCATGTAGCATGTAGGTGGGTCTGGTGTGCTGATTCATGTTGCATGTGCAGGCACCTGCAGTGGATCCATTTGACGCCCTTGCCAACATACTACCATCAGTTGATCCTGTTGTCCGCCCTGAGCCTGTTTACACAGGGCCAGAGGTCACAGAGGTACAGCACAGCTGCAGCATTAACATTTGTATGTATGTTTAAAGTGAGCTGGTTATGACTGCATGGAGCTGATTTGAGTGACTATATGTTGCATGTATCACAGCATGACATCGTTGTGGAGAAGGGTGCGAAGTGCGGAGAGAGAGACGACACACTGCCTCCAGGGTACAGATTTGAAGATATGGTCAGTTTTACTCTTCTTAAGTGGTAGTTTTGCTTTGCTGGAGTGGAATTATCCTTCCGACTAACCTCTGTATGAACACCTTTATACTGTGAAGTTTTCTGTCAGGTCTGTTGATTATCTAGATAAATGTGGAAACTGAAAGTGAGGAACTGCATGTGTTCATGTCAAAATGCCCTACATGAGAAAAGAGCCAGGAGTGTGGATCAAAAGTCAGGTCATAAGGTCAACTGCAAATATTTCATGATTGCAAAACAACATATTTCATCAGATGCAAAAATACCTTATGGACACTTAAAGCCCCTGTGGGGAACTTTCTGTTTGAGTGAGTTTTGGTGCCCCCTGAAGACAAAGCAGTCTTAGCATGTTTTGAGTGGTGTATTTTCACAAAAAGTCTCATCCTGTGGACATTTGACGGCCAAATTTATAATTTATTGTGAGTACTTTACATGGAAATTGTAAAACAGCCAGCTGCTTGGCTGACACCTACCCCCTCATACAGATTTAAAGCATTAAAAACACAAGACAAATGATCAGTCCTGTCCCTGATGGTTTTATTTGCTTTTAGCAATCATGAAAAAGCAGCAACATGTATTTCAGTCATATTCATTCACTACAAAAAATCCCATAAAGACCAAACATTTAAAAAAATGAGAAAATATATGATGACCATAAACATTTCACAGAACTTAGAAATGATGAAATGCAAAAGTACCTCACATAACTAAAAACCACGTTTGAATCTAGAAGACTTTATTTGGATCAAGTTGGTATACATCTAGGTCTCAGTTTTGCAAGTTTAGGGATTTTAAGTCAGCATATTTTTTCCACAGAAACTCATGTTTCATCTGAGCACAAGTATTGCAACATTTTAAAATTTTTATCAGCACAACAGGCAGATATCTCAAAAGCTAGACTCTAAAAACCAAACAGGGTTCATTTGTAATCTGGGGTGACTCAGCCCCCAAGGCTTTTTGCTACTTCCTGAGTTATTTCAGTGTGTTTGTTTTTCTCCCAGTCTAAAATGAGTCTGTTCTCTTTCTAGCCTCCTCCTCCTGCAGATTATAAGCCCAAGGATGTTCTGGTAAGTGAACAGTACTTATAAGTACCGATAAGAGAGACTTAAAACTCCAATGCTCTTTAAAAACTTGATGTCAGCACGAGCACACTCTTAGCTTCACAAACATTCAGGAAGAAGTGTTTCCACCGTATGATCTGCTGCTTCCTCTAGAGTGAGGAATGTTTCATTACACTGGTGGGTGTTGTCTCAGCAAACAGCACAGGGTCCACCTTCTCCTTTTCTGGGCTCGCAGGCTCACATCTGACCAAACCCCATTGCTCACATAATGTTTGTTTGAGCAACGACATACTCGCATTTGCTGTGGCATTAGAGACACTCTCTGATATCCACCCAATTGTAGGTGACTATTTACTCACTGTTAACACACCCACATTTGCATCATAGTTGACTCCCACTCTGTCATCTTGTCTTGCAAGCAGCTCTTGAGCTGTGTCTCTCGCTCTCTGTTCACCCAGAGACTTTTCCTCCGGTGTGAGTTTCAATTTTTATCCTATTCTTGCCAAATCAAAGCAGTTTTATACCTGTGGATCTGTATTTTAAGAGTTTAATGTTAACTTTTATGTCTTCATGGAATGTGAAGGGAGTGTCTGTACTTTTCCTCCACTGTTGGTACATGCAGTCTGGTTTGTATTATTTTGCCCTTTTGTTTGCTTTTGACGTGGGAGGACACGCCCTCTAGTGGAGGATCATATTCCTGCTCATCATTTTAAGTCCTACTTTTCAGAATAAGTTTATCACAAGGCTTTAAAAACTGAATTGTTTCTTGTTGTTTAGTTGTTACCTGATGCAAACGCCTCCTCTTTTCTATTTCAGAAACCTCTGAGCACAGACGAGGCCCTGGATTCTCTTTCATTGGGATTCATGTCTGCATCTGTCCCAGCTGCACCCAAGAAGCAAGAGGTCAGAGCCTTCAATATGTAGCGCTCAGCTGCAAGTCCATCCTCTCTGCCTGCATAGCAAAACAAAAGTCCATAATAACTCTTTCAGATCACTGCAGGCAGTATGACTAAAAAATTGAATTCTTGTATTAAAATCGAAGGCATCGTATTTGAAACATCTTTCCTCTAAAACATGCTCCGCTTGTTTTTTATGATTCATTCAGAGAAAGGATCCTGTTGAAAGCATCAGTGCTTCCTCTGCGGGCCCAGCTAACTTTGCACCAGCTCCTGGAAAGGTAGTACACTCCTTTTACCGCTCTGCACTTTCCTCATAGTGAACAGGTGAATCATCTTTAGTCATGTTTCTTTTACAGAAACCTCAAACTCCTGCAGCTGCTCCTTCCACTGACAAAGACATGCAGAAAGGCTCCGACGATTTCTCTCTGGAGGCCGGACTTCCTATGGTACACCACTTTCACACTTCTTTGTCTCTCCTCTTTGCTGGTTACAGCTTTGTGTCAAGATTTAGAGGTTCATACCCTCCATGAAAAACGATTATTTTGGATGATTTTCCTGTAGCACAAAAGGCTGAAAGGCTTATCTCTGCTTGATGTTTTAGAAAGCAGCTCCTCCTATCGCTGTGTGTAAGTTTCCTCCCCCTGATAAGAAAGCCAAGATGGAGACTCGACTGGATGTAAAAGCAGACAAGTCCAAGCCTGATAATGTGAGCGCTACATGCCTTTCTTCACCTTTCTCTAATTTTGAACTTGTGGTTGGGTAGATTATGAATTTATTCTCCTTTTTTTTCACCTCACCTCTTCTCAGTCCGCTCCTATGCCCATGGATGCTCTCAGTGCTCTCGTAGACACGCTGCCAGCTGACGCACCCAAGCCTAAACTCCCAGAACTCAGACCAGAGGACATTGTCTCAGTAAGAGCATAATCGCGAATATTCTCTTACTCAGCACAGTGCTGATACTTCCTCCACCAGAAAAAAATTGTATAACAGCAATTATTTATTTTCTCACAGGAGGACAAACACAAGAAGGAGAAGGGTGTGCGTGTGGGAGAGAGAGATGACACGATCCATCCAGACTACAGGTTCAACAAGGCGGAGCTTGAAAAACTGCCTGCACTAAAACCTGAAGTGAGACTGAGACCAATCAACTGCAGTCTGTCTGTGAGCCATGTACAAATGTGAAACAAACTCTGACTGAATGATTTGGATTGATCTCCCCCTCCTCTTCTTTCTCTGCAGCCCACCATCGGCACTGGTGAGGCCCTGGACATTTTGTCTGGAGACTTTGTGACCTCCTCAGCAGCTCCTGCAGTTAAAGCTCCTCCTACACAGGTACAATTTATATCTTTGCAGACAAAAGATTGAAAATAAAGCAGAGAGACACATGAATTTATAACACTAGGATAACTTTCATATCTGATGATGGTTATAGAAAGCCTCTGCCGCAACTGTGAGTCCCAAATCCCCTGCTGATAAAAAAGCCAAGAAGGAGACTGTGGAAGGTGACTTTTCTCTGGAGGAGGGACTTACTGCTTCTACAGCAACGGTACAGTACACACTTTTTCAGAACAAACAACAAACAAAAAATTCTACATAATCCCCTTTAAATAAGATTAAATAAGTAAAGATAGTAGATGGATTAAATAAAAACAGAAATGTAATAATTTACACCGCAGTTTAAACCAATCAGTGCAGAAAAAGACAGCCTGTATGTTTTCTAATGTTGGATTTTAGCATAACAATCTGCTGGTCTACATCTGAATTTATGAGTACATCTGAAACGAACAGATGGTTGCTCTCTGTCTCAGCATCGTAATTCAATATGAGCCGCAATGGATCCAAAGACTACTTAGAAATACTGTTAACTCTTTTTTTAATTAAATAAGACTTGACCATAGTCTTTTGTTTTTCCAGAAAGTTGAATCCAGTGCACTCCCTCCAATAGCTGTGTGTCCTCCTGGTCCCATTACTCCCCCTACTGATCCCATAGCTGTGTGTCCTCCTGGTCCCATTGCTCCCCCTACTGATCGCATTGCTGTGTGTCCTCCTGGTCCCATTGCTGTGTGTCCTCCTGGTCCCATTGCTGTGTGTCCCCCTGGTCCCATTGATGTGTGCCTCCCTGGTCCCATTGATGTGCGTCCTGATGGTCCCCTTCCTGTGTGTCTCCCTTGTCCCATTGATGTGCGTCCTCCTGGTCCCATTGCTGTGTGTCCCCCTGGTCCCATTGATGTGCGTCCTCCTGGTCCCATTGCTGTGTGTCCCCCTGGTCCCATTGCTGTGTGTCCCCCTGGTCCCATTGATGTGTGTCCCGCTGGTCCCATTGATGTGCGTCCTGATGGTCCCCTTCCTGTGTGTCTCCCTTGTCCCATTGATGTGCGTCCTCCTGGTCCCATTGCTGTGTGTCCCCCTGGTCCCATTGATGTGTGTCCCGCTGGTCCCATTGATGTGCGTCCTGATGGTCCCCTTCCTGTGTGTCTCCCTTGTCCCATTGATGTGCGTCCTCCTGGTCCCATTGCTGTGTGTCCTCCTGGTCCCATTGCTGTGTGTCCCCCTGGTCCCATTGATGTGTGTCCCCCTGGTCCCATTGATGTGCGTCCTGATGGTCCCCTTCCTGTGTGTCTCCCTTGTCCCATTGATGTGCGTCCTCCTGGTCCCATTGCTGTGTGTCCTCCTGGTCCCATTGCTGTGTGTCCCCCTGGTCCCATTGATGTGTGTCCCCCTGGTCCCATTGATGTGCGTCCTGATGGTCCCCTTCCTGTGTGTCTCCCTTGTCCCATTGATGTGCGTCCCCCTGGTCCCATTGTTGTGTGTCCCCCTGGTCCCATTGATGTGTGTCCCCCTGGTCCCATTGATGTGCGTCCTGATGGTCCCCTTCCTGTGTGTCTCCCTTGTCCCATTGATGTGCGTCCTCCTGGTCCTATTGATGTGTGTCCTCCTGGTCCCATTGCTCTCCCTACTGATCGCATTGCTGTGTGTCCTCCTGGTCCCATTGCTGTGTGTCCTCCTGGTCCCATTGCTCTCCCTACTGATCGCATTGCTGTGTGTCCTCCTGGTCCCATTGCTGTGTGTCCTCCTGGTCCCATTGATGTGCGTCCTGATGGTCCCCTTCCTGTGTGTCTCCCTTGTCCCATTGATGTGTGTCCCGCTGGTCCCATTGCTGTGTGTCCTCCTGGTCCCATTGCTGTGTGTCCTCCTGGTCCCATTGCTCCCTCTACTGATCGCATTGCTGTGTGTCCTCCTGGTCCCATTGATGTGCTTCCTCCTGGTCCCATTACTGTGTGTCCTCCTGGTCCCATTGCTGTGTGTCCTCCTGGTCCCATTGCTGTGTGTCCTCCTGGACTCATTGCTCCCCCTCCAATTGCTGTATGTCCTACTGGTCCCATTGCTCTCCCCACTGATAAGAAAGCTGTAGCAGAGAAAACTGCAGCTGGAAAGGATGCGACTGGTGGAATACCAAAGACAGATCAGGTCGATCTCTATTCTCTCTTCCTTCCTCTCCCTTCCGCGTTCTCTCTCTCTCTCTTTTCTTCTCCCTTGCTCTCTTTCTCTCCCCCTGCCCTCTCTCCTACTCCTCTCTCTCTCTCCTTCCCTATCTCTCTGTATTCCTCCTCAACTCAGCAGCGGCTTGGTGGCTGTCTTACATGAGTCTGGTCCTCTCCAAGGTTTCTGCTTGTCAAAAGGAAGTTTTCCTTGCCACTGTCACTCATGTTAGATGAGATGGGCCAAATCTGTCCCATCTTATGGTTGGGTCTTTCTTTCCATTTGCTTTGTCTTTTTTAAGTCCAGTGACTTATTTTGATTTCATATCCTCTTTTCAGTCCGCTTCCATGCCCATGGATGCTCTCAGTGCTCTCGTAGACACACTGCCAGCTGACGCACCCAAGCCTAAACTCCCAGAGCTCAGACCAGAGGACATCGTCTCAGTAAGAGCATGAACACTTAAAGGCTTTGCCCACATCTTTTCTTTGTGGACAACCCGAATGACTGGTGTATCCTTGGCCCAACGTTTCGGCTTCTCACATGATCATTTCCACCTTTTGTTCTTCGACAGGAGGACAAACGCAAGAAGGAGAAGGGTGTGCTTGTGGGAGAGAGAGATGACACGATTCATCCAGACTACAGGTTCAACAGGGAGGAACTCGAAAAACTGCCTGCACCAAAACCTGAGGTGAGACTGAGACAAATCAACTGCAGGTCATCTATGAGTCATATACAAATGTGAAATAAACTCTCACTCCCCTCTTCCTTTAGCCCACCATTGGCACTGGGGAGGCCCTGGATTTTTTGTCTGGAGACTTTGTGATCTCCTCCTCAGCAGCTCCTGCTGTCCAGGTATAATCAATCAATCAATCAAATTTTATTTATATAGCGCCAATTCACAACAGTCGTCATCTCAAGACGCTTTCCAAGGAACAAGAGCAGGTCTAGACCACGCTCATTGTTTGATGATCAAGAACCAACCTAAGATGGGTTTTGGCCCATCTCAACTAACATGAGTAGCAGTGGCAAGGAAAAACTTCCTTTTAACAGGCAGAACCCTTGGGCAGGACCAGCCTCATGTTAGACAGCCACCATGCCGCTGCTGGGTTGGGGAGGAATGTAGAGAGAAGAGGGGAGAGGACAGGGGGAGAGAGAGAGAGAACAAGATAAGGGAAGGTGAGAGAGAATGAGTAAGGAGAGAGAGGGGGAGGGAGGGAGAGTAGAGAACAAGGGTGAGAGAGAGACAGGGGGCAGCAGAAACAACAGCAACAAAGTGTTGAAACTTGAGGGGAAAAAGTGACACTGATTGATTGGTGAAATCGGTGCTACACATGACGCACTGAAACACTCAAACTGTGGGGCATCCGTCTGTGAAATCAGACAATTATGCTCATTTCCTATATGAGTGGTATTTCTGTTTAACTGACACAATACTGAAATAATGAGGCAACATATTATCTTTATGTATCTGTGAGCTGTGTTAAAGGATGCACACTAAGACATACAAACACTAAGATGCATAGTCCTTCTCTGCCCTGTAGAAGACTATAGACGACAAAGCAGCCCTGGAACAGAAGCGCACTGACATCTCTGCTATTCCCATTTCAATGACTCCAGTCATTTGTTATGCAGCAGAACCAAGTATTGAAGCACCAAAGCCAGTTTTAGAGCTTGCCCAGGTAATATGGGAATTTCAGGTGAACTTGTGCTTTGGTGGCGGTGGTGCTCATGAGCCACGCAGCTTTTCCGCGCGTTGTACTATCGCTATGCCAGCTGACTCAGCTGACTTCTGCAAGCTTTGAGTGTGTTGAGTCTAAAACCTGCAACATTTGACTGAAAACATATAAAGAAGAGAAAGACAATTGTTTAGATTTTTACTCGAGGAGAATGGACAGAGATAGTATCAGGTACAATCTCAAAACCACTCTGAAGGTATTTCCGCCCAGTCTCTTTTATTCAGGGTTGTCCCTGGTTACACAATGTTACTAAAGGATGGGGGAAAACTATGTCCAGCAACATAAGCACTCTCATAAAACATAATTATGAACAACAGAAAATATGTGAGGGTCAAGGCAACATTGTTGACATTAAACAAGCTCCTTCTGATAGGAGCGGATCCTCCTCATTACTTCCCACGATTCACAGTGGAGGATACATCACACACACACACACACCTGCTGATAGGAGAAACGAGGTCACAGAGAAATTAAGAAACATTCATGTTCTGTGTAGTAGAGCTTTTGGAGAGAGAAGTTAGAAAACACTTATATGATGTGTAACAAGAGGTTAAAACAGTCCATACTTGTAGCAAACTCTTACATAAGAATTTGAGTAAGATGATAACTTCTATATACATTTATACACATTATTCTGACAGAGTGTAACACACAGATGCAGTTTTAGCGATGATCTTCTTAGACTAAATATTTACAGTAAATCAGCTTTGCTTTTAAAGCCTTTGAAAAACCAAATTTTACCTCCTTTTGCAGACAAAATCTAATTCAAGCTGATGTTTCTGTTTCATAGAGCAAGGTGGAGGATATGTCGGCTCTGGATGTGCTTTCTGGAGACTTTGTTGCTCCAGCCAAAGCTTCAGGACTCCAGGCTTCCGTCAGTGCTCCTACCAAGTCCACACCAGAGGTAAATCCATTTCGGTGTGAATTTTTTTCGTGCTTTTGTATTTTTGTCCAACATTTTGTCCTCTTAAAATATGAGTGTCTTTACCGGGCTTATAGAGGATTGATTTTTTTATGGCTGCGTGTGCATTTTCTTGTGTTGTGTATCTGCAATTATTTTAAGTTCTCACCTGTGGGTCCCTGTGTCTGCAGAGAACAGTTTGTCCAGAGAAACCCAATGTTGCCGTCCTCCCTGGACAAGCAAAACCCAAGACCGAGAAGGTAAGTACAAAAAAAAAAAAAAATCATTTTAACTGTTTATTTTAATTCTTGATCAAGAATTGTGTGGTTGTAAAGTTTCACAGTTGCATATTTTGCTTCTGCTCCATTGTAGCTTCTCTCTAGCCTGTGTTGATTGGTAAAACTTTGAGGGTTAAATGATGTAATCCCTCTCTTGTTCTCTCTTGTTTTCTCCTCAGGCTGACCCCATGTCTCTTGATGCTCTCAGTGCTCTTAGCAGCACATTACCAGCTGATGCACCCAAACCTGATCTCCCAAAACTAAGACCAGAGGACATTGTCTCAGTATGTCACATGTCCACTCATAAAATGCTCACACATGAAGCTGACATTGTTGCAGAGAGTTAGCCCACAAACCTTTTGTAGATGCACAATTTTCCTCTTCTGTGATTTTGAAGTATGCTGATTTGTCATAGGGTTTTTTTGGGGAAATAGAGCCTGCCTATTTATGTCTAATTTTCTTTTTTCCTCATGTCACAGGAGGACAAACACAAGAAGAAGAAGGGTGTGCGTGTAGGAGAGAGAGACGACACGATCCATCCAGACTACAGGTTCAACAGGGAGGAACTCGAAAAACTGCCTGCACCAAAACCTGAGGTGAGACTGAGACAGATTACTGTCAGACTGTTCATCTTAAACCTTGAGTATGTCCATCTCTTACAGTTATCCATAAGATATAAACACTTACGTTGTGTGATAATGACATATTGATCCCTCTTTCTTCTCCTCCTTGCAGCCCACTATTGGCACTGGTGAGGCTCTGGACATTTTGTCTGGAGACTTTGTGACCTCCTCCGCAGCTCCTGCTGTCCAGGCTCCTATTTTCCAGGCTCCTGTTGTCACTCCCTCAGCTCCTCCTGCCCAGGTACATAAAAAAGATAACCAAACTGCTAGCCGTTGCTGTGAATTATACCTGCACCTGTATTTTTCAGTGGAAAAGTCATTTAGATGTTAAAAAAGCAAAAGCTTCAGTGCTTATCTGATGTTTTTATCTACTATTTTTCTTTGTTTCTGACAGCCATCTGCAGACTTTGATCTGAATGCCCTAGCAGGAGAAATTGTTACCTCTTCTGCTGCTACAGCTGTGCAGTCAGCCGCTTCACTTCCCACAGAGGCTGACCCGACGGTAACCACACATCTCAAACTACTTTTGAGCTTTTTACATCTAATGAATCCCTGCAGTTAGATCAGCATCTCTGTTTGTGTTTGTGCTCTCAGCTGTTTGCAGGAGATAACAACGCCCTGGATGCTCTGTCAGACACCTTGAAGGATATCAAACCTGCTCCCCAGCCTGTTCCAGTTCCTGTCAAAGACGTAGTCAAGGTAACCTCTGCCAGTGCTGCCTCCATCCTCAAACTAGCATGAGAGAAAATCCTTATTTTCAGAGCGCTCAGACAAATGTTCACCCCTCGCTTCAGCTGCTTTGGTTTATGGTTGTTGCAGGAGAAGAAGGTGGTTGAGGAGAAGCTGATAAAGATGGGCGAGAGAGACGACTCACTGCCTCCAGAATTCAGACCCACTGAGGAAGATCTGAAGGTGAACTGAACTACTCCAAGGATATACCTATTTGAAGTATTACTTTAGCAGTAGTAGTAGCTTCACCGTGTCTAATTTTTTTTTCATAGAAAATGGAAGAAGAAAAGGCCAAAGCAGCTGCAGCACCCAAGGAGGTAAAGATGCAAACACACTCTCATAGACTGTATCTGGGAGCAGTATTCAATGCTATACTCTGCATACTTCCTCTGTGGGTCATGCACATAGTTTGACTCTTTAACCTCCTCTGTCTCTCCGTAGAATCCCATGGACGACAAAACAGCCCTGGACCTGCTGTCCAGTGACTTCTCTTTTGCTCCTCAGCCAAAGGTACCGGTCATATGTCATGGAGCTGAATCAAAGAAGATGGAAGCTCCTGTGCTGGAATCAGAGCCCCAGAAGGTAGAGCAGAAATTAACTGTGAAGGGAAAAACAATCAAAAGAATATTTAAGTCCCAGCTTATGATTCTTGTGCATTCCTGCCATGTACTTCTTAGAGTCCACTTAAATGATAGAACAAGTTTCAATGCTGAAGTTGCTTTCTTCAAATTAAAAGTTTAACAAGGTGCAAGCGTGGTAATCAACACTCAGCAGCAAATGTAACTGTTGCGTATGAAAGCTGCAATGTTTTAGTTTTTGGCTCTAACTGCACCACTGTCTAAAACTGATTTTTGATTATTTTAACCTCATCTATGCATATTATTATCCTTTCATTTTTTCCAGCCTATGCCTGGTGCTGTCCTTAAGTCCATGGCCAGCCCCCTGGTCCCAGATGACCCTGTGTCTCAAACTAAGCCAGACAAACCGAAGGTAAAATTATCTTCATGAGAGTGGGATATGAGCGGACTCCAGCAGATTGCATTATTTGGGAATTTTGGACAAAATCTGGACATAAATTTATCAATTATTTGTCTTACTGAATGATCCAAATTTAAAAGCAGTCGCTCTTAATCTTATTCATCATGATTTATGATCGTGTAGTGTTCAAACTACGAAAATTGTGACTCTACAGTCACCTGTTTCTGTGTACAATCATCTCTGATCATCTCAGTGATAGACCTTTCAGTTCAAACTAAAAGCATTTTGGAAATCATCTACAATTTGAATAAGAGTTTTAATTGGAAGTTTCCATAAAGGAGTTGGCATATTAATTTTCCTTTTTCCTCATACACCTTTTGCTTTGACGTTTGAAAACCACAGGCCTCGATCTAAATCTTTTGAAGCCTGGCATCTTGTGTAAAACCTACTATTGGCTAATGGCACCTTACAATAAGGTACATGATGTTCAAAATTTTCATTGTTGGATGGCGCCCCCTGTTGGCCACTTAAAAGCACTAAGTGTACCGGTGGTCTCCTCCTCATGGATCAAAAATCTGCTCCGGTCCCTAACCAAAATGTCAAATTTGTTCCAGGGCAAGCACAAGTCAAAGTCAAGGTCTAAAGTAAGCAAACTGCCTGCTGCATGAAGACCTCAATCAATCAGATATGTACAATGATCAACTATGACTGCATCTGTGTGGTTAAGATTAAACACACACACATTGCTTCAAGGAGAGAAAGTGAAAAAGCTGCATGGGAAGCACTCTTCTACTTCTGTTTCATTGATTTTTTTCAGTGGAAATCACCTTAAATTTGAAATGATCATGCATGTGAAGGTGGGGCTGCTTCTTTCTTTGCATTTATCTTTTATTTTTGAAAATTAACCCTGTATTTTAGAAACACCGAGGAGCAGAGGATCCATCTGCATCTGACCATCTCCCTGCTCAGCCAAGCTCAGATGTTGTGACCACATCTTCAAAGAAAGGAAGCAGGAGATAGATCACTCAGTAAGGTTTGTTCTCCACTTGTGGTTTTTTTCTACCCGGTGAAGCTGTACCATGCTCAACATGAATCAGATCAACACCCACGTCTTTGAACTGACAGCTGGATGTGTCGTTTGTTGCAGGTTGTTGGTGCAAATCGTCCTTGTCGCCAAAGGGATGCATTATTGAGAGAGCTGCTCGCTGGATAATGTTTCTATTTTTCTAAAACATCAAGAATGTATACTGGATGAAAGAAAAAACACACACAAACCAATGACGTTTAAAACACACACACACATACACACACACACACACACACACACACACACACACGAACATGCAAAAACACATCTGAGTGTGGCGCCTTTTTGCTGGGTGAAGCTTGTATTTAAGGATGAGAAAATTTTGATTTTTAACAAGAAACAATAAAAGAATTTAAAGACAAGTTGGAGGTAGAGGAATGAGTGAAGAATAGACTGAGAAAGGGAGGAAACAGCGGGGAAAATGAAAGGTTAGAGACAGTTTGTTGGTTGGTGTATTAAGCGTGCTGAGGGAAGGAAGACGATGCTCATTGGAGTCTTGTATGACCACCTCAGCTGACAGTTTCTACTTTTCCAACAACATCCAAAAGGAGAACAGACCCCCTAACTAAGCCTGGTGGTGTTGTCAGGTTGGAGAGGTTGCGACTGTCAGCTAAAGTGGGAGCAGCACAGAGTGGGTGTTACGTATCGGGATGTTTGTGCAATCTTGATGTACACAGAAAATCCAACTTTTCTTTTGTGATGTGGGGAGATGCCATTGAGACACTAGTGTACAGCTTAGTTTGCTTTTTGGACAACACATAGTTTACGTTTCTGATAATGTGGAGGATTTCCAGGAGGTGTTCTGCTTCAATCTGTACTCGAGAGCTTCTTGCAAATGCCTTATACTTTCTAAGGGTCTTTTGTATGTATTTGGCCTTGTAAAAAAAATACTGGTGTCCTAAAGTGCACTTGGTAAACAACGGCTTTTACAGACTTTGTAAACTGCCCTTGTTTGTATACTGTAAAAAAAAAAAGATTTTTGCTCTACCTGAACACTGTATACTTTGCAAAGGGCTTTCATATGTAAAGTCAAAAATCACTTTTTCAATTTTTTTTTCATGTCAAGGTTTTGTGTGGGTGTGAGTCAAGATATGAGAGATGTGGGAGTACTAATTGAATAAAAAGAATTTAAAAGTCAGTGCGTGTTTGGTTGTGTAATTTGTCCCAAAGAAAAATTTCAACATAAACTTCAGAAAATCATCCATAACTGTTTTAAGGGGAGCATAAAATGTATTTGAATAATAAATACAAGTAAAAGAATCTCCTTTGTGAATATTTTTCTTCCCCTCTCTCTTGTAAATTTAAACTCTATGTTCAGCTTTCACAGCCCACTTCCTTTTCAATCGGTGGCTTAAAAAGAAATGACTTGCCTAAACTTGTGTTTGAAAAAATCATATTCTGTGCCAAAAAAGAAAAATGAAATAAGAGAGAGGATTTTATACGTATGCGAAAATAGATAAAAATAATAAAAAATTAAGAGATTGCAAAAAAAGGAACATTAAAACATACAACATTACATATACAACATTTATATTTTTGTGTCTAAGTTTTTGACAAAAACTGAGTGGGAGAGTTTCTAAAAACCATAAATCAAATTTAACTACTACTACTAATTATAACTATTATTGTTGTTGTTATTATTAAAAAGAAAGGACTGAATACTGTAAGCAGGTTATGGTAAAGATTTAAAGCTTTTATTGTTAATGAAAAATAAAAAAAACCAAATGCAAAATCAATTATATACAATCAGTAAGAAAATACAACAAAAACTAGCAGATCAGCTCAGTTTTAAAAATGTATCCTTAGAACTGAAGTGGTTTCTTATATTCTTTGCACTCATGATGGTTGAATAAACATGTTTAAATGTGTTAACTGCAAACGAAAGCAAAGTGTCATAAAGCAAAGAATTCAACAAGATGACAGCAAAATGGTTAAAAAAGATTTCTGAAAAAATCAAAACAGCGCAGTACTTTTGGTGTGAAAAACAAAAAAACAAAAACATAATTGAATAGAGCCCCTTTTACTTTACATACGTCTGTTGGGCATCGCTTGTTTTCCAGGAGGCATCGGCCGGGGCCTAAATCATGTGAAAAATAGTATAAAAAAAAGACATGTAAAAATACTGATTATGTTTTTATGTTTTTATCTATTTAAATTTGTGATAATTTTTTGGCAACATTGAATTTAAATTCTTGATCTTATAACTGATATTTTGCAAATACTTTCATGCATCAAGAAATCAAATTTTGTTTTCCTTTTTTATGCGTTATATCCCAGGTGGCATGTAAAAACACTGAAACTACAAAAATCACACTTTCCTAAACTTAAATTTATAAATAGATTCCTGTAAATTATATTGCCGAGAACAATGGTGCTTATTTTAGTCAAACCAAATCTCTGACAGTAATATGAGTTACATCTTGGCTGCGGGGTAGAATTATGTTTTTAGAGAGATTGATATAAAAGCAGAGCAACAAAAGGACTATTTTGTTAATTGGGAAGGTTGTTGCAAAGATCCTACTCAATCTAATGTTAGATATGAAGACCATGTTACTTACTTTCTTTTATGATGGTGGGGGCATCTCCGTGTGCGTATTTCTAAAACAAAATCAGGTCTATTTAAATACTTTACAAATACACTCACATGAAAGCAAAACTAGCAGAAAAGTTTACAAGAAAATCAAATTGAATATTATTCAACAAATTAGGCTGTAATCAACTCCATAACAGCTTTTCTTCAAGGTTAGAGCACTTACTATTGCAGTACAAAGCGGTGATGATGAGGAGTAGAAGAAGAAGGCCACAGCCACCAACAAGTGGGCCCAGCACAATAGGAGGACAAAGCATCAAGAAGCTGGTTTCCTCTTCTAAAAATACAATAGCTGATTCAATGTCTGTTTCTTATTTTTGTAACTATGAAGGTGATACACACAACATTGTTATTTGAAACATGTACCTTGTTCGGTCTTGTGGTCGCAGACACATGGCGCAGCAGTCGTGCATGATGGTGGTTTGGTGGGGATCGCTGGGGCTTCTGTTGCAACTTTAATTTTTTCTAAAGAGGGAAGAGCAGAGTGAGGGGAAGTGTGGCTAAATAGATTTAATCTTTTATCATAATTACAAATGAACAACACTGACCTCCAACCAGTCGTGTTACTGGGCCAAACTTCAATTCATACCCTTTCAGAGAGGCACAGCTGTAAACCCCACTGTCACGGGCTTTGCTGAATGCATTCAATGTGAGTGTGTTATGTTTGCCCTTTGAGTAACTGAAGATGGAAGAAAACAAGCTTGACGGATGCTTTAAATCACCAATAGCGTTAAAGGAGACAATGAACTCTATGCCAGCAGTGTCCAGCACTCGAAACCACACAATGGTGGAACCAGGCCCTTGAATATCACATTTGATGCTGTAACTCTGCTGTTCTCGTAACACGATGTCCTGGCAAGCTCCTGTAGTAATTTCTAAAGAAGGTGAAAAATGAAGGCAGCCATATTAATCACCACTTGAAGGCACGAAACTACAACACAAGCTATGAAACACTTGAACAGTTCCTCTAGGGGTCAAAAAATGAGTACTGGTAAAATGTAGAACACACTTACTTTGACAAAAGACCAGCATCATGAGAATCTGCGTCCACTTCTGGTCCATTTTAATCCACCAGACAGCAAAAACAGTAAACTTGTGTTTGTGGTGTTTTCGATTTCAGCCGGAGATAATTCAGTAAAAGACTAAACCACGCCTCACCTGCAACCTTATTCTCTGCTATGTCAAATGAGATCATTGCAATAGTGTTGCAGGGGCCTCCTGCAACACAGTTGTGGCCTGCAAGCTGTTTGAAGTGAAGCCCACCAATGTGCACTTCCTTGTTAAAGCATCGCACAAGCTTTATTCTCGATAAACTGACACACAAACGCAGTTGTAAAAAGTATGTCGGCTGCTGAGAAAGTGCACTTCACACGCACGTTACTCGTTCTGTGTGGCAGAATTCAAACACAGCCCCCCACTATTTCAGCACAAATCAAAAGTTGAATTTTAAAGGATATAACATTCATTGGAATCATTTTAATAAATAATTTCAACAGCAGGGCACATATTTGCTCTTTGAACAATCCCTTCTAGATGCTGGGCTTATGATGCTCTGTAGTTGATTTTGGCTTTTTCCTCCGTTGAATTTCACACTGTATTTGTAAAGGGACCCGAAACATCATTAAAGATTTTCTTTTGATGCCCCCGATGATTTTTTTGGGTGGGTTGGACAATTTTCAAATGCACAGATCTGAAGAGTTGTTCTTTTTAAGACATTCAGTAACACTTTATATAAACCTAGCTAATATAACTAGTTTTGACCATCTTTAATAAATGTTTTACATCCATAATGTACAGATCAGTTCTTCAAAACAAATTGCATACACACAAAGCATAACAATAAAGAAATAAAAACTGTTAAAAAAAAAACTCCCAAAAGAAAAAATAGACAAACAAAATAAAAACAGCAACAACAACTAAAGAATGTCTGTTTTACATGAGCCCACTTATTACATAGCATCATAAACACTTTCATAAAGCCTTATAAATGCATCGATCAGGATTGGTATTAAGCATAGTGCCTACTAAAGGTTTGATTTAAAAAGCTTTATACCTTCATGCAAAAGGAAAATAAACTGCATTTTTGAAAGGTTCAAAATGATGCCATTCTTTGCATTATACCTTATTATAGAAATCACATATACATGATTATTATACATAGAATGGTTTCTTTTGGGGCCTTTATAAGATGCTTTTTTTTCTTGTGCATGAACATATAATGCATTTATATCATACCTTTATTTGCCATTGTGCTATTTTTAGAGTTTTTATTTTGTTGTTGTCATGTCTTGTGCACATATGCAGTTTGTTTTAAAGAACTGAACTGAACAATATGGATGTAAAACGATTATTACAGACAATCAAAACTAACTGTAAAAAACATGTATGCTATACGACATACTGATGGTTTCTTTGTCTGCAGGATGATGGAATCTGCTTTAATGGTCAGTGCCTGCTCATGTGTTTGCTTTGGTTTCTTTGTTCAACAGTTTACAGGCATCCTTAGCTACATTACACCTGTCAAATTGTGGCACTGGTTCATTTGATTAAAACTCGGTAACGATGTGTATAATTGAAAAAATATATTTTACATTACGAAGCAAAACTTACTAGACACTTACAGTAGTAGTTTTGTTACTGATATAGGGGAAACATTTTGGCTGCTAGATGGCAGCAAAAGCAGGACTCAAAGCTCTTTGATTGATGACCAGGAAATTAATGAATTATCAGTCAAGAAACTGAAAAACTACAATAATCAGTACTTAAAAAACTGTGTTGATTTTACTCTAAAATAAGAGAACTAAACAAGTATGATCAGCAAAGTGGACATGTTTCTCCTGATTGCTCATAGGTCAAGTAAAGCTGCACTGAACTGGTTGGTGGGTCAATCAGAACTACAAATAAACATGTTGAGCAAAAGTAAAGATCACCCAGGGCATTAAAATGTGTTTTTGAATAACAAAGGCCAGCAACATACAGCATCACCCAAGTCTGCATGTTTAAAGCCTTACTGATGTAAGTAACCACCCCTTACATGAATTGCGAGAGCTACAGCATCTATGGTGCAACCTGGGGTCGTGTTTCCTGTTCAGTGATGTAAAGTTAATGCACCAATTTAGTAGTGGGCAGAATGTGCTGACATTTTGCTTTTTTTTTGTTTTAAATGGGGGATTATATGTTTCCATGAGTGGGAGGCCAGAAACAGAAACAGAGAAGAGTCAGATAAATCAAAAACATCTGCTTAAGATTTATTTTCACCCTATCAGATTATTACCTTTTCATAAATAACTTTCACATGTATTTCAAATGAAAGCCTCATGGAAACCAGAGACTGGTTTTGTGTGTTTACGGTAAGCAGGGGATTCTGTTGATGCTTCGTTTCAAAAGGGGGTCACAGTCAGAACGCTCTCAGCCCACTTCACCTTCCATACCTCTGTTTCAGACTTGAGTCATTAGCAAACACACCTGCATGGGCTTCCCTATTAGTCACACTGGGGGTCTCCAACCTGAAACTTACATCTGAGAAAGCGTGTGTGTGTTTTGAGAAAAAAGTGGGTGCCCAGGGAAAGCCAGTTAGAGAGCACCCTGCACTGACACTGAAATTTAGTCATCGCAGTGGTCTTGTCGTTCTGTTATCTATACAGCCAAATCAGCATCATCAAACGCCTTTGCTCATCAGTTTGGCTCACCTGTCTCTGTTCTGTTGCTGTACTGACAGTTCCAGGCATTATGGGAAGTAAAGTTGTGAAAAAAGAAACCAAGACCAACAAGAGGAGTAAGTACAAATGAAGAGAAATGGAGGAAGCTCATATGCAGTGTATAAATCTGTGTGCAAATGTTAGTTGATCATTTCTCTTCTGACTGAGACTGCCTGTTAGCAAAGTTTATACTGGGGATGTGAAAGAAAGACAATTGCATCTTAAAAATGCTCTTTTTGGCTTTTAGAGGGACTCAAACCAGATAAGCCTGTTTTCATTGCTCTCAAAAAAAATTATTTGTTTTCACACACATTTTTTTTACTCATCCATTCTGTGTAAAAATATTGTGTACAAGGTACTCATCTAGCAGACTGTCTCATGCTCATCTTCATGATTTCTAAATTTGATTGTGTACGACCACGCTCAGTCGCTCAAGACTGACAAATAAAGCGTGTGCTGACATATTTCATAACGTTTTCTCCGTAGGATTTCACAACGAACAGCCAAGTTTTTGAGTCTGTATGGTTTAACATGATTGCGTCATATTTACACATGGAACAAGGCATTTGAACATTTGTCTTAATATTTTGAGTAACTATGAAATTGTACAGAGTTTTAATACAAGACGCTGCATTTATCAGAGCTGATTAATAATATTCAGCACGCTGCATGAGGCTGTTCTCTGCAGACGTGTTTTGCCATTACAATTGCTCCACAACTTAAAGCTAACAGTTATTATGAATTCAACTAGAATGTTTTTTTTTCACAACTTTTTTGGACTTTGAAATACAAATGAAGGTTTCTTTTTAACTGTTTCTACATCTTGAACTTTTGAACAAAATTAGACATGATCTGCATAACCAACTTTTCACTTTTACATTGTCCCTAAGGCAGTTCAAAATAAGATAGGGTACATTATTTCAGTGTAAACATTTATCAGAATAACATGCTGGATACAGTACACATAAATGGTCCACAAAACTGATGTCCATGATTCCCTAGCTTCATGTTTTCTCCAACAAAGTATCATTTTTGTTGTAGTATTTTAATTACATTTATCCCCAGAAAACAGCAGAAAACTTTATTAACATCCCCTTAATCTACTGCTTCCACATACGTACCTAGATCTGTAGATATGTAAATTGAAGCATTATTTCTTTGAACATTAGCAATAAATGAAAGTTATATAAGAAGTACTCATTCAGTGTGTAGTGTAGCTTTGACATGCTAATACTATTAGAGGAGCCTTTGTTTAATTCATGTTCTCATGTTTACTCACTCGTACTTGTGCTTGTGAATTGTAGCTGTCGCATATTGTGCTTAGAAATGTTCAAACACTTTTCCCATCCGAGCATGCCGCTCACTTTTTGAAGAGGCAGATGAATGTACTCTTTATGTACTTTGCTTCATTGTCAATTAAAGATAACATAGAAAATGTTTAAAGTAAAGGCAATGTAAACAGTTGTTTGATTTGGAAATTACATTTAGCCACTGTTGACTGTGTTTCATTATTCTAGATATAAACATATGCTGATGTGAGTTCTCTAAAGCTGCTGATATTTCAGGAATGCTTCAAAACCATTTTTTATTTAATTCAGTGTGTTAAATGAGTCTGTTGATAAAAATGCATTGTAAAATGTATCGTTTACAATAAAATATCCTTGTACTACAAAAATGCATGATCTTTTACTTCTTTTCTTTCAAACTCTACTTGTGTTCGCCGTCAGTGTTTGTGGTTCAGTCTGTGGTATTTTTGTGGTTTTTTTGTTTCAGAGACTAGATGAAGAGCTCAAAGTTAAGTGACGAGATAGCATCACGGCGAGCATGGCTCCGAACACAAAACACAGGAAAGAGTCGCTCGTACTCCTTGAGACCCAAGCAACCGCCAACCCAGTCACTTTTTTTTACAATCCCTCACTTAACACAGGTGCATGTAGGGATGTGTGTGCAAGAGAGGGGGTTAAAGAGTGACAGAGAAGAAGTGCATAAGTGAGAAAGCAAAAGACTCAACTATCTGTGAAAGACACTTTAATTTGAATGCAAAACAGTTAAGATTTCTGGTACTTTACAAGGAAGCTTCGGAACAGAAACTGAATGTGATGCAAGGTTACACATCAAAAGGTAATGGAAGACACAAAACTCTGCCTCTCACCTACACAACTTCCGCAAAGCACAATATTGGCAATGGATGTACAACACCCACTCCCAAACCTCTCTTCTTCTTACATATACATATTCACAAACCTGTTAGAGTTACAACATGCTACAACTTTTGAAGATGGGAACTTAAACTGTGTACGTCATAACTTCACTTGAATACATAAACATTGATTTATTTCCAGGTTTTACTTGAAAATACAACTACGAATAATACAAAAAATGCAACACTTAAATGGGAAAAAAAAAAAACAGTTTTATTCATGTAATGAACACATGATAAGACTAACTATCTTCATCCTAATCTCTCGGTACCCTGAAGGTCAGAGCTAAAAGTCGAAGACCTGCAGTTATGTGAGAAAACAAAAAAAATCTGATTAATGATATTGTCACCTGCATGAAGATAATCAACGAATGTCAAAAGATGGTAAGTTGAAGTACATAGTCAAGAAAGAAGTTAATAGAGCTCAGAGGAAGTCTTGAGATGAACATAAAAAAGGTCAAAATATTACAACACGATAGTTGCTGAGGCTGAAATCATTGATCTCCTCTCTGGATGATAGCACATTTCACTATAAATAAACATCACACGTTACAGGCGCCATGCCATGATTTCATGCTCCACAGGATGATGACTCAAGAGAAACTCTTCAACCCCTGCAGAACACCAAGACAAGGTTTTGGATTTAACACATTTAATTAATCTATTTTTACATGAAAATATTTAATGGTAGATAGAATATTCATGTATACATGAGTAAATAAAAATGCACCACTAAGGTACGTACCTCAGTCAGCTGTAAGACAGGCATGCAGTTCATTTGTTGTTGTTTTTTACCGCTTCCTTTAAGTATTAAAAGAAACAAGTTGGAGTATCAGTAAACTACAGCAAGTCAAAAAGGGAAGAGGATTTTTCAGTAATATACTTACTTCACAAAGTGGTGTTTACATTTTTTGGGTAGCCCTACAAGCAAGAGTGAAACACAAAATTTAAACGTACATTTAAATGTACATTTTGCGCATTGCAAAATTTGTGAGCTTAACTGGTTGAATCACTTGACACCAGTGTGTTTTTTCCCCACAATATTAAACTGGTGGACCACTCACGGCTGAAGTAGTAAAGCATGCAGAAAAGGGTCAGAGCCAAGGTCGAGATAATGCCAACTAATGGCCACAGAATCAGGGAGCCGCAGTCATCTGAAACAAACACAATCAACGTTCAGTGCGTGTTTTTAAATTATATTTCAGCTCATTTCATTTGAGCCAGGTGACCAATCCTACCATGGTCAGTAAATGGTAACTGTGCTGTCTTGACGATGCTACCCCCTCTGCTCCATTTATCTCTTTGCAATTTAGTAAAGGGCACATGGATTATATCCCCATTCATTGACTAATAACACTAGTTATGCACCCCATAAAAAACATGTGCTAACAAGTGCTTCTCTTTCTCTGTGAAAAACCACTTACCCTGCTGAGAATTATCCTCAGAGCAGCGACAGGGGACCCGTGGTTTGCTTTTTGTCACAGGAGGAACAGTTGGAGGGCTGACTGTCCAATGAAGACCAATCGTAAAAACAAGATATTAGAAAACTGCAGTTAAACAAGAATTCAAATGAGTTTTACTTGCATTAACCAACTCGAACAGTTACTACACATTCTTTTCCCCACCAAAAAAACAAATTTAACCCTGTTTGATTTTTTTTAGAACACATCATGCATGCTGATTTTCTTTGTTTGAAGCTTCATCACAGCCACAGAAAGCCGGTGGACATTTCATATTGGGATCCTTACTTTCTGACTTAAAGACACTGAAATTATCACAGGAGTTTTTAAATGTATATGAATGGTATTTAAAAGATGAAATTATGTAGATACAATTTAATCTCTCTTTTTTAAATTTGTTCTTTAATCTTTGGTGTGAAATCACCAGAGAGGCAGCACTTAAAAGGGCTCGACCAGAAAGTTTTTTTTTGAAACATATTTTTCTGGTATAATTGTCGCGTATTACATTATGTATAAATCTGTTTTAAAGTCCATTTCTTATTGAAGCAACAAGTGCCACAGGGAATGTTTAAAGTGTCTATGATGAGTGGTTGGACTAGACAGGAGAAACCGCTTGAGAAAGACGGACTACAAGAAACCCAGTGCTTAAGATTTGGATCAAAATTGATGCCTGAGGAGGACTGTAATGGCACAGATTTTTTGTTTAAATGAGATAACTGTCCCATTTAAACTATGATTTTTATTTATTTTGCATAGAAGTGCATTTTAAGGTTATGTTAAAAAAATTACATTTAAAATAGCAGAGAAAGTGCAGTCACCCTGTATGAAAGGAAAGGACAAGTAATTGTTCAACCACATTGTATGAATTCAAACTTGGGATGTCTAAGTAATATAGTAGTCAGTCAGAGGTTACGTAGTCAGAAAGTTAATTTAATGTGGTACAATAAATGATTTTGCTTTCCATCAGCATGATCTTCTCCACCTGTGACATGCATTTGGAGAACGCTATGCGACTCTCACAGCCAGTTGAACTAAACATTTGATATTTCACTGCATTAATGTTACCCTTTGAATACTGAGCATACAAACCTCCAGGCAGAAGATGAAACCCAGGCCTCCACATCTCTGAGTTTTTCCTGTCCTTCACAACACAAGAATAAATCCCTGTGTCCTCCTGGGTCACAGAATGGATGCGAAGCGTAGATAACCCACCGTTCTTGCTTAATTTGAATTTTGTCTTATCGACACCATCTCCATGGGTCTCACGGTTGGCATTGTTGCACTTGCCAATGAACTGGACTTCTTTAGTATGGGAGATGGTGCGGAACCAGAACACCGTGTCACAAGAGATGTTAGCGCAGTTACAGTCAATGGTCTCATTGCTGAGTAACTTAGGATAACGAACACTGACACTTTCTTCTTTCAGGATCGGGCTAAAACCTAGGACTGTAAACAAAAGGACTTTGTGAGTTTTTGACAAAAAGACATGCAGAACATTAAAAGACATCTACATTACCTAGATTCTTTTACGAGTAAAAAGTAAAACTCAAAAGCAAAATGTATTTTCTACAGCATGGTTCGTACATTATCTGGTCTTTACCTTTATAAAAGGGCTAAGAATCAATTCATGTGTAATTTTTCCTTGACACACAACTGATCACCTGTGTTGTAAAGAATAAACATGCCTCAAGCAGGGCAGAAGACATATACCTGTCTATACCACCAAATATACAGAGTGCTGTTGCAAGAATGGAAATAAAATCCACTGGAAGAAACCCAGTAGATGTTGAAACTCTGTGGAGGTGACATTTAGAGAGTGCCTTTCTTAGCATTTACGCAAGGTAAAAACTATGTAGGTATGCAGTAATCAGAGTCGCTGTCAGTAGACTTATAAAATATCTAAAGAGGTCTCTAAAAGGCTTCCAGAGAAAGACAAGTTCAGGATTAAGGTTACGATGGTGTTTTAAACATTCATTATGTTCTTCCAATCGCATACACTTTTTCTCCATTGTGTTTTGCTCGAAAACTTGCTAAATCATTTAATTTTTGCCCATTGTAGTGCTGTACATTACAAATACTACTTATTTTATTTGCCATAGGAAAATCACTGATATAATTATAATTTGAAAACTGTCTTCGATATGGATCTACTGCTAGCGCTTATTTGTATTTGATTACCTTTGCAATCGACATTGTGCTATCAATCCAAGTTGTGCACATTACATTTTAATTGCTTGAAAGCTTTCAGAACTTACACCAGCTGAAACACAATAATACCTAAAATAATTCTGGGATATGAATTTACAGTAGCTATCATGGAAGTTTGAGCGCTGCAGTTTCAACAATAAACCAGAGGTTACGGAGTGAAAACAGCCCGTTTCATTTATTGGACTATCAAAAACAGTTTTCCCTCTGCTGCACAAGGAGTTTAGACCAAGTTGGATGATTGTAGACATCGTTTAAATCAAAAGAACAATGTTAAGCTTTAGCACACAATAACACAGCTGTCTCAACAGGCCTCTGACTGACCTCTTGATATTGAGTCTACCGTCGCAAAGCTAGACAAAACGACAAAGAGGGAAACATAGTGGTCTTACCTGATGTCCACAGTGATGCTATCGACAGTGTCCATGCCAGTGACAGCAGGATCATTTTTCTTTCCGCCGGTATGTGTGTCTACGTGTTAGTATCTTGACTGGTAGCAAAAGGACAGTGCTGAAAGTTTCTTTTCCTGTTATCTATCTGTCAGAGATGATGGGAGGATCTGAGCTGACAGGGCACTGAGTCGTCAGGGAAACACCCCACTGAGACAATGCAGGGCCTATCAGTGTGGGCTGACACAAGCCATGGGATTTTGAAAACACGCAATTTGTCACACACTGCTGAAATTATACACATTTGAAATGCACATGAAACAGTACAACTTGTGCTTACAAGAGTGCTGTATAAAGTATCAAGGGAGTACTTTTTATCAGACATTCCTAACCACATCAACTTTTTAAGTATACACTCCAAACAAAGAACACTGTGGCTCAGTGCAATGCAAGATGGGAGAGAGATGAGTACTGGAAACACACCACAGATCATGACATAACATACAGCTCAAATGCCCAATATGGTACGATACCTCTTATCAAGCAACAGAAAAACTTTTATATACAGAGCAGCAGTTTGCAGCGCTGTGGTCTTTTCCCAGGTGCATGACCCAGAGCTCAGCTGAGTCCTACATAAGCAATTGTTTGCCTCCCTGCAGTGCACAGTGAGAAAAAAATGAATAATGTCTGCTCTTTGGATGTAAAAAGAGCCAAAATTTGTCTTTAAACTGCATGTGCCATTGTTACCTGTTAAAAAAACAAAGTAACTCATTACACAGCTTGACATACTTTAAACCAATGACCACACTTAAAAGACTCAAGATATTCCTTTTGAAAACATTCATAATACAGATGCATCAAAGTAGGACACCAGGTTAGTAAAGTAACAACATAAAGTTAAGTGCTGTGCGCAGTATGAGGTTGTGAGATATTTTACAGCAACTGTGGTAAACATTATCTTACAATTTATTTATATTTTTTCTTTGCACAAGAGGCTCTGTACTTCTGAACGAAACATGGTTTAATGGATAGCTTTGGCCATCATAGTTTTTCTCACTTAGGCGCTGGACTGCCTTTCTTCAGAGATAGGGTGGATAGCAGAATTTGTTTGGAGTCTGCAATTGCACTGCCTAGCTCAACCTTAAAGAAAGCCTTGCTTTGGTCACGTGGGGGCTCGTCCTCTGACAGTTTTAAAAGTAAGGAGATCTCAAAGAGTGATAGATTTGCACTACTTAAAGTGCATTTACTGATCTTACAGCTGTTTGACTCATGCAGCAAGTAGAGTCTTCACTGTGCTCTTTTTGTAAAAACTAAAAACCCCATATCAGTATGATCTGAAAATGCATAAAAAGAGTTCTGCCTTTTCAAATTATGTTGAATTCATTTACAAAAAAGAAAAAAGAAAAACAGCACAGACTCTGGCTGCGCAACTTGATGAATGGCTTCACCACCGCCGCACAGCGTCTACACCCTATGAGTGGGGTCGAAGGATCAGCGACACAGAACCTGATCCTCGGTCCTGTACATCATTGCGTAACATTCACTTAATTTTACAGCTGCTTCAGGTCTTTCTTACATTTTAGGCATTATTTAGAGTGATAATTAACACTTCACAAAAATAAAATTTCATGCACAAGAAACTAGCAAATCAGTCTGAAACAGAAATGATACAAAACCCAAATACTCTTCTCTTCACTGAGAAGACCCTCAGATCATGATGAAAAAGAGCCAAAATTCTTAGATGGGAAATCACTATATTCACTTATTTCAAGGTCCCAACGGTGTATCAAAAGATTTTTTTTTTAAATTAAATGCCATCCAATGACAAAAGTTAATTGTTTCCTGCTCTATAAAGCAAAGGAAATCAGCAAGTCTTTAACATTTCTGGAACCATTAATGGAATTTTTGCTCAGCATATGGCCTCAACAGAAGTTTTTGAATCTCATAAGAGCCTATACTCAGCTATTCTCACATGAAAGAAGGGTTTGGCATGCAGTTTGTTTCTATCCTATCTATAACACAAACAAAAAGTCCCTACACTGTCTGAGGTGGTATTAGAATTTATTCGTTTTAGCATATAGGTGTTAATAGCTTTGGGAGGTATGTTGCATTTCAAAGACTCACTTGAGATATGCATTGAGATATGTATTACAATGAAGATAATACAGTATGTCACACTAACTGGATTCATTTGGGGCTGCGAGTCTGTGGTATCAAAACTGGCATGTCTGGTTCATCTTTAAGTATCATCTTAGAAAAATGAGAACTTGTACCCTTTGGATTTGGTCTGTGAAGTGTTTTGAGCACATGGGGATGGTTACAGAGCAGAATGGCGTGGCGGGGGTCTTAAAGTAAGAGGATGTGGGCACTCTGTAGCTCTACGGGGGTCGAACACTCGAGAGAGTCAGGGAACGAGACCGCAGGATTCTTTGAAAACAGGAGATCTCAGGGGGCTTCAGAGCTGTTCTCTACACATCTCTGAGCCTTTCTTCATCTGTCTCTGACGCCTTCAGTCAAAAGGCGTCTCCTGAGAAGTTTGCTGCCTATTTCACTTCTTTCTTAACTCAACTCTCATAATAGTTTGAGCCTCTAGACAAGACATCTAGATAAATCAATGTAACTGTGTATATTATTGAGCAGCCTATTATCTCATAGCTTGTCAAATACCTACATTTGGTCATTACCTGTTCAGCATTTCATATTCATGCACGAGGTAGTGCAAACATTTAGTCCTCACCAGCTGAGCTTAAGCAAATCCTACTTAAAGCGGAGCCTTTATCTCATACACTTTGACCTACTCTGTGTAGGTGATAATTAAATCTGTTCTGTAACTTCTCTGATCAACATTTGCCTTAGCTGAGCACTGACTTTTATATGAATAAAACTGGTTTTGCTAGAAGTCTGCCTTTAAAAGAACTCTAGCCACTGTTGCCGAGTGCATGCTTATAGTGACACTGAGGGACTGTAAATAATATATATCAATATATCAAAAAGTATGGTCCAACCTGCTCTACCCAGTTATGTCTTTCTCCCCTAAATTATCTGTGCTACGTTTTGACAAGCTGTGTTAAGTACATAACTCTGAGAGTCCTAATTCAATTTAGCGCCTGATACATGTATATCAACAAAACAAGTCCTACACTCTTACCCTTAAGACTGTTCATAGATTTTACATCCAAAACTCCAAACTCAAATTGGTAATGAAAGAAAATGAGGACGTTGATTTCTGAATAAAGGGATATGAGGCAAAGTCCAGCCTGTTTTGGCAGGTTTGGAAACTCATTTAAGAAAGCTATAACTCCAACACAAGATACCACGGAAGTGTTGTGTAAAGAATAACTACGCTGTGCGGAAGAGCTCTTACAGATGCCATGGTAGTTTTTACAAAATGTTAGACTGCTTGAAACTTCTGAGGCCACACAAAGTTCAGTGTGCTTATATGTAAGAAAATTGGAGATTGAAAATTGTTTTATATATGAAAAATGTACTCCCAGCCTCTCACAGTTAAATTCATGCAACTGAACATGAAATCTGAAGTTTTTTCAGAGTCGTCCTTAGCTGAACTCCTGCACCTGTCTGACCCCAAACACATTCTGCTGTTTGGTTGCGCAAAGACATCCAAAACACAAAAAATAGTGCACCATCTCAGCCCTCTGTTTTTTTAAGAACTTGTGTGTATTAATTTTTTTTTTATTTCTATTTTTATGAGATCTAATGGCTTTCCCACTGTCCAAATGTCTCCAAGTCCAGGCACACACAATTTCAAAGGAAATAAAATGATAAAGCCTCTATCTATTGTCTTTTATTAAGTTTACTATGGCTCCAAGTGAGGCTCAACACTGCCAACCACAGGCGGCTGAAGGTATCACAATCTACCAATCCTTGCAGGGAGCATAGATACAAAACAAAAGACAATTTAACTAGATGTGGAACGAGGTTAAGAGAACATCTTGCTCTTTAGAAGTGAAATGAAAAAAAAAATGTGCAAATTACATTTAAAAAAAAACATTGAGTATCTCAGAGAAAAGAAAAACATAATCGCTGTGGATTTCTGTGCAAACCAACTCAAAAACAGAATTCATTCATTTTTCACATACACAGCGACTGTGGATTACTAGCTAGCATCAGACTTTTGTGTAGCAGAAACTGAAAAATGTATTTGCTCTCTGCTACACAGATTACATTATTAAAGTGTCTGTGGATATTTTCAGTGTCAACTGAACAAAAAAATCCCAATTCAAGCTAAAATAGTCTTTTCAATTTAACAGCCCAGAATGGAGTCATCCCACAGTTTCTCATCCTCTGTCCTACTGTCTGCTTTCTCCTTTGTTTTCTTCCTCTCTTTCCTGTATTTGGGTTTGTTGGACTCATCCCCTCCACCACCTCCCTGCTCAATGTTCATATCAGTCTTTACATGCACTCCTCTCTCCTTTTTATTGTCCATCATACGCTCTGGCATTAATCTGTTTACCACTCTCTCTCCTCCCTCCTCCTCTGTGTTTTTTTCTTGCCTGTCATAGCGTTTCAGTTTTTTTTGCCTCTTCTCACCATCTGAATCTACAGAGTCTTCTATCCTTCCATTCCTCGATTCCTTACTTCTTTCCCTCCTTTGTCGTTTCCTCCTCTTCTCCATTTTGCCTGAGTCCTCACCTTTTGCCCTTTTGTCCCTCTCCCTCCTCGGTATTTGAATCCTCCTCTTTTTTGGCCGCCTGTACTCAATGTCATCACTGTCACTTGCACTACAGCTATAGGAGGAGGAATCTGAGGAGGAGTATGATGATGAGCTGCTATATGAGGAGGAGCTTGACTGCTCTCTGTGGCTCCTTTTCTTTACTGGCCAACTTGTGAATGTTGCAGAGCGTGTGCCTTGGAAGACCGGAGGAGGGCAGTTGTAATGCCAGCCATGGGGGGGCCATGGAGAGCCCTGATGTGGAGGAACCCACCCCTCACTTGGGTTGTACCGGTGTGGACGGGAATTATGAGTAAGATTAGAGGTGTGAGAAAGGTTGGGCATCGGCTTGTTCATTTCAAGTTCAATGATGTCCACTTTGACTGCAGCATCTTCGTCGCCTTCGACTTGGGTGGTCTTGGGGTTAATTCCACGGGCCTTCTGGACCTCAATGTAATCTGACAGCTCATCTGCAAAAGTGCTGTAGACTTTTTTTTGGGATTTGCAGAGGTCAGACACCTTCTTCCCCCTAAAAAAGAGCATAAAAAATTCTTTACAGAGTAATTGAATCTTTTATTTTTGAATTTAAGGAAAAAAGAGAGTTGAATTTTAAAGTAGGTTAAATATGATTTCAAAGCAAATAAATTCAGTTTTAAAACATTAAATACAGTTTAAAATCATGCTTTTCAAATTCAATATAATTATTCAATTTCAGTTTCTGGTGGCACAAATCTCAGCCCACAGTGCTGAACTTTAATAGGGCCAGTTTGAAGGTTAGTGTAAATAAGACAACGATTTCAGAGCTGTATAACACAATGACAGAGTTTGGGTCTGTTTGTCTTGATCCTACCTTGTATGATGCTTGTTTCCTTGCATGTGGGCCTGATACATCTCGACGGAGTTAAATTGTATGCTACACATCCTACACATCAGGGAGTTTTCTGTGAAAGAGGGAAGTAGATGATGATGAAGAGACACAAATACAGGTGTAAATACAGCAAAGGACCACAAATGAACAATTTGTGACACTCACAGCTTAAGTTGGCTGAGTTATCTTCAGATGACTAAATCATATCAATACATTCTATCTAAAACATGTTTTTTTATTTTTATTTTGGGGTCTTAAAGTCTTCTCTACAGAGTGATTTTACTGAGCCTACAACTATCAGTAGAAAAATTAACATCCCAAGATCTTAACTTAGCATTTGGGAAAAGTATTACTATTAGTCACAAACTAAACCTCAGCAATATTATCCAACACAAACCACCTCAACAAACTGCCAACAGCAGTCTGGTGTTCATGAGTTTTAAAACTTAAACCTACCTGCCTATCTCCTACCTTCTTTCTACCTCTTCTGTGATGAAATCTTCTTGACTGGTGAATTTCTTGTTGAAGAAACTGTCATTTTCAATTGTCTTGATTGTTTGTTAGTAAGCATCCTAACAAAGACATCTGTGCCTTGTGTTAAGTGTGTTTTTTAAAAATGTGCTGCTGCTGTCTTGGCCAGGACACCCTTAATCTCAACGAGGATTTCATGGTTTAATAAAATAAAATAAATAAATAAAATGCTTATAAGTATTCTATATACAATACAGCTTTGTTTGACTGTGCAGTTTTAATCTATTTCCTGCCTGGTCAATGCCTGTTGTATTTCAGTGATTTGCTGACTAGCAGGATCCTATTTTACCTTGTTGGACGTCATCTCCAAGCTCTTTGAGTATCTCCTGTCTGGCTTGATTCCTCTGGTGTTTGCGTCCGTTGTAATGCTGAAAAGCCATCTGAGGATTGTTGAATGGTGCAGCACACAGCCTGCAGTACTTGTTTGGGTCCTTAAGGTCGATCTCTGGACTTGAGACTGTTATAACAGTTTTTGGGTCAAGCGGATGCTCTGCATCACCGCCTGTTGTCGGGTTCTGGTCCATATCATCAGAATCCCGGGTCAGACCTGGTGAAGGGCTCACTTCCTTGCATGCCTCTACAAGAGCAAGAAGAACTGATCAGTCTAAGAGAATTCAGTTTCTAAAATTAAGCACATCTTGAATTAATCCAAACAAAACTTGTTCATCTGTAAACGCTTAGTTAATCCATGCATTATTTTTTCATCTCATAACTGATGCTTACCTGTGAGCTTGAGTCCTTTTTTCCCCAGATTTTTTGCATGAACTTTTCCCATATAGTGTGACCTTGCAACCACAGAGGAACTGAATACCATGTTACACAGCTCACAGAAACGGTCCTTATCACTGGTTGTGGTCTGCTACAGAAAAAAAGCACAAAACTGACTTTTGATCAGAAAGAAAACCTCAGTAAAAACTCAGTATTTTTAGGAAAATATCTACTAAATAATCTTCTCTAAGATACAAACAAGATAGATACGTTTGATTAAAATTCTACCACTGCTTGTATGAAGCTCAAAAAGTTGAACCTATTCACTTTTTGGCTATCCTGATCTCTTGAGCGGGATTGTGCTACGGTAGTTTATTGACATTGCAGTTTAAGTGTTTGAAAATACTCAAGTGTAAAATCTTCAATGAAGTGCTAACCTGTGACCCTGTGGAGTCTTTGTTTATCCTCTCAGCCCTCTTGGCCTGCAGGTACACTCTGACTCTCAGTGCATGTTTCTTTCCCTGTATATGGAAAATAAAAGAGGCATTATAATGTACAAGCCAATAACCTGCAGCCAGTTTCATGACTTGTGCCTTAGACAGCAGCACACACCTCATAGTGAGAAAGCCGCTGAGGTTCAAAGCGTAGAACAGCCTCGCACACATGACAGTAGTCATCAGTAAGGAGACCTTTCAGAAGCTCCTCTTCACTCTTATCTCCTGCATGGCAGAATATACTGTCCCCTTTAAAATAAAACATAATTCATTCAGTGGATCTTTTGTCAGTTAATAATCAATAGGCAATTTAGTTATTAAATACCAGTCTTGGAAGTACATCTGTCGGAAATCATTTGGAAACAACCCCTCTTCTCCCTTAATTAAAACAATTTTACAACTTTAATCATAGTTTACTGTTCATTTTAAAATCTAATTTAAACCTCACATTGTGCAGTACAATTACAAAAACAACATTGTACAAAATCCAATGGTTGCTCGCATTGCTAAATTGGTCACTTGTGAGAAAAACCAGTGCTGAAAGAAGAAATGGTTTGTGCAAAGGTAAAAGCTGTTTAATCTAGTGTTTCTTTAACACTCATTTTGTCATTCTCCTGAAACATTCAAAAACATTTTTTGGTGAAAATGATTATTCTGTACAGCACAAGCTAACAGAGTGAACAATGAGGTTTATTTTCCTGCAATACATGCCGTAAAACTTTCTGCGAATGCATTTGTTAATTCAAGGGAATTTTACTGAATTCTGCAGAATCCAAGGTGCATCCTCTTCCTTGCATCATAATCTAAGATAGCCATTGCTGTTTCACATTATTCCAAGATTTCACTAACCAACGGCATATCTGGAAAAAAGAAAATATTAATCCATCACTATTATCTGAAAATCTGTATTTGAATCGTTTTCACTCTTAAGAATAACTCTGCTTTTGAGATTTGATATAATGCATTAAACATCCAGTTTTTAACTTGTTTTTTGAGTTCAGACAGTCTCTGAGTTTTTGATTCGATATCATCAATTTAGTTTTTCAGGCTCTCATTTTTGTTAAAAATGCTAAATCAATGTTTTGATATCTGAAAGCATTACTGAAATTGAGCATAGTAGCGTGATTACAAGTTTGGATACTGTATTAACTGCTTGAATTTACTTTTTGTGGTTGTTGTTTTACGAACCTGGCATAAGGGTTTAAGATCGTTTTAAACAGTTAATCAATCAAGAAGACATCAGTAATGGAGAACATTATTAGTTAACCTCTTTGCGGTTCGTATTACAAACCTTGTAATGGCACAGGAACACTGGTATATGTTGTGTTATTGTAAAAAAATAAAGATCTAAAGTGATTCACCTTTTGTCACTTTCAGGTGTTTATTTTCTAATATTTTAGTGTCTCAGCAGCAAAGACGTCCCACCTTTTCATTTATTAAGTTTTAAAGAGAGGGTGATATCCTCTGCTCACTGGCAATTTTCTCGGCCTAATATCACCTTATTTTAGGACTTATTTTAAGAGGTTTGGAACTAAGTTTGCTAGAAAACTAGCACGTGGCTAACCACTTCTTGACCTGGAACAACGAGCAACCTCCAAAGTCTGAGGGTAAGGAAGCAGTGTAGGAACAAAAAGGGGAACTTTTGTGGGCATTAGCCTTGACAAGCAAGTCACAGAAATAAAACCTGTACAACTCTTAACGTTACCGTTCATATTGGTATGTCAACATTAGCTTATTTAGCTAACAAGCTAGCGAGCTAACCCGGTCGGTCAGCTGGCTAGCAAATTAGCTAGAAAGCTAACGTTGGACACCACCCGGCTTAATCTTCGCGTTAAGGCACAACTCACCTTCAACCTGGGCACTACCTAATTTAGTGTTTATTACTTTGTCAGCATCTGTCACAGAAGCCACGTTAGGGGTGAAAAGAGTGTAATTTAAAGCGTCTGACTCCGCAGGCAGCGGAGTACAGACACCTTCGACGTCCATCTTTTTCCTAGCTGTTTTACGCGCATGCGCGGGGATTTCCGTACTGATAACTTTTCCTAAGTCAATTATCAAAGTGAACTTTCAAAGCCCTGAGATGATATTTGAAAAATTAAGTTTAATAAAAGTTAAATGCCGAATAACCACAGTCTACTCTAAATAAAAAAAATTATATATATATATATATATATATATATATATATTTATAATTATATGTGTGTTTTTGTTTTATTTTAATTGCAAAAGTCTGCTGTCTTCATTCCCATTATTTCAATGTCGAACCAAACCACTAAAGAACAAAAATAATAAAACTTTTTGAAGAAAGGATTAAAAGGTAGATCTAAATTGAAAGATTAGGATTTGAAATTTCCCATCAGCTAGTAAGGGTCCCAGCAGACCCTCAAAAACAAATCAACTAAAGGATTTGTTCCATAATATTTGACATTATCCATTGCTACTCCTTCAAAAATTTAGACAAAGCTGTTTTTTGTTTGTTTGTTTGTTTGTTTGTTTTTTACTTACAGTTACCAAATACAATTTGGGACAATAATAAAAGGAACAAAATAAACATTAATATCAAAATAGATACTTTATTATTTGACAATACATTTTAACTTTTGTCACAATTTACTTCCATTTCATGCTTGAAAAAAAAGTGTACTAACACAATACATAAAATCAGCAAAGCAAAGGAAAGTTATTTCACATTAAGACAAGGACACTGAAGAAGGTTCAGGTAGAAAAGCAGAAATGGTGGGGAGCCGTCATTTTCTCTTCTGGAGCTCTCTTGCTAAGACATCTAGCTGCAAAGGGTAACAGTATAGCAAATTTACTGTATACAGAAAAAGTTTTATGTACAAAATGCAGGTGTGTTTTCTTTATAAAAGTTGGAATAGTCAACTTACAAGAAGGTTTTTCAGAACACCCCTCCTCTGCGGTCTCAAGTAACTGCATTCTCCAGCTTCACACAACTTGATCTCCTCTGAAATCTGACCAAAAAGGGAGATTCTAGGTATTAGATAAAGAGACAAAAAGAGACAAAAGACAGGAAAAGAGTCTTAAAACATACACAACGGCATGCACACTAAAAAGGATACTGACCTCTGTTGGGCTGAAAGAGTCCAGCTCCCTCTTGCCTCCAGGGTACCAACCATGGGACCAGTGCTGGGCATTGGACAGCTGAGCCCCCACACAGAGAAGCAGCCCGAGCAGCAGAACGAGCCGAGGTGAACACATGATATTTTCACCTGACAGAGATCAACACTCAATTATCTGTGGCAGTAAGAGTTTGACATATCACTTGCAAAGCTTTAAGTATTGTCACAGAGTGTAAATAAGTTGCTGTCAGGGACAGTTTGGAGGAAGACCAGGTGAAGTGAATGGGGGTTTCAATAAAAATTTCTTAAATATCAGGATAAAGGAAGAGGGGAAATAATTCAATGTCACTCAGAAAAAAAAAACATTCACATTTTAAATGTCTGTGGCTATTCAAACTGGAATATAATACATTACGCTGTTACTTTAGACAGACTTTTTGACTGGTGCTGGATACCCGGTTCTTAAACAATGCAAGAGCTGAAAAAAAAATCTATTTAGCCAGAGAGGTAACAAAGTAAACAGTAAAAAAAACAAAACAGATTTACTTCCATTAAACTCAGTCTTCTCTCACAATTTCACAGTTTAAGCTAACAGCCTTACCTTGGTCTTTACTCTGTATGATTCAGGTGCCCCTCAGCGTCCTGTTAGAAGTTCAGTCTGTTCACCCTCGATCAGTCAGTATTTGAAGTTGGCGTGAAGTGTGGCGGTCCTCTTCAGCCTCATCCTCCTCCTTAATATATGCACCCGTCTAAAAGGCCCCCCTCCCAAGAGACATTATCAACATCTTTCCTATATCGCCCCGCCTATCTCTGACCCCTCTGGTCCCCCAGATCCCAGAGCTGAAATGAACGCTCTCTGGGGATAAGAGGTCCTGAAAACATGGCCAATTCCAATTACCACCTGCAAACACCACTGACACACCTGGAAAGCAAACATGCTTGTTGTATCATCCGTATCCATAACTGATCCATTTCCATTTAAGACATTCAATTAACTGACCATCAGGTGTTAAAATGTATCTATTCATTTAAACAATATTATGAGGTATGGCTATTATACTATATATTCAAAGATTTAAACTGGTGGTGCCTTGCTAGACAACTCAAGTTTTGCTTGTCTTGTTTTTGTATAATATGCTCAAAAATGTTGTTCTTCCTTTTCATGCTCTATTTTGGTTTATCGTCATATTAGAATGTAAAATACTTTAATGTTATGTAATGTATAAAGGTTAGGTGTAATAAACTGAAGCCTCAGTCTACACCTTATTTTAGTATGTAAGTTATGGTCTGATGCATTTATTTGTCCTTTATCTCACAATGTAGTTTTTATGTAATTTACATACACCTCCCATGAAGAAGTTTTTTCTTAAATTAATAGTAGGAAGTTAAATTATTGATTGATCATTTATGTGTTAACGATAGAGTGACACTCAACATGAATGATTTGAATTTGGACACATTCAGGGGTTAAGAGGAACCTTATTTTGATGTCAAAATGTACTATTGTTATTATTCTAGCTAAGTGGTCAGTGCGAGGGTCTGACCAGGAGCGGCCATGCCAGAGACCACTTCAAAATCCTTAACAATGATTGGCTATCTGGCCTTGTCTGAAGGGCATCTTATGCTAAAATAAAACATTTAGGCTGCTTATATTTTCTTTCAAATAAAGACATAACGTAACATAACATAACATAACATAACATAACATAACATGTACCCTGTTTGGAAAAAGGTTATGTACCCTGTGGTGGAAGCATGAAACTCAATGTGAAAAAAAGGCTGGCATGTTAATTTTCAAAATTAACAAAAATATTACACAGTAAAATTTATTTGGTATTTTGATATTCTTCTGTAAAGTAGATATGACCAGGCAGAAGGGGGTAATAAATGAAAGTCATTGTTTTGTAAATGTGCATTTCAGGCCACCCCTGCAACAGTAAGTGCCCTGATTTAGGCCACCCCACTCAAAGAAGTCTGTCTCCGCCCCTGCTCTGGACCTCCTCACTCATTATCTTTGACTCATTCTGTTTAAATATACTTTTCAGATCAAACAGTGAATCTTTGTCAGAAGATAAGAGTCAATGGTTTCCATTTCCTCTTTGTGCACCTGTTGTGACCACAGTAATCCTTCCCCCTTGATCCCGATGACCCCTCAGTCTGGAGAGGAACAAGGTCAGCCAATAACAAGCAGAGTGCACACAGTGCTCTCCTGGCCTCTGATGACACCCTCCTCAATTAAAGGAGGAAAGGTATTTCCTTGTCAGTTTTAGATGCAGAGCCTGATCTTTCTTAGGGAGTGACTGACAGTGTTATGTGCAGCAGTTGACTCAGAGGAATGGTGTGACACAGGACTATTTGACGCAGGGGACTGACCGAGGCCTGATGACTCATGCCGTCACCCAGACTTGTTTGTCCAGGTGAAACAACAGCAATTTCCTGCCCACTACTCTGTCTGTGAACATGCAATGATGCTACTGTGCTGTTATCTGCCCGAATTTTTTTTCTTGAGTTGACAGCTTAACAGTTTAACAGCGTAAGTTCTGTTAAACTGATTTTTCACATACTTAAAAGTAAATTACATATTGATGGAAAATGCAGCATGTGAATTATGGGGAATTCTGGTCTTAAGTCTTTCCATCTTAATGGGGAAAACAACAAATTTACCACATGCCTTACTTTAAATATTTGTCTCCAACGGGACAGAATAAAAAAAAACAAAACAAAACAAAATTAAAACCAAGAGAGCAATTGAAACTTAGTTTATGAAATAAAGCTCCAGAACCAATCCTTAAAGTTTCCATAAATGCAACACAATGCTGTCTTTCCTTGTAATCCTCATCTTGCATCCTGAATTGTTGGTTTATATGATCCAGTCTTAAATTGAAAGGCCCAAACCGAGATTAACATCAAGGCAGCATTATCAAGGTTTTGCGAAAAAAAAACTATTTGGGCTGTGTCCTAATAGGCTACTTTCTCTGACATTAAACTAGGGCAGCAGTAGCTCGGAAGGTAGAGCGGTCGTCCAATAACTGGAAGGCTGGCGGTTTGATTTCCTCCTATCCCTAGTCTGTCTGTTGTGTCCCTGGGCAAGACACTTCACCCACCTTGCTCCCAGTGTGTGTCCTCTACTGATGTATGATTGTTAGTGTTGTGTGGTGGTGGTCGGAGACGCCGTAGGCGCAAATTTGCAGCCACGTTTCCATCAGTCTACCCCAGGGCAGCTGTGACTATTAAGGTAGTTTACCACCACCAGGGTGTGACTGTGTCAGCGAATGAATGGTGTATCTAATGTAAAGCGCTTTGAGGGTCTCTGACAAAAAGCTGTAAAATCTGATGCGTTATTATTAAATTGAGGAAAAATACTCCACGCATCTACTGTATTTAATATGTCAGATGTTAGGAGAATTAACAAAAACTGAGCAAACTCATACACATTTACTTGTGAAAATGCATTTATTGGCAGCATTTAAAAAGTACTCTGATTTTGCTAATAAATTAATTTCATTTTGAATGTTAGACTGCTGTATTACTAACTGATAAATTAAGACAAATCTATACACAGGGACAGAATTTCATTTTCCGTCATGCAGAGCAGAGCGGTGTGCCTTCATGGCAGAGGGTCCTGAGGGTTCACTTGTCCAGTAACAACTCAAAGCTTGATATTCTCAGGAAAGACATTATATAAAAAGCAAAAAGACAGAAGAGGAAAAAAGGACAGTGAGGCTACTTGGAGGCTGAAAAGAATAAAATCTAAAATTGATTTGTTTCAATCATTCTATAGCCTGACTGCAGGGGCATCAGATCCTATCTCTCGAATAATTTTGCTCTGATGTAAATAAAATGTGTCCTTAAATGGATCTCAGGTATTTCTGTCCTCACAAACATTTCAACAGTTAGCTTAAATGATTCCCTGATTCATTATTTATTGTTGCAAAAAGCCCATGAATATTTGATGGGGGGTAAGGGGTCAAATACTTACTGAAAACCCTTCATGAGAAACACTCAGAGGAACTGCCTAATCTATACGGCAATTGAAGGATTGGCAATTATACCTTTGCACTGTACCATTAGTCTTCATTAAGAAGTGGACTGTAATGAGCATCAGGTAGTTCACTGAGGAATGAAAGCATTGAAGGGTCCTTCATGTAGAGCATTACAGTCAGAAACAAAGCAAATGCAGACAAATGATAAAATCTCAAGCACTTTATTAGGGTTGAACAGTATCTTGCTTAGAAAGGCCATTTGGCATTATATAATTATATATAATTTTATAATATATATAATTATATATACATATATTTAAATGTTTAATAACAAAACACTAGAAACAAACATAGGCAAATTAAAAAATAGGATTTGCTTAAGACAATTATAGCTAATTAAAAATGGCCGAAACAAAACATCTCTAATACATTTCAAAATGGTCCCGATACAGTTCAATATCCGTCTTTTAAAAAGAAAAAAAAAAAAAAAAACGAGGGAGAAGAGAATAAAATAAGCAAGGCAGCAGACAGGAATGAAATATAAATAACCTTACATTATGTACAAGAGGGAGTGGGGAATGACCACTGAGGAAAAAAATGGTCCAAGGGCAAAGTAACACAAGAAAGGGAAGCTAAAGGGAGACAGAGGTTAGTGGACAGGAGATGTTAAAGACATATAAAAGTCCCAGAGGCAAGAAGCAAAGTTGCATGTTGAAAAAAGGTTCTGATTCTTGCTGCATTCAAAATGCTACTCCTCCTCCAGGGAGAAAGGGATGGAAAACTGGTTCCTTTTCCGCAGTAACAATCCAATGTTTGTTCTTATAATTTTGTTGCACATTTAGGCCAACAACTGATTACTCGTCATAGACCCCTTCATTTAAATGATATGGAATGAAATGAAGCCGTCAAATGAAGATGGAATTAATTTTCAAAGTTACCTCAACGCTTGTTTCACCTGCACAATTAGAGGGTCTGAATAAGCGACTTAAGGGAATGTGAGAGGAGGGATGGCTGACCCAGTCTTGGCTTTGGCCCTTTTGATTCGTCATGCAAAGACATTTGTCATCAGCCTGCAGATGAGAGCTTAGGACAAACAGAGTGGGTAAATACTTGTGAATAACAATGGTTCCATTAATTCAACTGCTAAGCTCCTTTTGAAATCCTACCAGCGAGGCACTTCTCTAAGTTCACTAGTTCACTATGGGTTGGCACAGTGTTTTGTTTTGCTACCAAATGCAGTGAGAGAAAAAGATCAAATGATCCGAACACACACAGCCCACCTGCCTTTGACGCACAGGCAGAACAGCCAAACAAAAAAACATCCCCCTCCTTTGATAAGAGCCAATAAGTGACCAAGCAAATAAATGAAGTACACTATGGCACCTTAACATAATGTGCGGGCACTTGTGTTGCTTTGGAACAAAAATAGACCTGAAATGATGATGACGATGCACAAACAGCGAACAGTTTCAGCGTCTGGTCAATTCAAATGCCGGCTACTTTCAGGTCCCCTGCGGAAGGGCATAACCTGGGCTTTGAGACCTGATAACCCTTCCAAGTAAAATCTGATTACTGATAAAGAAGGTCCTAGCATCATTCTGACTTTGTCTCTTATTTGGTTGCTTATCTTTAAGGGCTTTGATTCTGGTGCAAATAGTGCATGAGTGTTCAAACGATCAACATCGATGCTGCTTTCAGCCTTCTGAAAAAAAGAAAAAAAGAAAACAGCACGTTTAATGATGTCTGCTATCAATAAATTAAGAATTGATTGTGCTCCTTTTTTAAATAAAAGTGATTACATGAGGGAGTGTTGGAGTTAAAGTGATTTTTGCGCACAAATTGTTAAAAGGGCTGGAAAATCTGTAAAATTCTCATTTCCGATATCAAGTTAAAACTCTATATGAAATAAAATATTAAAACAGGAGTTGATTGCTGAGATGACCTCAAGCTGAATTTTTTCCGTTTGTAAATTCAAACAATCCTGGCACTGGTCATTTCCTGAGCTGACTGAGCGGAAATTAGAGTGACCTGAAGCCCTGTGGTTGACTGACATTATTCATCTTTCAATACAATCAAGAAGGGCACGGCCTCATTTGTGACCTCATCTCAAAAATAAAAAGAAATACTGTGGTTCAAGTCCAAGTGTCCTCCCAGGACAGTCAAAATAAAAATCATAGCACACATTGCATGGCACCTCCACTATTTAAGTAACAACATATCCATATTTTAGGACTTTGTTAGCAACAGCATTCGAATAAAAAAGAAACATTCCTCGGTATCTGTGTTCAAAGTGGGGAATAAAAGGGATTATTCTTTCAGAGACAGCACAGCGTAGTGAAGTGAGGCAAAGGAAACCCAAACAGAAAGAAATACTCAGTATAATCTAAAAGAAATACTGACATGTGTCTGTAAACAAGAAATATGCTGGGTATATAACAGCTGCTGTCTTCTAGGATGCAATGGAGAAGACTATGTTTGTTTGGCTTGTGAACCTGATCACCTTAAGTGTTGGTACTGTAACAGCCCGTCAGAAAAAAATTATCAGAGATTTCATACAAAAGCTTGACCAATTACCCAATTTTCCTAAATTTTAGGAGTACAAAAAAACTATGTTTATTCCTAACCTTCTCAGTTTACTTACATAATCCTGGTATATGTTGGTTATGAGTCATTAAAGAGTGAAACACCTCTCTTATTCTGGATGTCTCAGCATGGAGTCTCAGACTCCAGCGAGTTGAAGGACTTTGGCACTCGACAGAAAGCAGACAGCGGTGTTGAAAACACTGTGTAGTCTGTGCCAGCTTCTGCTCCGGTTTTAACAGACACACACTGATGCTCTCAGAAAACAAATGGCTCCTGGTATTAAGTGTATGTTCGTGTGTGTCAACCTGAGTCAATAAGCTACATCACAGCGATTCTATTCTCCAATAGTGGGCGACCATTTGAACCCCCTGACCCCTGCAAAAAGGAGAAACTGGAGTTGGCTCACTTGATGGGGTTTAATCTGTCCAAAGTAAAACAGCCCTGCTCATTTGTTTCCTGTACGGATGTCTGGGGGTGGAAACAGTCCAGGGCTTGTCTACGTATGTTGATGCTACAGCGTGGCTAGCACAGCCAAAATGGTTTAATGTCTCACTCCCTAAAAAGTACAAAATAAAAATCCAAAACACCTCACCATGACTCTGGATTTTTTTTTTTTACAATAGCCTCCAAAGCATTAGATTTATATTCATATATATTTATATATTTATATGTATATACCAATAAAATACATTACAGGTGCCACCCAAAAAATGCAGCCAAACTCAAAACTGTGTCTGAAACCAAAGTAATAAGATGCAACACAGTAAGTATATATACATGTTGGGGGTTGGGAGGAGAAAGGGGGAGCAAATAGGGGTGAGGGCTGTATTAACAAGACCAATATTACAAAATATTCAAGAAGGCATCTCAGTTATTTTCTTTGTCCGACTGCCCAGCCTTTTCCTCCTCTGGGCCGAGGCCTCTGTTCCCTTTTCCATCAGGCAGTTCGTCTCATCCACAGATCACATTGTGACGAGTCTTTTCCTTTAAAAAAAAATCCATCAGATTGGAACATGCAGCTTCCTGCATGGTAATACATGTGTGCGTCTGTGTTCTGTTGTGTGCATGTTTGTATGAAGTGTAGCTGGACATCCATCCATCTATGGCAGGTCTCTATTTGAAGTTGGCGTAGTCAGAGAAGGCATCGATGTACTCCTGGACCACTTTGTAACAGAACTCATACTGCTCCTGAGGAGAGGAGTGGATGGGAAACAGCTGTGTCAGTCTGAGCTACCAGCATTACCATTATGTGAATTCTGTCAGATCTCAGTGATTGAAATTATCAATCCTTTGAATTTAGGCTTAAAAAACCAGCAGCTCAGTCACATAATTTGTGATATGTTGGTAAAAACACGGTAAAATGAAACAAACTACATGTATTTGATATATCTGGGGACTTAGACTAACGGCTCCAGTGGGATCAAAACCTCAAAATCAATAATAAATACTTTTATTTCCCACCTAGCCTTTCAAACCACATTTCTACTCTCTGAAAATACCTGTACGTGTTGGAATAAAGTGTTGACACAAATTGGCTACAAAGCAACAAAAATTATAGACAGAAGAAGAATCAAGAGGTTGCTCACCAGTGTCTGCACCATGTGTGGTCTCTGCAGTCTTAGGCTCTTGACTGTCTGGAAGACATCCAGGATGCCCTCTGCTTTCACTCTCTCCAGGACTGTACTCAATGCACAGAAAGTCCCTGTTCTGCCAGCACCAGCACTGTAAATACACAATATACAAATATAAAAATCTCCACATTACAACTACAAAAAGGTTAAAAATAGCAGCATACATGAGAAGATTTGCAGTGAGTGTATATGTTTAAAGAAAAGGGAGGGGGGGCATAGCTGAGAGCACTTAAAATGTCACAAGGAAGAAGAGAACAATTCTTCTGAGCTGTTTTTTCCTGTGATTTAATGGCTGCGACAAGTTCCCAGACACACACAAGCACACATGACTGCCAGATGCATTTCCCTTTACAAGACTAATACACACAATCATTAAGATTACCATGACAACAAGGGGTTTGATTTCTTTTCAGCATGAAAAGCAACAGGACGTCTGTGTGTGTATGTGAGTCTTACCTGCAGTGCACTGTGATGGGGTGGTTGCCAGACTGCTGCTGCTGTTTCTGCACCGCTGCGATGATGTTGATCATGCCTTTACCGTCAGTGGGGATGCCCACCTCTGGCCAGCCGTGGAAGTGGAACTGACGCACGGCTCGAGCCTTGTTCTCCTAGAAAGTAAGAGAAAGACGAGCTTTGCAGGTCATATTCTAAAAAATAGCTGGTTTATCTATAAACTGTGAGTGTTTTTGTCTATCGCTCCTCCACTGAGTTTAGGGATTTTAGTTTATCTTTTCTTTTCTTACCCGGTTGTTGGTGACCAGGAGGTCTCGCACTGTGTAGCTCTCACTCTCCTCCTCCCTTTTAATCTCGATGGAGATGTCCCCGTAAACCACCACTCCATCACTGGGCCAGTACTGTGCGCACTTTTCCTGCAGGAGTCATAATACAGATGGTTAAACTGCTTCACTCGATGACTGTCTTTCTGATTTTAAATAAGGTGACCAGACGTCCCCGAATTCTGGGATGACCTAATGTTGTCCCATGAAATGTCCCAGATTTAAGCGTTTCATGAATGAGAAAAAAAAAAAAAGTTACGTGTAGACTAGAACAACGGTTATTACAGTGGCCGGGTAGGTAGGAAGCGCAAGTTAGCATGTTGTGCGCAGTCCTGAACAAAAAGTTTTTATGGGGGGTCATTACTGGGGGCATGCGCTGCTACTAAGTAGTACTGAGTTGTTGTCTGTAATCACACAGCCGATGCCCCCTCCCCACCACTCTCCAGAAATAAAGGGCCTGAAATCCCATTTTGCTCAGCACCCCCCAACCCCTGGATGTCCCCAGATTTCCTAACAGAAATCTGGTCACCTTAATTTTGAATGAAGTTTAAAACACTTCAGCTAGAGCTTTTACAAATTCACCAGATGTCTAAACAGTTTTGCTCAGGTTGTTACTACTTCATCTCAGCTGGTGGCGTCAGTTTAGCATTGACTTTACTGTGGCATATCAATATTCTATTTTAGCCCTTTATTGACCCACTGGTGTTTTTATACACACACACATCCACACACCTGCCCTCTCTCTTCCAGCTCAGTGAGCATGACAATGGAGCAGCTTCTCCACTCCCAGATCATCCTCCAGAAGTCCTCGATGGTGTGCTGCAGCGGGCCCTGACTCGCTATGTACGAGTCCTTCTGACGGTAACCCTGTGACAAGACAGGAGAGATGGCAGGAAGTGATGTCCAGAGGCAAAGGCGGGATTGATATCGGATACAAAAATAAACAGTAAGTAGAGCTCAATCGATCGCTTGCATCGATGAGATGAAATGATCCACTGTCAACCTGGGGCTTTTACACTCACATCGATGAATGAAGCATTGACGTAGTCTGTGTTCTCCTCTCCTCGTTTGACTGGAATGATCACTCTGTTGAACTCGTCTGTCGGAGGAAAGGAGGACCGTTACTCTTCACTTTGGAAACCTTCAGTGCTGAGGCATATGAAGCTATGAACACTACTCCCTTTATGGGATTAACCACCGTGTGCATAAACCATGATAATCCAGGGACCCACTGCTCACTACTGTAACAACAAACAGCTCAAAGTCAACTCTCAAAAACAAGGGCAAAAAATAAAAAAAAGGGGAAAATATTCCTTAAGAAACAAATGGGGAAAAAAAAAAGGATTGAACAGAGATTGCAAAGGAAGATACAAGGGAGTTATAATTTTAAGTACCAGGGAAACCACAAATATCTGAAATCTAGAGAAGTTTCAAGTCTGACACAGAAAAAAAAACAGTTTTGTAAATGTCTAGATGTAGCAGCTGCAGTGTCATCATTAAGTATTAAAACTTTATATCTTTAAACAAGCAAATGAGAGCGCTTCTATCAAATAACTAAGATTTATTTGTTACATTTGTACCACAATGTGCCCTCATTTCAGACACTTTTGTGCTTTTATCTTGTAATGAGATAACTCTAAAATTATCGGACTAAAAGCCTGAAGGAAGCAACATTGTCAGCATACAAATAAAGTGTAAGAAATATTCGTAGACAAAAGTAAGACTAAATTGCAGTGAAATGTGAACTCACATGGAATGATCTGTAAGACTCTGTTCTTCTTCATGTTGGCGGGCAGGTTGCCTGTCCTCATCTTGTCATTCTGAATCTTGATGGATGTTAGTTTCTAAAAATGATCAGAATCACAACACTTGATTTATAAAAAAAGACACAAGTTGATACACAATGGTTATTGTCATCTTGCTGGATATCTACCATTCAGCAGGAGGGGGAAAGTAACTGATTACATCCACGTAATCGAATACTTTTTGTGTATTTGTATTAAGTTGACTTTTTTAAATAGGAACTTGAATTCTGACTTCAGTTTTCTCTACTGAAACTTCTACATTTTACACAGCATCAGCGAATGAGTAACCAAGTAAAGAGAAAAAGACCTGCAAGCTTTCTCTTAACCACATGACAACTAGATGACTAAAAGAATTCTAATCTGTGAAACACTCAAATATTACAGAGTGAATTTGTCTCGAATTCAAGTCAAAACATCTCATTACACTTAATTTAGCTCCACTGACCTGACAGACCCCAAAACAAATCTTATTTCAAGTTGAATTGATCTTGATAGGATCCTTGAAATAAGGCGTCAAGATGATTTCACTACCACATTCTTTACTCATTACAATCAATTAAGTCTTTGTTTGACTTGTAGAAACAAGCCTCTCTGCTGAGCCAGCCTTGACTTGAGAGTGAAAGGACTAACTTCAAAAGATGCTGCCCAAGTATTACATAACTTCACCATGAAAAGGTGCAGAGCCAATAAAGTACTCTTGGTCATATTGTGACACTTGCGCTGTTTGTGGAGCATCAAACACCCCAACCCCACTGCCATGGGTTAAAGTACCCAGTATTCAGTACTCTGAGTAAAATTCAAATGAAGTACTTTACTGAAACTAAGGAGATTAATAAACTATTAACAAAGTACCTACTTTCATGTGAGTTGAAAATTTGAGTACTCTTTCCATCCCTGTTGTTCAGCTGTCAGTGAGAAGTATCCATGTAAAAAACAAACAAAAAACAAAAAAAGAAAGACCACAGACCTTGAATTCAGCCTCCAGACCACTACAGCCGGCTCCAGGTGAGGGTGCGTAGAGTTTGGCCAGGTGGGACTCCAGAGAGGTCACCTCCAGCTCTGTGTCTCCATACAGGTAGTGCTCTAACAACGCCTGGAAGATGAACACGTACTGCATCTGTAGGACAAAGAGAGGCGTTAAGAATATTATGACAGTTATAATTATAAAAGTACATTAAAGACTTTATTCAAATACCACTTCAAAGCAGGGTTCAAAAGTGCTTTGCGACTAAAAGAAGAGAAATAAGAAACAAGTGGAGGTAAAAATATTGTGCACTGGAAACACGACATTGTAGGACACTGTGTGTGTGTATGGACTTGGAGTTCTCACATCAGTTTGGACCATCTGGCAGCGCTGGGCTCTGATCCTGGTGACGAAACCAAACACGTCCACCTTCCTCTCAGCGAGCATCATGTCTAACATGGCATCGATCACAATGAAGGTTCCTGTCCTCCCCACGCCCGCACTGACAGACACAGAACACACGTCATGAGTGGGATGCAATATGCAGACAAAGAAGCACAGCAAAAATATGCAAAGAAAAAGGCATAAACTTTGATCCTTTTTACCTGCAGTGGACCACAATGGGCCCAGCATACTGAGGGTTACAGTTCTTGACCTTTTTGAGGAACTTGAGCATCCCTATAGGTGTGAAGGGCACCCCGAAGTCAGGCCAGCTGGTGAAGTGGAACTGAGTGACGAGCCTCTGAGGCTTCTTCCCAGACACATCCCCAACCTGAAACATGAGCAAACAAGGTCATCAACCGAGCCACAGCACGGTCAGTGTTATCAAGGGTTTAATTCATTTCTCTACATATATCTGAAACAATTCAAACCTGTTGAATGCAGAACTTGCGGATGGTGTAGTCCACTAAAACCATAGTGTCTTCTACAGACACACGAATGTTCCCGTATGTCCAACAGCCCTGGTCCGGCCAGTACTGGGCACACTTGCACTGGAAACGAGAAAATAACCCAACATTTAGCACACTCACAAAGATGTGTGCATAAACTAATAAGAAAGAGCCATGAGTCATTAAACCAGTTGAACAAATGTGAGACTTCAAATACTGCTGAACATGTTTGTTTCAAAAAACCATGAATCAACCTCTGATCAATTTGTTTCCATTTACAGTTGTCATTTTTTAGGTTGACTTATAGTCAACATCTTAATGGAAAAAGTAGATATATTTTTTTCACTAATAAGAATACACAATAAATACTGCCTCTGGGATCATGGCCCAACATGATCCCATCCTACAGCCTGAAAGAAGCGTACTTTTTTCTGTGGTGCACTATCTGTGGGCTGTGTATGTGAAAATACAGGAAAGAAGGAGAAAAGTGTGGTACTTTGGATTTACTTCTAGAAAGCTGGATTGGAACAACAAAGGAAGAGAGACAGTGGACTGCGCGTATTAGCTTATCCATGGGTGAGCTGGGAGCTTTGTCAGATCGAGCATGGGGCCTTTGCTCAAGAAGACAGAGAGCCAGGATGGAGATTTAGAGGTCAGTCGCTCGCCAGCTTGTTGGACAGTGGAGCAGTTGGATGATTGGAAAAAATGCAACATTTGCACCAAGAGAGCCTGATCTGAGATGTATTTGTGGACCTAAATGGACATCCTAAGTGGACACATTTGATCCAGTATCACATGCGATATTGTCAAGCCTCCTAGATCCATTTTAATCTTCAGCCCATGCTTTCTTTGACTGAATTGTGAACTGAATCCGTGTTAGACCTCTTCATAACATTAACACAGCAGATTGAGGGGAACCCTGGTGGCCATCAAGTATTTTGCACAGCCAGGTTTTCAATTTCACGATGATGTGAACCTTTATTTGTTTTGAACAGATTTCACAGATCAACTTTCACTGAGGTAGAGGTCTTTGTTAAGTCAGTCTTTAAAGTGCCTTTGTTAATGACAAAGTAAGTACTGTGAAAGAACTGACTCTTCACTTGTCATCCCCACTCTGGCTCTGTAACAGGGACCCTCATGTGGATGTAATCAGATCTCTAACTTGTTGGTATGAAAGTTTTTAAATTAACTTTGCTGGGGTCATATTCAGTAAGCAAATACCATGAGAGGTTGACATTTTCTGGTCCCTTTGTGTTTGAGTGTCAGTGTCTTTCAAACCTCACTCTTGTTAGGGTTTTGTTCGAATGCCTGCATCTCTTATTTGAAGCTGTTGTATCATTGATTGAAATGAAGCTTGTACAGCACGTGCATCCCTCCAGTGTTCCTACCTCTTTCCTCTCCTTCAAATTGGTCACCATGACGATAGTTGCTGTGTTCTGCTCCCAGATCATCCGCCAGTAGTCGTTCACCGTTTCCTCCTTTGGCCCTGAGAGACAGAATGAGAGGTGGAAAAATCAGACAAGAGATGAAAAAGTGAATAATATTTGTTGGACTGTGTTAATGATTCAAACTCAAACCTTGAGCTGCGATGAACTTATTTTTCTCTTGGTACCCCTGCAACAGACGGAAACCACAGAAAGACAAATTATGAGTTATAAACATCTTCAAAGGGACTGAATCTTCTGTGGGAAAATAGCTGCAGTTATACAAACATTAATAAAGGAGGCGTTGATAAAGTCAGAGTCTGGAACTCCCTCCAGAGATGACAGATGCACCCTGGAGTGATCATCTGTGGGAGGAAGTAGGAGACACAGACAGACAAACCACATTAGGAAAAAATAAATTGAATAACACATGATGTGTTACAAGTTTCTTTGTCCTGACTATAAAATTATAACTTCATGAACTCTCTTTGATTTTCACTGGAACAGTAGAGATTTAGTGTTCTCAAGCATGACACAGCAGACATGAACTCAGTCACTCCGAGTGCTACTTTGTTGGTGCGAGTTTGTTGCTCACATGGCAGGATGTTGACATATCTGTTCTTTTCTTTATTCTCCTCCTTGGAGGCAGCGTCACATGATGCCTGGATGGGGCAGACTGGCAGTGCCTGAACACGGAGAATGACAAATGGAAAAAGGAAGAAAGCAAATCAAGATAACATGAAAGAGAGGTCAGAACTTGAGTGTGTACATAATTTCTGCAATGTGATAGAACAAAAGCTTGCATCGATGTGTTAGAGCTATCACAGGGTTTGGGGCATTTTGTGCTGTATAGTCAGCCTGCTGCATCACCTCACTCACAGCTTACTCATTAATATATCTGTAACATCAGTCATAAAACCAGATTCTAGTTTTATTTTTCCACCTCACACAAAAATGGTATCTTTTTTAGTCTTTTCTTGCTCTGTAATCCTTCAAATGAGCAGAGTTTCTACCTGCCTGGAAACTCCCGCTCACCAGAATTAGTTTCAGGGATGTGTGTTAAAGGTGAAAACCAGACTCAGTGTGTTATCAGAGGGTGTGTGCTCGAGTGTGCCGTACATTAAACTCCTCCCTGAAGAGCTTGTTGTCATCGGCCATGCGGCGGTTCATTTCTTCCTCCAGCTTGTCGACAGGAAGAGGCGGGTACTTCCTGTTTGTGCTGGGCGAGCGGGCCAATAGCGGGACGCTTTGGAGCTCTGCGCCGGCGCGGAGGAAGGGAGGAGAGAGGAAAGGAGGGAAGGAACAGGAGGGGTGAGACAGGTGGAGATAGAGACATGGGATAAGGGGTTAACAAAAGAGAGTGTGACTGTCTTGTAGTTAATCAAGTTCTTCTGACTTCATCATGAGGAGTTGTCCCCACAGATGGCCACCAGGGGGCGGTGTGATTCAATGATTTGACTTAAAAAGGAGCGAACTGCAGTTCTGTTGGTTAGGTAATCACAGTGAACAAAAGCCTTCTGGCAACAGTCAACCAGTGATACGTTATCAGTCAGGGGAGTGGGATCAATCAAGTCTTATCAAAAACAACTGGAAGTTACAAGTTTGGTCAAGCCGGCTGAACAAATTTGCTGATATGAGCCAAAATAAACAAGAATGTGCACTGTGAGTATGCATGCATTGACATTTGCTGACACATACAAACACGCACACAGGCGGACCAGTGCATGTGTGTATTTACCTGTATCATCTGATCTTCCATTGGTCAGCCTGAAGGAGTTTGAATGGCTCCCGGCCTGCTTGTACTTTTTAAACCTGTCAATCAGAGCAGATCAAAGTGCATATTAAAACACACAGACAGACACACACACACTGTCTCTCTCTCTCTCTAACACACAAGCACACACACGCACCAAAACATAAAAACACATTGCTTTGGCCTCACTGCTGCATGCCAATCAGTTGTTTCCATGGTAACAGGAGCACCTTAGGCCATCACCACAGGTCTCCAGCCAGTGCGTAACATGTTGCATCAAGTACACTTCACTTCACTGACCTGAGCATGTAGAGGATGATGATGATGAAGATGATGACCAGCAGGGAGGAAAGGGCCACCATGACAGCTATGATCGGCATGTCATCAGACGGGTTGTTGTCTGCACCAGAGAAAAAAAAAAAATCAAAATAATGAATTGCTTGTCTCATAAATTTGATTACAAAATGTTCCGCAGTAATTGAGCTCAGTCTGTTCTGGTTTGAAAGTGACACCATATTTCATTTCCATTAACATACCCATTCTGTTACAGTCAAGCTTTGGATGTATTAAGTTAAATGTGGATGTTTTATAATCAGACATCCTCGATGAACTCGTATGCAAAATCGGCTCAGGCTGGCCCCGGCCAAGAAATAGTCAAGCAGATAACCACAAAAATAAACCCACACAAGGAACTTTTTTTTTTGGTACAGAACAAGACTTGACAAGTGAACTGGAGAGCTTTGTTGTGGATATGGGTTGTTTAAAGTCCTGATAACTATGTTCAATTTTCATATAATCAAGACAGGATTTAAGCTTGTCCATATGTTAGGAATCGGGTTAAAAAGCTACGGTTTTAAAGAGACCTCTGCCTCATGAACATAACCTCTGCGTCTTTCTTTCCTAAGTGGTTATTCACAATGTTAATATTTTATTGGCCTTTCCAACCTCCCTCCAAAAAAAGATCATTTGCAAAGGACAGTGGGCAGATAAATCACAGTTTAACTGAGAGTGTGGACTTTTGGCTTCTGTACCCGAGGTGACAGCAGAAACATGATGGTGGCGATAAACACAGAAAATTCTGAATTCTATACGATACTTTTTAATGTAAATTCAAAAACTTTCCTTTTTGTTCAGAAGCATCAACCCTGTCAGTCTACTAGGATGATACAGAAAACCAAAACAACCTTGTAGTTACAAAGGCTGAACTTTACAGATTAAATATTACATGGATGTAAAGAGTAATCTGTTGTTTGTGGTGTCTTGTGCAGACGACAATGGCTGAACAATTTGTACGTTTCCACCGTGAACATAAGTTACTGGTTGAAGTTGAACCTACAGTCTTCCTGGTGACCTTTCACTGCCACAGTTAACACAAAAGACATGAGATGTGCCCGAACAACAACAGGAGCGAGCTGAGCAGAAAAAAAAAATGAACTGGCTGCCATTTGTGTGCTGATGAGTGGTCAGTAAGACACATTCGGCCACAACAAAAGGAGGGATTTTTCTAGAAAACTGTCCGGCTGTAGTGACAATACAACGACAAAATCAGCTGTTCCACTAGCTGAGTCGGAGTTCAAGAAAGCTCTTAACATTGCGGACAAAATATGTGACAAAGAATGCATCCTTTGACTGTACGCTTCCTATGCACTTTCTGGAAGAAGTAGTTGGAACGCTGCCCATCCATGTTGCGTTTCACTTGCAGTTCCCAGGACTTTTTTTTGGCATTCTTCCTCAGACAATGCCATTGACAGTGTACATTGAAAAAGAAGCGGGAGCACAACAGACTATGGGTATCATATGGAGCTGACCCAGCCTTTACGGATCTGATGCCATCTATTACCGCTCACAGCTCTCCAGTCCACACACACTGCTCACAGATGGCCAGGGGGGAGAGACAATAGAGCAATTACATAACGCCTACCAACCCAAAGTGATTGTTATATAATAGATATACTATAGAGCAGAGCAGGCACATCTGGCATATTACTGTTGACCAGGAGAGTCAAATACTTTGCTAAACTTCAACAGGCTCCCTTCTAGTCCTCAAAAACTCTCTCCAAGTATTTAACGCAAAAACCCTGCTTTATCTGCTGCAGTTTGATCCAAAACATACCTGCAATTATCTGAGTCTATAATGAAAATCATCCTTCCAAATCAATTAGTGACATCTGATAGTGATATGTCTATTTCTCTATAATCATGCAACATGAATAATTAATGGCAAAGAAAAGGGTGGGGGGAGTCATGTTTCAGTGAGAAGGATGCTTCAAACATGGCCAGAAAACACACAGAATACAAATACAAACCAACAAAAGACACAAATTTAAAGTATTTTCTACAGATTTATCATGTTGAGCCAATCTTAAATGTTGAAGTAAAAGCATCAGAAGAAGCAATTTGGACACAGAAATCCCCCTTCCCTCTTTTCTTCACATTAACTTGTCTACTTTTTTGGTGGTGTCCGTCTGGATGACTGGTCAAATGCTGCTGCTATTTCCAGCTCTGCTACAATAGAGTCTAAGAGCAGAAAAGTGTTTCACTATCTAAAATATTTAAGGTTGACTCTTGACCAGAGAGCTCACTGGCTTGCTCATTCTAGTTGTTGCGGCAGCTTTGACAGCCTGCTTGAAAAATACAAAGCTAGATGGAAGAACACAGAAACACCTTCGATGTCTCTCTATGCTCTACCAGCAGTAAGTAATGTCAATGTAGTGCAGAGGAGTTATTTTCATAAAACTTTGCTTCCTTGTCACTAAAAGATCCTCTTAGCCGTTTGTCTAAATCTACTTTAGCTAGGTCTTTTTCAAAAGCAGCATTCAGCTGCGTCTTGGAAGATCTGATGACAGATGGGAGCTCAAATACAGGAAGGAGATACATGCAAACATGAAAGTGACTGCCCAGTGACCTTTAAAGAGGGCGTACAGCAGGAAAAACCTTGCGGGCACTGTCAGATCAAATGTATCCAACTGTAAAAAAAAAAAAAAACTTGGATACATTTTGAAAGTATAAAATTGTAAAAGAAAAAAAAGAAGGTTCAAAGCTGTTACCAAGGCAGCAACAGCAACTTTCTCAGTGTTACTGTTTCCACACACCAAGCACAAGTAAAATCATTTGCGCAAATGAATTACATGTTATGTCAATGCAAAGACGCGATTAGATACTCATACTACTCTGGTGGCGCAAATGACACGAATTGGGCAGCAGCTGAAAATGTCTCAACTTCAGTGGATATCCGCGTCGCGATGACTAATCAGCATGAACATTGGCAGGTGACGTATGAAAACAGACGGTTGTTCACTGGTTTCTAAAATGGAGGACAAATTGATTGTGTCTATGTGTGGGTGCCCTGAATTATAGGATACCTTTCCTTTCAATGACCAAAACTGGAATAAAAAGGAGCTCGCCCAGAGGCAAATGAGTGAGGAGGTCGGATTACCTGGTGAATTGTTAAGAACTTTTGTCTATCACTTGATCCCCCTGGTTGAATTGACAGGGATTACCATTGAAATTACTGTTGACGCGCGAATTGAGAGAGTAGATGATTTACTCGCACTTGGTGTGAACGCCCCATTAAAATGAAGAAACAGAGAATTACTTTACTAGCATTACAGTTGTAGAAATAACAGTGTACAACATAATAACTGATGCCCCAAGATGACAAAGGCTGTATCACATCTCAGATAGGACACCACTTAATGCACAAATCCAGTCAGATTATCTATAAATCGCTTTTTTTTCTTAGCTCAAAACATAAGAACTTACTAGAAGTTGGATATTTCTATGAGTTCTTTCAGAAACTGAAAATGTGATCAGTTCTGTACTTCTACATGTAAACTCAAGTGTGATGAGTGCTTTACAGTTATAATCTTAACAATGTAATCGATCACACGATAATGTAAATGGTCATTGACGACCATTGATGGGGAGGCTGAGCCACAGAAGGTCATTTCTGAAATGGCTGGCTGTTCACAGAGCGCTTCATCAAAGCATATTATTGGGAAGTTGTCTGGGGGTTAAAGTGTGGTAGGAAAAGTGATGACTGAAGTCTGCAGAGGGTTGTTAAGAAAAGTCTTAGCTTGTAAAATGATGGTGCTCAGCTTGATTGACCTGCTCAATATCTTGTGTTGCATCATGGGATTCTTGTTTTTTGATGTTACTTTTGGTGGGGTATCTCAATCTCCATAGTGAATTTGTTGCTGTGTTACTGTACAGATTAGAGGGTGGATGGTTCCTATAAAAAATTAAAAAGACATTACACTTTCTCACACAAACACTCACCATGTGGGCTGGTGTCTGAGGTGAAGTCCATCCCAGGTTCTGTGGTGGGCTCGGTCTCCTCAGTTATTATCTCATCCTCAGAGGCGTCTGGAGTTGGGGTCTCTGGAGGAAGGGCAGTGGTCCCGTTGTCTTCTTCTGCTGGGGTGGGTGCTGGGTTAGGCTCAGTGGTTGGTGGTACCTGAGGGGTATTAGTTGTAACTAGAGGTGGGGAAGGAGGCACAGGTAACACCCGTCCAGTCCCATTGGGACCAGCAGGTTCTACATCCTCCCCGGCAGGTGGGCTTGTAGTGAAGGTGGTGGCTGTTTCTGTTGTTGTAGTTGCTGCTGTTGTTGTTGTTGCAACTGTGGTCACTGGGATGACTGTAGGTGCAGGCGTGGTGGGTGGGCCTTCGAGGGCTTGTGTGGGTGCAACTGTGAAATTAAGAGATGGTGCAACAGGAGGGTCTGTGGGTATGGCAGTGATGTTTGGAGGACCTGGAGAAAGAAAACAGTGTAGAGTTAGCATTTTTTGTTGCAAGTATTTCAATTTAAGAAATAATGAGTAGATCAATCTGGATTCAGTGGATGTGGTTCATACTTGTGATGGGGACATCATCCTGGCCTGATGCCCCAAGGGCTAGACCAATCAGCAGGAGCAGGGGACACAAACCCATTCTGCCCTACATGTAGGACAGAGACAGCAGGGTATTAGTTTAAAAAAAAAAAAAAATCAATCTCGTTTGAACCAATCATAAATGTCATTTGACCAAAATAACTTTTTTCATCATCAAACTGTAGAGATTAAAGTTTTATGGGTTATGTAATCCACCATATCTTTTTAAACCCTCTATCCTGATCATGTTCACTTGAAAAAGATTGAACTCCTTAAATCTAAAAAAAAAAAAAAAATCTTGCATTATGTAAACCCGTGAGCTCAGCATTTTTACCTGAAGAAGCGAAGATGGCATCAATCACTCATTCGCACAGCGTGGTCCTGCAAAGCAAACAGAAGATACTTGGCATCACTCCGGGACACTCATTACTGTCTTGTGGTTCAACAGAGATGGTATGATTTATTTACTAGAACTAGCTCCTTACAAAATACTTTTGCAGAATCAGCATCAGGATGAAAAAGTAGGACAGGTTTGTACTCAGAGACACTTTTCTATAGATATTTCTACTTAAATTTTATGTGACGACTATTGTGACGATATTCTTTTCTCCTGATTTGATTCTTCTACGATTTTTTGGATGCCGATTCGATTTAAATTGCCATTCTACAATATTGTCGATTTTCTCGATTTTTAGTCTGCATTTTTAACACCAGTGAAACAGTTGAATGATTATGATTGTCTACTGACTATTCCAGGAACCATATTTCCCCCCAAAATGCACATCACATGTAAGTCAGTTTTTAAGATTTATTCTTAAATCTTGAAGGCTTTTTGAACATAAAAATCGGTTTAAAAAATTGTGATACTTTTTTTCTCCCACCCCTAATATCCTCTATATATGGTTACGATGTGCTTTTAGTTAAAAGAATTTGCTTTTTCAGATTCCTGATTCCAGGAAAACCATGAAGTTGAGATTCAGGAATACGTTGTAAAATACATACGCTTAAATATATATGCATATATCGTTGCACTATCACCAAGATATTCACATTGGTCTTTTTAGAACAACACAAAAACATGCCTAAGGAACATTTGACCCATTCATTGCCCAAGGCATGACCAAAACAGAATTAGTGTCACATCGAAATTCCTGCAGTGACAGTGACTCAGCAATCATCACCCACTGGTGTGAGGATGAGTGAGAGGAGGACTGAGGATAGACAGACTTTGGAGAAAGTATGACAGAGGCCAGAGGGTGGTCGGGCCGGCTCACTGTCAGTCTTCTGTATAATCCCAGAGGCCAACAAGGCTGTTGTCTCCCTGACTGAGCTGTGAAAATCCCTGGACCTAATCCCATGGTCCTGACCCTGGAATAATCCAGCCCGTCTGGCTCTGCTCAAAGAGATACTTCAGCGCTGCACTGAGCCAAGCGCTGCGTGCACCGCCCGCGCACACAAACTGATGCTTTACATCAGGGATTATTGCTTCAGTGGGCAGAGGATAATTTGGGTGCTGAAAGCTTTAATAGTGCCAGTTGCCAATCATCTGGTGTTTTGAACCAAGCTCATTCATGGCAGTGCTTACATTCTGGATTTGGTGCAGCGCTGTTTGGCTCTGACTGCAGCCTGAAATGGGGCATGATGAGCAAGTTATGTTGTCAATGAGGATGCTATTAACCTACAAATCCAATTGTAGCTTTCCCTCTTTCTGTGTCCCTCGTCCATTTATCCAGCCAAATGCCTGCTTCCAGAAACAATGACAGGATTCAGAAAAAGGACAAAAGGGATATTAAACCAGAGATATTTTGATAAACTTCTCAAAAATATTTTTGAGCATTTGGACATTCTTCTTGGCTTGTTCTTGCACAGTTGAGGGTCTTGAAATCCTGACAGCTGACTGACTGATTCTCACTGATTTTAGGGCAGCAAATAATATCGTTTTCTTTTTTTTTGGCTGTCTTGATCTGCTTACTATTCTCTTTATTCAGTTATAAATCATGCAGTAGAGCGCAAGTAAAGTCTTCAAATATCTCACAGCCTCGGTGAAAATCATGGAATATAAAGCAAGGAGATACTTTCAATAAAGGAACTGGGAAAAAAAATGTTTGTCTTTGGAAATCAAATAAAGATGATTGATCCTTGAGATGATTGATTGATGATTTGTTAACAAATTGTTGTTGCTGCAGCTTGAATTTTGTACTGATAATCTTAAAAAAAAATACATAAACAGTCTTTTTACATCTGTACCTCAGTTGTCTGGGAAGAAATCTCTTCTCAGACAAGTAAATTTTAAAACCGGTACAGGAGCATTACTCCCTGTGTCACAGTCTGCTGTATTTGTGGATGCTTAACATCTCCCTTTAACACTTTGACTTTACTGTGAGGAGTACACTACCTCTACTATCCTCCTCTATAGTTCAAGAGTGATTCACAAGCTTGTTGATTTGTGCCATTATCAGTGAATCAGTGTCATACAGCATCTATCTGAATGTGTGTTGGGTCAACCAAACCTACGGATAGGTATGCTCACATCAAAATGCTTTTTAATATCCTTTCCTTAACCAAGCATGACTCACTGCTATCTGCGTGCTTTCAGGGAGGCAGGATGACGTGTCACTGTGATGGTTGGTGTGATGGTCCTGTTGCTAACCTTCACTTCACAGATGCTGCCGGTGCACAAGAGGTTTTTATCTGGGGACTGTGCACCCACGACAACAACTCCCTGGAGATGCATCTTAATGTGTTTCAGCCTCCTGGGGGCCAGTAGTTTAGATGTGTGTGTGTGTGTGTGTGTGTGTGTAAAGGCAGGGCATTCTTTATTTAACAGACTTATGTGTTGGCAGAGCTCATTATTAATTTACGCAGGCAAGTACTTCTATTTGTGCCATTTTTAGGTTTGGTGCTGCCATGGTTCTATATTAAAAGGATAACCTGCGTGATGACTAACTGTAACTCAGATGGAAATATGGAGGTCACATGGAATCAGTCTAAATACAACACCGACCCCTGAAAAGATGCATGCTCTGAAAAATGTTGATAAAAAAAATTCTGATGATCTGCTGAAGAAATAAACCTACATATGATTAAAAACTGAGCAAATGCAACAAATCAAATGACGAAACTAAGAAGTTAGTTTAGAGCAGACACTGGGGGTGGGAATCACTGGTGGCCCCACAATATGATATTATCACAATACTTGGGCCACGATACAATATTATCACGATACTTGGGCCACAATACAATATTATCACGATACTTGGGCCACAATACAATATTATCATGATACTTGGGCCATGATATGACATTATCACGATACTTGGGCCACGATACGATATTATCACGATACTTGGGCCACGATACGATATTATCACGATACTTGGGCCACAATACAATATTATCACGATACTTGGGCCGTGATATGATATTATCACGATACTTGGGCCATGATATGATATTATCACGATACTTGGGCCACGATGCGATATTATCGCGATACTTGGGCCACGATACGATTGTATTACGTTTTTTAACATTTTGCAAGACAGCGATTATTGCGATACAATATTTTATGATTAATATTTTTTTAACTGTTAAGCTATTTTAGCATTTTACTTTTCTTAATGTTTGTCTTATTTACACAGTATTTTATTTTCATATAGCACATCTTGCAAACCTTATATTTGTTGCACTAACTTTCTCCTGCTCTATGAGGACCTCTGCCAACCTCACTGACAAACAGTTGATTTTATTTTTCCATTATTTTTCCAGATATGACTTCATTTTAGCAATCATTTTAAAAAATCTATATTTGGTAAATGAGACGATACGATACCACCACACAAAATATCGTGATACTATGCTGTGTCCATTTTTTTCTCCCACCCCTAGCATACACTTTCCTTAAAGTTTTGCTCATTTTGAATTTGACGTAAGCAACACATTTCAAAAAGTCGGGACAGGCACCAAAAAATCCAAAAGAAGTTTAGTAAAGCAAAAAAAAAAATCCTGGAGGAACATCTCTTAACTTATCAGGTTAAATTGCAGCATGTTAGCAGCATGACTGGGTATTAAGAGATCATTCCAAATAGGTAGACTTTCAGAAGTAAAAATGCAAAGAGGTTTACCCCTCTGTGAGAGACTGCATGGGCAAACAGTTCAACAGTGATGTTTCCCTGCAGAAAACTGTAGAACTCCAGGTATTTCACCATCGAAAACAAACAAGATTCAGAGAATCTAAACAAATCTCTGTACAAATAGAATAAGTCAGATAACCAAGAAATGAATGGCTGTGATCTGCAGCCCTCAGACAGCACTGCATCAATAACAGACATGACTCTGTGGTGAAATGAGTTCCAAATCACCACAAATAAAGGCTAAAACTTGACAATTTAGAGAGGAAACCGAACATGAACGTGATAAAGGCTTGAAGCTTCTCAAGGTCCAGCCCAATTGAAGTAGACTGAGATGAAGTGGAAACCTGTAGTCTGACTAATCAAAGTATATTTATTTTAGGAATTACATCATGCCCTCCCTCTACTTCAAAGTGGACAGGGATCACCTGGCTTGTTATCAGGACATAGTTCATCAGTGCACCAGGACAAAGGTGATACAGTACAATAATACTCACACTCCTGTCCCTACTTTTTGACACATTTTGCTGGAATTAAATTTTAAATGAGCATTTATTTTTGCATGAAATAATACATTTTTTTCAGTTCAGTGTTGTCTTTGCACGAGTTTCAAATAATTTAAGGGCTTTAATCATTTGCAGCTCATCAAAATCTTTTCTGATGACATATTTCTCAATGGTCAGGATGGATGAACATTATCATACAGAACATTAACATTTGAGTAAATGACTCATATCTTGGCTGAACAGAGTATCATACTTTAACCTTTGCTAACCGACTTTCCCATCAAAAGGACACACACAAATGGAAAACTACCCACACTTTTCACAGTAACTGATTGACCTCCATGTTTCGTCATCAGATTTAACTGAAAGCACTTCTCATCTTTGTTTTTGTTTATCAAAAGGGATGGGTGAGGTGAACTGAAGATTATATCTTTTTTATGCTTTTTGCAGCTACAGTGTTAAAAAGAAAAAGGCCTTATGCAGTTTAACACAAGGTAAGTTCCTAGGACCCCCCTCCTCTCCCCTCAAACAAGCCTGCAATGCCTTTCTAAATGCGTCTGTATTCATCATCACACAGACCGAGTGTTAAGAAAGCTACAATCAAAAGCAATTTCTCAGGAATATTCGGTCGTTCTTCTGACCAAACAGCTCGATTCTTTCAATCATCTGACTTGGACTCAAGAAAACCTAGTCATGAGCTAAAAGTAGAGATGCACCAATCCATTTTTTTCTGATCTAATCCAATATCGATACCTGGGCTGAGCATAACGGTCAATATCCAGTACCGATCCAATACTATTGTTGCACGAATGAACTGTATACCTTGCTCTGTGAGTGAAGGCATCAGGCTTGACATTAGCCTTGTTAAAAAAAAGGTAACAAATTAACACAGATATAAATTTACTGAATATTATTTATTAACAAATGGCCAATTGCACATCAGCACACAGCAAAAAAAGACTTCCATGTATTAAAAGAAAAATTAATTAAAAGGAAAAAAATGGATTGGAAAGCTGGATCAGCGTCATTCATCCGATATCCGATCCTGTCAATATCGGAGCAGATATCCGAGCCAAATATCGGATTGGTGTATCCCTAGCTAAAAGTCACCGTCACCTGCCACCATGGTTGCATCGGTGTTTGAGGGGTAAAACACATTTTAAAGTCCCACACCGGTTGTATTCTTTTTTATTATTTAAAGTGTCATCAGTGGTCTTTAAATTGTGACTATTACGTTTTCAGCCAAAATCACATTACCTGTGTCATTTTCTAGAGCTTTGCTTCTGCAGAGCCCCAGTAGCTTATTAGCAATTAGCCTCTGAGTCGTGGGTGGAGAAAGTGCTGCTCTGCACACTCCTCTTCACACTAGCTTGCAGCCTAACATTGCCGGTGTTGTAGAAGTGGCAGATAACATGGGAGCTATTAAGCTCTGAGACACTAATGTATTTGGGGGCATGATAAAAGCTAATATCATAATTAGCTTTCTTACAAGCATTGCAATCTGCTATCACACACGCGTGTTCCTCAACTGTCCCCTCTACTTCTCTGAGTCTGGCCTGCATAGCGGGGCTCTGGGGGCGGAGCTTGCAGTTGTGACATAGGAAATCTCCCTGTGTCTGAGCCTGCCGTTTGGGTCAGCCAGAGGTTCACAGCAATTTGAATGCAGAAAAACTCAGAAATGTAATTTCACGATTCCTTTTCTCATGATATGTCCTGTAGCATCAGCACCAGACAATAAGAAAAACATGATTTTCATCGGAGTGGGTCTCTAATTGGTAATGACACTATTGCCAAGTTTATACTCTGTCAAACCCCCCACATCTAGCTCTCTTTAAATCCATCTTTCGTCTTAGTATGTCAACAAGCGCAGGCTAAATGCCTCGCCAACACTTTCCTCGTGCTAGTCCTTGCAGAGGAAACAAGCCTGAGCCATCTATTAGTGAATGAATGAACTAAAAGGTAGTCATACAGCTCATGCTCTCTCCTGACCTTAGGCTCTGCTTGTGCAACCATGTGAATATTTTCTTGGATAAAGCGGAGCACACATAGAAAAAGCCATTACAGCAGTCACATCTGGGGTGAGCCACCCTTGTAGCAAAGCACAGAGCTGCCTCAGTTTTCTTAAGACTATGACAGGAAACAAGCAACAAAAATCAATAGTTTGACTGGAGGGAATAAAGAATACAAATGTGACAGGACACTTACTTCCGCTTTGAGGAGAATCAAACATGACTCAGACCTCTTTCTTTACAACACATATTTCAGCAACACACGCATACTTGTGGTATAGAAGGAACATACTGTTTTAGCATGAATGACAGATCCTATGATGAGATGATTCCTTCTCTCCAGCAGGAACTGTATACTTCAGATTTCTTGATTTTAAACAAATGCATTCATTTGTTTGACACGTTTCCCTATTTAGAAAATGTACAGATTTGTAATCAATAATATCATGAATAGATTTTGAGATTTTACCTTTCTAGGGGCTTTTATAGGTATAAATCTAAATTGATAAATATTTAATAGATATTGGTTGGCTGGTGTCCAGTAAAATAACAGATCAGGAATATACTAATGTGAAAACCCAGCACAAAAGCATAGCTTATATCATCACAGTTTCCTAAACAGTTACATTTCACAGTGAGTGGGTTACAGTGGGACAAAAGTAATGACAACTGGAACAGAAAACTGAATTACACAGTTAAAAATTAATAAAACAAATACACATAGTACTGTTACTATGTGTATGTTATGGGTTGATGGTTAAAGAGAGATTTTTGACTAGTTTTGAAATAATTGCTGCTTCTTTATTGCTTACATAACAAAATGATACATCTGAGTGGCCACACTCAGCCAAGTCCTTTTAAAACCCTCACCTGAAAGTGTTGTGTTCAAAACTCTGTCAATAAAGTTAGTATTCAGGGTTTTTTTTTTTTTAAGATTACGCTCTTGTTACATCATGTTTCGGCTGATACCAGTGCAGGATTAGCAAAAAGAGTAATGTTTTCTATTGAAGTATTATTTCAGATGGAGACAATCAGGGCTCTGTTTCTATCCTCTCTTGAGTGTAAAAGGCTGTTTTTCTTCTCACATATATTAGAAGCACTTTGGGAGTGCTTTTCAAAGCAAAAGCCTGGTTTACATCGCCACACTCTTGTTTTCACACAATGCTTTTACTCTGAATCTGTGTCCAGGACAATTACCTGGAGGTCACCTGTACTGCTCCTTAATTAAACCTCTGCAGAACTTATGTTGGATAAAAGAAGTTGTCCAAATCACCTTGGCTGAAGGCAACTCTGTGTTGATAACATCAGGTTATCTGTCTACCTGTCTCACTTTGCTCAGCTGGTGTCTGAGTGTAGAATAAGTATAATTTCTAAAGGATTCTTGATAAGATCAACCAACGTTATAACTGTTATAACAAGATACATACAACAGAGACATCATTTATTAAATAAATAAAACAACAACAGGTCATAGAGTGTACAGAATATTTCAGAGCAATCTCCTCCCTCTTCTTTCTTTGTCACTATGACGCATGTCTCTGTGCACAAAGCTACCGGTATTTAAAATTTAATGACCCAATTTTAACATATATGAGCTCAGTCTTTAAAGCTTAAACCCTGGTAACACTCCTGTAAAAGGTGTGGCAACAGCATAGCAATGGAAGACTGATTAATATGTATATTTTATGTATACATTGTACATCACATAACTCTTTTATACTCATGCCTTTTATAAAGCCAAGGCATCCAAATACTTGGTGGTCTGTGATCTTATTTTAGTTAAACGATGTGGAAGGGACAAGGCTGTTGAATCCTTAAAAATGAGATGCACTTTCCTCATTTTTCATCCTGTTTGTTTCCTGAAATTCTCTTCTTAAGGCTGAATAAGTCATTACCCACTCATTACAAATGTGTTTTTATGAGTGTCCTGATTCACATGAGTTTACTGGTTTAGGGAGGTACTGGCCACTGCAGGTGGACAGCACCCCACGAGCTGCCGTTCAGAAGATGCTCTGACCCAGTCATGGCGCCATCACAATTTGTTCCATGTCCAAGTTGCTCACATCCTGCCACTCATTCACTTTTCCTGCATCAGCATGTCAACTTTGAGGTAAAAAGGTTCACTTGCCACCTAATAAACCCAACCCACTAACAGGTACTATAGAGATAATTACACAAAAAAACATAAGAGCCAACCCAATAAGAGCATTTGTTTTTTCTGATTGTTCGCCGGCTTTTTCCTGCTTTCTACAACAAAAATAAAACACATTGAAGATGATTTTTTTCCCCTCCTGCCTCTCTTATAAAGCAGATTGTCTAGTGATTGTATTTTACAGTATCAAAGACAGAGTAGGAAGCCTGTGTGGGAGTTTCAGGATCTCTGAATTACGCGATAATGTGTCTAATTCTTTTTAATCCACTGAATGCGATTCACTTCTGTAAAAAGAAAAACAGTAAGGTCTCCATGTTTTTATTGTCTAGGCTTTTTATTTTCCTCACTGTCTGCCACACACTCATCAACAGCCAACAGGAAAACTGTCCTAAACTTGGGCTTCTCTGTTGCAGTGTTAATTATCTGACAAGCATCTACATATTTTGTGGTTACCTGGGTAACAACAAGTTCCATCTAGTGCGTAACTGGTTAGTTAAAGTAGCAGCAACAGCGCCTCGCTGATCAGTAAAGGCTGAAATGTACCGGCAGACTAAGAAGTTAACCAAACAAACAAGAAGTCCAGTAAAAAGAGCACAACTAGGTACAGAGGTTGCATGGTGCGCACTCAGGCACTGCTGGATACGCTCTCTCCTTCTTTGGAATAACTATTTACGTGTCATGCAAGCTAACTGGGGCTAACGCTACCAGGCAGACATCCATGATCAATAGGGGTGTAACGGTACACAAAAACCACGGTTGGTAGGATCTGAAGTCATGGCTTGGTCAATTTTTGGTACAGTAAGGGAAACACAAGCACCAGCTGTTCATCGGCAGAGCTACAAGGGTCTTGGATTAGCTGTGCGCAACAGCAGCTTTGGTTGTTCATAAAGGGCTGCTGAAATGAAGAAGAACAAATTTATATCAAGGCTCTATCACGATTAGCGTGTTTAAATCCTCCACTCTCAATAACCGAGAAGATTCATAGATCCACTAAAATAAAAGCATTTATTTGTTATAACATTTGTTATAGCACGTCTGTGTTCTGCCACTACAAATGTGTTAACATGTTGGATGTGTTGCCAGTAACTGCTGCCAAACTGTGACAGTCAACAGTTCTTGCCTTGTCTACTTTGGTTTGTCCATTGTCACATTTCACAAGGAAACTGCAGTGTTCTCACACAGGAGACCTTACAGACCCACTTCGATGAAAATCATGTTTTTCTTGTTGTCTACATGTTCATATGGCATTTTTCTGATGCTACAGGACATATCATGAGAAAATTAAGTGTGAAAAAAAAAGTATGTTCTGTCCACTTCTGTCTTCCAATCGAATGGGAACTCATTCGTGAGTTTTTGGTCTATATCATGCATTCAATTCAGTGCGCATATACACCGTACTGGAAGTCCTGTACTAAAACATGCACATTCACACCCCTAATAATCACCTCGGTGCCTTTCTGTTACATGCACGTTCACTAAGTTCAACAAATGGCTAAGGTGTGTGAGACAGAGCTATAAATTCATTAACAATCTGAAAGTTTAGGGGCTGTTGGGGAAACACTTGTGGGTTGATGGTTCAAAAGAGGAGCGTCGTTGGCATGTGTGGGTAGTGGGTTTACTGAATCCTCACAGATTTTGATGCATCAGAGATACAGGTCGCATACCCGCCAACATAACTGTGTTTACATTAGCCTAGTTCATTTGAAGGGCTTTGTTTTTAGGCTTCAGTTTCAGGGTATTCACCTGATAAGGGCTTTACTGATAGTGGAATTGAAAGTAAAGGTCTGTTTCATCTTTTAAGAACCAACAGACCCTGTAACCAAAACCTGTGGCAGAAAAGAAACACAACTGAAGGAATTACGTTTACTTGAAGAATCACTGTCAGTGGCTACAACATTGTTGTTCAAGATTTCAGGTCCTTACACACCGGGACCGTTTTTTTCGTGCGATTATTTCGGAGATCAATATTTTTTTTCGAACCCGTATCCTGTAAATACAAGCGTTCACATCAGCAACGTTTTCCTGCCCTGCAATACTGCAGCATTTACTTTTTTGTATCACGGACGAATTTTCTTAAGTTTCGCATACTGTGTGTCCACTTTGACAATCAGATTTCGTGTTGCTGCGATGTCAGATTCACCAGTATATCCAACATGGCCGACTGGCTGATTGTTTACGTGTCGGAGAACAGAGTGCTTTTTGATAAAAGACACAAACATTACAAAGATAACGACCTGAAGGACAACTTGTGGAGAGTCATAGCGTCGGATTTTTCATTTGACGATGGTTTGTGTGCTTTAACAGTTTGCTAAACGTCTTTGTTTTAACTTTCATCTGTGCAAAGTAACTTTAGCTCGTAAGCTAACCTGTTCAGATACAACATACCATACGTATTTTCACTGTCTCAAACTCAATCACGTTGCTGTCACAGCACCATTAGGTCTCGGTTGTTACCTTACGTTTATGGATTATAGTTTAATGTGCTTATCTAATACTGGCCCCGACTCTGTACATGCTATCATGACAGACAGACATTTCAACACTAGTGTCTATAAAGAACTGAAAAACACTCAGTCTGCTGTTGTGTCAGTCTTCTCGCTTCCACCCGGGACGCGTCTTTTTTCCCCCGGAAAGTCGCAAAATCGTATTGCACTTGATATAGTCAGGTGCGTCAAAATTTGCCTCTGAATATTTAGTAATTTCGCGTCGTATATTTGCATCGTTACCGGTGTGTAAGGACCTTTAGCATTGCAAAGAGAAAAGGTTTTATCTGGACATTTCCACAATTGACTAAACTAACAAATCAGTTTTGCCATTATGGGTAAAAATACACAGAAATAGTTCATTATCCAATAGTCATGTACGATGTAAGATAGTCATTTAAGATAGCATAGTAAAATACACCATATTTAATTCTCATGCCTTTGAGTCAGAGTCTCCACCATTGTGCAGTCACCTACTTGCTGCTTAATGTGGAGGCGAGTGGTTAGCCAGTTAATGAAGACAGTTGCTCCTGTGCCGGTGGCCAACTGCAGACCTCATAGGAGGGCAATCAAACAGCAGTGAAAGGACTCGGCTGTTCCCATGCCATTTCATTCACACAGTGTAAAGAAACACTTAAAGGTAGAATATAAAGGAACTCCAATTATATCTCCATGACAACCAAAGGCGAAGCCGTTAGATCCATGGAAGTTAGTCTTTTAATACAGAGCACTCCTGCAAAAGTCTGTGGGGTTTTTTTTTGTTTCAGCTACTTTTTCAGTTTGTTAGATATTTTTGAGCTGGGCACTGCCTGAAAGCATCGAGGATGTTCAGTTTTATTTTTAAAACTAACAAATCTTATTAATTATTCACAGCAGCCATCCCTAAGGCAAAGGAGTGAGCTGGAAACCAAACAGACACAAACCCCTGCAGGCCTGGCTGACATGACACCAGCGGTGGTGGTCAAGGGGACTTTACCATTCATGCAGAGAAATATTTCCCTCTGGCTTTCTACAAGGCATCCTGCTTCTTTAGTCGCTGCAGTGCCAGATAACGCTTGTCTGTCTGTCTCCATTCATAGCATATTAATACTGTTTCTATGTCTTGAGAGGGGGAGGAGGGTGGTCTGGGGCAACAGAAACACTGTGAATGCTTCTCTTCACAGGAGACTGCAGTAGGTCTAACCCGGGGCTGCTACGACTCGCTCTGAAACAGACCACAGATTATATGTCCCCGGTGCCACATACAACAGCCACAATCCTCTGGACTTCCCTTTCTGAGGGATACTACTCCCTGCTGGTGTGGTTTATGTTCCTGTTGGCTTCATTCATGAGCTGGTGAGTTGATGAAAAGACCCAGAGAAGTGAGGGATTAGTATTTTGGCTAATCATACAGGCAAGAGTGACCGCTGTGTCTGTTATTAAGCCTGTAATGATGATTTGGTTCCACTGGGCTGGAAGGATAAAAAAAAACTCACTTGTTTCAATCTGTGAAAGTGGTGAGTCAGTGAAGCTCCACTCTGTTCTGTGTTCACTTCATTGTGGGGTTTCTCACAGAGCATGCCAGGGGCCTCTCAAGCTTTCCCACATTGGACACAGAGAGGATGTGGAGGCGCAAAGCATGGCCTCCCCACAGAAGCCACTGTGACCTTGAAGCGTGTGTGGTGTGGGGCCAAACGGCCGGCATAAGGGCCACAACGAAACCTGAGTCACTATCACTTCTGCTTTGAAAAAATTGAACAAGCAACGCTGATTTCTACATCCAGCATGCAACTCCGGCTGGGGATCAGGGCTCAGTACTTTTTTGGCAGGAAGTAAAATATCCCACTTTCAGGCCCTAGCATGGTGTCAAATATCAGCTCAGGTTTGTCATTTATGTCCAGTCTGATCTGAGTTACATATTTGACGATCCAAGGGGTGGTGAGGTTTAGGGGCTTATTTGATACTTAAGTTTTCTTTGGTTGGACTCAAGAACACACAAATCCCAAAGTGATATAATCTTAACAGCAATGATAATGATTAAATAGAATAAATCCCAATTTGTCAGAAAAAGTGAATGAAGCATTCAGCTTTTTGTTTAACCATTGATTTTTCTATATGGAAGGCATACGTTGATCAAAAGTAATACCTCATATAAGCTCTTTAGACAGGTCATCACTGACCAAATTCTTACTTCTTACTTAAATGAAACTTAAAGATACGATCCATCAAATCAAAAGCGCTCACAGTCTGCAACATTAAATTCAAATGAAACCGAGCCCTTGATGAGTACAGGCGTTCGTATCTGAAGTGACCATCCTCTTGCCCTCTGTCCCCTCCTCTTCCTCTGACAGATAAGGAAACCAGCTTCTGAGACTTCACAGCAGAGCCGTCACATAACTTTTCAAAAAAAAAAAAAACCTGTGCTTCCAGAGTCATCTTCAGGTGATGTATTCAAAGACTTTTCCAGCTTGCTTAACATGTTCTTTGGACAATTTTTCACAGCAGGGCAGCAAAAGGTCTTGTCGCCTTGAAGGCTGATGCCAAGGGCAAATATAAATATTTATAACTGTGGCTTCTTCTCTGCTGGTTTTCAATCCACCCTAAATCTGACCTCCACTGTGGGGCATTGTTTGAAAGGGAACATCAAAGTTTTCCACGGGACAGAAATGGACTGCGTGACAATACCACAAGGTAATCGAATGGGATGTTCAGCTCATAATTTCTGCTTTCCCTTAAACGAAATAGGAAATATAAATCCTAAAATAGGCAAGCAAATAGTGGTCCCATTAACAAAACTGTGGTGCTAAAACGTACCCCATACAAAGAATTCTCTGTTCACAAGGAAGAGGGACGAGTTTGTGTGATCCTGAAATCAAACAGTTACTACCGTTATCATTGGGGGAAATAATTGATTATAGCAGACCTGTATCACGTGAGCTAAAGGAAACTTCCCACACATCCAAAATACTCTTTAATTTGGTCTTTGAAGTCTGCTATAAGAAATAAAGTATTGTCATAACCATCACAGTCACTGTGACCCAGAAACATCTTTGCTTCCACATCAGGAGGATGCAAAACAAAGATTTTTTTCAACCATGTCTTAAGACAGACGAAACAAATCTGAATAAGTCTAAAAGGAGTCTCCAAAGTCAGACCAGAGATTAGATTTATTAACAGTAAGCCATCCTCACACCGGTTCACTTCCTGTGTGGTAAAATTATTGTCAACGTACGGCTGAATGACATATCAAACATGTCTGAAATCAGGCTCCTGAAAGCCTCATAATCCCCTAAATGTAGCCGTGTTGATCCTGTTAGAGGCTGAATTACACAGCTCTCCACATTGAAATGTGTTCGGCACACAGGTGGAAACAAAAATATACCTCCTGCCCCACCCAGAGGGACAACTCATAATATTGTGTCAGCACCCTGAAATTGTGAAATTTCACAACACAGGAGTTAAACTTCAAAGATCCTCCCATTGAAACTTCACGCAAAGTCCCCTCGAGGCTCTTTCATGCTATACTTTATGTTGTATTTTTAGAAACTAGGCCAATGATGAAAAGTGCGGTGTGAGGATCACTCAGGCTCCTCCGCTGAAACGCTTTCAGAATCCCAAGACAGAAATAACTCCTTTTTTCTCAAAATAGGCTGAATAAGATACGGACAGAGATGATAACAGCTCTGCATTTCTGGGCCCTTTCCCCCCCTCACACAGTCTGAATTTTCCTAAGATGAGGCGGTTTGACAACCAAAGATGGTTGCATGGCATGTTGGGAAAGGGAAAGACGTGTCCAGGCCTGACAGTGGAAGGTCAAGGTAGGCCTGCTGTTGGAGCACAGAGAGGAAGGAGTCAGCTGTGGTAGGTGCAGCGAGAGATGTTTAAATACTACTTTTTTTGTTTAACCCTGTACGGCACATGATATTCAGCTGTGAGTATCAGTGTAACAGATTATACAAACCAATATTATTGGTGGAAAAACATGAATTGGCCATATTTTTTGCTAGCTTGAATACATTACTCTCTCTGCTGCAAATGTGCGGTTGTTGCGATAATTAACCTGAAACCTGTTGAACTTTGTAATCTGATAGAATAAGGTACCATCAATGTATATAGTGGTCAGTGAAGGAGGCTGGTACAATAATTTCAAAAATCAACACTGAAACAAATGTTTGTGACTTTAGCACACTGATGGCACTGACATGACACTGTGGCCTCTCCCAAGTCAGAACTGTGCTTTGGAGAGGTAAGGGGAAGAAGATCATCCACATGAAGACCATGAAGAGGTTCCTCCTGATACAGTGGCATGTAACAAGCTCAGCTCTGTCATGTTCCTCAGCATGGCTCATGCTTCTTTCTTCTTCAACTTTTACACGTCTGCTCTGTCCTGGTGCAAAGCTCTTGCAGCAGCAGCAGCAGAAACAGCTGCATTCATTTATATTCCTTATCTAATCGTCACCATTTCCAGTAACAAACAACCTATTAAAACACTAATCCATGCTTTAATGAGCTGGGAAATCATTACTTAAGAGTGCAAGTAAAAGAGAAGTATTAAAGAACTTCAACACCCACAACAGTGAAATGGTATGCTGGGTTACACCCAGAAAGAGAGGAGAATATTAATCATTACAGAAAACTTTGGGAGAGGTTGTTGGGGGGGAATGCACACTCCAGAGACTCCATGTCAGAGAGCAGAAACACAAAGCAGCCGCTGTGATTTGACAGACCCAACATGTTAATGTTAGGGCGACCTAATTCCTGTTGTGGGTCGTATGAAGACCCCCCTTCCCACCCACCCACCCACCGACCCCGCCAGCTCCCCACCCTCTCTGAACGTGTAATAACAAAGCGTTGATCAATAAAGTGTACTTTCCAGTGAGCCAGCACAGACCTGGACCCTCTTTGTTCCACTGCCAGCGCAACAGCATCCGTGTTGGCGCAACACACCAAGTTACAAGCTCGGACTCCTAAAATGTAGCTGCGCTCATCTTTAAGCCCCCTTTTTCTTCAGAGCCCCCTTCGCCAAATATCCCTCCCTGCCTCCGAGCTACTTCTAAAATGTTGAGGCGTTTCGACTAGAGAGCTCCAACTATTAAACACAGCCCTGTTTGTTGCTCCAGCACTGGTGTAACTCCAGGTATCATGTTATGTACCCGGTTGGAGTGAATGTGGGGGACAAAGTGCTTGTTTGTGGGTGACACAATGTTACAGCGAGAGGAAACATGCTGCTACAGCGACATTGTAACAAGTGGGATTCAGGCTTTCACGCAACGAAAACAAGAAAACTCACCACAACTCCTGAAGCGCCCAGAAGAAACCAGAGGGGAGGAGGAGGGGGAAACAGCCAAGAAGGGATTTATCCTCGCTTTCTCTTCCACGTTTTTCAACCCCGGCCCCAGTCTCCACACCCCACGAACCGAGAGTGAGAGCGGGGTGGGGGGACCTGGGTGATAGCAGAGGAGGGAAGCTCGATCTGGGACACACTGCCAACACTTCGCAGTCAGTTTTTCTGCTAAATCCAGGCAAGAAGGCCACCCCGCTAAAAACCCTTATTTCGCCCGAAGGTAAAGCCCCTCCCGGGAGTACTTTCTTCGGCTTCCTGGGTGTTAAATCCTTCGGTTTATCCGCTGTATCCGGGCGCGTCGGCCGACTATTCTAGTCCGCCATGTTGTGTGTCTGTCTGCATAGGAAGAATGGGAAGCGAGCTGCAAATTCCCAGGCCAGGCCCAGTCTCTTCTCCATTCTGTTTCTCCATAGCCGGCAGCGACACCTGCTGGTCAAGCTGGACTTTACACATTCTCTCTCTCTCTCTCTCTCTCTTTGTGTGTGTTTGTGTGTCTGACAGAGACAGAGAGAGTGTGTTTACCCGGCAAAGAGGAATATGTTTCCTTTACACCTCAAGACAGAATCATAAAAAAGTGGTTTTAGATAACAGGTTTAAATATAGAGTCCTAAAATTGGCATAATGAAATAGGCAGGACAGTTGGTAGGTAAAAGTTTTAGACCTCATGTTTTTCTTAAAAAAAAAGAAAAAAAAGAGATAGAGAGAGAGAGAATAATAACTAAGGCTAATGGGAAAAAAATGAATTGAAAAAATAAAAAACCTGATAACTCACTCTTTATTGCCTTCTGTATCACATTTGATACATACTTTTATTTACTTCTATCAAATCAATATGATCAACAAATTACTAAAAAACACCTGAATACAGTCTGATAAATGAAAAAAAAAATGTCCTCTTGTTGTTTATCAGTTTCCAAAAACTTCCAATGTATCAAACAAGCTTAATAAATATATTTGTTATATTTTAAGGACATTTTAATTTTTTTGGTTTTCGGTAGTAAGTGAAATAAACATTTCCGCTCCAAAAAAAAAAAAAAAAAAAAAACAGAAAAGAAAAGAATTTTCTGGCCATAATTTGTGGTTTCAGGCATTAAAGGGCTAAGGATGAAAAGTTACTTTTTTAAAATAACTTTAAGGCTATTTAACCAGGCAATAACCTGTTGAGACTGGGATCTCTTTATATACCTGTATGATATAACCTAACCAAGAGGTCAGCAGCACACCTCTTAATAAATACTACATAACTTAAAGACAGATAACGATGAATAAAATAAAAGCGATTATTTAAAAGCTAAATTAGCCTACCTTAACTCATATTACTGTAATTGAGTAGCTTTTTTTGTACTTGTCTTTTTTAATGATTTTTAATACTTTTTTCAAATTTGTCTCATTTATGTTTAAAATGTTACACTACACTTACTCCAAGCTGCTTTTTTTTTAAGATGTCAAAGGGTTTCTTAATGGATTTGCTAATATGGCCCAGGTATTACATATTGTGTTAAGACACATCAAGAAATTGTTTTTTAAAATTACATTTAATTAAGTCTTTATATTTGGTTTTAAATATCATTCTCTGCAAAATTCAATACAAACAAAAGACACTACGAAAGTACTCAAAAACTTCCCCCTGTATGGGTGCAGAGTCAAACTCCCTACACACGTTTCCTGCTGGTTATATTACAAGTACTCCATGCTGGATGTTTTAAGTAAAACAATGAAATCAACATACAGGTCAATACAAACACTGTATGTATTGGGAGGATAATTTTTAAGGTTAAATTTGTTCTACCTTGTCACAGATATTAATTATTAGAAATATTCAATCCAGCTTATCAAACATCTAGTATTACCCATTTATGAAAAATAAGTAGGCAAGGATTTAGCAATGAAGTAAATGTACATGCCAAGAATTCAGATTGCAGCCTCTTAAGTGTTTTTTTTTTTTTATGTGATCTTTGGTTAGTATATCAGATAAAGCAGAAACATTTGAGAAATTTTTTTAGACTGTATAACATTTCTGAGCATTTTTCATAATTTTCTGATACCTTATGTTAGATACATATTAGACGATGATGAAAAAGAACCAACAGCAGCTTTTAAAAGCCCTGTCCTTTCATGAGTCAGTACAAATATTGATTTGTTCGGTTTCTTCCTCTCCTGCTCTGATCACAGCTTGCACACAGCCAGCCGGTTGCTCTTATGTCCATTCTTAGGGGTTCTCTCATCTACCAGACAACATATATTTGGATTTAGAGGCTTTGGATTGGTCGGTGTCTTTATGAGGTGATGTGTGATGGCTGAGCTGATAGCACTCCTGACTGAACTAGAGCACACTGAATACTACACCAGTCTTCTAGTAACAGTCATGCAAGGATTTTGCACACAGGATGTTATATTTCATTTATTATTTATCTCTCATAAATGAAGAAGCAAAACAACTTAAGATTTAAAAGTAAATAAATAAAATGGAGGTATACATGTATCATATTTTGACTTTTGGTTCCAGACATATCAGTCAGTAGATTTGAAATGCTCTTGCCACAGAAAAAAATAGAAAATAAAAATAAAAACAATAGCCAGTGGGCAGCATGGAAACTCTGTTTCTATTGATAAGACTGCATGTTCAACACAAAACTTTTCATGGAAGATATTTAAGCAACTGTGTGATGTTCAAGTCTACACCAGGGTATATGGAAATCATAGCTGTGCATTCAATCAACATTTAAAGCTTCGGAGTTGGAATAAATGTAGCTGGAATATCCTGTAAGCGTACACTCAGTTAACAGGAGGTAAATAAAACTGTGTGTGCGATTCAGCAGCTGACAGACTTGCACATACAGTGCTCAGGCTGTCAGGTTAGCAATGACAGCCCTGGTGAACTCGTCGCTTGTGGCATAGCCCCCCAGGTCTGAAGTGCGCACCTGTTGCAAACATAAAGACAGTTTGTCACTGTATTCACAGCTGCAGCAACACATGTCCACATACAGTGTCACGGCCTGCATGTTAGAGAGCCTTTAAAAACTGCACTTTGAGAATACATTTGAGAATAGTGTGATCAGTCAGAAATGCACTCTGACAAATCCAGAGTTTTATTCCTCACATGAAATTCAATGAATATTAAAAATTTCAAAAAATAGTTAAAAAGTGATCATGAAAAGACATGAGTCAAGTTTAGTACAGGTACATCTACAAACCCCACAGAGTTTAAGTGAAAAAACTGTTTGGATCGTTATTAAGAGTAAGATTAAACATGCATCCTCGCCAAAGTCAATAGTTACTACACAACCAGAGTAACATGACACAAGGGCAAACACTACGATCAAGAAGAGAGTGTTAGAGTTCATATACCACCAACAAAAAGCTTGAATATTTTCCAAAAAGTTTGAAAATCTAAGGACATCAAAAGTAAAAAGACGAGTGCAGTTACGAATATATTACTTTATCTTTTATTTATGATAAAAAACTGGCTTGTGAAGTCTCTAAAACTGGGGCAAAGTGATACAAAAAGCATGAAAAAGGAAGAGATGAGGCAGCATTTCTGGCACTACTTTAAGATGTAGAAAAAGCTCAGTTTACACAGGTCACTTGTTTTTATAAGACCAAAAAAACTAAGCAGGTGGTTTATGGAGTGATGACAGGTTGACCAAAAGAAGAGTTCTTGAAATACTAGTCATAATGAAAAGGGAAAAAGCTTTGCAAACACTGTCAGAATATTTTCCCCGTGCCATCACAGTTTTTATTTTCGTCTGAACACCTTAAAGTTACATCTTAGTATTTTTGGTCTTTAGAAGGATGTGTCTTTGACAGATCCAGCAGAGATTTGAACACTAAAATATTAACTGCGTTCTTAATATCCAAGCAGGAAACATGGATTTTGCATTAGGGTGGGTTTGCCTTTAACATGCAGCAACTCAGAGCAATAACTTCAAGTTTTAGTTAAGCTTTCAGCACAGAAATGGGTTTTATTTAAGACTTTAATAAATATGTAATAAAGTTACATTGAGACATTCATGAGTCATGATGTAGCAATGATATCATTCTGTATTGTGATTTACATTTGCGTATTGTCAGATCTTTGAGAGGTAAGTGATGGGGCGTGTAAAATTTAGAAAAAGTAGAAGTTGGTGGTGAAGGTAAGGCAGATTAGCTGGTGTTATCTGTTGATCAAGGCATCCTGGCTGGTTTGGTTTCTGAGTGTATAATAGCAAAGGGGTAACTTGTATGACCAACACGGCTGTAACATTTAGAGTTAAGTTCAGCAACGAGCACAATGGAATGAAAATATGTGGAGAATAATGCTTGAAAATATAAATCAAAACAGCGTACTGGAAATGGAAAAGTGAAAAAGTGAAGAATGATTAGACAGTAGCTATGAGGGAAAATAACGGGTGAGAAAGCCTCACATGATTTCAGTAAACGACAGCACAGAGGAGTGATGATTCTGCCAGATGGATCAATAAACCCAGTACAGACTTTGTAAATTAGAATGCAACAGACAGGGTTTTTAATAACTGTGTGACAACATTTTTACTTGGCAGAGAGATGAAAGGTGAGTCTTAACATGCGACCACTTCATGTTAAGATCAGCGTCCAGATGGAAGAATGTGTCAGTGAGGAGTGAGACGAAAAACATCTTAGCAAACAGGTCGGTGGCGCAGGTTTTCCACAACAGCCTGCACAAAGTCACCAGTGGTACAATAACCGCCAAGGTCTCGTGTCCGTACCTGGGATATGAGCATAGATACGCACACACAAAATAGAAAAGAACACACACGCGCACACACACAGGATAATGGGGTACAAGGAGAGGAGGAAATTAAAGGAAAGGGAGGAGGGAAAGGAAAGGCACTTCAGACAACATGCGGGCAAATAATATTTTACATATGCCTTTGACACATCACCTCCTTTGAGAACTTTCTTTGCCATCATACAGCGTAGCTGGCCGTGCTTCTTGCTCGATGGGTAAAAATTTACGGACGTCATGTGTATGTTAGTGTCAACATGGAGCAGGCGCAAAACACTGTTAATCCAAGCATGTGGGAAAAAAAATGGTTAACTTGGTAGCAAATACAGCACATACTGTATTTCTGCATTTTTACCATCTTATAAAAAGGTTAGAATAGGGAGTAAGAAAAAACAGGAGGTTGGTTTATAGATACTACCCGTTTATGTAAGCGAGTCACCAAAGGCTCTCTAACATACAGTACATGCATATACAGCAGTTTGCAGACTGTTAGATGTAGGACTTTGTGGGTCAATGACTGCTATCATGACAGTACTCTGATGTAACTGCAGGTATCCGACAAATTTAAATGAAAAACTCTCAAACAAGCTGTTACAAGTCCTTTAATCTAAATTTTTTCTTCCCTTCCTGCTTCTGGAGCTTTTTGATACTGTTAACAGGACATAAGATAACAGGATCACTGACCCACAAAAGTTATGAGCAGTTGGTTACATTTAAAACAAAGGCTGACGTAAGAAGGGTATGTAAGCTCTGCAGGCTTCAAATTCTTGATATCTGTATGGAAAGTGACCCCTCCTTCTTGGCGTTAGTTCTGTTAGTGTTGTTAGATGTGCTCATGTTGTGTCATGTGTCTTCATCACACAGCAGGTGAACACTTACCTTTCCCTGTTTGATGACCCTCTTGACAGCATCTGACACCATTTGAGAGTGGTATTCCAGACTGCAACACAATACAGTGAAGTTTAAGAGCCGGCCTGAACTGCCTGGTACATATGTCTAAATCATGTCTACATTTAGACAGGCAGGGTTCTTCAGGATGCTTTCTAAAGCTCAATGCATGTATGTGATGGACCAGTCAAAGCAGAGAGAGGATGTGTTAAATATAGTGAACAAGAATCAAGAGGCTTACTCACTTTAAGTGCCTGAGCATATTCGCAGCACTAAGCAGCATGGCTGTGGGATTTGCTATGTTCCTTCCAACAGCTTGTGCAAAGGGATGGCGTGCACCCTGAGGGGGTCAGAAAAAGAGACAGATGTCAAGAAGGAGAAGCTAGTGCACCAAGTAGTGGAATACTTAATCTTAAAATATTTTATATTATATTATACTGACTGAGGCTAGAATAATCAAGCTACTAAAAGAGAGTGATCCTTTTACCCACATATAGAGTAAGATGATAAAAAGCAGAAACTTACAGTCTCAAACACAGCGTACTCTGAACTGTAGCTTTCTCCAGGAACAACTCCTGCTCCTCCAACCAGTCCTGCTGCCAGGTTATCAATAATGTTACCGTAGAGGTTGGGCATCACCAGCACATCAAACTGATAAGGATTCTGGACCAGCTGGAACAAAGAAGCACATACAATGAAACATTTACACTGGAAACAAAAACCAAAACACAATTAGTATATCATTTATTAATTGAATGGAGGTGAGGGTGTATTTACCTGCATGCAACAGTTATCAATGATGATGTTCTCATATTTGATTTTGGGGTAAAGTTCTGCCACCTCCGCACAGCTCTGCAGAAACAGGCCATCACCCAGTTTCCTGAAATGAGACAGGAGGATGAGGACGATTAATGCTGTAACTGTAATGCAAATAATGACCCAAGTGAACCCTCCCAAAGAATTAATGGCAAGTTTTTGTTCAAAGCTGGAGGACAGAAAGCCTTGAGGATGTTTTTTCAAGATCCTTACATGATGTTGGCCTTGTGAACAGCGGTCACCTTGTTTCTCCCCTTCTTGGTGGCATAATCAAAGGCAAACTTGGCGATGCGTCGTGACTTCTCTCTGGTGATGATCTTCAAACATTCAATCACACCCGACACGCTCTAAAGAGGAAGAAGGGCAAGCTACATTTTAATGCTAGTCACTTTTAAGTGTTGACCAATCTACATTGCAAAATACTCGATGTATACAACAGGAGACACAATTGTCAGTTGTTGATTTTAAGTTGGTTCATCTTTGTTCTGAAACGTGTATTTAGTGCTGGTCAAATCATTACAAGCAATCTTCCCATGTCAGCAAAAAACAATTTTCCTCTCATGGTCTGACTCCGGTGAGGAGGAGTGTTGTTTACCTCGTGCTCCAGAGAGCTGTACTCTCCCTCTGTCTGTTCACGAATGATCACCAGGTCCAGGTTGTTGTGGCGAGTGCTGTAGCCTGGCAGGCTGTTCACATGAACCACATTGGCGAACAGGTCCAGCTTACGCCTGGGGAATGGAAAGGATGTTAAGTGAGCTAAAAACTGTCACAGGAAGAAACAGAATAAAGGTATGTAAACACACTGGATTTACCTCAGTCTCATCTCATATGAAGCCAGCTCCCCTTTGAACTCCATGGGTGTGTGAATCTTTCCTAAATAACCAAACATGTCATGAACAAATATATCACACTCTATCTAATCCCTGTTATAATCTTATTTTATGGTCCATTTGCTGTACGTAAAATATAAAAAAATATAAAAACTACCTTTCATGGCCACTTTGTTGTTCTTCATAGAGGTCAACACTTGCTCCAGCTTCTCCTCACTTGCCATGTTCTGTACCTCGCTCAGGTGAAACTCTTCAAACTCAACTGGGACATCTCCTGCCTGAAAACACGACAAAAGAAAGTCAACTTCAGATAAAACTATCCATTTAAAAAAATGAACATTTTCTATCCACTTACACCAGTGAAATAACTTTTGCTTTTCCATTATAGTGTACCTTAAACACTTCTTTGACAGCAGTCATCAGCTCTGGTCCCACTCCGTCCCCTGGCACCATCGTCACCGTGAAAGTAGCATCAGCACGAGCTGGGGGGGCCTCTGGGCTACAGAGACCAGCGGTAACACTCAGTGGTCGAGAGGCCAACTGCTGCCACCGGGGGCCACTAAGACCCTAAGGATGGAAAACAAACAAAGACACAATCAGTACATGGTATATCAGGACCATTGGATAACATAAACATGTTTACTCGCTGGGATTTTGCTTTATTGTTTTGGTCATGTTTGTAATATCTCTGGCTATAACTGTGATTCTTAACCTTATGATGATGCTATAATGATTAACATCAACCCTAAAATTAAGAAAGTTCGACCTGTGAGCAACCCCATTTGTTCCCTCTTATCAAAGGGCTGAACAAGTTGACTTTCCAGGACACAAGCTGAAACAATTACCCAAAGTCTCAGGTTTGACTTCAGAAAAAACAACATATTTTAGATTGGTTTTATATACTCAAAGACATTTTTCAACATGACCAACACACAACATTTACTTGTTACAACTGCGAATAAATAAAGGATAAATGCTAAATATAAGCAAAAAAAAAAGCTGATTTGACAGAGAAAGAATGATTCAAAACGTTCAATAACTGAGCCCTTTATAATACAAAGCATCCCCTCCTTTTAACTACAATTACAAACCGAATAAGTACACATACTCATATGAAAGTTTGAAAATTCTCTTTAACAAAATCAATACATGAAATTTGTGATTTCCCCCCCCCTAAATCACAAATCAGGACTGCTGCCAGATCAGTCAGACTGTACCCTTGACTTCCAATGAGAGTTAAAAACCTGGTAAGAGAGGAAGCAGGAGATAAATGAAGACTCAATGTTATCTAATCTCAAACACGCAGGGACCGAGGAGGCAAACAGACCTTCCCCTTTCTAAGTGGCTCTTTTCGGAACAGTTAACTTGTAGCCAGGCCAATGTCATTTGTGTTATAACAAATAATACAGATAAAACATGTAAAGTGATAGCTCTCTAAGGACAGGGAGGTTAGTTAACGTGTCAGGGTCAGGTTAGCGACTGTAGCACAATTTTCTACGGTTCACGACAATGAGTTACGGCTGTACTCTTAGGACTTATTATTAACTCGTTAGAATAGCTTCTACTGAAACTATTTGACCTGCTGTCAAAAGCAGACGGGCCACTAAAGCCTTTACCTGTCATTTAGCATGTGAAGGCTACAGAGACATCTCATTACAGGAGTTAATGATGGAGGCTCGTGGTCGACAAGACAAACTGCTGCTTGACTCCTTACACTCCCATAACGTGTCGCAGGAGTCTTACAAAATACAACTTCAACCACAGAAACTACCTTCTATGTGTATGTATTTATCAAATAAGCTTGTTAACATAATCTAGGGACTCACCTTGACCAATGTTACTAAGCTTCCCCTCAAGGCGGCCGCCATCGTTACAGGCATGCAGTAGCTGAGCGTCTTCTTCTGTGGTGCTGCAGAGGAACAGCGCAGACTGTAGGACAGTAGAAGAAGAAGAACTGCTTTTCCATCATACTGCCCCATGTCGACAAAAACTGTGTTTAGACTGTCTGGGTTTTTTTTAACTTGTAAATACAGTTATAATAGATAACATGCGTCATGTCATGCCAAAGGTCATGTGAATAAAGTGATGTTGTTGAAACATGGCCCTAACAATACTGTAAAAAAGATGAGATGTGAACCAGTTGCATCAGCAGTGCAAAAGGAGAAAATAAATGAAAATGTAGTGTGCAGATGTGGGTGGAAAAAGGGGAGAAGGAAACCAAACATGAGTCATGTGCAGAGTCCTCATGAAAAGGACCAAGGTGGCAGCTTTTATGTCAAACTGGGAGCTCTGGGTCCTTGTGCTGCCCATCAATCACATAGACTAGCTGCAATACAAGAAGGGTTACAAAACAACCTGATAGGTTGGGGGACTGATAGGGGAGAGTGGGGTAAGATGATCCTTTTTTCATATTTCGGATCACTACATTGAGGCAAACATAGTTTTGTCTCTAACTAGTGTATCTACAGATATTTCAAGTTGTTGTGCATCCCTGCAAACCAAAAAAATGACTGTAAACTTAACTGTCTTGATAATATAGCATGCCAAAAAAAGTGGTCTCCTATGGTCAACCACCCCAGCCCTCCCTCACCTTGTCTCTCTCTAAATAACAGTCACTTCTTCACATTCATGTGAATATTTCTCCATGCCCAACCCATTCACCCATGTGCTTCTAACCTTCACAGACTCCATGAATTGATGCCCATCTCCTAAATATTTGGTCACATGATCAATTTCTTTTACCATTTCCAAGCAACAGGGGGTGGCTCAACTTACCCTTTGGCTCAACTTACCCCACTCTCCCCTATACCTGTCTGGAAAATGTGGCCTCATATATTTCACTAAAATCTATAAAAAAGATACTAGAACGGGTTGATGTGGCACATCAGCACACACAAAATGATCAAAAACAGCCACAGGAATGACATCTAAATAGACAGTTTTCTCAGGATTTTGTCTAGGAAAGGAGGCCAGATCAAAGGTAGTTCTACTTTTACTCAACACATAAAAGGCGAAAATGGCTATCACAGAGTCATCTGAATGAATGAACCATTATGCCAGTACAAGTAGCTTCCTCAGCTGCCATCACTGATCAAAAAAACATGTTGTGACGGACAATTTGTTGAACAATCTATACAGATGATACAAAAACTTTGTAGTTTGTTTTAAGTCTCAAACATGACAGGGAAAGATGAAGTCCAGGATGGTCAATTAAATCTAACATACCCCGAGGCGAGAGCAGAGAGGTATAAAAATACAGGGGACATGATGGCTGCAAAAAAAAAAAAAAAAAAATGTGGATGTTGCGGCTGTTTCTTATATTTCTAAGGTTACACTCTTCTTTTTACTTTGAATGATTCAGAAAAGACAAAGCCAGACAGGGCCCCTGGAACATGCTTTACAGTTACATGCTTTACAGTTTACAGTTATTGTGTCAGAGGTGTTGTTGAGCTGAGCTCAGGGGGTACAAAAATTTCTAGTGTTGCCCAATGTGTCAATTTGTATGTGTACTGTTGAGAGGGCAAAGCATATTTCACACTCATGTCTCCCTCTTCTTCAGCAAAGAATCTTTCTTGTGGTATTTTATTTGTAATTGTGTTTTTATAGGTGTTGTATCATCATATTTGGTGTTGCAGTGGCCCACTCAGTATTTTGAGTCAACCGGTGTCAGGGGATTCCCAGTCCTATTTCAGGCGAGTGACACTGACGGTACAGTGACTCACAAGGTGACACAAGGTTTTTAAAATCACCACAGTGAAACTGTTGACTACCCTCTGGCATATTTTAAATGTCCTTTACCTTATAAAACATTTCACTTGGTTTTCCATGCTAACATAATTTCTCTGTTGACCACTGCAGTGCATCAAATCATATGTTAAAAACTTGCTGCAAGCTTGACCTGTTGGGCAGCCTTTCCAGGGATTGTGTTCAATATGCTCCATCGTTGTTCATGTCTTTCATATCCCTTCAATACACTTGAAGCTTTTTTAAAGCAGAAATTACTGACAATCTGGCACAAAGTCATGTAGAAACAATTGACGCCGTGTGTGAGGCAAGATTTTATATTTGTATTATATGAACCAGAACTGTGTTGATCTGTGTGCTCTTTAAAAAAGCTTTAATGCCCACTTCTTAAATAAAAGGATTGACAAAAACAAACAAACAAACAAACAAAACAAATGACTTGTATTTTCAGAGTAGCTGCACAGCAAAGAAATCCATTTGAACTGTCTTAAATATGGACCAATTCAAAATTGGATATTGAATCTTAAATTTGAATTTTCATTAAAAACTCTGAGTCTCTAAGAAGGTAGTGATTTGGGGTGCAAGTGAAACAGTACCAATCAAAGCTGAGGCTCAGCACCAGAAACTGACATTATAACCCACACAACCAACTCTGGCAGAGTATTATAAGGCAACACAGACACTCCAATGCCCAAGTATGTGGTGTCACTCATTACGGCGTAGCAGTAATCATAGAAGTAGAAAGTAGAAACAGTGGATATCAGGTATGTGGGGCTAGATATTCATATTTGTATAACATGTACCAGATCTGAGTTTGTATTTATGGTCTAAATACATAAGGTAGCAAATATCCATGTTATAAAAAAAAAAGATTGAAAAAAGGCTGTCTGTCCAGGACAGTTGCACAACAAAAACAATCATTCATCAGTTTCATTTACAAATATATTACAGAACAATATTTGACTAGTGCAACATACAGATCTAGCATTATTGATCACACATGTGTGGTGCTCATGACAGCATTATCAAAGCAGGAGTATAAACCATGCCTAAAAATGTACCACAGGAAAAGGGGGTGGGGGTGTAAAACTATGTAAATGAATACACATTGAATTAGGGCTTCCATATACGCTCACTGCCACAACATTTTAAACACCTGAGCAATCCAATGCAATACAACAGCTCTACAACAAATTTTACACATTGGGAAATTACGACAGATGATTATTGTACTTTCTATCATTAAAGGTATAGGCCTAGTGGCTGGTGGTGATCTACTGGAGTGTGTTGTATAGAGGGTGTTCACTGGTTATAAGGGTATTATACTCAAATATTAAAATCTTTCTGTGTAAGTCGGGTGCAGCTGTAGGTAAAATGTTAAATGTTCATGTTTATTATTTGTGCTTTGCCTTGTCTGAATACTACCCATTAGCCAATTTGATATAGACATTTCTCAGGAATTGTGATATTTAATTTTACAAGGGTCTTCAGAGATATTTGTATAGCATGAACCAGATTTGGGTTTATATTTATGGTCTAAATTGATAAGCTAGCAAATATCCATGTTGTTAAAAAAAAAAAAACGGCCTTTCTGTCTGTCCAGAACGGTTGCACGAATCATTTCTCAGTCTCATTTACAAACATATGTAAATGAAAAGGGGGATCAGGGCATAAATGAATACACATTGACCTAGGGCTTCCATGTATGCTCACTGCCACAACATTTTAACCCTCATGTTGTGTTCATTTCTTGTTCAAATCTTTATGTTCCCGGTCAAAAATAAATGTAACATCAAGACTCATCATAAAAACTGTAATAATACATAAATAATCACTACTTGTTGTGTGTTTTAGTTTTATTAACTTAAGTTGTTGTGAACATTTCAAGTTTTGAAGTTCTATTTGTTAATTATAGCCTGTAGGCCTCCTTGATCCGAGCTTATACATCTCGAATTTGAGTTATAAAAGACAAAATTTCCAGATCATTTTGATTGTAGAAATTATAAAAAGAAAAAATAGTCTACGTTTTTAAACACCTAAGCAATCCAATGCAATACAACAGCTCTTCAACATATTTTACACATAAGAAGCCTCTAAACTTTCAGTTTTTGTAAGCAAATTAAGCTAGATGATTATTGTACTCTCTATCATTAATGGTATAGGCCTAGTGGTTGGTGGTGTACTGGAGTGTGTTGTATTGAAGGTGTCCACCCATAGACAGTCTATGTGATACCTCATTAACAAATATGAGGCAATTATTAGGGTATTATACTCATATATTAAAATCTTTCTGTGTAAGTTGGGTGAAGCTGTAGGTGAAATTTTTAAATGTTTATGTTTATTATCTGTCCTTTGCCTAATTACTACCCATTAACCAATTTCTTAGGAATCGTGGTATTTCACAAGGGTCTTCAGAGATATTCTTAAGACAAAGGCCTAGCTAAATGACGTGAATGTCTTTTCATGTGATGCCAAAAACTGAGGTTGTCTTTGCCATTTTTGTAGGTAGAGTTGAGTTTAGCGATGGCGTAATGGCCTGGCCTGACAGACAGTGATGAGGGCTAAATGATCTAAGAGGGCTCGGTGCATGGCTAGTGGCTGACAGCAGCAGCAGCGTAGTATTTGAGTTTACTATATATGGGCAAAGCCAGGCGCAGACAGAGGTGCTCTCTCTTCCGTGTTTGTGTGATCGGGGAGTGCGCAGCCGGGGGAGCTTCACTGTCTCCACTACTTCATTCATTTAGAAGAGTAACCCTCCACGAGTGGACCAACAGGGAACATGTCTTGCGAACTGAGTAAGTGTGTTTGTTTAAGAAGGAAAGAGCAGTCAGAAAACGCGTTTTTTGTTTGTTTGCTTGGTAAGATTTAGCAGAGACGAGCTAGTCATCCAGGTAGCCCTTTGCTAGCTAGCCTCGCCCATAGCTGCGTGAGTCTGTCAAAATCATATCGTGCACGGAAGACAAAACCGAGAAATTTGCAAGGATTCAGCTACATGTACTGAACACCTGTGACTTATATGAACCTTATTTTGTTAAGATACGCTTTATTGTGCTTTTCAGTGAAGTTAGGGCTAGCTAATGTTGCTAATGTGAGTCTGAGGAAATAGTTGTGCTCGCATCGCTTTGTTATGACAAGTCCAGACAGAGACCGGCTGACAGTCAGTGAATATACTGAGGGAGGAAATCACAGACCCTTGGTTTGTTTCTGCTTGGCATGCAGTGAGTAAAAGGGTATGGGAATTATTTTAATTAGGGGTCATAATGTAGAGATAGGAAGGATATCGTCAAGAAAAACTAAACAGTGGAAGCCAATGCGGAAGCAGTAATTATAGCAACCTCATTACAGCTGAAGATTACATGGTCGGTAAATACTGCTCTTATTCTCACTGCTGGACATTTATCCAAATATCTACACCAATCTGCATTACATAACAAGCAATTTAATGCAACCCACTATAATAATTCTTTCACAAACTTGACTTTAAAGGTGTCCCTTGTAATCCGCACATTTCTTTCTTTCCTTCTTTCTTTCTTTCTTTCTTTACAACATATGTATGTCTATTTGTATAAATTACAAAGATCTGTATAAATTCCTACATATTATACACAAAGATATCTGCTCAACACTCAATAGGTTACTTATTATCATTACTTGCATATTATAATAATCAGTGTTCTAATATTCAGAATGCAATCAAGTATATCTAGTGTAAAACCATACTTTTTGTTAGTTTACTTATGAATCTTTTAATACTTCTCTGTAGTTTGATTTAAATATTTTTATGTTATTAGACATTTTTAAAGTGACATCCAGGCTGTTCCAGAGTTTAACACCACAAATAGATATATACTTTCCAGAGTTGTATGGACGATTGGACAAATTAATTTATGTTCACCCCTTAGATTATAGCCCCCCTCTCTGGTTTTGAACATCTTTTGTAGGTTTCATTAACAAACATTAAGCGAAAACAAATTATTCACTGCAGTGCACCATGAGCACCCATTGCAATGTCAACAATGAATTAGGACTGGGCGATATACAGTATATATATAAAAAATATATTGATATATTTTTAAATGAGATATGGAATTGGACCGTATCGCATATATCGATGTACAGATATCAGATGCTGTTGTTGACAGGCTGGTGTTTTTTGCACAAAATCTCTTAACAAAGAAGGACACACTTGTCTGTCCTCTAATGTCAACCTGGTCCATGTATTATTCGTCTGTTCAATTATTCCATTCAATCTAGTAAATGAGAAATGAAATAACAAGTCAGTATTTTTTTGTTTGTTTTTCTGTGTAACCAAAAAAAAAAAAATTGTGTTTGTTTTCGTATTTTCAGCTCAAAACAGAATATGTAATAGAGAAAGAAACGAAATCGAAATAATAAATCTCATTTACAATTATTGATTTTGAGTACGCCTGTTTTGAGCATACATGCATGAAGGCTACATTGGCCTTTCCATGATCCTGAGCGACAGTTATCATGGCGAAAGATGCGACAGAGTGGTTCGAGTGCCAAAATCTTACGTTGTAACAGAGCTCTGGTTGTAATTTTTTCTCCTGTCATATCTTCCTTCAGCGTCATATCCTAGAATTATGTTTTTGTTTTTTTTTCTCTGTGGTTTGAAGCTTCCTCCTTTTGGAGAAAAATGACCACTGCTCTGACAGATCAGTAGTGCTGGCCTGAGAAGTCTACCAACAAGAAGAGTATGCTGTTCTGTAAAGCTCATAGGACTTAGAGACACTTATCACACTAATTTTATGAATAAAATTGCATTTTTATATTTATCTGCAACATTTGTGGTGAAAGATAACCGTCTAGGCTGTAAGGACATTTTATTTTCTGTAGTCTCATAGCCCTCTGTGCATGGTGTCATGTTTTCTATCTGCATACAGTCTCTGTTGGAGTACTTTCACATTTATGTTATATTCTTCTTTTAATGATTAATATTTTCTGTCGTTTCTCTTCTCATGTCCACTTTTCAGAGAGTGTGTTTGCCGGCCTCCCACAGATGGAGAGGGGAGTTGCAAAAGTGATTGGCGGCGATCCCAAAGGAAACAACTTTCTGTACACCAACGGGAAATGTGTCATCATCAGGAACATTGATGTAATGTTATGCTTGAGTATTTGCATTTTCATTTCTTAGTTTTGTTTGTTATGGCAAATATCCGAACCTTTGATCATTTAGATTGATATTGAGATCACGATTAATGAACAAAATTAGCGAGAATTCGACATCCACATCACATGAATTTACTGAACATCAAAAACTTGAATATTCCAAACTACCTTGTAAATGGTTGTGCCTCTTTTTCTTCATCCTCACTCTATTCCTCGTCTTCAAAGACATGTCCAAACACACACACCTGCCTCTGTCTCCTCTTTTTTCTTTGCATGTGGCTGCATGATCGGTTGTACTGCTGCAGCACATGTTGGAAACACTGCAGTCCAGGATGAGCTTTAGTGGCATTTGCAACTTCCTCATGCTCCCAAACTTTGTTGCACACAGATCTGAGCTCATGATGAAGTGAAAACGAGTGCTGTCTAAGCTCTACAGCATCCATCTTGCTGTGACTATTTCTCACGCGATGGTTATGTAGCGGCACTTCTGCAAAACAGTGGGCTGTAGTGATCCCCATAACTTCACATACCTAATCTGCATAGAATTGACACTCCTGTGCACTCTCTACTAAGACTAACAAGCTGTGTTGAACGGTCTAGTTTTAATAGAGCTGCACTACATTTAAGTTGGTTTGTGGTTCACTAACACTGTTGGCCATCTTAAGATCACACATCATTACATCTTGCCGCTGCTTGATTGTCGGTCTCAGTACATACCCGCCTCCTTGTTGCCATCTGTAGTTGCATTTAGTAGAATTTTCCCGCACTTTTTTACCATGACACCGAGCAGAATGGCTGAGATAGAGAGCAGCCTCTGTTGCACATGTGACCACACTGAAAGGGGATGTAAGGCTGTAGTCAAAAGTGAACACAGTATTGCAAGTTAGCAAAAATAAGATTTTCAGCTGGCTGCTTGGTGGTAAATCAGGAGTCAACATTGTAATATGTCATGAAAATGTTGCAGTTTGATTTTGGGGTAGTGTCCTAATCATTTTTATAACTTTGTCCCAGTGGACAGAGTCACAAAGATGCATTTACTTAAATCTCCTTTATTCTTATAAATAAAATGTGAGGATCTATGGGAAGCATGAAAACAAGGTCCAGGGTACGAAATCAAAACAACTCTTTCCCGATGTTTGTGTTTGTCAGATGTGGATTCTCTAATTTATTATATTCCCGTCTTTTACAGAACCCAGCCATAGCAGACATTTACACCGAACATGCACACACTGTTGCTGTTGCCAAGTACTCTCCCAGTGGATTCTACATTGCATCTGGAGGTAAGCAACACAAGTCAACATATGACTGCATTTTGTGTGAACAGTCGTCTTAATACTCTGATACAATAAAACCATTTCTTTACTCTTCAGATGTGACCGGAAAGATCCGTATCTGGGACACCACCCAGAAGGAGCACATTTTGAAGAACGAGTACACCCCCTTCGCAGGCCAGATCAAGGACATCGCATGGACATCGGATAGCCAGAGGATCGCTATTGTTGGAGAAGGGCGAGAGAAGTGAGTAGTAAAAGGTTTCATACAAGGAAACAAAAGTATCAAAAAGAACAACTGCAAAATAATACTAGAATGATTTGTAAGGTATTATTAAGCTCGATACTCTGGTTCACATCAAATGAAAGTGATTTTTCTGTCTCCTAATCCCTAAAGAAAACTGTAAAAATTCTTTGTCCTCCTTTTTTAGGTATGGAGCAGCAATTTTTTGGGATACTGGCTCCTCAGTTGGTGAAATCTCAGGCCACTCCAAATTGATCAACTCCGTGGACATAAAGCAGTCTCGACCTTTCCGCCTTGCCACTGGCAGTGATGACACCACGTCGTCTTTCTTCGAAGGGGTTCCCTTCAAGTTTAAACACTCGAGACATGTAAGTCACAGGGATTGACATGAGTTTATTTCCCCCCAGTGCTTGTTCCTGCAGCTTTAAGAAAGGCTTATTTGTGTTTAAACAAAGTAGTAGGAGCCATCCTGATTTAGCCCGAATATGCGCTACCAACTTGAAATCCCTTTGTAACAGAGGCCTTACCATGAGTAGATGAAGCTCCTGAATTTTTGTGTCTTTTCTCAGTGTTTTTTCTTATGTGTAAATTTTTTTTGCATCATTTGAAGTTTGTTCCACCCTGGTGGTTTCTACAGAGGTGGCTTTGTTTGTCTTTTCTCCGTGTTACATAACCTACTTCCTACATAAATATTTGGGGAATCGTCAAGTCTCATACGGAGAAGTAGGCATGTGAAACATGGAAAATGTTTCAAAGCACCTCAGTGTAAAAGTCTTCCTCTTGGAAATTTTTTTGGTCTTTGTCTCTTTAAACTATGAGTGTGGTTCACATTCTGTTCTGCTGCTGACTAGTGTTGGTCTCTGCTGCTCCCAGAATAGCACTGTTAGCCTGTTCTGCAGCTCACTGCTCTATCAGCCCTTGTAATTGGTTTAAGAGGAGGCTGTGCAGCACATTTGGGACTATGACAGATGTTTGTTAGTCATAGCCCTGAAAAACTCTGATGGCGTACATAACTATGGTATAAGAGGAATAATGACTCTTTTTTTTCTTTTTGCAACTTGTGTCGCATGTGTCATTTCTAAAGATAGCAGATCGACGAGGTAGAGGGCCGAGCCTAATGAGATTATTCATATTCTGTGAGTCTAATAACTTGAATAATCTTTGTGATTAAGTTTTCTTTATGTTCCTCTACCTCTGTCTGCCTGATGACTTCTAAAGGACCACAGCCAGTTTGTCAACTGTGTTCGTTTCTCTCCTGATGGAAATCACTATATCACAGCTGGAGCTGACGGGAAGGTGAGTAGGAGATGACAGGGTATGGCCTATGATATGAAATATGAAGTGACTTTGCCTCTGCTTAAATAAGCGTAGCGATGATCAATGTTGTGTTTTTGTAAATCCATCTAATTTTGATAAAGGGTCGTCTTAAACAAAACGCAAAATTATGCTGAAGAATAAAGTCTGAAAAATGCAGTGTTTGTCTTATTAAGCTGTTTGTTTTCCACAGATGTTTATATATGATGGAAAGAATGGTGAATTTATCAGTGCACTTGGAGGGGAGAAGGCTCACAATGGAGGAATCTATGCGGTGAGTCTTGTTTTATTTACGTTTCTATTAGCATAGATGTCAGCTTGTCTTGTCTTAACGTAGAAAAATAATCACTGTCGTCTTTTACTGTTTTATTGGGGTGGGTTTTTCTCCTCAGAAACTTTGATCACTTAGAATGCAGACCGTGCAGTTTATGCACAAACAGAAAGTGTGTTCTTCATCTGTGGCAGTGGTTCTCAAGTCCAGTCCTCGAGCCCCCCCCGTCCTGCATGTTTTGGATGTTTCCCTGCTTCAACGCACCTGATTCAAATGATCAGCTCGTTATCAAGCTCTGTCATGGCTTAATAACGGGCTAATCATTTGAATCAGGTGTGTTGGAGCAGGGTAACATCCAAAACATGCAGGACAGTGGGCCTCGAGGACTGGACTTGAGAACCACTGATCTATGGTATTAGAGATTTTTATCCTTCTGTGATTTTGATTTTTCCATTAGTTTTTTTTTTTTTTGCATAGCTTTTTTTTCCGTAGCGATGACTTAAAAGACTTTAAAAGATTTACTCTGCTTACATGCATAGGATTATTCTAACTTGTTTCTTTTATCCCTCTTGCTTTAAATCATACAGATCAGCTGGAGCCCTGATAGTTCCCAACTCATCTCTGCCTCAGGGGACAAGACGGTGAAACTCTGGGATGTTGGTGCAGGTACAGCCGTCACCACATTTCACATGGGCACTGAGGTGTCAGACCAGCAGCTGGGCTGCCTGTGGCAGAAGGAACACCTCCTCGGCATCTCCTTGTCAGGATACATCAACTATCTGGACAAGAACAACCCTGACAGGCCCATACGCGTAATCAAGGTCAGACTCCTAACAAAGAAGCAAAAAGAGGGGTCAAATTTAAAGACCTAAAAATGACTGTCATTGTGATTTCAAATATAATATATGATTCTGTATTAAACGGGGATGTTTCTTGGGTAAACAGGGCTTAGTTGAAATCCGTTGACATATCCTTATCTATGCAAGGATTTTTATACTATATTGGAGTGCCTCAGGTTTTCAGTTCAGGCTGCTATTTTCAATTGTTTGAAAATCACCTGGACAGTCACTTGTCCTTTATCCCCGAGGATCACCTGATAACTTTAAAACTTCTTTACATTTTACTGGACCCAGTGCTTTTTTTTTTGCTCACCTTTCTCTAACATAGAATTTCTCTGGATGCTATTCCTGGAGGTTATAAACAGAGGCATTTTATAAGACAAGACAGTGTGAAAAAGTTAGTGGTGCTGTTTTGTGATTAGACAATTTTGAAAAAGAATCGCTGCAAAGAAACCTTCAGGTGGCTGAGAACTTTTCAACTTTGAAGGGTAGTGAAGTGTATCTACACTTTAGATAAGCAGTGGAAAATTATTCAGCTTTGTGACTGTACACTGAAATGTGCAAAGAGATTTTCAACATTTCTATTCACAACTTGAGTGTAATATAAGTTGGTATTTATATCACTAAATACAATCTCATGTTAGTGCTGAGAGGACATTTTTTGAGAGTGTAGATCCACTTTCTAAAATGTTTCCACGCTTTTAAAACTGGGATAAAGATGTACAATTATTGTACACATTTGCTTATCCGAAATGAGCATTGGAAGTATATTCCCATTATTCTCACACAGCAGCCAAAACAACACACAATCAGGGCGATATCCCTTGCAAAAACGTCACAGCTATTTAAATGTCTGACTTTTTTTAAATGAAATAGTCAACCAGCTGAAGCCTGCGACTTTTGACAGAGATATGGACCTAATTGTCTGCAACACAGAGATAAAGGCATAAATTAAAAGTTTGACTGATACATCCACCTCTCTGTTGAGGAAGGACTGGAAGCTTGTTGCTAGTACACACAATTTTTAGCAATGACAACTTGAGACGAACGGGTGGTGTTACATGGCACGTGTACTCTCCCAAAACGTGGGCTTGAGACTGACCTAACCAAAGATGATACTCGGTTCATTCGCATGTATCGTATGTCACAGACAGCAGCAAGAAACTAAATGCAAGTCGCTGAAAACCAGGCCACCACAGAAGCATTCAGAAGTGCCAGGCCTCTGTCTGCAGATCCATTCGATGTGTCATGTGTGATCAGGGGCCTGTACTGTGTAGAAAGCTCAACTTAACAAGGCAATATTTTGTTGATCTGGCTTCACTAACCTTGACAAAGGAGATCAGACTAAGCAGTGTCACAGAGTTGGTTGTCAACCTGATGAGTCAACCCAGAGTGACTGTGAATGGGGCAGTGTAAGAAACATATGACCGCCACTGTCATCCAATTTTAAACATGAAGCAAACAATGATATTCAAAAAATATGAAGAAGTGAAACACGTAGACCAGAGTACAATCATCTTTGAAAGTTAATGAGCATAGTACAACATGTACAACATCACTTCACCATCAGGAGTGTGCCAAAGATCAGAAAACCATTTGTCTTGTTCATTAGAACTAAAACAGAGTTTTTGCTCAAGTTTATTCTTTTTGTGTTTTGTGTATGATAGTTAAGATGTGGTAATTCAGCTGCAGAAATCAGAGCAACATGGAGGTAATACACATGGGAGACATAATTCAAGGCAATGAGCATGCTTAATTTTATATTCAGCATCTCTGATGTAAGAAAAGCACAGTTTTGTCAATATTTTTCACACTGGGAGACATATCCTGCCGGTGAAGTTGCCTTAGTAACTGCACATCCTGCTTGGCAGTATAACCTGTATAAGGTTTTCCCTTATGTTCCCTTTGTTGTTAGTATTTGATCACTGTTGTTATTGGGTTTCAACTCCTCAGAATCAAGTATCTCACATGGCTAGGTAATAACCTTTGTCCACTATTCTTATGTGCCTTTTATAAATGTATTAATAATCTGAAAGCATACTTTGTCATCCAACAGGGCCACAGCAAGTCTATCCAGTGTCTGACGGTTCACAAAAGTGACGGGAAACCATACATCTACTCAGGCAGTCATGACGGACATGTCAATATCCTTTTACTGAATTATTCCACTTCACCGTTTGTCTTTTTGTTAGATTATGCATCTAAATTCCATCAATATACAAAATACTTTAATATACAGTTGGTAGCTTTTTTTTTCCTGAACAAGTGCCTCACATTACTGGGATGCAGAAACTGGTGAAAACGACTGCTTCCGTGGAAAAGGCCATAGCAACCAGGTGAGCAGGCTGGCTATAAATGAAGAAGAAGACCTGGTGACCTGCAGCATGGACGATACACTTCGCTTCTCCAACATCAACAAGAAAGAGTACACGTAAGAGCTTTTATTGAAGTGTAGGTGACAAAACTGAGAGAAACGGTGCAGGATTTAGAGCAGGGGTGGGCAATCATGTGCCATGGAGGGCCGAGAGGCTGCAGGTTTTCTTTCCAAGCCAAAACTCCACCAGGTGATTTCACTGATTAGTCCCTGCTCTCTGCTTGGAGGTAAGGTAATCAGTGAAATCACCTGGTGGAGTTTTGGCTTGGAAAGAAAACCTGCAGCCTCTCGGCCCTCCATGGCACATGATTGCCCACCCCTGATTTAGAGTGACGATGTATTTAGCTGAGTGCAGGAGGTGGTGCCATTCATCAAAAAAAAGTGCCTTGGTTGAAAGTTGAAATGCAATCTGATAATAATTCAGATGATAAGAGATGAAATCTTGTGTGTAATTGCAGGCGCTAATAAAATCTTCTTTTCCTCTCTGGATGCTTGTTATCGTAGGTCCTTAAATGTGACGCTTCTACAGTATATATGTTTCTAAAGTATAGTAATCCAAACTTCTGGCTTTTGTAGTGCGTCTGACGTGGTGAAGATGGACTCCCAGCCCAAAAGTGTGTCAGTAGCAGCTGGAGGACTATCACTGGCTGTGTGCATTGAGCAGGTAATGTCTCCTTCATGATCTCTTCTCCAGTCAGTTTTGATGTTTTCAAAGAACTTATTTTAGTCACTTTGGGGGTAACATCATCAAAATAATGATTCAATCTTTAAAGAGCATGTAAAGGACCACTTTGAATGTAACCATTTTACCTGTAACTAGCGGCTTCAGCACTGCAGACACAAACTTCCTGCTGTGCTGTTGACTGGCCCTTCACCTCCTTCTTTATGGGTTTGTAAAGCTGGTCTAGCATTCACAGACCATCCTCAAGATGCCTTTCTTCAGCATGGCCGCGCTTGCATTGTATTCAACACAGATGGACTTTGAATTTAAACAAACGCTCCCAGGTAAAGAAATGCCTTTCGGCATCAGGCATTGTAGTGATGTCAAAGTGTAGCTATGGCTAACCATCTGATTGACAGCGGCCCACTACCACTCACACCCATGCACCCATCCCAGCAAGACAAGCTGTCAGGAGAGAAACCGTTCAAGTCAGTTTATATTAAGAAAAAGACATTTCAATATAAAATAAACTAAAATTGTCTCTTTACCCCTTATGACCAACTGGAATCATTCCTGTAGACTCTAATTCAGTCCACATTGTTGAGATGATTGACACTTGGGACTCGCAGGTGGGCGTGGCTTTTATGCAAAACAAGACCGTTATTCTAGAGCAGAGATTGCGGCTTATTATTTTCATGGTTTTGATGTCTAATTCTATGTACGTGGTAATTTTTAAAACTGTTCAGTTTTGGCTGGGTGGACAAAACATTTTTCTGTTGGATGACAACCTTTGACACATTTTTTTCTTACAGGCTTTGTACTTTGTACTCGAGGGTTTCCTTGAGTGCAAATCTCTCAAGTTTGTGACCTTTTGCTCTTTCTCTTTCTAGGTCGTCCTTCTGAAGGATAAGAAGAAAGTTTTCACATTGGACAACCTCAGCTATGAACCAGAGGTCGGAGTGCTGCACCCTGGGGGCTCTACTGCTGTGGTGGGAGGAAAAGTAAGTGGATGTTTGATACCACGGCTTACGAAACATGGCCATATATATGTGTCATTGTACACTTGTCACTAAATCTGGATTCTTAAACCTACCAGCTACTATTTTTTTTTTTTTTCCTGTGCCACTTAATTTTAACGGTCGACATTGTTCAAGAGGTAAAACATAATTAACAAGGCTTGTAGTACTCAAGTAATGAAATAAGATAAATATTTAAATTTCTTTATAAAAAACTGCAATGCTCTTGTCAGTACTCAGAACTGGTATTATTTATTGTTGCTGTTCTTTTTTAATGGTTTTGTGTTGCCAGGACACATACCCAGAGACATCACTATAAGTAATAATCAGAAGATGAGAAGGCACATTCTTCATCGCACCCTAGTGTCAGCAGGTTTGAAATTCATTCCATTTCTTTTCTTTCATCAGGATGGAAAAATCTATCTGTACTCAGTTCAGGGCAACACTCTCAAGGATGAGGGGAAAACTTTGGAAGCTAAAGGGCCAGCCACAGACATGGCCTTCTCCAATGATGGCGCTTATCTGGCTGTCATAGATGACCGAAAGGTCGCCACAGTTTTTACTGTGGCTGACGGCTACTCGGTAAGTATCTGTCCACTGTCTTCAGTGCGTGGACATCTCAATAGCAAGTGCGTGTTCCAGTTTGAAATGAATTACAGTCGGTTTCCTAATAGTTTTTTTTTTTTTTTTTTTTTCAACAAGGTCAAGGGTGAGTTCTATGGACACCATGCCAAACCAGTGAGCTTGGCCTGGTCACCTGACAACGAGCACTTTGCAACTGGAGGGATGGACATGATGGTGTATGTCTGGACACTCAGTAATCCAGATAAAAGGATGAAGCAGCCAGGTAAGCACACGTGCCCATTAAAGGGATGTTCCTGCGTAAAATTAAGTTCAGGTCAAACACACCGTAACACCGAGTTAGACATCCTGTCGAGAGATGAATGTTGCTGACCGCTTGCTTCACTAATATATACCAGTTTTTGTAATGACCGCACAATAGCAATACAGAGAGCCACATGCTCAACCAAAAAGCCACAAATAATGCTCAGAACAGCACCTAACTTCAACAGTACATACAGGGTCCCAGCCATAGTTATAGCCACTAAACATCTTTCTAGCTTTGCCTGGTTTCTTCAGCAAACACTACTTACCATCTCTTCCAGCAGCCTCTTGTTTGTACGGAGACCTCTGGGCGAGTCCATTTAATGCTGCTGGGGGGGATGCAGCTCAAGGAGGAACATTTATGATCACTACTTTATCATTTCCTTGAAGTACAAATCATCATATTAATCAATTTGCACTGCAGACACGGTAGTTCCTTTGCCTTAGCGTCTCGGTCTGATCGCATTTTCATTAAGAAATGATCATAAATGTTCTTCCTTGAGCTGCGTCACCCCGATGCAGTCAATGGACTCACCCGGAGGTCTCCGTACAAACAAGCGGCTACTGGAGGAGAGTAGGTGAGTTGTGTTAAATCTCTTTGCTAAAGAAATCAGGCAAAGCTAAAAAGATATTTTGTGGCTAGTACTATGGCTAGGACCCTATATGTACTGTTGATGAAGTTAGATGCTGTTCTGAGCATTATTTGTGTCAGTAGAGTGGCTTTTTGGTGGAGCACGTGGCTCTCTGTTTTGCTATCTGCAGTCATTACTCAAGTTGGTATAACTGGAGAAGCAAGCAGTTCACAACATTCATCTCTCAACAGGGTGTCTAACTCGGTGTTACGATGTGTTTAACCCTAACTTAATTTTACGCCGGAATACTCCTTTAACTCACGGCTCTGTATGGATGTACTCAGATGTTGCTCTGCTGCTACAATAATCCCCTCTGCAATAATAACCAAACATCAAAGAGAATGGCAACAGTACTTATTGAATCAGGCAAGCGAAGGGTTTGATCAAATCTGACACTGCACTTCCACCAGTCAGAAGTGAGGATACAAATTTGATTTAAGGAAAAAAAAACGCGGAGCATCCTAACAGGAAATGTCAGAGCCTCTGAATCTGGTCTGGATGGGGGTGTTTTTTGTTGCAAGCTGAACTCAACTGCAGATGTTTTTTCTTTGTCACATTTATCCGTGTTTGTGTCAAAATCCTGTGATGTTCTTACTTTTTGCAGACACTCACCGGTTGCACCATGTGAGCAGCCTGGCCTGGGTAGATGAGAACACTCTAGTTACCACCTCCCATGATGCCAGCATCAAGCAGTGGACACTTAAATACTGAGCTACCTGCAGACAGTCATCCATATCTCCAGGGACAAGGACTACTGTAGAATCCAACCCTTTCTTTTTTAAACTGTTTTTTCACCGTCTAGCAGTGGTCTATGCTATTTGTGAAAACATCTGGAATGTTAATGGTTATGGCTGGGAAATGCTCCCATAAAAATGATCTAAGATATGTCTCTGATGCGAATAACCTCAGCTTACACAGACGAAAAGTGTTTGAGTAAACAACATAACCATATGTGCTTTTACATCTCTTTCTTTTTGAGTGTTTTTGACCCGGAAAATTATGTTAGCTCAACATTCCATAGGTAATAGCTTTGGACAAGTTGAACCTGAAGTCTTTGTCTAAGGTTGGGCTCAATGCATCTTAACCGAACGGATGAACCAAAAGCAAGTTGTTATTTGAAATCAACAAAATAGCATTTAAACAGAATCTAATCTTTTGGTTACATTCCTGAAATGAGAAGTAACTGGTCCTTACTGCAGCTGCCTGTCATGTTTATTTCAAGGGGTTTCTTCTTTTTGTAAGAGTGGGTGTTTTGTTTCTTCTTCTTTTTTTTCTGCTTTGTCTAAGATGTTGTTGGTTGAGTGAATTGAAGACTGGGGAGCAATAATAGGAACAGAAAGAACAAAGTTTGTGTACAATCAGGATGTGGCGTCTTCGGTCAGAGGTCTTGTGTCGTTGCTGTGTTTTTGTTTGGGGCCCACTGTGCTTCTCACTTTTTTTCTTAATGTCATTATGCATATACTTCCAAACAGGAGGTGATTCATGAATAATAATAACAATAAAAACACTTTTTATGCATTTTCCTTTCCATGCAGAACTGAGTTTTTTTTTTGTTATCGTCATATAAATGAGCGTGCAAATTTATGGCATTCAGAGCACATTGGACTGTGGATGTTTACAAGCAGGGTGCAAAGACTGTAATGTGGCTTAGTCATTTGTTAATTACATAACTTCCTTTAAATGCATGTTGTCTCCTCAGCAGGAATAAAAAATATGAAGCAGTGACATTTCACAGTGAAAATTACTGAGGAAAAATCTCTTTATATACTTTCATAAATAGAAGATTTGTATTCTGTGCCAGATAAGTGCTGAATTAAAATGTTTACCAGCTGACAAAATTATCCCTGCTCTTACAATCCTATTAAAGTGATGCACTCATTGCAGCCAGTCATATTTGTGCCTTTTGTCATTTTATTCTAAACTGAATATGAAATACTTCGAGTCTAAAATTGGCCTCTGCTATATTGGCTGCACATAATAAAAACTATCGCACTGTGTTACTTCACCTGTTCTAGTCAAGTCAAGTCAAATTTATTTATAAAGCACCTTTAAAAGACAGCAGTCAAACAAAAATGCTGTACATGGGACAAATAAAAGAAGTAAATAAATAGATAACAATAAAAATAAAATTAAAAACAGAACAAAATACAGACAGTAAAAGAATAAAAGCTACAGTGCCTTCCCGTGTGCTCATTTATTAAAAGCAAGGGAGAAAAGGTGGGTCTTTAAAGATTATTTAAAAGACCCTAAGGTCTGAGAGGCTCAAAAATTTTTTTGTTTTAGTTTTCTGCTTGCTCCAGACACAAAGGGACACGCTCAAGCTAATGCAGTTCAACGGTGTTTATGTGAGGGAACTGGATAATTCATAGGGCTTGTCATAGCCACACAGGCAGATTAGGCGGGTTAGGGACTTTATTGAGAGGGGAAAAAGGTGGAGGGAAAGGATCCAGGATCAAGGGCATGAGGAGGGAATCTGAGGAGAGGTCAGGGCAGGAGACATGAGGGCTTAAGGAGAAGGAACCCTGGGAGCGAGTGCGACAGTGTGGCTGAGGTTAGGCGGTAGCACTGAGGGCACTGGAAGAGACGGAGGAAAACAGAATGACTCAAATGGTAAACCACAGCTGAAAATGTTTAAACAATTGCAAAGACTCAAGAAAACTGAATCTACAGATTGATTTATTATTATGTGTGTGATCAGGTTTTCCTTTGCTTGCCTTTTCTGTATAGAATTTATTGTTGCTGTTGGATTTTTGACCAATCACTATCAAGTTTTAAGGAGGGTAATAAAACATCCCCATGACTTTTTATATTGTTGCTGTAAATACTTGCAAAGAAAATGTTTCCGACCACTACTGCTTGTTGTGTCACTACTTTATTTTTTTCCTCAAGTATAGTATGTTTTATGAAATATACCTGTTGGTAAATAATTGCAGTGTCAAAATAATGTCTTTCAACATCACCATACCTCAACCACATCTGATTCAAGTCTAGTTTCAGTAAACAAAATTAACCCCGTTCTCACATGGTTATTATTTTCCTTATTTCTTGATTCTTTGTGTTTTGGAGTAATTTTTTCACTAACCCATTTTTAACTGACAAAAAGTGAGTGTACAGCTGTCCCACTCGTTCATTTTCTGTAGCATGGAGCGTCTCAGCAGTACAAACAGTTCTCTGTGAGTGCTTGGGAAAGTCAATGTTTAACACAGCTGCTGAAAATTTTTTTAGAACATGAAGCAACAGAGACAGAGGTAACCAGAGCGCAATGTATGTTAAAATATTTTTAAAAACTAATTCAGCACTTATCTTGCTACCTGTCCAAACCGCATGGTTAAAATTGAAAACTCAGCTCTTAAAAAGTTTGTCATCTCAAGTTTGTTTTGGCTCAGTCTGCCTGTGAATTCTTTCCCACTGAAAGGTCTGCCCTCATCCCTGGAAACACGACTCTAGAAACACCCCAGCCTCCTGCAGGGGTGTTTCTCTCACAGGAGTTTCATTACTTGGCCATATTTTTCTTTTTTTTTTTTTTTCCATGGCAGCTTCTGACCTCATGTTTTTTTTTTCTTCTTTTAGTACTGCTCACAAAGCAAACTGCACACACTCAGTGTTGCTCCACACCTCCATCCACGTGCTCAGACCATGGTGTTTTTGGCCTTTATGTTTATGACACTGTAATCTCTTCACATTTCACATGTAGCTCACGTGTTCGCAGAACAGATAGCAGCAAGGGATCCCTCTCAGCAATAATGACTTGAACCTAAGGGAGAATAATGCAGCCATTGATGAAGGGAAAAGCTGCCTGAGGACTTTTTGGGGGGGTTAATACCAAGCTCTCATGTTGTCTTTACAACAAACTATGTAAAGGACACTCTTCTACTGTCCCTAAAATACTGTTTTCACTCTATTAACTGAGAAGTAACTCCAACAGAGATCAGTGGACAGCTCTTTTCTGTCATTACTCAGATCTAAAGACCACCTGATCTGGAGGTCTTTCTGGACTTTGGCCAATCCTGTGGATGAAGGGGCGTTTCGTCTGCTGACACGAGGTTAAGGATTGCAGCTGTACAGTGTATAGCAAGGATAAGCCGCATTTTTAAAAGAAGAAGAGACAAATAAGTGTTTTGCAGCATGATTTCTATTAATTACCAATTCAGAACTCTTTGTCTTCAACTTCTCCTGGCAAGGTAAGTCCTGAAATTTACCCAAATCAATACAGGAAATCAATTTATGATGTTATGTCTACCTGCTTATTTGAACTACACATTGAAAGAGAAAAGATTAAATGTAACAGAAGTATGACCTGGGATCCTCTTGAACCAATCTGACACAAGGTGCCTTATTGATTCAGTCAGATTGTTCTGTCTGTTTTAGTCGCCGGAGTCTGAATTTCATCACAGGCTTCGCTTGATATTGACCTCAAGGTCATGTCCACAATTTGAGCTTGCAGAACAGTCAATGTGTAACACTATCTTTCCACTTTGTAAGTGAAACAGAAAGTTACAAGTAAGATTTTGTATAACAAGACAGTTTTTTATTGAACTTGCATGCTACACCAGGCCCTGCTGACGCTCACACTGATTACAGTCACTGAGTTAAATGCAGGGGGTGTGATGCTTTCCATCACTCATTTGTGCCGTGAACAAGAGAAAGTACTCACAAACTTTTACTTACTTCCAGGCTTTAATACACACCATCCTGCTCTATTTGACTGGCCTGCAGTGTTTCTGATATGAGAAAGATGTATGAAAATCAGGACATCTGCTTACAGTTGTGCAGTTTATTAACATAATTACACATGCACTAAGCTGCAGAAGATTCACCTGCATTTCAAGTTTAGTGACATGCCTTGCTTGTCATTTTGGCAGTACCTTAATTATCTGCTGCAGAATGATTTTTCTTCGTACAGAAAGTTCAATAGGAAGTTATAAGGGGCAAAATGCAGTAAATACTTGTTGCATGGCTCATGTGAAAGTGCAACTTGTATGCTTCTGCATTTAAAAACCATACTTCGATTTTGATCGATCAATATTGTTTTCACCATTCCCCTGGCTCCACTAGTCATGTATCTTTTGTGTATGCCTCTGTGTTTAAAATGTAATCTTTGTCGTACATTGTGTACCAGTGCCCAGTGAGGCAGTATTTTGGCCTCACTTATTGACAATGGAAGGAAATGAAGGTGTGTCACCAGTTTTAAAATAAGAGATAAGACAAGATAAGATAAACCTTTATTCACCCCACCCCACTGTGGGGGAATTTGCTGTGTTAACAGCAGCAAAGGTTCAGCAAAGCAAAGACAGAAGAATAAGTAAACTCATCGTGCACACAATACTTATATAAAAGCAAACTTAGGGAGTGCGCAGATGGCTAAGTGGGTTAGCGTGCCCCATGTATGGGGACCACGGTCCCAGCAGCGGTCCCAGGCTCGGGTCCTGCCCCGACCATGTGCTGCATGTCCTCCCCAATCTCTCTCTCCATCTCCCCTCAATTCACCCTGTCTTATCAATAAAAGGCAAAAATCGCCCAGAAAAATAACAATAATAAAAAAAGCTAACTTAGACCTTTAAATTATTGCTCTAATCATGCCATTGTTTGTTATTGTTCTTTGATTTTACTTTGATGTTTATTTTATTTGAAATTTTTACTCTGAAGCACTTTGTGAATCTTTTCTATAAAAGGCGCTATACTGAATAAATTTTACTTACTATTCAAAAAGA